TTAAATGGTCGACGCTACTTGTTATGGGGTGAAGTATACAAATTAAATGGTGCATTCAATATAACAACGAGTCGGTTTGATATAACAACGGGTCGGTTTGATATAACAACGGGTCGGTTTAATATAACAACGAGTCGGTTTGATATAACAACGGGTCGGTTTAATATAACAACGGGTCGGTTTGATATAACAACGGATCAGTTTAATATAACAACGGGTCGGTTTAACATAATAACGGGTCGGTTTAATATAATAAAGGGTCGGTTTGATATAACAACGGGTCGGTTTAATATAACAACGAGTCGGTTTGATATAACAACGGGTCGGTTTGATATAACAACGGGTCGGTTTAATATAACAACGAGTCGGTTTGATATAACAACGGGTCGGTTTAATATAACAACGGGTCGGTTTGATATAACAACGGATCGGTTTAATATAACAACGGGTCGGTTTAACATAATAACGGGTCGGTTTAATATAATAACGGGTCGGTTTGATATAACAACGGGTTGGTTTAATATAACAACGAGTCGGTTTGATATAACAACGGGTCGGTTTAATATAACAACGGGTCAGTTTGATATAACAACGGGTCGGTTTGATATAACAACGGGTCGGTTTAATATAATAACGGGTCGGTTTAATATAACAACGGGTCGGTTTGATATAACAACGGGTCGGTTTAATATAACAACGAGTCGGTTTAAGGCAGGTCCACCCTTTTACGGATCCGGTTTCAATTTTACACACCGATATAAAATTTTGATTATCCATGTCTATAGAAATAAAATCTTTTTGGATGATTGAAAATAATTTAGCAAGTATATATTTGTTTATTATAGTGTCATTGTGCACACAAAGCATATAAGTTAATGTACATTATTTATAGGAATAACCAATTTGCATTCTGTCCATAGGATTTATATATGTAATGTAGTACATACACAGACAGAGGATTCTTGATTGCCTTATGAACCTAAAGCTTTTAATTTTTTTTAAACAAACTAACTTGAGATCTACTCAGTATTTATCTTTCATTTTAAGCTTTTGTCGTCTTTTTAAATTTACTTTTTTATAAGTTTTGCGAAGAACGATTGAAAAAAATAGATATTCCAAACATGGGGGTATGGGTGTTCAAAAGGCTCTTTTGTAAAAATTTTCTGGTCAACCACAATAAAGTATGTTTTTCTGCTAACCTAAGATATAATTCTAAATAATTGTGAAGAAAAAATAGCATATAAACATAAAAGATTTTGAGAAATATTTAAGATAAAGATATTTTGAGCATTTTCTCTGAAAGATTTTGACACAATCAACATCAATTTTTTAGTGTTTTCAAATAGAAGTTTCAAATATTTCCTTGACAAATGAATATTTATAATTTTCCTAAGTTTTAACAATAATTGGATGTGATTTGGTACATAGCTAAATAAAATATGATGTTACAATTCTATATGTCGAATTTTGACTGTTGAATTTTTAGAGGTATATACTCCGAGACATGTTTCATGAAAATTAACTTGCAAAGATATATTTTTTTTATGGGTATTTTAGTTAGATAATGACTCATTCAAGATTTTCAAATAAAAAAATAAACAGTTTGACAGAAAATTCTGAAAGTACGGACCTACCTTAATATAACAATGAGTCGGTTTAATATGTTAAATGGTCGACGCTACTTGTTTTTAGAGTCAATGGCAGATAAATGGTGTGTCCTAGAAAGTAAATGGTTGGTTTACCATGTTAAATTGTTATTGCTATTTGTAATAGGATAAAAGGCAGATTATAATAAATATTTAAAATGAGTCAAATAACACATTAAGAATGCGTCTTGAGTACAATTATCATTGTTCAGCTAATTTAACATGGTTTCAAAAAATGCACATTAAATATTAGCTGATAAATTAATTAACTGATGTTATAGATGGATATCAATGACACAGTTCTCCTTTAGTATTCTTATATAAATCCGTAATTAGTTTTTTTTTTTCAATTTGATTCTAATATTTTATTAATTTATAATCTTTGTTGTTACTTCTTGTTTTAAATTCATTTTTTTTTGTAAAAATGTAAAATAAAAAAAAAGATTAAAAAAAAGGAAGAAGGAAATTAAGAATGAGTAATACGGATGAAATTTTACAAAGAAGATTGGATGTACTTATCCTTTGTAGAACTGTCTTATGGAATAAAAATATCTCGTATTTTTAAATTTTTATCACTATCAAGTACCATATATTATAAGAAGGGCTAATAATGGTAAGGGAGGGAGAGCTAAGTGTCAGGCGCGGATCCGGTCCAGGATTTTTTTCCCATGGTAGGGGTCCATTCCAGTAAAAGAAACATTCATTCCTGACATACCTTGACAAGCAAAAAAACAAAACAAAACTGTTTTTCAAATGTAAAAAAAAACTATTTCGGGGGGGGGGGGGGGGGGGGGGGGATAACCTCTAGACCCTCGCATGAGTGTTACATCTCTTTTTGCCGTACGTAATGTTTAATATTTTGAGGAACATCGCAGTCACTTATTTTGTAATTTAACCTCCTCTGTTAAGATATTATTCCTTTATATTGTAAAATTGTATAAAACTGTTTATAGAAAGACCATACATCTCCAAAATTTTATTTACACTTTTTTGTCATTTGCATTATATGTGGAATTTGGAGAAGGTGTTATGCCTAAACGACATAACGCTTTTAACTTGTTACATGTACATACTATGATAGGCCCAACGTTTTTAAACGGAGGGGGGGGGGTTAAAATTCAAAGGCGTCAATGATTTACAGGCTTAAAATTTACAACTTATTGGTGGATTTAGGATCTTTCTCTAACTTTTAGAAATATTCTTAATTAAACACATTAAATTGGGACAAACATAACTTCAATCAAGCTGCAACAAAAACTGTGTGTGTGGAGGGGGGGGGGGGATTTAAATGAAAAATTAAATCAAATCGATGCGCTTTCCCCCTCGTACCACAGGCTTACGTAGATAGCTTGATATTTTATTGTTTCAGATTAATTTTACTAATTCTGAAATGTGATGGGGGTGGGGGGTGTTTGCTTGTTTATTTTTCTCTATTTTCATTGTTTGCTTTTTTTCTTTTGAAACTTTGTAAAATTATACAATGTAGCTACACAATTTGACACATCTTTAACCTTTTTTGTATACTGGTATGTCACCCTATAAAAGGTAGCACTGATCATTTAACATGACAAACCGACCCTTTACTACATTGAATACACCATTTAATTTGTATATGTATATTTTAACCTATAATAAGTAATGACGACCATTTAACATATTAATTATACCCGTTATTATATCGAATGCACCATTCAATTTTTATGCTTCACGCCGTAACAAGTAGCGTCGACCATTTAACATATCAAACCGACCCGTTGTTATATAAAACCGACCCGATATTATATCGAATACACCATTTAATTTGCATACTTCACCCTATAGCAAGTAGCGGCAACCATTTAACATATCAAACCGACCCGTTGTTATATCAAACCGACCCTTTGTTATATCGAATGCACCATTTAATTTGTATACTTCACCCTATAACAAGTAGCGGCGACCATTTAACATATCAAACCGACCCGTTGTTATATCAAACCGACCCGTTGTTATATCGAATGCACCATTTAATTTGTATACTTCACCCTATAACAAGTAGCGGCGACCATTTAACATATCAAACCGACCCGTTGTTATATAAAACCGACCCGATATTATATCGAATACACCATTTAATTTGCATACTTCACCCTATAGCAAGTAGCGGCAACCATTTAACATATCAAACCGACCCGTTGTTATATCAAACCGACCCGTTGTTATATCGAATGCACCATTTAATTTGTATACTTCACCCTATAACAAGTAGCGGCGACCATTTAACATATTAAACCGATCCGTTGTTATTTCAAACCGACCCGTTGTTATATCGAATGCACCATTTAATTTGTATACTACACCCTATAACAAGTAGCGGCGACCATTTAACATCTTAAACCGACCTGTTGTTATATCAAACCGACCCGTTATTATATTGAATGCACCATTTAATTCGTATACTTCACCCTATAACAAGTAGCGTCGACCATTGAACATATTAAACCAACTCTGTATTATATTGAATGCACCATTTATTTTGAATCTTTCACAGTATAATAAGAAGAGGTGACCATTTAACATAGTAAACAGACCCTTTATTATATTTTACACACTATTTATAATGTATCTTTCACCGTATAACAAGGAGTGGTGACCATTTAACATAAAGAACCGACCCTTTATTATATTAAATACACCATGTATTATGTGCGCTTAACCCTTAAACAATGTGTGGCGACCATTTATTATATTGATTCAACCCTTTATTATATAGAACACACCATGTAACATAATGTACCATACCTTAAGGCAGCTATGGCGTTCCATATATTAACGTCATAGACAATTCAACTGCGCTTCTTTAATGAAAATAAAACTTAGAAACGTTCATATTTTGTGATAGCCTATCTTCATTCTTATTCAACTGACAATCCTTCTCATACCACACACAAACCTGAAGTATCAAAAAGACGATTGGGCTCCTCAGTACATATGTAGTCTTTGAAAACAGGTCTTCCAACAGTCTCTTGAAATTCACATGGGAATCAGAATTTACAATGGATGAAAATAAAATTCTAATGCTAGCATTATAAATCGCTACTCATGGAAATTTGAAAGTACTCGTAAATTATCAATGAATTAACATAAAAAAAGTAATTTCTGCATCAAAATATGCCTTTCCAAAAGAACATTTTCTTTTATTTCAAACTTGAAATGTGACCTTTGATTTCGATGGTAAATGAGTAAATAAAACTAGGTAAAGCATAAACAAATTCGCATTTTTTATTTTAATCGTATGTAGTAAATAAAATGAAGTACCACACATGAAGTTGGACTTGTGCAAGACTCACCTTGACGTGCAGTAATAGGTGTATGATTTTGTTAATAAGCCGATTGGTCTATGTGTTATAAATTGACGTTCTCACGCAGTTCCCACACTTGTATTGATTTCAGCATTATAAGTACCTGTATACCGTATATAACCATCGTTACATGCCTTTAGTCTCACTCGCTGAAGCTCGTCTGGCCACTCCATGCTGACGGTGCCTCGTGTTAATCAAGGTGAAGAATGGCCTCAATAGACTCTGGAGAATTTTCAGATCTTGAACACAAAGGTGTAGCAGTTCTTTACTTTCTCTTTGGTAAGTAAAAAATACATTTAGAATAGCAGCCTCTGTTAACACTGTTAGATAATAAATAAATAAATACAAGAAGGGGAAAATCAATCATTTTTTATTATTTTAGAAAGCAGGAAGTAATTTATCTATTAAAGTGGAACTATTATAATGTCGAGATGTTAAAAAGAGAAATTTAAGATATCTTTTATTTTTCTCTCTTTGCGTTTTGTTAACATTAAATATTGTATGTTAAATGCCTATATATAATCCAGTTTCTCGGTGATGTTTTATATTGTATAGTTTGCTTCTAGCTGCAGATCTGTAGCTCTCCGAAAAAATATATATTGATAGACCGGAGAGCTACAGAGCCACCCATTGAAAAAACTGTATATTTATTGCGCACAAAAAACTGCGCTCGGTTCTCGATTTATTTCTCCATTTTTTCAAGGCTGTAATCTCAAAATATTACTAACCGTGTGTTCCTAACATATTCTTTGACTCTTTCCACAACAAAACATTCCTCATAATTGTTGTTAATAGTCCTCCTGGACCTGATATTGCAATCATCGGACATTTCGCTTATTTATACAGCAATCTTGGTTTCAAAGATAATTCGGTCCAATATGTTTCGTTCAGATGTCAACTACGAGAGAACTTGATAGAGGAGAGAGTAATTCTTTAAAAACTTCCATTTTTTGCAATTGAGGTAAGAATTTGGAAAAATTAATCAAGAATCGAGCACACTTTTTTGTGCGCAGTAAATATACAGTTTTTTCAATGGGTGGCACTGTAGCTCTCCGGTCTATCAATATATATTTTTTCGGAGAGCTACAGATCTGCAGCTAAGTTTGCTTCCACCAGAAAATAATGTTACTGGATACACTTGCATGTGAAGGCCTTTTTAGATTCAAGATGCTGTACGGAAAAAAGAAATAATTCTCAAAAATTAAGATTAAGTTGTATTAAAATGTTTTATTTCAAACTATCTATTTTCTATTTTCTTTGTAAATTGAGAAAATATATACATATGTAATTAGGAATTAAATCAAACTATGCCAGTTAAAAAATAATCCATGGATGAGATTGATTTTGTGCGTAATGGCTTATAATGTAAAATATTGGCGTGAACAACCAAAATTCATTAGTAGTACATGCATTAGATATATCGTATTCCAGCAATATGGAAAAGCTTCTGATTAATTAGATGTATTAAACAAAGCAAGCTTTTCATGACTATAATATGTGATTTATTTTCACATGCAAGACATTATGGTAATCATTACCAATATCATTTTATCAGATTATTATAAAAAGGAAGAATTTAAATGCAGCCAGCACGAAAGTGAGCACTCGAGATCTTCAGGGTTTATATCTTGTTTTGCATTAAGAAGAAAAATATTTTCATTAACAATCTTAAATCCTCAAAATATCTTTCTGTTTTCATAGTTTATGTTTAGTTTTCTTGCCAGAGCTTGTATCTCTCTGTAGGAGTATTGGGAGTTTTGACGAACTCGTTTGTGCTGAAAACTTTTATGAAGGATGGAGTGCTGACCTCCCCTAAAAACATCCTCCACGTGAACCTGGCGTTCTCCAACATCCTGGTGGTCCTCGGCTTTCCCTTCTCGGGCCTGTCCAGTTGGCACGGGAAGTAGGTTTTACGACAATCATCAATTAACGTTAAACTGGACAAAAAGAAGTGTGATTTAAAGCAGCAATACTCATAATCTAATAATTAATATTCTTAAAGAGTCTTAGAAAATTGTAATAAAACATTGAATAAATTTACATTTGCAGTAATGAAGTTTTATTTCTTTGCTACTTTAAACGCTAATCTAAAGGAAAATAAACTATTTACAGATGGTTGTTTGGTCAACAAGGCTGTCAATTATACGGAGTGGAGTCCTACACAGGGGGTATAGCTTGCACAGGCTTTGTATTTGCTTTATGCTTTGAACGATACCTGGCCAATCGACAAAGACAAATATGTAAGTATATAAATGTACTTTTCAGTCTTGCATGAAGAAAAAGTTAGAACATTGACAAAATCATTTGTATTGAGCAGATGATACAATGAGCTCCAGCACGTGGTGGTTGATTACCCTGGCTGTCTGGATACACGCGTTCGTTTGGGCTATTCTTCCAGTGTTAGGTTGGAGCAGGTAAGCTTCTTATCCTCAGCCGTATTCTTACTAATTTGACAAATGCCTACTTTGCAGCTGAAGCTTGTAATAACTAATCTCATAAGTATTGAATTGTTTTGTCAAATCTTCCGTTTAGTTATTCGATGGAAGCATCAGGAGTTGCCTGTGGCTTGAACTGGCTGAAACACGACTTTAACCACACATCCTTCGTGATTTTCATGACTATTGAACACTCCGTCATTTATCTGTTGGCATTCATTTTTCTCAAGTCTGCGAAAAGTTACGTGGACTCCCACACAATCCTCGAGGTCAACACACAAAACTGGTTCACCGAAAAACAGCTTGTCTGGGTACGGCTCCATTTCTGTTAAATTTCCACAACTGTTTAGTTTACTTTCTCACAGGATGAAAATCCACCATTCAGTCGACTGAATGGTGGCTGAATGGCCACTGAATGGTCACTGAAAGGTCACTGAAAAGACCCTTTCCCCTGACCTTTCCGTGATCATTCAGTTACCATTCAGTAGACTGAATGGCACATACATTTCAGTGACCTTTCCGTGATCATTCAGTTGAATCTTTTTATTGAATAATCGGCTTATTTTTTTTACATAAAAATTTTATTTCACTTTTTCCTGGTATAATGGCATCAAATGTATCTAATTCCGATAAAAAAAAAATACGAAAAAAATTCATACAAGAAAAAAAAATTGCTCCCAGGCCCAGAATCGAACCCAGGTCTCCTGCTTAGGTGTCCGCGACCTTATCGATTACGCTACGACTTCTTGTTGAGAAATGAGGATTTAAAATCAATTAATTTATAGAAATCGATGGAACAATCAGTTCACCTGTTGTATCGAGGAGCTGCGATGTGTATATATCTTGTATATCTTTTGTATATTCTATGTTAGTTGCGCGGATTTTGGGGACAGACTAATTAATTACACATCTCCTATCGGGATGATGACAATTATCAGAGACGGGCACCTGTTCCTGTGTCAAAGATCTAAGATCGTTGTAAATTCTCTATCTAGAAACTTAGTAGAATGATTTTATTAAATCAACAAATTTATCATTTAGAAAGCTAAAATCTACTATATTTTTTTCTACAAGAGTCATGTATAAACGATTTATTTATTCTTGTAATTAAAAATGAATTTAGAATAAAGTCTTTTAAAAACTAAATATCCTGCAGTTTTGACAATGACATAATTAAGAAACGAAATTGATCAGTAATACTTGCGATCTTCCAAAGATGGTTTAAATAATATAAATTCTGTCTCATCAATCAAAACTATATATTTCCATGAAAAAATACACGTATAAGCACTATAGAATGTTACGCATTTATTTAAATTTTGAATCGGTTATCGGATCGTCATTTTTTATCACTTGAAGAATTTTTGTTTTCTAAATGTAACTAGAAAATTAAAAATCATTTTGAATAAGTCTCAAATATTTTATAAAATTATAATAATTACTTAGACATATTTCAAGGTACCCGAATTTTATCACGATAAGTAAAAAAAAAAAAACACAATTAAGATTGAATAATTAATCTTTATTCAAAATATTGCTTCCTTGTTAAGGAAAAATATCTTATTATAAAATAATACGCTAGTGAAAAAATTGCTAAATTGAGACTTAAATATCACTGGAAGGTGGCGGAAAGGTCACTGAAAGACGACAGAATGGTCACTGAAAGTCGACGGAATGGTCACTGAAAGACGACAGAAAGGTCATGAAAGTCGACGGAAAGGTCACTGAAAGACGACGGAAAGGTCACTGAAAGTTGATGGAAAGGTCACTGAAAGTTGATGGAAAGGCCACTGAAAGTTGACGGAAATGTGTCCGCTGAATGGTGACTGAAAAGTATCTGAAATGTGACTGAAAGGCAACTGAAAGGTCACTGAAATGTATGTGCCATTCAGTGGCTGAATGGCCACTGAAAAGTTACTGAAAGCCGCCTTTCAGTTTTAACTGAAAGGTTTTGTTTCTTCCCGTGTCTCTAGATATGATTAATGATGACAAGACTAATTTATATAAAATCAATTTTATTTCTTGAAAAAGATGATAATGTTATATTTTGTAGATAACATTTGCTTTCCTTCTGATTGCTGGGATAGGCTGGGGACCATATGGCTATTTTGCAGTATGGAGCCAGCACACTCAAATTACCAGTATTTCTATGTTAGCCGTCACTTTGCCGCCACTGTTCGCTAAAGGATCAACCATATTTTACATTATACCATACCTTGTGGCTAGCAACCGTTTCCGGGACGCGGTTGTTGGAGGTGATGTGGGAAGTGGGGATAAGAAGGAAAAGTAGATAAATCTAGTGTCAACTAGAGAAACGTTTAAGGCGAGAGGAAAGGAAGAAAGGGGAGGCTACAACAATTTATTTTATCAGAATTTTATACTTTTAACAAAACTTTGAAAATGTTTAAAACCATGTCATAAAAGGAATAAAGATCGACCATAAAGATGGGAACCCGTTAAGGTAACCTTGGAGGATCTGTAAGAGCCATTGTTTGTCCTTTTTAATGTCTTGTTTTCATTTTTTAAGAGTGTTTTAGCTTTGAATTACCTACATGTTTTTATGCCATGATTAGCTCTTTATTATTATTTTTTTTAAATATTATGTTGCATTTGGTAATTCGTGCGTTTAAATTCAAAATCTTATTATTTATATTTGAACACTTTTTTGTATTTTTAACTTGTTTCCGAAAGGTGGCGTCTAAAAATGAGCGAAAATTTCTCGAAGAGACGGAAAACAAACAAAAAGAAAAAGAAAACTTACTCCATGACCTTAGAGCAAACGCTTTTACAACTGCGCTTCTCGGGCGAGGAAGGAATTTTGTGTTTGTATTTGGCTACTAGTATTTTACTTGCAAAAAGACGTTAATGGAAATACGAGTATAATAAAACTTTATACCAGACGTGAGTTTTTTTTTTAAATTTTTAACTGAACTTCCCATACTAATGCAGAAATATACATTTGCCGCCTGCAAAGGAAGATTATGTCTCCCAGGTAATTTGATACACAAGTGCATGTTCGATGTCCAAATCATTTCGAAAACAAAACAAACTATTGACCAAAAAGTTGATGAAACAAGGATATCAACGGTGTCCCATTTGAATTAATCATTTTGCAAGTTCTTTGGTCGATACAATTATCATGTCAGCAAGTACAATCTATCATCAAGTTGAATGTTGACTGAGGTTTTAACACCAATTGTTAGTCGATTATTTACAAACTGAAATATCTGCGGAATTTGATGTTTTCCCGATCATGACAAGGATCACACGGCGGGTGTGAACTGTCAGTTGCATTGGGAATGCTTCGTCCTCATTGGTACCTGATCCTACCTCTGATCTTTAAAAGGCCCGTGTTTGATCCACTCCCGACTCGATTGTTTCCATGGAGATCTGATCTCGAATATTGTTCGTTTATACAAAATTATCACCATATTTAATGTATTCACTGTATTTACAAAAGAAAATAAAATTATGAAAAGTTTGTGTATATTTTCAAACACTACCATTAATCATGAGGTTATTTTCAAAGCCTTTTCTCTTTGTGATAAGTATTTTCCTTCTCTTTTCTATTGTGTTGGTTGAGAAGTGATTTCTGTACACTTTTCATTTTTACCCTTTTCTCTCGAACCACTAGGCCAAATTTTAACCAATCTAGACACAATTCTTCTTTGCGGAAATATAATTTGAACGAAGTATCACATTTTCTTTCACGAGGAGTATATTCAGAAAATGAAAATTAAGTGGCACAATTCAAAATTCTTCCTCTCAAGAACTATTTGTCAAAAAACTGAAAAAGATAATTTTAACTTTTGTGACTTCTTCTTCACATAATTGCTATAATCAGATTTGTACGTAAAGTTATTTTTGTTTTTTCAATCGAGTGCTCAGTTTGGTAAAGCTGGAAAATAAGTAAGGGGTAAAATTTCATATAGAAATAATTTTACCAACATTTAAAATATCTTTTTTTTTCTTTTTTAAATTTTCTTCTCAAGAAACAGTTATTCTTTAAGATAAACGAGCATCCATGGGGAGTTTGGATTTTATGACATCGGGGTTAGAACGAGGCCACAATAGGGATATAACTTTTATTCTACTTTTAACAGGTCGGGTACACTACCTTATATGGAAGACAATTTTTAACACGTGACGATGTTTTCGTCACACCCGTTCTCCAATCAAATGAATGAGAACCAAAGCATGACAGCCTACTATGTGTTTACGATTCAATAACGACATGTGGTTTTCGTCGGTTTACTGCATTATATTTACTTCGTCACCGGAAAAACTGTAGAGTTTCTTTTTCAATCTGTATAAAGCCAAAATTGCCATATATATATTCCAATTTTCTACCAGAAAATGAATAGAAAAAGTTTAATTTTGGATTTGTATCTCTCCATTTTTTAAACAACTGGAATAAATTTTACGGTTAAAAATACGTGATAACGCATTTAAAATGCATGTACGAGAATTGATGGTAAAAAATTTTTGTAATAATTAATAGTTGTCCATCGTGTACTGCTGTCTAAAACTACGTACACGTATATCACGTGAAAAAAATTAATAAAAAACGGTTATAAAAGAACAATGGTATTGCATCATTTGTATTATAAGTTGTATAACGCTTCAAATAAATTTTGTAAACATGTGCTATACAAATGAAAATTTGCACCATTTTAAATATTTCACCTAAACTCAATTGGCTAGAATTTAAAAAAATGTCCATAAATCAATTCAAGTTTTTTTATTTTTTTTAACACAACAGATTCCTGTCGTCTAAAGCCCACAATGCTTTTTCTTCTCATTCAACAGTTAATGTAAACAGATAGGATTTTTTTCTTTGAATTATATGACATCGGGGTCAGAACGAGGCCACGATAGGGATATAACTTTTATTCTACTTTTAAGTACAATAAATATCAACACATCATTTGAACATAGCAACGAAACGTACCAGCATTATTGTTCAATGTACATATAACATGCAAAATATGAAATACAATTAAGTTCTACGTCAGTACGTGATATTCAACATGTATTTGAATGAAATCCTTGTAATTCCGAAAAAAAAATAATTCATTATCACACCAAGTAGAAATTGATTTCTGTCTAATTCGTTCCTCAAACGAAAAAAATCATATCTGTTTTACATGAGGAAATATAGGATAACAATATCTGCCTTTCAACATCAGATCCATGAAACATATGGAGATAACGAACAGTATTCAAGATCAAAAGTCCATAAAACAATACACAATAGGAGCATAATAGGAGCAGACCATCCATGCACAGTGATTTTATTTCCAGCATTAAATAATATTGATGACAATGTGTGCATATATCATGTAAAATATTTAAAAATAAACTTTGTTGTTATGACTACTTGATTTTCAACATGTATTTAATTTAATCCTAGAATTTATACTTTTTAATATGTTTATCACATAATAAAATTGATTTCTGTCTAGCTTCTGTTATTCAAATAAAAATCATATCTGTTTTACATGAAGAATTATTTTAAAATTATGAACTTTCAACATCTATTGTTTATCCATGAAACATATAGATAACGAACAGTATCTTTATAAAATTAAAACAATTCACATTTTGTTTGTAGCTGGTGACTCCATGATGTTTGTAAAGACCATAGCACTTCCATGCGACGCCTTGAACAATAAAGTTGTAAATTTTTATAATCTTATTTTTCCTTTGGATTTACGGCAGGACGATGGTGAATAAGGTGTGTGCTGAAGCTTATATGCATCTTGTAATCACTAATTCCTATTCATTTCAATGTTAATATGTGATTCCTTTTTGTGATTGTACCCTATCCTCTAAAAAAGTATGATTATTTGTAAAAGATATTGTACATGTATCTACTCTTTCTATTGGTCCAAACCCAGCCTAAAGGGTTTAAAAACTTACGCATTTGAACTGAAACTCAGACATGGAGAACCTCAGTATTCGTTAGACTAAGTAGACCTTGTTGTTCTCGAAAAGAAAATTTTCAAAGACAAAAAAATTTGTATACTTAACTTTGGTCCATAGTGTGAAAAAAGAATGAATCCATACAACTAAGGATTTTTTGCTAAAATTTGTTATTCAAAATGGTACTGCTTCTCTCTGAAAGCTTTTTGGGGGTGTTTTCAAATATATTTCCTTAGAAAAGACGCTGGTCCCTTTTTTGTGCCATATAAAATTCAAAGGAACTTTTGTAAAATTTGAAATCAGAAGATTTTAATTAAATCAACATCTTAAAAGTTACGACTTTTCAAATTTATACACTATTGCCCACGATAAATTAAAGTCCAGGCTTTTTGATGTCATTGACAGTTGCTTTTTCAATAAAAATGGAAATCGTAAATTTACTTACCTTGTCATTGTTCTTTTCGTTACAAACATTCCGAATGTACAAACAAGTACTTTAAAGTAGAATTCAAAAAGATGCTTGAGTTTCTGATTGACAATATGGTCTTTTTTAGACCAGTCTTCCAACAATTCCCATACTTTTTAGGAATTCACATTTTGTCATTTTCACATTTTCGAACCAATTAAAGCATCCTTGGGTGATTCAAGTTTGTTCAAATGAACGGCCAAGCCCTCATTCAAGGGGAGATAATTGGGAATTAATGAAAATTTGGTGGCACGTTTTAAAAATTTTTCTCAAGAACCACTGTGCCATGAAACAAAATTTGTCTAAAATCTTATATGTGAAAAGAAGAAAATACTTATAGGAAAATTCTTTAAAAATCTTCTTCTCAAGAATAACAAAGCCTTTAATCATATGACATTTATAAATTTTTTACATTGAAATATATAAGAAAATTCTTTGCAAAATCATCTTCTCAATTAAAAGCATATGGCTATTGATTACAGTGTAGATTCTTTGTTCAAATCATGACCGCCAGGGATAGGGCGGGGCCACAATGGCTATTTTACAGAGACATATATAGTTTTAAATTTAGATAGCAAAGCCATGATTGGTCATAAATTTAAACTTTTCAATAATAAACCAATTTCTACTTTTCCTATCGACAGTCAGGTGAGCTCCTTTGTTGTTTTGCAAAATTTGTCCAACATATGTGATTATGTTAACTAATCATAAATATCGACGACGTATTGTCAATTAACAATGGCTATTGATTACATAGCTGCATGAGCCCATAGGCAAGCTTTAAATTTAGATTAATAAAACATGAAACTATAAATTATTATGTTAATAATCAGAGTTTATTCCCCAGAACAACTTTTCAGGCTTTTACCTATGAATTCCCACATACAAGAATTTCCTTGTAACGCGATTTATCTAACCAATCAGATCAGTTTACAATCTTCGAGGTTTCAGTAGTTGTGTTTACTTACAGTAAGGATTTGTTCATACCTCCACCTCCCCATCCACCAACCATTTGTTTGGGTACTAGACATGCAAAAAGGGTTCATGATGTTATTTGATTGTATTCATTATGTTTAGGCTAATATTTTTGTGTGATTGTGTTGGCATATTACGTCATGGTATGTTTACCATTCCATTTCTCCCAAGCATGGGATATTGTACATGTACGTCTATTATTCAGCATCATTGTTGAGTACTTATGTTATGACAATTATCAAATATTGCATCCTGGGCAAGCCTAGCTCTACTCAGGTAGGATTACTCTGATCTTTACACAGGTGCTAGTGAACATAGCTCATATAGGCAAACCTACTTTGCCCTCAACCTTCATGACACAGGCGCTAGTGAGCATGTCTCACGTTAGTGGACATAGCTCATGTAGGCAAGATTGATATAAAAGATATCACAGAGTGTGACATATCTTTTTCATAATTGGGTATTATACTTGAAAAAGACGTTGATGATTATCTAACAAACAAGCTCTATAGTAAACGTGATGACTTTATGTTTTCAATCGTCAACTTCCCTTACTTTTACAGCAAAATACCTTCATATAGAGTTTATATCTCTCAGTTGCTTCGATACGCAAGAGCATGCTCTATGTATGAAAAAATTTCTAAAACGAGGAAAATTATTGACAAACAAGTTGATGAAACAAGAATATCAACATTCTCATTTACGTTTTGTAAGTTCTTTGGTTGATACAATAACCTTGTCAGCAAATTTTCATGATTTGAACAATTTTGACAATAATTTACTGTTAAAGTGAAATTTAGTGTGAAATTGTTTGTATAATTAATGCTTGATTTATATTATCTTAATCTTGTTGATTTGTAGTAATTACTCTAAGCTACAGACTGCAGTGATCTGTTTATGTGATAAGGTCTTGACCGCTCATTAAGATTTGGCTGGGAAATTTAGCTTCTTGTATCAGCATTGCTGACTTTTATCACCCGAGTCTCAAAATGTCTGAAGTGCTGGCCATGAGAAAATGCAGAATTCATAGTGTTCACAATTAACGGGTTAATTTAGCAGTGATTGGCAGTCTGTAGGTTGGGCAGTTCTTAATATTTAGGGTAGAATTTGTGTGTTCATTTAGTTACTCAGTCGGGTCCTGTGTGTAAAGTGTTACACGGGAATACAAAATAAACTTTGTTGGAAACTTTGGGCGTTTTTATTAAAAAAAAACAGAAAGTTTCGGTGTAACATTTTAAGTGGTGGCAGCGGTAAAGGATCCTAATTAAATGTGAAATATTGTTTGAAATTTTATACATATATTTGGATTTAACAAGCGGAATTAAAATGCCTAGGAAACAGGACTTGGAATTGGAATTTCAACTTTCTAAACAAAAACAGGAACATGAATTACGTTTAAAAACACTTGAATTGGAACATGAAAAAGAAATTTTGGAATTACGTGTTCAGCTAGAGAAGGCCAATTCAACGCCAGGAGCACATTCGACAGGAATGCCAAAAATTAAACTTCAACCATTTAATCAGGAAAAGGATGACATTTTGTGCTATCTCTCTGAATTTGATGTGGTAGCTGAGCATGCAGGTTGGACTGAGAACTCAAAAGCTTTACAGCTTAGGTCACTTTTAACCGGAGAAGCTCGAGAAGTGTCGCAGCAAGTGACTTCGGGATTCTGTATAAGGCTCTTTTGAATCGATTCGGCAGGCGCCCAGCAGACTACTTTCAGTTCCTGGAGGAAATTAAACGTAGACCAGGAGAAACTTACAGAGGATTAATGTCAAGAATAGATCTGTATTTGAGTCGTTTCATTGATGAGAAAGATCCCGTACAAAAGTTCCGAGAAGAGTATTTCTTAAAGGCGTTATCTCCTCAACAAGCCCAGTGGATTAGACGGAATAAGGGAAGTAGTGAGTTAGTTGAAGCTGCTGAGGATTACATTCTACCAACAAAATCGGCCGAGGACAGAAAACTTCAAAATCCTAAAGTGTTAGGTGAGAAGAAGAGCCAGGAACAGGGGAACTCCGGAAAACAGAAAAGTTTGGAAAAAGTGAAATGTTTTAGCTGTGGGAACTTTGGACATTATGCAAACAAATGCCCAAAGAAAGGTAATCTAGCGTCGTGTTTCGTGAAAGGAGCATTATGGGGTTTACATTATGTTCCGGGGAAAGTGGATGATGTGGAAGTGTCAACGGTCAAGGACACTGGAGCATCTATGACGCTATTGCGGGAGGATCTTGTAGATCCAAAATGTGTTCTACATGGACAAACTACTTCCTTGGTTACAGCTATTGGACAGCCATTCGAGGCTAAGTTAGCAGTGGTTAACCTGGAAACACCAATGTTTAAGGGGCATGTTCAGGTAGGTTTAGTACCTGATCTGGTTGCAGATGGTTTATTGGGAATAGATGTTCTGGAGAGGAACAAAGTTGCAGCTGTGGTTACGAGAGCCAAAGCAAAAGAACAAGAACAAAATGAAGTAAGTGCCAAAAATCGCATGAATAAATGTGATGTCGTACCAAGGGACTTAAATGTCGTGGTAACTAACGATGAGGCTGGTGAAGTGAACCTTGATTTACCGGATATTTCTTTGGAAAAGTTGAGCGTGGTTGATGGAAATAGATTACTGGCAGCAACAGAAAATGAAATTGGAATTGAACAGCAATTTCCTAACGACACCACAGAAACCATTTCAGATCTTGTCTTTGGACATGGGCTGACTCAAGTGCAGAGACAGAGTTTAAGGGATGTTTGTCAGAAATTTTCAAGAATTTTCACATCAAAGCCGGGAAAGTGTGATGTTATCTCACATACAATCAAAACAACGTCTGAGAATCCAATTACTCAGAGACCTTACAGGATACCGGAAGCTAAGAAACAGGAAGTTAAGGAGTCTTTGAATGAAATGTTAGAACAAGGACTTATTACACCATCCAAAAGTCCGTGGGCCTCACCAATTGTCCTTGTCAACAAGCCTGATGGGACAATTAGAATATGTGTTGATTATAGAAAATTGAATGAAATAACTCTCACGGATCCTTATCCCATTCCACGCATGAGTGATATATTTGAGAAAATTGGAAGTGCAAAATATTTGAGTAGATTTGATCTAACAAAAGGCTACTGGCAAGTTCCTCTGGCAAAGGAAACACGCGAGAAATCCGCCTTCATCACCCCATTTGGCCTTTTCGAGTTTACAGTGATGCCGTTTGGTATGAAGACGTCTCCAGCATCATTCATAAGACTTATGGATCGTATTTTAGATGGAACTCAAAATACTGTTGCGTACTTTGATGACATAATTGTCTACAGTCAGACGTGGGAAGACCATATCAAACATGTAACAGAGCTACTTCAGCGTATTTATGAGGCCAATCTTACCATCAGACCATCAAAATGTAAGTTGGGAGCAGCAGAAATCATCTGTTTAGGACACATAGTTGGTGGAGGGACAATTAGACCAGACCCTAGGAAATTGAAGGCCATGGAGGATTTTCCACTTCCCTTGACAAAGAAGGAATTAAGATCATTCTTGGGATTAACTGGATACTATCGCCAGTATATAGGAAGTTATGCGGACATAACTGTACCACTGACTGATCTACTGAGAAAAAGTCAACCCACAGAATTAAAATGGACGGAGAGGGAAGTGCAGTCATTCAAGAAACTGAAGGAGGCCCTGATGACAGCTCCTGTTTTGGTCAATCCGAACTTCAATTTACCGTTTGTACTACAAACAGATGCGAGTAATAACGCAATTGGAGCTGTCCTGAGCCAACAGTTGCCAGATGGTGATCACCCAGTTGCTTACCTTAGTAAGAAGTTACTACCAAGGGAAAAGAACTATTCAACGATAGAGAAGGAATTATTAGCTATCGTTTGGGCCATTGGATCGTTCTCGTATTACCTAGAGGGGAGGAAGTTTTACGTAGAAACAGATCACAATCCACTAACATGGTTGCATCGCTTGAAGAATTACAAGAATAGATATGGGTTACCCCATATCCAAAGATATTCGACTGTTAGATTTAATATGTTTAACAGTGTTTATAATGACGTTAATAAAAAAAAAAACTGCAATGTCTAATTATGGAACTGTTGTAAATATCGTGATCCCATAGCATTACGGTCACCCAGTCTCCTAACAAACAGTACACATAGGCCTACATGTACCTGTAGCCTTGGTCTACACACGTGCAATGGAGCTGTCACACGCATCCAGCGAGATCGGAGAAACACGTTTTGTTTTGCCGAGAAGTTACGGTGTCAGACAAAACTTTTCTTTTCTTAATTAGATCATATAAATACGAATTCTGATTAATAAAAATTATACAATCCCTGTTGAACTTTATATAGTTTGTTCTAACATTTGCATCTGCAACAACTTGTGTTTAAAATGGCCGGGTTGGGAAAATCAGGACCGGGTCGGAAAATTCTAAACTGAAAACATGGAAAACCTAACCTTTTTTGTTTTGAAAATAACTGAAATATACTAATATATTTGTCGCAGAAATTACTTACATTATTCAAGTTCTATATATAATGGTATGCTGAACTTCAACACGAACCCGAATCTCCAACCCATGCGGTTCTCGTTTTGCCACACATACCCTACAGTTTACGAAGTGTACACACGAGCAGGCCAGGGATTGAAAATTCCGTCATTTAATAATACACACACACAGAATGATTAATTTTTTCTTTAAGAACAAATTGTATGATAATTAACGGACTATAAACATGTACTTAATACAATTGTTGATATAGTATTATCAATTCATTGGTGAAAAGATATGAATCGAAGAATGACCTAATTATTCTCTGTTATCAAACACGTAAAAAAAAAAGGCTGAGGAGGGAGCGAGCGTAGGAATATTGATATTTTTTATTTGCATTTCGGGGGGAAAGTGACTTTCTAATGATATTTTGACGTTATTTTTGATTTCTTTAACGTATGACATACACAACTTTACTCTTATCATGAACAATAATGTTGTATCTACTTATCATGATGGAATTATTTTGGTCGGACCAATATGTGTGAGCTGCCGCTGAATACAGTTATATATCTTGCAAAGATAGTACGCATTGATCGAATATATAGAAAATCAGAGACTGTTGCGTTGGGCCCTCGCACTACAATCGTACACCTTTGAAGTTAGATACAAGAGAGGAAGCAAAAACACAAATGCAGACGGATTATCAAGAATCTGAAAAGTGAAATGTGTTTGTGAATTATGGGCAATTTTTGTGAAAATTTTATATTCATAAAATTCAAGTGCATTCAGTTTGGATTTACAGTGAAATTCATTTTGGATTTATATTATTCTATTGATAATTAATTGCTATTAACTGTTAAATACTTATTTGGACTGGCTAAAGTGAATTTAGTGACTGGTTAAATTTAATGTTGCTGTATACAGAATTATGAACTTGGAAAAAATTCAACTATTGACAGTTAAATTTTTATCTTTGGAAGGGAGGTGTTAAAGTGAAATTTAGTGTGAAATTGTTTGTATAATTAATGCTTGATTTATATTATCTTAATCTTGTTGATTTGTAGTAATTACTCTAAGCTACAGACTGCAGTGATCTGTTTATGTGATAAGGTCTTGACTGCTCATTAAGATTTGGCTGGGAAATTTAGCTCTTGTATCAGCATTGCTGACTTTTATCACCCGAGTCTCAGGGGGATTGAATGTCTGAAGTGCTGGCCATGAGAAAATGCAGAATTCATAGTGTTCACAATTAACGGGTTAATTTAGCAGTGATTGGCAGTCTGTAGGTTGGGCAGTTCTTAATATTTAGGGTAGAATTTGTGTGTTCATTTAGTTACTCAGTCGGGTCCTGTGTGTAAAGTGTTACACGGGAATACAAAATAAACTTTGTTGGAAACTTTGGGCGTTTTTATTTAAAAACAGAAAGTTTCGGTGTAACATTTACCTTCATATTAACACAACTAGCCCTTCTGAGGAGGATTCAGTATTTTTTCCTAAATATACATTCATGTCAAACAGAATACATATGGTTACACCAGCCTAAACTATGGGTGATGTGCAAATTTGAATATGTACTATTTGATGCTGTTTGTAATTTTATATGTGCAGTAAGAACCCCGAGAAAGACTTTTGACCTGAAAATCAGGTATTATAAATTATAGTTATTATAAATTATGATATAAAGTTTACATTTAAAGGTATAAAGTTTACATTTAAAGGTAGAAGACTTAAACGTACGAGATCTATAGTGTTACAGACAAACAATGACAAAGAAAAGAACGACTAGACCTAATCAGCACAGTTATGCTTAATAGAAATAGAAATGTTGCATAAACATTCCCAGTTGGTATTTATTAAATTTCAGTTTTCAATAACGGACACCGAAGTGTGAATTGTGCTAAAAGGGGGATCAGATTTTACATAATGCATGTGTACAGAGTAAGAATCGTTGAAATATAGTTCCTTTTGAAGTCATGAATATTAAGTATTAATACTAAAAATGACATCTCGATGTTATGTGGATAAGTTTTATTATGTCATAACTCCTTGGTAGTAAGTTGGGGCTACAATATGAGGCTAAAATGTATCAAGTAACGAATTACAGATGGCTTTCTCTTAAATTCCATGAAGAACAGTAGACAGAGGGTAGAATTATGAACAAAGACTCGGACTAAAGAAAAAAGGTACAATCAATTCGAACAAAAAAAAATCATGTTAAATCTTCAATTATAATATAACAAGTTAAAATAGTTTTCAATTACATATTTCATAAATTTTACATCAAAGTATTCATCAATATGACTTCTTAGTTTCACTTCTTAGTTGGTACATTTTTTAGTAGAAAGAAAATTTTAATTTATTAGATTTACATCTTTATTAAATAGGACTAACCGTTATAGAAACTACAATTTGAAATAAAAATCGAATCAGTGGAAAGCATTGAAAAATTGTAATTTATATAAACATATGGATGTTTTAATTCTTCCTTGTTTGCTGATCCCCAGATTGCAGGCGTTTTAACTTAGGAAATAAGTGCCAGCAGAATATTTTTATAATCTCCAGACGTATCACCCTAAAATGGTAGAAAGAATGCAGATTAGATGGAAAAGGACTAAAACAACCATAACACTTCGATGCAGTTCTTTACACCAAATATCACTAAAGATTTAGAAACTCTAACACATTAATACCAAATGCCTTTTATCAAAGCTTATTTTTCTGTGATTGTAGTTGAAATTATAAAAATTTGCCACAACTATATATCATTAATAATGACCTGTTGGTGGTTTTGTATTGTATTGTGATTTTACCTTGATGAAGTCCTCCAGAGTTTTGCCGTACAGCCTCTGAAACTCTTTTTTGATTTCATCCATATCTTTTTCTGACCTTGACACAATTATTCTGATCAGGTCATCATCATCAGTTCCTAACCCCTGTGTAAATTTAACATAACTACCATAAAGTTAGCGTTTTTCTAAATGAAATGGGATATAATTATACATTGTTTATTAATTGCTGATTTTTTTGTTCATAAAAAAGTTTTGCATTCAGATTCACATACCTTCATGGAATCGTAAAGCTTTTTCGCAAAAAATGCTGCTTTATTTTTGACAATCCTGACTGAAAAAAAAACCAAGTACATGTATAATTAACAGTATAACAAAGTCATTAGCATTATGCAACGTATACCAACGGCTTTATTATAATACAGAGTAGATCAACGATATTATCATTAAATATATTATAGCACAAAGTATATGGATGACGTTATTCTACCATATATCAATAATTCTAAGGTTTTTCTTAATTAAACCATTCTTCTTTGCTGAAATTGTTGTCCTTACATTATTATACATTACCTACTGCCAACATTCCCGCCTTTAAATCTCCTGACATTTCACTCTTGATAGAGTCCTCTATGTCTTTCTTCGCTATGTTGGAATACATATCGAACACAGCCCTGAGTTGTGGATAACTTTGTAGGACTAATATGGAATTAAAGACTGCCTCGTCTGTACCCCACATATTCTCTCCAGCCTCATATAATCTCTGTAATGAGATAATAATGCTTATAAAACATCTTTTTATGTAAAACATCTACTTTGATTGATTGATTGATTGATTGTATACTGTTTAACGTCTCTCTCCAGAATATTTCACTGATATGGAGACGTCACCATTGCCTGTGAAGGGCTGCAAATTTAGGCCTATCCTCGGCACTTACGGCCTTTGAGCAGGGAGGGATCTTTATCGTGCCACACCTGCTGTGACACGGGGCCTCGGTTTATACGATCTCATCCGAAGGACCGCCCCATTTAGTCGCCTTTTACGACAAGTAAGGGGGTACCGAGGACCTATTCTAACCCGGAACATCTACTTTGTGTCACCAGCAGAGTAAAACGACACATAAAGATCATTTATCTATAGTCTTTCCAACTCTCTGTCTACCAGCCTATCTGTCTGCCATATCTTGTCTATTAAGAACTGCTAGAGGTATGGGCTTAATATTTTGCACATATATAGCATGGTTCTATGGCTTTTGTACAGGATTACCAACCTCGTGAACTTTATTCGTTACCTACTTTTCAATATATTTTAACTTACTTTTGACATTTAAATGGTAATTCTATGCTGTATAGTTTGTCCTTTGATTGTCATAAGATATAAATACACTGCATGTAGCTGAGGGTAACATTGAACACGTTTACCCACACCACCCCCGAATAAAAGAAGATGATCGATTACTAGTATTCAGAGGGTAACAGTTTCTCATTTCAAAACGAATAAAATTCAAATAATTTACTTTTATCTTATATATATATAAAGGTATTATACTAATTATTATATGGCCATCTTTCAAAAAAAATGTTTACCTTCTCCTGACCGACTGGCTAAAATTACTCGACTTAATTTTTTTAAACCTATTAGAAAAAATTCATTTTTTTCTCAAGAGTTTTCTCATCTCGTCAACAAGTTTTTTGAAATTTTACTTTTAACAAAACTTCCAATTTTTTAAATCCTGAGTCAAGAAAGGGTAAACAATCTTTTAAAAATAGCCTTATATGAAGTTTTTGTTCCACATATCACCTTGGCATCAGTTTCAGCTTTTTGCAGGTCTATATTGTTGTTTTCCTGACGACCACACTTGAAAAAGAAGTTAAAAACGTTAACAGACGAATTTTGAATTTAACAAAATTAAAATGTTTTCAGATGTTTTACCAACAGAAACCTAATATAATGTAATTTCGACCAAGAACAATATACTAGTACTGGGTATAAAGAATGTAAAATATTTGTCTGAAGTTTTTCAAAACTTACAGTTAACAGGGAGACCAATAGTCTTTTAAAATCCCCCGAGGTTTCACTTTTAATGTCTTTTTCTAAGACCGTCTTGTATTCTGTAGAGATAGGGGAGAATTAATAATCTTATACTTAGGATGCAAAGTCAATGAATTGTTGATATCTTTAAACAGTTCGACATTTAATACTGGACACGATATTGTCTGTTAATGACCTTTTCTAATTATGATGCCCAAAAATAAATTAAAGCACTTGGTAGAATTTTTGAGCAATATCACAGGGTTGAACTCGCGTCTATTTTTGAAGATATGAAGTCCTTAAAGTTAGGATTCTATTGGAGAATTGTGGGATTTAAGTTCTAACAACTAACCCACCTTTCTCCCATGGAAAAAGTTATTTTCTTTCATTACTGTAAACATGTCCACCTTTCTCCCCTATTCCAATGGAATTTTGAAAAAGTGTTATTTGAGGACATTGGGGGTTATTTTCTTCCATTGGAATTTTTTTCCCCATAAATTTGCACAAATACGATAATTTCAAAGGATATAATGAGTATTTTTTCTCCCAAACATTGGTAATAAACGGGATATTTCCCATTGGATATGATGAGAAAGATATTAGTATCAATATGAGATATATCCTCTGTTAAACAATGTATGGAAAATACTCAATATCCATATCCATGGGAATTTTCCCGTTAGAGCATTTTGTAGGAGAATTATTCCAGTGGGAGAAAATATCCTAGCTGACACTTTCATCTCCCATGAGAAAAAGTTGGGATATTTGTTAGGACTAAGAATCCCACCATTCTCCCATAGGATTCTGACTTTTAGGACTTCATACCTTTAAAAACAGGCATGTTTTGGGTTCAACATGATATGTTGCTAAGATACTGCTAAGAAATCCCGCCAAGTACAATAAACATTTTTTGGAATCACAATTAGAAATGTTGGTTAAAAAGTCTGGACAATGTCGTGTCCTGAGTTAAATGTCGCATTGATTTAATTAAACTTTTAATATCAAATAAAACAAATATAGTAAACATTTAAAAAGATTCAAAATCTTAATCATTCCTCTCATTTTTATCAAATTTTCTGAAAACGCATACTTGATTCATACGCTCTGTTTATGGCGCGAAGTTCATCATTTGTACGACTGCACAAAATTTCTATTAATCTATCTTCGTCTGTACCAATGCCCTGCAGAATAGGAAAATACAAACAATTTACATTTGAATACAATTTAAGTCCAATATTTGTGCGTCGGGTATGTTCGTCATACCTTCATCGCTCGTTTAAGCTCATCAGCGTCGTATTCTGCCGGTGGTACCATCAAAGCCAGAATGACGTTTTCAAAGTTTCCTCCTAACTCGCTTTTCAATTCCTTCACAAGAGCCTAAAATCCAAAAGATAACTAGAAGAGAAGGGCTTTTGACATTATAGACTCCTTCTTTAATGACATTCGGAATGAGTTTTTCTATCTTTGATTTATCTCCTAAAAAATAACTTAATTTCGATTCGATAAAAATATACTTTGAAATTGATATGAAAGTTTCTGTCACAATATGCAGATTTTCTTCTTTGGTGACCAGTTCTAAATAACCCGCTGGAATTACTGATGACATGAATTGTGTTGTTATATTAACCGACCAAGTTTTAATTTTAAATTTTATGAAGCTAAATTTCAGTTCTTTCCAACGTTTATTTGATATATACCACTGAACTCGAAATAAAAGTGACAACAGAGTCTAAAACATCCGTATAAAGTTTAGATGTTTTAGTAGAGCAAGACCTTTGAAGCAAACTGACAAATAAATCTTATAATAATTAGCTTGATAACTTTAACATTTTATCGTCAAACTTTGGCGGCAGTTTATGAACAATTCTTATTGTGATAAAAGGATATCATAATGCCTCCAGTCAACATTCCGCATATTTTATGGTAGAATTCTGCTGTTAATTCGAATGTTCACTGGACTTTCATACGAATTGTTAAGCCATCATTTATTATCAATCATCACAAAGAGAAAAGGCCTAGGGTCTGTCCGGTCGACAAGGGATGCTTACTCCTCTATAGCACCTGATCCAACCTCTATTTTCATGTGTTGCTTACAACAAGTGAAGGTAACAAAGAAGGATCTCAAAAAACTACAAACAATTCTAATTTGCAGAACAATGTATAAACAATGTAAAAAAATCCGAAAACTAGGAAATTCCAAAGTCGGGATCAGTTGTCTAGAAAAAGTACGTGTTTCCTGTCAACCCGTCACGTGTGACGTGAGTTCTATATTTGATCAGGAAGAAGGAATAATCAGTAGTAATATTTAGCATAAAACAAAGCCCCAACAATCTGATAATAAATATATATGTCAAAATACCATCCAATGTTGTATCTACTAACGATGTCATTATAACGTCCATCGAATGTCTTTGAATAGGTTGTTGAAATTTATGTAACATTAACTCATTTGATATTAGCTCGCCTCGGTTCAGAAATCCTACTTACAGCATGTACATATATGTACATATCTTTGGTCGAATCTAAGCGTTACTTTTATTATGGAACCCTTTATTTGCTGAAGGTGGAGGAAAAGGAAAATGTTACCTTTCCGAACAAAGTGTGGTATACTTTCTTTATTTCCTGTCGTTGTGCATTAGAACGATGTCCCAGGATGTTTATTATGCTCTCCTCGTCAGTGCCTTGTTTGTTAAAAATGAATTCAGAATATTCGTTTTATACATATAGTAAATGTTTATTAATCCTAATAGAACAGTTCACAGTTTATACCTTATAAGCTCCCAAAAAATATACAGTTGTATATGTTGGTATTTTAAAAAATATATTGTACTCGTACACAAAAGTTTTCATACATTGAATTTTAAATTTTCTATCGATTTTTGTTTGTATCATTTATCAAATCATGAGAGCAACAGTACTGAATTGCTGATGTATACTTAAGCTAAGATAAAGCGGATGTATACATTTGTTTCACTCACCTAGACCTTTCATTGCCTTCTTAAGAATGTTGGCGTCGCTCTCGGCATTGAAGTTAGCGGGAACTTTCACACTTGTCTGCGAGTATGATGTTTTTAATACAGGATTTTTAAAAATTAATTTGTTAAACATTTTAAAATCTCTTTTCTAAAAACTACAATTGAAACTGGTTTTTCTTAAAAACAAATATTGTGATAATGAAGGTTTTCAGTTATTTGTGTAATTTGAACATTCTTTACTTTAAAATGGACCCTTCATGTTATAAGATTACATACAATGTCAAATCGTAAACTTACCGCCATGACTTCTTCTATCAAGTTTCTGATTTATCTAATGATCTGAAGCAGGGTGTTGACATTGATCTATCCTGTTATAACAACAGATCCTAGTTGTTCGTTATGCCATAGATATACTGTCACGTCCAATGTACATATCCTTATGGTATCATGTATGTGTACTGAAGTAAAAATCAGGATGTACTATAGGACAAGTTCATTGAGACAATAGGCCAGATATGAAAAAGAGAAGATGTTAACACTGTCAGAATGGATTCAATATATCAGATATATGTTACACTCGTGTATTGAAAGATTGAAGAGCAATATGAAAACCATGTATCCCCCTGTATTCAATAATCCATATGTGAAAATAGAATTAGATAGATTACATGATCAGTAGTTAAAGTTACTTATTAGGTCCCAACTGACAAAGCAGGTAACAACATGGTCTTCGCTTTTAAGGCACATTATTATATAAATTGTATATAAGGAGAACTTGGATTTATCTCTACAAGTGGTAATCAAACTTGTACTCATAGTTCCCTTTGTAAGGAAGAAATTCTTCAAAATCATATGTCAGTTTTAACATTTGAAAAATTGTTCAAGTCTTTTGATATTTAGAGAACAAATAAATTGCAAGTAATGAAAAAAATATGATGGCAGCACTAAACAAAGAATACCCAATGAAGTTATTATATCAAATGCTAATACAGTATTTATAACTTTCAGAATAAGTTCCCTCAAATTACAGATAAAGGTTGTAATCCAATTACTCCAAGAGATGAAAAGTATTGTATTAACTGAATACTGTTGTTGAAAAGGAACTTTTTTTTATATGTATGTCCTCCTTATAAACAATTGCGAAGTGAATATTTTATACAAAAATTAAGTTAATTTTATTTTTAAGGCATTTTTCTTCTTTCAAACAAATCTTATTATGGAAGTATTAACCAAATCATACATGTACATAGCATTAGATACATAAGCACCTTCATGTGGAATGACAAAACCCAATGGAAAATACATATACAAAGCAAATTAAACAAAAAGAGTAAAGAATAATGAAGAAAACCTTAGTTTTGAAACATGGCATTGATAGAAAATATTTGTGATGATAACCTGATTTCTAGATATTTTCATATCATTTATAGAAAACATATCGAAATAGTGATTTAATATGAATAGTTGTATGTGTGTGATTTGGCGTTGTCTCGTGATTGTGTTGGCTTTAGGAATATGTTAGACGTAGATTTTGGTTCTCAGACAATAAAGTAAGTCCACATTTGTCTCGATTTTCTTACTTGGTCACTTAATTTTAAAGGTATAAATATGATGTTGGGTACTCTAAAAGTAAATTCTCTGTCAGAAAACTCTATCGTTTGAAGAGCAGAGACAATTTTAAGCTAAACGCCAATTTTTTACTTCCCCTGTACCTTCATTATAAAGAGATTGAGACTCGATAATTATTTTACAGGAGTCATTCATTCATTTATTAGTCAGATGAGGAATTAACAAAAAAATACAGTTAATTTTGGTGACATTAACACGATGCACAGAGTTCTCAAAGGAAATTAAATTTATTTATTTGACTAAATAGTTTTTTTCTGCTCAGCCTTGTGTGTATTTTAAAGACGCAATTAATTTAATCACAATATCAAAAGAGAAAAAAAAGCATAAAGCGACGTGACAAACAAATTTATAGAAGATATATTCTTTAGATCAGTGATAAAATGTATTGTCTGTCAAGTTCATGTTTTAATTGTCAGATAACGAACCCCTTTACTGTTATTTTCTCTACTCAATGTCATTTATGCCATTTTCAAATTCATCTTATAATTCTCGAATGAGTGGTAAACAATAGTTATCTTTTCAAACAAGAATTCGTCTAATGATTAAGACTTTTGTAATTTTATTATGACAATATGAACAGCCAAACACTTTTAAGTAAAAAATGGCGAATACGAACAAAAATGATACTCAAAACTTCACTGAAACAATACAAATCGGGACAGAGCAAACGGGTCTACAAAAACGTTAGAGGTGGGATCAGATGCTCGGAATGACTAAGCATCTCCTGTCAACCATTTACAATCGCCGTGTGCTCCTTGTCATGATCTGTCGAAAGCAAAAATCTATAGACAATTCAGTTTGAAAATAGTGGTCTACCAATTATATGTAAGTAGTATTAAAATACATCAATTAGCAATCGATCTAGTGATAGATTCTTTTTACTGACATGGTCAATGTATTGACCCTAAACCTTGCGAATTGTGATTTTATTCTATATGACCGTGTTAAAACCTTGCCCCGTTTTAGATATTCTTCATGAAGGATATGGAGATAACGAACAGCATTCAATATCAAAGTCCATAAAACAATACAAAATAGGAGCAGAACAAACACAGACCTTCAAAACCTCTGAGGTGTGATCAGGTGCCATGTAGGAGTGAGCATCCCCTGCCGACCGGTCTCACCCGCCGTGGGAAATAACGGAAAAATCCGTCGTCAATTCAGTGTATAAATAATGGACTAACAATTTAGTATGAAAAACATTAGTCAGCATTTGACTCAGTGATAAATTGTATTTGCTTAAAAAAGTAAACATTTTTGCGTGTTAACTGGAAACCGGTTGATGAAGATTTATTTTGGAAAATCAAATTGACATTAGAAAAGTTGACATCACTTTTGTCTTAAAGTTTTGTTGTGATTTTGCCATTTATGTCTCTTTCAAATATGAAAAAAATGTGACACATACTGTGGTATCTTTTATTTCGAACTCAAAGGATATCTCGAATCAACATAAAAATGAAACAATACCGGTTTTGTTAATTATTAAATCTAACCGTCGAATCGATAAAACTTTTACAAACTAAACACTCGTATGAACAGGCAATATAGAGTCAATAGCAAACTAAACAGACTAGATACAGATATTACTTCAAAAAGATCTCAATTACTTTTCAACGTATATGAAATGTTTTCAACTCTTTCTTCTCCATATTTCAGAACAGGGTCTAATCTGTGCAGAAAGAAGTGATAGTCTTAAAGGCAAGTTGAACAAAGAATCGAGAAACAGTAAATTAATCTTATTTGTATGAAGCCCACACTTCAACTTTCATAGGAACAACTTATATTGTCTACATTTATATAAAAATTCCGAAGTTTATTTATTTACTTGTTTAATTGTGCAAAATGAATCTTTAGCCAAAGGATTACTTATCTATTATCAATCCCCGTACTCCGTAAATGTAACGCAAGTCTTAATATAAAATTAAATCCCCCGTTGTAAAATTCAATGCTTCTCGCGAAAGTCCAGTAGGAGACCTTGCAAGTACGTCATTGCTGGTAAATCTGATGAGTCATACTTTTCAGATACATGTTTTATGATAGTATGCTTTCTTTCATTATTTGGAATCAGAATTTTTTTTCTCTGAAAACCGTTTATTTGTCTTGACAATTTTACCTGTTGATGTCAACCTTACATTATTTCAAATATATTTAAAGGGCAATGGGATATCATTCAGCAAAAGGTATTCCAACTAATACCCATAGCTCTATTTCCAAGATCAATTTCTCGAAAATCATACTTCACGCAAAGCAATTAAAATGAACTTGAGTTATCATACCTAAAGTCGACTGTTTCTAAAAATCCTAAGAAAGATGCATGGACATAAAAGATTCCAGAAAATTTTCTACAAAGCTTCTTTCATTTCTCCTTTCTAAAATATTAATAAAACAAAGGAGAAACTTTGTGAGTACCGTACAAGAGTTAATTCACAAAGTGATTTTATCAGAAATGGAAGCTTAAAATCCTAAAAACTTTTAGTAATTTGAAATCAGTATATTTTATCAATATCAATACCATCAAGACGCAGGACCATTCCACATGATAAATTAAAACACAGGTTCTTTTTTACATCATGGACATCTACTTTTTTAAAAATGAAAATGGAACTTGTAAATTTGCTTGCTTTGTTAATGATCATTTGAATTATTTTATTGTTTTAAAACATTCTAATTGTACATTCAAGTGAAGGATATGGAGATAACAAACAGTATATATTCAATATCAAAGTCCATAAAACAATACAAAAAAGGAGCAGAGGAAACACGGACCTCCAAAACATCAGAGGTTTTTGCATTATTGGTGACTACTTTTCATCACACAGTTTCATTATGAGAAGCTGGAAAACAAGGGCTTTCGACACACTGCTTTAACACTTCATTATATAGCTGCTGTAAAATATGATAAGAATCCCAAAGAAATATTCACTTACATATGTGAAAACAGCAAATTTATCATTGTTGTTGTTTGATTGACATTGATACACATAGCAAATTTTGGGGTTAGTTTATTCTGTTTTAAAAGAAACATTTTACAGTAAAAGAAAGCTTAGTACTCAATTATTCAATGGCCACCCTATGTTTAGAAAAGGAGTGAAAACGACAGCGTGTAAGAACATCTTCACAATTGTTTTTAAAAATCAGAAATTGTTGTTATCCACGTTTGTCTGAAATTCAAACAGACAATGAAACTTAAATCCATTTCTTTAAATCCTCAAAACAAATTAACAATAAGATGCAATTGACAAAAACAGCAAAGGTTATTATTAATCTCTTTTAATTGCAACACATGCACAAAAACAGTTTTATATTCCAATTTCTTTATTATTAGTGGTCTTTTTGTTCAAATTCTTATTCTGGAAAATGGCAGTTCAATTTTCCAGACTTGTTTCTTGCATATCAAATGTTTTTTTTTCAAAAATGAAAGGAATACCAGTGTGAAGGTCAAAGATCTCAGAAATCCACTAAAAATTTTTAATGACAGCATCCAAAACCTTTACTCCCTGAAGAGTAAAGGAGTTTGGACGGTCATGAAAAATTTAAGTTAATTTTTTGTCAAACCAACAATATTCACCAGATCTTTTACCTTTTGACTTGTTTCGTTTTCCAAACTTGAAAAAAATACCTTTAAGAAAGAAGAAACAAGTCCAGGTAATCAAAGGGTCTGTCATATTCCAGTATACGAAGGGTCATACTCACAAATGTGTTCTAAACACAATCACAAATTGGATAAAAATGGTACGGACATGTATTTTAATTATAAATTTTGTAAAATCATTAAGGATTAAATCAGCAAAGCGTTTTTTTTTTTTTGTTTCTGTTTGAATATCCAAAAAATTATTCATTGAACAGCGTTCAATATATGGTATTTTAAAATAATTGTTAAACCAACACGCTGTCGTTTTCACTCATATTTCAAAAACAGCAGTGAAGGAGAAACTTTTTTGTATCTGCAAAATATATTCTTAAAAACAGTACTCCAATGAACTTTTGGATCAAATTTGAAATCATTTTACCCAAATCAACAATTATCAAAACTTTTTTTCAACTTTAAACATGACCATGTGTTATATTTTTTTGTTGGCATAAAAGTCGTTGACAGCTGCTTTTTCAATGAAAATGGAACTCGTAAATTATTACAGATATAGAACTGTTTCCATATTCACACGCACAAAAAAAACCATAAGTCTTTATACTAATATACAAATAAACAATTTCCTGTTTACTTGACCCTTATATGATGAATATCGTCAAAATATAGGAGTCCAAGACGAGGAAAAGCAAACATTCCTCGTCAAAACATCAAATTAAGCATTCACAATTTGTTTTGTTTTTTATTTAAAATACTATAACAATAAACATTGCTAAATCAAAGTTAATAAAGCAGAACATTTAACAGAAATCAAGTTCTAAGAGAAATACATGCATTCAATAAAGTTATAATGTATGTATCTTTGGTTATAATTATGCAAATTGATTAAGAACGTTGTAAAAAGTCCTCGATACCATGTTAGTTAAACTAAAGAACACAATGGCAAGAACAGTCTAGTTACTTCCTATTACGTGACCTTATTTCACAAGCTGCAATAGCACTTTTCTGTAGTCTCCCGAAGTATCATCCTATCAAAAAATAAATGAAATCAAATTTAATAAATATTTGCCTCATTTGTTTGCAGGCAGGAAGCTTCTGTTTTCTAAAGCTTAATTACAATTTCTACTTTTTTCTTAAACACAGATATTTTACGGAGTTTGCTTCGCAGATTTGCTTATTTTTTTTATCCAGTTGTTAAAAAATTGGTGAATAAATAAAAAGAACATACTTTGATAAATTCCGAGAGTGACTTTTTAAACATCTTGTGAAATTCTTGTTTGATTTGTTCCAAGTCCACCTCTGATCTCGAAACAACGACTCTAATAAGAGTCTTATCGTCAGTCCCGGCACCCTGTAGGCAAAGTAAACATGTCTTATAAATATACATTTTTAAGACACCATATATTTTACTCTATTACTACTGTATATAGTGATATTTTCGTCCTCGTTTATTTCCGTCCTGTCATACTCGACCCCAGAGGGAGATCACAAGAGAATCTTCAATAAGAGTGGCCCCGTGGGGATCCGGGTTAGAACTTCTTTCGTAAAAGGCGACTAATTGAAATATGAGGCCCCGTGTCACAGCAGGTGTGATATACTAGTACCTATAAAGGCCGTAAGTGCTGAATAGGCCTATTTTATTCACCGGCAATTACCTTTCCATATCAGTGAAATATTCTGGAGAGGGACGTTAAACAGTATACAATCAATCAATCAATAAAAGTGTTTGAAATATGGCAATACTATTTGGATATACTAGTACCTATATGTACAATAATATTATTATTCAAAATTATCCTTTCCTTTCAGTTTATGATTCGATAAGCGATTCTTACTTTCATAAAAAACCTGTCAAATTATATATTCCTTAATATATATAAGTATATATTTCTTCAAAACAATATTCTATTCATATTAAAATTTAATACATTTTATAAAACTCCTAAAGTATCATGCTAAGGTTACCTATGGCAAGCATTCCGGTTTCTAGGTTACACGACATTTCGCTCTTAATGCTTTGTTCGATATCCTTCCCACTCAGCGCTTTGTATTTCTCGAACACAGCCCTCAGCTGGGGAAAGCTTTGGGAGACCAGGAGGGAGTTAAAAACCGACTCGTCCGTACCCAGCTTCTTCTCCCCAGCTTCATGCAGTCTCTGCAAAAAAAAAAAATACAAAATTTCCCCTAAAACAAATATTATTTGTCAACTTAGCGTCATTTTCTGTGTTTCGCAAAATCTTTTATATACGAGGCTTGTTCAATAAATAAGGTCCTCGGTTCTCGGTAAGAAGCAAAAGACGCTTTTCAATGATTTAGTTTTAATGATTTAACTTAAATATTCTCTTTCAATTAAAACACATGTCCGTAACATTTTAAACCAAATTCTGATTGTTTTTTGAACTCATTTTTAGTATTCCCCTTCGTATAGTGGAATATGGCAGATCCTTTGATTTCCTGGACTTGTTTCTTCTTTCTGAGAGGTGATTTTATTAATTTGGAGAATGAATCAAGTCAAAGGATGACAGAACTGGCGAATATTGTTGGTTTGACAAAACATTAACAATCTGTTTATCCATAAACACCTTTACTCTTCAAGGTGTGTGGGTTTGGACACTGTCATGAAGAAATTTAATGTAGTGGATTCCTGATTCTGGTTCATTCCTCTCAAAAACCTTTCGATTTTTTTGCAAAAAATTTGCTTTCTAGACTCCTCCAGAAATTGAACTGCCTCCCCAAATAAGAATTTGAACACTAATATTTAAGAAAATGGCATATAAAACTGTCTTTGTCGACTTGCAATTCTTTGCTCTTTTCAGACCTGTTTTTGTCAAGTGCATCTTTTTCTTAAGTTGTTTATGGGTTTAAAGAAATGGATTCACGTTTCTTTATCTGTTTGAATTTCAGACAAACTTGGATAACTACAATTCCTGATTTTCTAAAATAATTGTTTAAATTTTCTTACATGCTGTCATTTTCACTCATTTTCAAAACATAGGGTGACCATTGAGTACTGTTCTTATTTACGGACAAATGTTTCTTTAAAACAGTGTGAACTATCCCAATATTGATGCCTATCAAATTTGCTACGTGTCTTAAAGTCAATTAAACATCATGAGTGATTTGTTGAAATTTGGCAAATAGAACATTGGTTGCTGTAACTCCTCTTCGCCAAGAACGGTACCCATTTTTGATGCCCATTATATCAATATTGTTCACTGAAATCCACCTGTTCATGTGTCTATAAAACAGACATTGGTTATTGAAAATTTTACAAATTTCCGTGAATCTTTCTATGGGATTCTTAACAAGTTTTACAGCAGCTTTGATGAAGCGTTTAATTCCACTCTAGTTTACTGATTCTTTACCATTCATTTTTAATGCAGTGTCTCGAATAGCCCATGTTTTCCAGTTTCTCACAATGAAAATATGAGATGATAAGTGGTCATATAAGCTGATATCGATTTATTAAAGATTCAAGTATGAGAAAGTCAAGCTTATTGTCATATGATATCTGTGTTGTTTGTCATAGAGGTCAGGACATTATTTATTGGACAGTCTCATAGATAATTTTAAAAAAAAAAAAATGTTGATATTTTCAAATTCATTTTTTATCTGTTTAATTCGTCTTTAATATAGTATTTTTCCTTTCATTTCTGAATTGATCGTTTTCTGTTAGCAGTTAAATACAGTTTCAAAACACTCAGTATAAAAATTTTTTAAAAAAAATCCATAAAATCTGTATGTCCCCGTAAAAGTTAAAGATTACTTCACCTTAGCATCTTGTTCTGCCTTGCCCAAGTCGACTTGTTGATCTTCCATTCGTCCCGCCTAAATCAATACATAAGACAGTAAAATTGAAAATCGTAATTGATTCTTATTTCAAAAGGATAAAAATTGTATTTAGCTTTTATGAAGAGGGTTTCAACAATACACACATCCACAGTGGTATAACATCTCCATAAGATTAAAAATGACCCTACTGACATAACAATAAAGAACTTTACGAAGTACTAACACCAGCCAAAAAGAACTTGTTCAATATCAACAGTATAAAAAAATTGAGCATGAAGACCACGAGATTATATAAATAAAACACACTGGCAAAGGAAGCTTAATATATATATTATAAAATTGAACACAATTGCATTTGTGCTTACACTTGACAAATAGATCATTAGTCTCGATACTTGTAATTAGAAGCTTTTTGTACTCACATTGACCAGAGAGACCCCGAATCGCAAAACTGAAGACATAGAACTCGCCAGAGCGACCATAAGTCATGTTTTAACAGATATAGAACTTTTTCCATATTCACACCGGTTAGAAATACCATAAGTATTAAACAAACGTACTCACTTTACCATAAGCAGTATAGAACTGTTTTGTACTCACTTGGCCAGACCGAACCTTGGTCGACATAAATGAATATTTTCAACGCTGACCACATAGACCATATGTCTTTTGAAATGACCCATTAAACTTACCAATTCTAACATTGAAAAGTGTGTTTTTGTGTACTCTTGCTGACCGTAAGTCAATATGTAGAACTATCTTAATGCTTACAATAGCCTGGAAGACCATCGTCGACACACAGAATTGTTAAGGAGACCAAATATTTGTATATAGACCTGTTTTGTATTCATCTGACAAGAGAGAAGAAAATTCGATAGATAGAACTGTTCTAAGATTCACAGTGACCAGAAAGAAAATAAATCGATAAAAATAGCTGTTGTCGTACTCCCACTGACCAGAAGACAAGCAGTGATAAAAATGATTGTTTTCAGACTCGTTCAGGGAGAGAGACAGACTCATAGTGTCTTTGGAAGTGACACGATGACTCTACCAATACTAACATCGTAAACTGTTTGGTACTCACACTGGCCAGGGACACCATAAGTCTTTTAAAATGACCGGAAGTGTCGCTCTCTATGTCCTTCTCTAAGGTGTTCTTGAACACTAAATCATAAAAGAATGATTGTTTTCAATGAAATATGTAAAAATTAAAATACATAATTATCCTTACTCAGCGATTGTTTATACGTGACACACAGGCATGTATTATCGTATTTATAAACAGAGAAGGAAAGAAAACATTGTTTAGAAAACTGTTATTACTACAACACTGTAAGTACTTATATATCCTTGATTTATTCAAGGGTACATCAAAACAAACAAGCATTTGTGTGTATAAGGAAAGATTTGTTTACTTACAAACCCCTAGTCTGTTTTAGAAAACAGAAACCACAATAAGGTGACTAAAAAAGCGAGTGTTCGGTAAAAAATCTTATGTCAAAAAATATTTATGAGCCAGTTAAAAGAACAAAGAAAAGGTTGAGGTTAAATTAAAAACCTACGTATAGTAAAAATTGATGTTATTACATTTTTTGTATGTTTCGTTAATAGCTCTGATCTGGGCATTATTGCGGCTGGCTAGGATTTCTATCATAGCGTCTTCGTCCGTCCCCACGCCCTGTGTATAGAGAATTATCAAACAGTTCAAACACAGTGAATATTTTATATAAAAATTTTATATTCACAACAATAAGATTTCAAAAATAAACCATTAATGATAAGAAGAACCTTCATAGCTCTTTTGAGTTCTGACGCGTCATACTCCACTGGCGTCATCATCAGACCCACGATGACGTCTTCAAATTTCCCGCTCAACTCGCTCTTCAACTCCTTCACAAGATCCTAAATCAAAACAGAATATTCTAAGATAAAGGAATTTTACAGGTTTTTTAATGCCCCCGTACACGAAGTTTCGAGGGTATATAGTTTTTGTCGTGTCCGTCTGTCTGTCTCTCTGTTTGTCTGTTTGTCCGCAAAAACTTTAACCTTGCCCATAACTTTTGATTCAGTGGAGCTATGACTTGCATATTTCACATGTGTATTCCTTGTGACAAGACCTTTCTTTGGGTACCACCAAATTTGACCTTGACCTTGACCTTAGAGTTTGACCAACTTTTACACAAAAATTCCAAATTTTTACTTTTGCCACAACTTTTGAACAGTAGATACCAGGACATTTATACTTCACATATGTATTTGTGTGGCAAGACCTTTAATTGGATACCACCAACCTTGACCTTCTGACCTTGATCTTGAAGATTTATGTACTTATGAAAATTTTTTAGTCTGGCCATAACTTTGGAACAGATGGTGATAGGGCTTTCATGTTTCACAATTGTATTTCCAGTTAGGAGACCCTACTTTGGGTACCAATATATTAAATTTGCATTTAAAAGTTTAATATTCACTATGTTGCCATACGGGGGCATCAGTGTTTCACAAACACTTCTTGTTTGTTAGTGGTTTGCGACAGGATGTTATTAAATTTGTCTACACAAGTAATTGAAAACGAATGTTTAAAGTAAAACATCATAATCGTTAAAAAAGGCCAGGAAAACGTCAGATATTTTGGACTAGGATTTCGTCTGAATTACATTAGATCCTTAATATGACTTTGCCCTTATTTTCGCTAGCTCCTTTTCTTGGAACGTTATCTAATGTAAAATACACTTCAGCTAAACATTGCTTTCTGAGAAAAATATCAAATTACGGATATCTTGGACTTAATCTATAGCATTTGACACGTAATCCGCATTCCATGAGAAACCCCTTTATGCAGTGACACGTTGCATTTTAACAATAGCATAAGGGTTGTTATTCAACTTATAGAAACGAAATTAACGATTGCAATAATGAGGCGCAGTCTTTTGAAATTGACAATGGTTGTCGAGGGCGGATACATTTACCCTCAACTATATGCAAAATTTGTAATACAAACACAGACACTTGTTTCTTTTACGGGGCATCTCTACTTATTTTAAGTAGGGATGTCCCGTTTACGAAACAAGTGCCTGTGAATATAATATTGAGATGTTTGATGCAAATACCTATACCTATAACGGAGAACCACGTATATAAGCAATTATAAATTTGCAAAGTCAACCCCCTGTTAACGTCATGCAATGTTGGTTCTTGCTATTTTTTATCACGCTGGGGGGGGGGGGGGTTATTATTCAGATGTTTTAAATATATAGTATTTTATCAATTTTTCTCGACAATTCAGTGTATATAAGTTAAAATGATGAAGAGAAGAATGGCTTACGTACAGACACCATAGTAGCTCATAATTTAAAGCGACTGCGTTTTCTCTGCTGAATAGTGTTTTTGACGAATAAAGATATAAATATTTATTTTTCGGGGGGAGGGGATTCCTGGATAAAAATAGTAATAAATTCATCACACTGAATGACATAAATTTGAAAAAATTAAGTACACGGCTTAGTATTTCGTTGACTTATTTAAGACTACAACAGAATGTTCATATGTTGATTTATGAAAAGAATTTATTCGTAAATTATTTGTACCTTGCCGAACATGGTTTTAAACATAGCCTTTATTTCCTGTCGTTGTTCATTGTTTCGTGACGTCAAGATATCAATAATGCTCTTCTCGTCTGTGCCTTCAAAATAAACCAGTGTGTATGAGGGTTTTAAAAAATGGTCAGGAAATTTACGTGTTTTGTTAAGATAAGACAGCAAATTTCCTCGAATTTTAAAAAAAGTTTATCTAGACACAAGACTAAAAATAGACGTCACAACTGACAGACTGGGCATTTAATTAATTCACTTTGTACATTCGTCTGTCGCTCTCATTCTCGTTTTACATGCACACAGGGTTTTTTTTTTCTCTGTGTAGTTAACCTTGAATATTTAGGCGTATACTAAGTAAATATTTTGCATTTCTAAAATTAGGTATAGTCGATGTTTACTGCGTGTTTTATCAGAGATCCTTTAATATGAATTGTACTTATGAATAAATCCACTTACCAAGTCCTTTCATGGCCTTTCGGAGGGCATTGGCATCATTTTCTGCATTAAAGTTTGCGGCTGGTTTTACTGTACCCTGGGTGAAAATAATGCAATTTAAATAAACAACAGCATATGACATGTAAACATGCTGTACTTAGATTATATACACTGTATTTGTAGTAACGATTAATCGTGTACTTTAGGCGTGTACAGTAATAAACAGATGACTTACCTCCATCTTCCTCGGTTTGTACTAGTGTGAGTACCTCTAAACTGTGTCGTTATTATAACTACCGGCGACTCGCCTTCTTCCGCCGATACACACGGGAGATTTAATCCAGCTTATCGATTCAATATGCACGCTATTTCCTCATACCTAACGATCATTGCGCAGGTCTGCTCTAAAGTTTCATCTATATTTCGAAACTTTTTAATTTTTTTTTACGTCAATGAAAACGAAAGGCATATGAGTCAGTTGTAATAGCATCATATATATGTCATAATTGTGCATGGAAATGTGAAATTGAAATTTACGTATACTTAAATGGGTTTTAAATCAGCGACGCAAATACTATTTAAATTAACAGACTGGTGAAATTATAACTTATTTATAAGCAGCTTCTAAAAAAAATTATCTATAAATTTGCAGTTGCTTTATGTATTGTTCTTTATAGGGAGGGTCTGTATTACTCAGTGTGACTATGCAAAACAGTACCGTGAACTCTGAAGTATAGGAAGTACACTGATTCAAAGTCCCAAACAGTTAAAGATAAACTCTTCAAAAGGTCAAGTGGATTCTTCTTGAACATTTCGTTTAAAACGCATGACAATGAAAATTATTAAGAGATTTTTACCCCAAACCCAAATTTTACATTTTCTCGGAAAAAGCAATGTTTATTGTTGGTGTATTTTACATATAGGTATTTACATCCTCACAGTTTTAAGAGTTCAGAGTAGAAAAACGGCATTTATTTTCATTGAAAATAGTTAAAATTGACTAAAATTAGCAAAAAAATGTATAGGTTGACATATTTCTTAAAGAAGTAAGAGAAGTTATCTCTGATTCTCAGCATTAAAAATTGTTCATTAGGCTATAAGTATTTACAGTATAATAAACGTTAGGCAAAAACTGGTGAAAATACATAACTCTGATGCTTACAGTTGCAAAAAAATTGCTACTTTATAAAATACTAGAATTGTGAATATCTGGGTTAGCATTTTATATAATATGTATAATAAAAGGAATGTCTGAATATATGGCCTTTGGCAACATTTTTAAAGATTGAATACTAGTAATTGATTAAATAAAGAAAATATACATTTTTATAATTTTTTTACTTAACAGTTATTTGCATTGCATCTATTGAAAAGCATTCACATAAAGGATATTTTTCTATATATAAACGATCTTTGCAAAAACCAATGACATCACAGGAGAGTGGAAATGTCTTAACGTTCAAATAAAAACTAGATAGCGAAAATAAGGACAAATTCATACTTATGTATTTCAGACGTAACGCTTTTAAATTTCGTTTTCAATTACTGTTATTGGCAAAAAAAATCAAATGTTCTAGAAGACCTTGCATGGCCGTAGAAATCGGAGTCCCGCCCCCATTATTTTGCCGATATGTAGATTACCAAAAGAAAACATAGCTATACTAAATACTTGTGCCCAGTGAAAAGCCTATATAATGCCAGGCTTTTTTTAAAATATATTTTTTGCTTGTCGAGGAATTAGAGCCCTCTATTGATATGTATGGCTGTATCCCCTTCCTCAACTGAAATTGCTTCCAAAAGGGCTTATCATGTCTTGACTTGTGTTAATTAGAATGAATTGTACTATCACATTTTCATTTTTACAAAACATACAAGTACTAGTATGTCCATGTATACAAATTATATTTACCATTTCTACATTTATCAATTTCGAAATAACTTATTAATAAATTGTTCCGGTGATGCAGAACTCCAGGCGTCTCTGACGAGAACCGTTGCACTACATTATGTATCTTAGTGTGGTCCACTTGTGTGCCAAGTTATATTTAAGTCAGACCAAAACTGTAGGAGGAGTAACATTTAAAGGAATTTCACAGAAATTTTTTTTTTTAGTAACCATGGCAACACCATTCATCGAATTCAAAAACTGATGCACTAAATTATGTATCCTAGTGTAGTCTACTTTTGTGCCAAGTTATATTGAAATCAGACTAAAACTGTAGGAGGACTAACATTTTGAAAAATTGTTTACAGACAGACAGATGGACATCTAGATGGATGGAAACAGACACCTTCATATCACATAAGCTGACCAGTAGAGCTAAAAACAAGATGCACATGTCTCAGATGAGCATTGTAGCCTACAGGCCTATTATTTTCTGATCTTGTCATGTTTCTTTTCCTTCTTTTTGTCATTTACTGGTACAAATTTGTTCTCTGTGTTGTTTGACAGAATGAGAACATTAGCTTCCTTGTGCCTCCCTATTTGCTGGGTAGGACTGACCAAAATTAAATACCATATAGAAAACAAAGTCCAGTCATGATGACTATTTTAATAGAACACATGTAATAAAGTGCCACGCCACAGCATGATACGCCCGTCAAAAAATTACAATTACAATGTATCTTAAACAGTTAAAAGTGCAGGAAAATCATGTCAACCTTGATTTTAAGATTTCAATGATTTTTACACACCTTAAAAAATTTGTTTATCCATCTCCTGTGTTGTAGGCATTAATCATAACAAATATTGCATCATTCATAGATTTCTATACTGGTTGTGTTAGACCTTGCCAAATGCCTATCATATTAATTAAACAATATCAAATTAGTCTTCACAATACCTATACCTAATTAATTTTGAAAATAAAAGGCTGGCCATCAAATATAAACTGACCAACAGTTCTTCTGTATAATTCCCGAAGGAGACAGATAAAGACCATGCTCTGAAGAAATGAAAGAGACATGCAGCTACTGCCTTCATACATTGAACACATTAATTAATCTTTAACTGGATGCTTGTCTACTCATTACTCCCAAAAGATTATTGGATCTGCACTATCTACCATTAAACATTTTAAAACATATAAAACATCAATGATTTTTTTTTTAATTTAATGTCAGACAGTTTTTGATATGCAATTCATATGGACATGCTGATTCCACCCCACCCCCATAAATTTAGTTTTTAAGTTCATAATAAATTAATATTATGTAATATCAAAATAGTTTAATATGCAATATCAAATTAGTTTTAATTACTTCTCATAGAATTCATTTTAAAACTTAGGCTAGCCAACAAGAGCTATTTTCAATCCAACAGGCTTACCCATTTGGCCCAATACTCAAGGGATATAGATAGCACCGATGCTCTTACAGCTACTCCTCACACTAAACTCATTAATTTCCCTCTCTAATTTGAGGTGCAATTTTCTGTTATCAAAATTCTTCTTGACCAGTGCATGATAATTAGACTCATGGGAGTGGTGGAATTTCTCTAACACATATTATATTTGTTATAGATTGCTGTCAAGTATATGCTAAAAAAAATAAGTATTTTCTTGATTTAACATTTTTCTAATAAGGATAGTGCAATACTTTTACATTTTTTTGAATGTGTAAATGAATAGAAAAAAAAAAATTTTTTTTTTTAAATTTCACTTAAATTAAAGGTCACAGTGACCTTGAAATAGGTCGCGACACACCTTCTATCTAAGATGCATAAACTGGCCAAGTTTAATGATTCTAAGTCTAATAGTTTTCTAGTTATGGACCGGACAGGATTTTTCCATATTTGGCTATAACTTTTTAATTACAGGTCAGAGCGACCTACTTTTTGTGCGCGACACACCTTCTACCCAAGATGTCTCAGCTGACAAAGTTTGATAACTCTAGGCCTCCGAACACATAAGATAATTTGACTAGGAAGTAATATAGTATTAAAGTTATGAGCCGGACACGAGAAAAGCTAACAGACGGACGGACGGACAGACGGACAGACAGACGGACACGAAGCCTATAACATAATACGTCCCGTCTTAAGACGGGCGTATAAAAAGAATTGTAAAGGCAAGTTTGTAAATATATCAAGAATATAATACAATAGAATTAACAGTTGTTGACTTTATTAACAAATAACAATGGATTATTTAATATATTTGTGAATAACACTTTTGAAGTACTTTGTTTTATATAAAGACATGAAAACATCCTATCTGTATAGACAATCCTTACTTGCTAACAATAAACTTTAATGTAAAATACTCCCTTACTGATCGATAGCTCTGTGTTTCGTGACATTTTGCATTCTCAGCAAGCTTTGACATGAACCAAATTATTATGCATTCAGCTTCCTCAACCAAGGACTGTCAGGAAGTCCTGTTTTTATTAATGGACAACTGGAGATACAAATAAGAAGTAACAACCAGAGGTTACAATGACTACAGGAATCAAAGCTTAAATATAATTATATACAGGAAAAAATATTATTTATTATTATAATATATAATTTGTAATTATAACCTGAAAAAATATTTAATAACCTTCCTTTGACTACAGTCAACAGTAAAGCTAATAATAAATGATATATGAAAGTACCCACTCACAAACTTAAAAAATTGACTTATATATTAGATGACTTAAATACATATTAGAAACTTAACTGAAAATCATTCAACCACTGTCTACAAAATTATTTCTTCTACATGCAGTCCTATATTTCTTAAACTAAAATGGGGATTATCATGATATGTAGTTTATCAAATAAGTCTAAAATGAGACTGACTGAAAAAATTTTTTTTAGCTTTCACACTAGTAATTCTGACATGCCCTGATAATCAGAAGCCATGACATGCTTCTTTACGGACAATTTTGAAGGCATTTTTATTTTTTGCATTACTCTCGCATACACGAGTTAAAAGAGGTTATTGTGTTGATTAAAGTTTTAAAATGTAATTATATTCATAAGCCTGACAAATACACATGCTGGATGCCTGTTATGTTATTATGTGGTTACAGAGAGATCTTAAAGAATTAATTTTAAAAAAATGGATTTAAACAAAACAATTTCATGTTTATATCCAATAAATATTACCGGTACATGTCAGAAGCAATCTGATTAAAATTAAATGTTAGATCGGCTCACATACTCGCTTCACACATTAGTCAATAGTGTAGTAAGTATGCAAGTGGATCTAACAGATTGTATATGAAATAATAGCTATACAATGATTAATTTAATCAAAGCAGAAAACATTTACAGATAACAAAGACACACAAACACTTATAACTAAGTCCTTAGCATTACAGGGTAAATATAATGTATTTAGGTTATTGCTAATTCTGGTAATTAGTCTGACCACCTTAGTAGCCTCCTTGGGAGACTAATGCCAGCAATACCTTCCTGTAGTCACCTGATGTGTCATCCTGAAATAGAAAATCAAAGGCCTGAAATGACTCACAACAACAAAGGTGACTCAGGTGAGCTATGCAGTCCTTAGGACTCTTGTTTAACATAACATTATGCATCAACAAAGGGCAATGTTTCATATAATGTAAGCCACAGTCATATAGCCATGTAGCCCTATATGCCACTGAATTTTAAATTCAATGTTGTATATATTGTATATATGAGCATTGTTTATAAAATTGAAAGATATTAAAAGGTTCTGCTTAACATTTCAGCTTCCTGCTCCAATACAGAAAGCAGACAGTAATGTAGTAAGATAATTTGACTAGGAGAGTTTTATTGGTGGAATAGAGCATCAAATAAAAATAAATTTTGCAATGGTAATTGATCTGCTCATTTAATTAGCAGAAAATTCCATTTAAAAAATAATAAATTAAAAAAAAACTTGCAATAAGTCTTTAATTCTCTGTTTTACTTAAGTTTGTTTAAATTTTCTCTGCACCACCTCTTAGGTTTTTGAATTTTTGTATGAAAATAAATGCAAAATTAATTTCAAACTGCCTTATTGAAAAATTAAACCTAGCAAATGACAAAATGCCAGGTGTAAAAATAAAATCACTCTTCTGTTACTGTCTTTCTCATATTACCAACAGACAGGCAGAGTAATTGTAACATTTAAACAAAATGCATGATTGTAAACTTACCCTTATGAAGCCATCTAGTGTTTTACCGAACTGTTTTTGGAACTCCTGTTTAATTTGAACCATGTCCACCTCGGCCCTTGTTATGATAATTCTAATGAGAGTTTTGTCATCTGTTCCCATTCCCTACAAGATAAACCAGATTTCCCATACCTCATTAAAATATTGACAATGGTGAATAAAACACAGTTGGAATGCATCATAGATTTGATAAAAATCAAAGATAGAAGAGGGAACATTTCTTAGTTTAAACAACAAGAAAAACAGAAAAAAACTAAAGGTTTACCTTCATAGAATGATAAAGTTTCCTGGCAAAATATCCTGGTCTGTTCTGTACAATTCTTACTGGAAAAAAAATAAGTCAACTTTAACTGTGGTGTCTGGAACTCAACTAAAACTTAAATCCACTACATGTATTAGTACATACTGTAGCTTAATATCATTTAAATAGTGTGGCCTTGCTCTATGTGACACACTGTATGTGATAAATGTACCTAATATGAATGGTAGTCACTTAATAATGTCAAAGTTTTAGACACTTCTATACCTATCAACTGCCTTTTAAAGAAGTGGCTACCTACCAACAGCTTCTACTCTATACCCAAGTAACCTGATTGTCTTAGAACATGAGTACTTACCAATAGCTACCATGCCTATCTCCAGGTTTCCTGACATTTCACTCTTGATGGCCTGTTCTATATCCTTCCCAGAAATCTTGTGATAGGCATCAAACACGGCTCTTAATTGTTCATACCCCTGGGATGCTAACAGTGAATTAAATGTGGACTCATCTGTTCCCAGTCTCTTCTCTCCAGCAGAGTATAGTCTCTGAAATGTCATAATTAGATTCAGAAGAGATGCTTTCTTTTAGATTTATACTGTACACCATTATTTGCATGCAAGACAACTCTGCCAGTTTTGCCATCTACTTTTACTTGCAAATATTACATGTAATTGCTGCAAACAATTTATTTCGCTTTGTATTGGTAAAAAATGGCTCCTCAGTCTGGAAAATTTAACCACGCTGATTGATTTGCAAACTGACGAATCACAAATAAAGACATTACCAATAATAGTTGGTTTACAGTATTTATAACAAATATAATACATTCCTATTTTTAATAGGCCTAATAGGATGAGGATACTTTCATTTTGTGTTCTTCAATTATACCACAGCTTTTTGGTAATTTGTATTTTATATAGACTTCATCATTATTTTTCAGGAAGGTGAAAATGGGGGTGGGGGGTTAAACTATAATGATAGGACTGGTTTTGAACCTGTGACTGACCTGGGCGTCCTCTTGTGCCTTTCTCATGTCCACAGTCTGATTCTCCATGCGGCCTCCCTACAACACAAAACCAGATCATCAGCTTTTTTTGCTGCTATTTAACGACTATAAAAATGTGGCACCAATCAATCACATATGCAAGGTTTATGCCAAATTTCAGCCTGCATTATATATTCACATTTTGCATTATTAAAATTAACTTCTTCAAACAATCCCCTTACGAGATATTTAAAAGAAGTTGCTTTGCGCAGTCTCAGTTTACTAGATTAAGGAATTAAGTAATGGAGTGTAAATTACCTGTCATTTACCTAATATGCATTACATAAAAAGTTTGTCTAATGTTTGAGTTGGATGCATCATTTGTACATTTCATTGATTTCCCAAATGATTTATCTCAAAATAACAATTATCTTGTAAACTGGAAAAAATTCCTGGCATTTCAATTCATCTGATACAGAATCACCATTCTAGGTTTTTTAATATAATTGATCAGCATAACATTGAGTGAATTGAGATGAATTATTGATAATGTATAAATCTATCTGTTAACTGACAGTCAAATTATACACAACAGCTGTGGTGAATCACAATCAATAACTCAGCACTGATGACAAACATATATTCCCAGCTTCCACAAATATATGTTACAATGTTCATTTATCACAAAATGACAAGCATATAAACTCTCAGTCTCAGCTCCCTTAAATGCATTACAAGGTACATGTATTTGTAAACATTGCTATATCTATACATGTACTTTTTTATATACATCCCTACACATCCATATATTGATGCTTTTTTTAATGTGACTAGATTTAAAATTATCAAGAATTTTTGATGCAGATTATGAAAATTAGTAACATGGGTAGCCACAATGCATTAATGATCACTTTGTTTACTCACATTAGCTAATGACACCATAAGTCGTTTGAAATGTCCCGATGTATCACTAATGATATCCTGTTCCAAAGTTCTACCATACACTGAAATTAAAAAGAACCCATCAAAAATTACTTAACTGCAAAAAAACATTTTTAAAACTATTTGAACATGCATGTACTTTTATTTATAATGCATTAGAATTTAGTGATCAAACTTCATTACATGTAATTTCTCCATTTTGTTTTATTATAGAAACCCGAGTGTAATTACTTTTTTTGTAGATTTCATTGATTTCCTTTATCTGTTTGTTAGAACGGCTACACAGTATTTCTATCATTGCATCCTCATCTGTGCCAAGACCCTGTAATAAAAACATTTCAAACATGAATTCTCTTCTCAGTAATATAAGAAGCCCACGGGCCATAAATTATTTTACTACTATGAAATTTTTACATTCTGACACAGAATAAATTTTCAAATATGACAAAATAATAAAAGGGTTCATACGTTATTCGCATGAATTCATGTCTTGCATCTCTTAAGATGATTGCTAAGTATTATGGCTTGGCCAGCAATTGGTCAGCATACACTGTATATACTTCATATATGTACATTGCATATCAAAAACAAGATACCCCTGGGCCACAATGCTTACCTGAGTCCTGTTGTTTTTATGAAAGTTTTAAAAACATTTCTATATTCCCATGAAAAATTGTGACCCCATATAATGGCCTCATTTTAACTGCCCTATACAAGACATCAATTATTGAACACCAGGATCAGAATGAACAGTGTTTACCTTGTCCATCTATTCTACTCTATGCAAAATACTTATAGAATCAATGATAGATCTTTTATTCTTTTCAAAATTAATCTAATCAACAAACATTTTTGTTTGAAAATTGTTTTCCACATGTATATGTTTTTGTGTATTGTCTATTAAAATATAAGCTAAAATTCTACATAAATACTTATGCAAAATTCATCAACAAACATCTATCATGATTAACCAACACTAGCATGATAAATTCTCAGTAAACCAACCACCCCTCTATTCTGGCCACTTCAGCGGGTTAAGAGAAGTTTTACTGTACCTTCATTGCTCTCTTGAGTTCATAAGCATCATACTCTGATGCCGACATCATCAGACCAATGATAACATCTTCAAATCTCCCTCCTAACTCACTCTTCAAGTCCTTCACTAGATCCTGTCAACCAATCAAAATAAGTACATAGGATCCAGTTACCCAATCAAAATTACTTATTTAGATCTTGTCAACCAATCAAAATAACCTATTTGGTTCAGCAAATAGAAAAACTCTTTTTTTTTTTTTGCTTTTTTCTCATTTGTCTACCTAGAAGTAAATTGTGAGTACCTTTCCAAACATGGTTTTAAACATGATTTTGATTTGTTGTCTTTGCTCACATGAACGGTAAGCCAGAACATCTATAATAGCTTTTTCATCAGTTCCTGCAAAATAAAATATTAAAACATTGTTTCAAGACACAATTTGTAAACAAACATTCTTTCATAATGTTTACAGCAAGAGTTTTAAAACCTGACAATAAAACTCTCACCAAAGCCCTTCATTGCTTTCCTCAGAATGTTAGCATCATTTTCAGCATTAAAGTTCCTAGCTGGTCTGAGGGTGGGCTCCTCCTGAACAGTAAAATAAATAGATGTACAACAAAGCAACTCATGAGACACTGCTTCTTATGTCTTATAAAGTCAGATAGCTTAGCGCTTTTTATTTTATGTTTCATAATGGGAGGCTCATTCTAGTTAATCTTTACACCTGACACTTACTTTAGCCTTGTAGGCATTGGCAGCACTGGGAGCCTCTGAGGGTTGACCTTGGCCGTAAGCTGGAGCAGCAGGATTAGAGTAGCTCTGTCCTGATGGCTGGGTTGGGGCTCCATAATTCTGACCCTGGGGCTGACCCATTCCTGAAGTTCCCCCATAGGAGGGTGTATTTGACTGTTTTAAGATAGTACAATTATTGTTACAGTGTATATACATGTATTTTAAATTTCAACGTAAATTTAGCTCAAAGAACTTTATTCGATAATAACCAATATCTGCCCCCCAAATCAAACTTTGATGGAGATATATTTAATTAAGTTCTTAAACAGGGGAGTATATGCTGACTTCAAAGCACTGAATATTTTCATAAGTAATGACGCCATATGTATGTAATGACGTCACAAACATGACGTAAATTTCAATTTTTTATGAATTTTACAGAAAAATGTACATATTTCGTCGATATTTTGAGTAAAAGTCACCGAGCACATGTGTGTTCAGGATCAATATTTTGATATAATATGAAGAATGATAATATCAATGAAATATGTCAATATTGTTCATCTTTTCAGAACAAACTTGCGCTCTATAAATTTTAAAGCTAAAATTGTTGAAATTTTGTCCATTTTGTCCTCTTTCTGAAAAAGGATATAAAATCGGACTAGCTTGTGACGTCATAAAAACAAAACTTGTGAATACACTGCTTTGACACTATAATATTTTCTGTTAATTTATATTTCACATACAATTTATTGAATTCAGCACATTTCAGGAAGTTTTCAAAATTTGACTTTTGTGGGGGCAAATATATGCAATATACCGCATATAGTTCTTTAGACATACAAGTACCACAATTCAATAACATCATTCATTTTGTAAATATAACTGAAAAAAAGTGATATTACGTATAAAATGTGAGCTGCTTACAAAACTCTGTGGTTGACTTTGTGGTGGCCCATACCCTGGCTGCTGTGGGGCAGGTGCTCCATATCCTCCCTGCTGAGGGTATCCTGGTGCACCACTCACAGGTGGCTGCTGAGGGTATCCTGGTGCACCACTAACAGGTGGCTGCTGGGGGCCACCAAATCCTGGACCACCGTACATATTCTGCTGGGAGGGAGGAGGTGGACCCCCAAATGACTGCTGGGGTGGGGCCCCACCAAATCCTGGCTGTTGTGGGTAACCCCCAGGTTGCTGTGGGTATCCTCCTGGCTGTGGGGCACCACCAAATCCTGGCTGGGGTGCGCCATATCCAGGGCCACCACCAAATCCTGCTGATGGCATATCCTATGATAATATAAAAGTATTCTTTTTTAATATCCATTTTCTTATACCCTGATCCTTGCTGAAAGCCCTTAAATAAATTCTAATGAACTTCCATCCCAGCCTTTCAAAGTCATGGGGTTTTTGTGGCCTTGACCTATTTTTTTAATGACCTTGGATAAGAATTGCACGTGCCATGCACCCTTGAAAACATGTAAGCAACCTACAAACTGATTTTCTAATGAAATAATAAGAAAATTACAAATATCAAGAATGAAACACATGCATACTTACATACTATTTAATGCTGATATTCAAAGAATATTGATAATTATTGCAAACAAGATATTTCTGAATACTTGAATATGGATGAACAGCAAAGAATATGAAATAGGAAATTTACCCCGAATCCTATTTGTCCAGGACCACTGGGATTTGTGGGATATCCCCCGGGAGACGAGCCGTAAGCTGCAGCATTAGCCGACTCTGGTGTGGGCATGGTCACCTGTTACACAGTACACAAGCACACTGTATTTGTCCAAATTAGCACCCTAAGTGCATAGTATTAAACTGGGTGGGTAGAAGGGGGCCTTTCTTACATTTTTGATTTCTCTCTCAAACCATGGGAGGGGCAGTTCTTATTCAGTAGTGGATCCATAAATTTCAAAATGGGGGCAGAGTAGAATAGCTATTACATATGATGCATTTATGCTGTTATTATATAAGTTATAAATATATATATGCATGTCATTGTTGAAAACTAAGGAAATTCTAACAAATAAGTGTTTTTTTTTCCCTTGATTTTGGGATAGAATAACAATTTTTTTTTAAAAATTCATGAAGGACTATGGGAAGGGTTAGCTGCAAAAATGGAGCCCTCTCCCTTACTATGTACCGGTTCTTTTTTTTTTTTTTGAGAGAATCCAGAAAATATCAGATAAAAAAAATTAGAGGGGAGGGCATGCCCATAACTTCGTCTGTGGATTCGCCTTTGCTATTGAAGAGAGGAAAAGTGCATTGGGACAAATACAATGGTATAATGAAAATAGCTAATACATGAAATACATATTTTATACTGGTTACATGTATGTGTATATTGCAAGACTGATATACATACATGCCTGATTTATGTTGCTCATACAATAGCTTAAAGGTATACTATAAAACCATACCTCTGAATACAAAGTCAATATCTTATCTAAAATCATGGATGTCAATATGAATATTTCAGCATATCAAAATGAAAGAAGTTCAGGTATATGTTTCTATGTAATCTTAAGATACTTTTGCATTCAGATGATAATATTTTAAAAAAGCATAAATTCATATTTATGATTTTGGGAATGTTTGTAAATAGCTGCTACTGTTTCTCTTTCTACTGTCAAGATGAATAAAGACAAGGAGTTGACAAGACAGGAAGTTAATATCATCATACGACTGAGTAGCTACACAATAAGACAATCCTAATCTCTCGGATCTTTTCCTGTCTGTTCAGGACGTCCTTGCCTACTTTTTGTGTACATTTTGTTTATACTTGTTAAACCTTGTCTAGAGATTACCGATCCTTATCTGTCATATCCTGGTCGCTGCAGACAAAGCTAAAGCTAAGCTATATCACTAAAAACTGTTCCAAGTGTTTATCACTACAGTTTTAATGAAAATTTTCTTTTCTTTAACCTATCATTCACTTTACACTGAAAGGGCATGCCTCAGCAGAAGATTGTGTTAAAATTTCAAGCTCTACCTGAATAACTTTGGCTGCGCTGTGTTTGTATGAAACGGACAGATGCACAGACAAACAGGTGGCCCCAATATCCCCAGGCTTATGATTTGATCAATGTAGAATCAGCTCCAGGATGCTTCTAAATAAGTTTTTCTGGCCAAATTACAGGGATCAACACTAACAGTTGTCCGAATGCCCGGGACAAGTAAATTCTGTTACGTGCAAGTGAAACTACAATGGATACTTGACAGATGACAGACACACAAGTGGATATTTCTGATAGAAACACTTTTGTTAATCTTATAAACAACACAAAAAATTGAACACTTGCTTATTGCCCAAAACGAGACATTGTTTTTGCCATTAGCTTCTTGAAAACTTTAAATATGCTTTTAAAATGTTATTATGAAAAGATTAAATGTTTTTTAAAAATATTTTTAAAATGTTTACACTGAAATATTTAATTACAGAATATATAGAGTACCAGTTATTCTTGGTGCATGATGTATCTTGATTCAAAACATGGCAACTGTTTTTCTTTTAACATGACCTCAATTTTTTAGGCAAAAAAATTTAAATTTCGAACGACCTAAAAAATTGAAAATGAAAATACATGTCCGTGGAAAATTGTGTGTCTTGTACGAGAGTAAGAGATGACAGTTGATTATTTAAAACACACTTTAGAACTAATAAGTCGTTGTTTAGGGGTAAAATGTTTTCACTTTTAACAGTTAACTTCAAAATAAAAATTAATTAGTGCGTGCTTTACACAAAACAAATTTCCAGAGCGTTTGATGTTGTTAATTGTTAGTCCATCTCATATTTTTTTTTGTAATCTCAGCTTTGCTACAGACTTTCAGCAATTAATAAAAATGTAAATGTGATGTTTTTTGCCCGAATTTTAGGACTCTGTGAATACACAACTATTTGTAAACAACTTCTTAAAAGTATTTGGTAATAATAATATGTACATGATTTTTTTTTTTTTTTTTATATAAACATTTAGTGAATTAATTTTCAAGTATTAATTTCAAAGCACACATGATTTGATATAGAATAATTGGTTGATTTGATGTTTGATTGGCAAAAAATGAAATAAAGTACTAATTCTTTTGAATAGTTTTATAATTTATCATGTTGATTTAATGACAAGACAAGAAATGAAATAAAATACTAATTTTTTAAAATAGTTTTATAATTTATCAAATGATTTGAACAATTCAGAATGGCAATACCCAGGATGCTTTCATATAATCGCAAGATCTGTGTACCCATTAAAATGTTTTGTAAAAACTTGTTTAATTACAACTGCAGTAAAATGTTTTATAAATGTATTTTGTGGTACCTGTGACTGTTGGGGAACCTTGGCCCTGGCTGTTCAACAATATCCATATCCACCTCCTCCGTACGGATAGCTCATGATCTACATTGAAGATGAGAGAACTTATAAAGTATGGTTATTAAAAGGGTTTTACTTTTATGAATTTAATGAAATTTGTTTAAAACAATGGATTGCAGATTTATTTTACACTTTTATGAAGTATGCAAAGATGCATCAATGTTTACGAATCACAAAGCTTTAACATTGTCATTCCTTTAAAAATAGATCACACTGCAGGGTGTTTTCAAAACTCAAAAAAGAATAAAAAATACTGACTCTAGTTTTTTGCATTTTTAGTGATTATTTTCATTTTATATCTTGTGCATATATTTGACAATTCAATGACGGTAAAAACAATTAAATCACTGCCATAAAATTTGTACACAAACTTAATGTGTTGTTTATGGCTGTAATGGTGTACAGCTAGATGAATGGATGTTTTGCTAATGTACATGATCTACAGTTTTACAGTTCTTAATTATTTACATGATCCTATAAAACTCTAATTATTTTACATTAAATGTTTAAGGTTTTACAAGTTTTAAAATGATTTTGAAACATAAAGTACATGACTTTATGTATATTACCATTAAAAATGGTTATAATGTGATTTGAATCTTTTGGTTCAAATTGAATCATGTTTCTAGTATCACTATATGCCTTTTTACAGTTTAAGTTTCTGCTTGTACAAATTTTCGTGGAAAATTTTTTTAAAAATTTTTGTTTAATATTATTCAAATTATGAAAAGTTTTTCTATTAAAAACCCAATTCTGTCAAAAAACATTTGAACCTAAAACCAGTCTCCCTTTAAAAAGTTTTCAAAACAAGGTATGAAAATACTGAATTTTTGAAAAGTACTACCTTTCATGCCATCATTATTTATAATCAGGCCCAAACTGGCCTTTAGGTCACCTGAGTTTGTAACAGTTTTTAGCGAAATGTATATTGGTTTAGTAACCAAGGCAAAATGTTCATCGAAATTCACAAATGATTTGAATAGACCATTGCTTATCAAAGGTAGATTTCAAAGCAAAATTATATTGAAATCAGAACAAAGCTGTAGGAGGAGTAGCATTTTGAAAAAAGTTCACAGAAATATCTAATTTTAGTAACCACAGCAACACCGTTCATCGAAATCATAAAACCGCCAGCATTTTTTTATGTTCTAGGTTGTGTGCCAAGTTATGAACATGAAATAAAAAACTAAGGAGGGAAATAAAATTTTGGATAAATTATTATCAACATTTGTAATTCTTTTTTATGCTATTCAGTAACCCAGGCCCCATTACCATGGAAATCATGATGCACAGAATTATATATCTCAAGACCTACAATGTGTGCCAAGTTATATTGCTACCACGGGCAGTTTAAAACTTGGGAGGAAAATAATTTTGAAACAATTTCACAGAAATTTCTATTTAATTATCCACCAACATGTCATTGTGCAAAAACCGATAAATAGAATTATGTCCTTTTAGTGTAACTGGTGAAACGTTATATTGAATGGCACTCCTTAATGAATTTTACACTAAACCAAGCTATCTTCTCAGATCTAGCTTTATTTACCCGCCGTTTCATCTTAAAACCGGAAGTGCGAGTTAAAAATTTGAAATCTGACCCGAAAAATTGACATGGAAAGAAAAAAATTGTTTTATTTTTTTTAAAATTTGAAAACCTTGAATTGAGGGTTTGTAAACACTGAAAATAAAATGAATCCTACCTTTAATTTAATTAGATTCGACTAGGTATATTAACCAGGAGCAAAGGATATGATGTTAAAGAATTCATGCAATATAATCATGAGAGTTTGTCCTAAAACAAAAGCCCTGCCCACAGGGGCCATAAAATTCACAATTTTGGTAGAGGCACCTTGTATCACAAACCTATGTACTTAGAAAGTTTATCTTAATACCCAAAATCAGAGAACACACTATCAGGAATTCATGTATTTTCACTACATAATCAATAGAGCCCCGCCCTAACACCATAGTCTGACCCTGGGGCCATAAAATTCACAATTTTGGTAGAGGCACTCTTGCTCATCATAACTATGTACTTTTTATTATTTAACATTGGGAGCAGAGAAGCCTAGATTTTCAAAGAAATTGTTGTCAATATCAAATTTTATATATACTTATATCCATACTCATTAACTTTTTAATTACACAAAAATTTTGGTAGATTCATTTATTACAATCAATTAAACATTTAATTTTTCTTGATGTTTGGCTTATTAGAAGTCCTGATTTTTAAAGATTGCATTAATTTTAGTTTCTTTTGGCCCCAAAATATATAAATTGAATCAGAAATTCATATATTTTTGTTCCCCTTCAATAGATGCTTTGTGCCAAATTTGGTTGAAATGGTTCTGTTGCAGAGAAAATGAAAATTTTCCAAAATTAAAATCGTGATACCACGACGATTACGAAAAAAGGGGTTTTGGTGTAATAGGTCACCTGAGTTTACTCAGGTGACCTAAAAATATTAAAACATTTCAAAAAATGTTCCTTAAAGATTTTACCATAAGCTTCTTGAAAAAATTTGTAAAATGTTTTTAAAATGTTATAATAAAAAGAGAAAATGTTTTTTAAAAAAATTTCATGTTCACATTGAAATATTTTGTAAAAAAATTTTTTTACAATTCAAATCAAATTTATTAGTACCTGGGAATACTGGGGACTATCCTCCTTATATATTATTTAAAATTGCATCTCAAAAATATATTTCTAAACATTAATAACAAACTTTTTTTATCAAAGCCAAATACTTAAAAGGGTTTTACTTTTATTAATTTAACGAAAGTTGTCTAAAACAATGGATCACAAATATAGCTTATATTTTTTGTAGCATTTAAAATTTTGCAGTGGTACAGTGGCATGCCAAAAGTGAAGATAATTTTATTTTTTCTCTATAGATATATTTCATTGAAAACAACATTTTTTAAAAATAGGTTAATGGTCAATTTTTGTCCAAACTAATTATTATTTCAGTAAAAACCAGAAAATGTGTAGTTTTTTCTTTTAAAAGATTATTATCATTTTAATCTGTAGTAAATTATTTGACACTAAATCATTTCTGTTCTAAAATTCAAGATAATGTTGACTATATAATTTGTACATATAACTTAAAAATTCATTTTTACTACAATATCTTACAATTTGATGTGTCTGAAAGACACACAAAGACTGAATTTAGAAGGCTTTTCATCATCATGTAAAACAATAATGCCGAACCCCAGCTGATGACCTTCTTGTTTTTGTTATATATAAATGATATAGCTAAAGATATATCTTGAATATTCGACGTTTGAATAATAATATATAAAAGGCTTTCAGTAAAAAAGCTTAACAAAACAGAAAAAATATTTTATTATGTCTTTCATTAAAATTGCATAGCTTGGGCTGTAGATTTTAATAGTGAAAAAACTGTTAATGTTGATTTTACTGAAAACACATAAGTTATCCTAATATTCAGTTTGGATATGGAGGTGATTATATAAAACAATCAAATACTATGTTCATAAGTCTCTAGGATTACAATTTCAAGCAGATGGTTCTTGGAACAATCACATATTGAATATATATGAAATAGGCATGTAAAAGATTAAATATAATTAGGTTACTGAAACATAGCATTGATAGAAATTCACTAATAAAAATTTATTTTGCCTTTATAAGACCAATTTTAGAATATGCTGATGTTTTATGGGATAATTGTACCCAAAGTAGTTCAGAATTGCTTGAAAAAGTTCAGATAGAAGCTGCCAGAATTATTACTGGGCGTATAATTAATTCATCTAGAACTTGTTTGTATGGTGAACTAAAATGGGAACCATTATATCTTAAAGAGAAAAACACAAACTTCAATTGATGTATAAAATGATTAATGGTTCTGCACACAGATTATTTGTATGATTTGATTCAACCTTGTTTTCCTGTTCAACATGCTTACAACTTAAGGTCTGGATGTAATAACTTATGTATACCAGTTTGTAAAACAATGTCATACTATAATAGTTTTATTCCATCAACCGTAAAACTTTGGAACAGTCTTAGTGAAGATGTAAAAAACTCTCCTTCATTAGCTATCTTTAAAGCAAAACTTAAGAACTGGGGAGCAACTAATAAACCTTGTAGGTACTTTAACTTTGGTAATAGAAAAGAAAATATCTTGCATTGTCAGTTGCGAAACAATGCTAGTAATCTTAATGCACATTTAAAAAATCATTTTATATCAGATATTCAATCATGTCAAAAGTGTGGATTTCATTTTTTTTCTGAAGATACTGAACATTATTTTATCAACTGCCCATCGTATAATGTTGAAAGAAACATATTGGTAAAAAAATTAAATGATATTGATGTTGTTTTTGAACTCGGCGCTCTACTAAGAGGAAAATCTCAAACTCTTATCAAACAAATTGTAAAATATTTTCATATGTACAAGAATTTATTAAATCTTCTAAAAGACTAAATTAGGGGCACTGTTATATCAAATATTCTATTAAATGCATAATTTTTTTTCAAATATTGGTATTATTTTTAAGCTGGAACAGTATGTAAATACATGTGTAATATGCATACAGTTAGGGGGTTGTCATTTCTTTTTAGATATAATATTGATAAATAATACCTGATTGTGAATCTTTATTTAAGGAATGAATTTAATAGCTACCCATTTTATACGGTATAAACTGGGTTGGGGCAGTTTACGCTTTATAAACCGCGAAGCGGTTTATTAAAGCGTAAAATGACCCAAACAAGTTTATACCGTATAAAATGGGTAGCTATTAAATTCATTGCTTATAATTTAATTTTCATTCATTTGATGTAAGAAAAAAGACGATTGTTCTAACAAAATGACTTCAATTTGTACAAAATTTGAATGTAACGCCAGGCGGATTGATACGTTTTTGACGCGTCATTGTGACGTAGGCAACCCATTTTATACGATTGTTGTAAATTTTTTATCCAATTTTATATATACGTTACAACCAGAATTAAATTATTTTTCATTATAATTTTATTGATTATCATGTTCATGTATTATTTACTACTTATTTGTATCTTGACCAATTATAAAAGGAGAGGGTTTACATAGGCATTGCCTGTTGCCCAATCCTGATTGAATTATACTCAATAAAAAATATGTTTAAAGTAAACTACAATATTTTTAAATTATCAATGCTTATCAGATAAAAACTATTGTTTTTTTTAACTACAACAATTTCTTGGATTATCAAGAAATTTTTTATAAATACAATCTGATCATGTTGTCACACCAGCGATTTTACAAAATATTGTTTTCAATGAAATATATAAAGAAAAAATAAAATTATCTTCACTTTTGGCACACAACTGTATCTTTTTCAGCTTTGTATTGGTCTGGAAACAGTGCATGAAAAAATTGTTCATCAGATAGATGAAAAATGGAATTTGTTTATCTTATATTTTATTACAGTTTCCAGATTTTGATGATATTTACTGCAAATACTGCTTCACCTTTGGTCCTGATTGGTTGGTTACATCTGTAAGTAACACATCATGGATTACATCAATTCAATGACACTTCTTATAGTAACTACATTTTTTTTTATGGATGAGATGTAAAACATTTCTTATTCCCTTTTGCCAGGGTTTAGATGAAGGCCTGACACAAGTCACAAAGAAAAGTCGAGATGACAGACAGCAGTTTGTCTGGAACTTTCCTCTAGACATAACATTTAAGAGTACCAATCCCTTTGGTTGTATGTATATACCTCAAAATAACTGAAAAAAAAAAACAGTATGTATTAAATAGGGATGTCAAATTTGTCAATTTTTAATACTCGGTTACTCGGACGTTTTTCCGATCGAGTACCCGGGTACTCGGTAAAAGTGTAAATAAATATAACAAGTTAATTGATGAATGTAAAACATTGTAAACTCTTGTAGAGAAAAAACCACATGCTCTGATAGGAGGTTTACCCGTAATTGCATTTCTGTTGTAACAATGATGAGCACTTGATTTTGTTTAAAAAATTAATCTACTCCGTAATTGTAATGTAACTATTTGTTGCGTTTGACGTCCAGGACTCAAGGTATCAGTCGTACAGTTTGACTTGAACTTGATCAAGTTCTAACAGAGCGGATTTACGATTTTCGTATACTTTTCGATCCTAGATTTTATAGTACAGTGTATTACGGGACGGTATTTTGTAGTTTGGTGCAACTATGGACATCAGTTTTTTTACAGCCTTTGCCTTCAACCATTTATACATGTATTGGCATGTAATCAAACACAACCATGATATCAACAATCGCGCGTGTAATATCTTCTGTCTCTTTTCCCGAGAATTTACGGCTTCTCGGAGAATTGACAAAATTATCTAATTTATTTAATCATAACAGATCTTAAACGATGTTCAGTGAAAACAAATAATTAAAGCAAATCAAAAAATAAGGGTAGAAGACAGCCGAAGGTGAGAAAAGCCAGATAACAGGTGCTTGGTCACGATAATTACTGTATAAATACTGCCACGGGCGTTAACGGTCATTTAGAGGAGTAGGAAATGTGCAATGAGTATTTTACGTTTTATAACAGATTGTTAAATGCATTTAAAATAAGCTTAGAAATATTCAAAAATATACATCCGAGTAACTGAGTACCGATTTTAGTAGTCGATACTCGGACGTTCGATCGAGTACCCGGTTAACCGGGTACTCGTTGACATCCGTAGTATTAAAATATAAAAGTGATTGGTAGATGTTTTTTTGATATTACATGTACCCTGGTAATTCTTTAGATTTAAATGTTCGGAAAAAACATTGACAGTTCAAACCATTGATCAGTATCTAAGAGCATTCAGTTTACAGTTTTTCCAATGAATATTTCATATTACAAAGAAGTTATGACACTCACTTACTGTTCAAACATCCAAAACTTTTCAGAGATACAGACTGAAAGTGAACAAATTGCATTTATTGTATACTTCTTATTTACGAAAGAAACTGTATGTACTAATTGGACAATGAGAATCTTTTCCCCCAAATTGATGTAAAAATTTGCTTTTGCTTAAACAAAAAAAATCTTATTTCTAAAATGGAGTTACTGACATTAAAACTTAGTCATTTAAATTTTATTCCAAAGGGCCCCAATTGATAGTACATGCTTATGGAATTGATGCTTTTGGAACTGATGTTGTGAGAGGATATGGAGTAACACATGTACCTATTACACCTGGAAGGTAAATGTCTACACTGTATTTTATGAAATTTGGCACATACATGTATAAGGTGGAAGACACTAAGACCTTCAAATGCAAATTCAGTATTTTGTAAATTTATAAGAATTGTAAAATAGATGAAGAATAATTTTGAAGTTACCAGTCAATGTTATTTGTTTAACATCACATATTTAACTTTTTTTTCCAGACATAAAATTCGTCTCCCTATGTTTGTGCCAGAATCTTCATCTCAGTTACAGAAATTAACAGCATGGATCTTGGGGCGTCGACCGGAGTATGTGGATGTACGTGTGTTAGCCCAGGGGGAGGGAAGAGAGGGTAAGGTTCATAGACACTATATTTCAACATTTGGAAGGCATGAAATAAAACGAAAATATATTAGCAACTGAATGATACACATTGTCATCGTCAACACTATCAGTTTATGAGGTACATAAAGCTAAATACAATTTTTCTTTTGCATGAACATTTTGTATATTTCAAGAATCCTAGCATGAATATGTTAGCAATTTATTATGCACTAGCCTCACATTGCAGATTATTACATGATGTACTGACCTTGGTTTTGTAAGTTGACAAGCATGAAAAGTTGTTAAACAATGGTCAAGGCCAAAGAAATGAATGAAGACAATCTCATCAGATCATTGTACCTATAATTAATTTGTTTCAGTTATATTTAAGTTTTTCTTTTTTCCATTCCAGTGACAAGAGTAAGATCTCAGGGTTTTCTGACCGTGTCATTTAATGTTGTGATGAAGGACATGAAAAAACTAGGTTACGATGTCATTCCCTCAGAAATGTCGACATCTGTGATTCCGGAGACAGTGGGGGGCACCAGTGGAGGGACCACAGACACGTGATCTTCTGTCAGAGATTTAGTTAATATGGATTGTAGTGATAGATCAGACGTACAGCAGCATATCATAACTTCCGTCCAGTAAATAGGGACATGATAAAAATTATATTTATAACATGCATTACATTTGTAAAAGAATTCATACATGTAATTGTTTATAATACTTACTGAATTCATTCATTAAGATGACTATTTGCAAAGAACAAGTGTAAACAATTTCTGTGCATGGTTTTTAAAGGCAGTTTAGTTATGTATATTTACTTAACAATAAAGAGATTATAAATTTAAAGGTTACATTTCATAGTTTTATTTGCAAGTTAGATGAAAATTTTAGTAAAATATTTGTAATACATTTATGATTTTTATTCCCTAATCACACAGGATAATTCAGCTTTTAAGAACTTGTTTTAAAGGAAGTCTTTGTTATAATTTTTATGCGCCCGGATCGATAGATCCAGGGCGTACATTGTTTTTGTCCTGTCTATTTGTCTCTTTATCTGTTTGTCTGTCTGTTGTCAACTTTAATCTTAATCATAACTTTTGAACCATAAGAGATAAAGACTTCATATTTGTTATGCATACTTCACCAATAAAGTTCTTTCAATGACATCAAGGTCAATGACCTTGTGACCTTGACTGTGAACTATATGCTTAAAATAGCTTTTTTGAACTTTGTTGCCGCCGGGTGCATAGTGTTTCACAAAACATCTTGTTTTGTTTTTTTTTCAAATTCTTTTGACAACTTTAGTCCCTTGACATCATTTTTTTAGACAGATATACATGTAAAATATCTTGGTTTATATAAGAAAGCAAAATTTAAGGTCCCAGCGACTTCCTTATTATTTAGCTTTACTGCATTAAATAATTTTTTAATATGCCTCCTTTGAAGAAGGGAGGGCATATTGCTTTGCTGCTTCTGTCTGACTGTCTGTTTGTCGCTCCACCAGCAGTTTCCTTTCATTTCCTTTGCAGAGGTTGCACATACTGAAATGAAATTTAGTATACAGATTTATCATTAGAATGTCTATGTAAAGTTCTGGTTTGGGTACGATCGAGCAGTATTGACAGAGTAATGCCCCTTCGAATTAGAATAATTCCAATTATATTCATTTTCTGTTCGTTTTCTTTGCAGAGGTTGTATATGCTGAAATGAAATTTGGTATACAGACTGAGATTTATCATAAGAATATCTAGTAGGTCAAGTTCTGGCCCCTGTGGCCTGTTTTGGGTACAGTCAAGCAATTTTGACAAGAGTTATGCCCCTTGGTCTTAGAACAGTTCCAATTGTGAGGGGAGGAGGGTCACAAACATCTCTTGTTATTCCATGTTCACCCCATAATCCTGTGGATATCACTCACTGGATATTTTTTTGATATTCCACAGTTGACTTCACAACTTTGCATGAAAGTGATAAAGTAAAAATAAGGAGGATTTCTGTATCAAAACAGCATAAAACATTGAAAGTGATGTGGCACTTTTTCCCACACAATAGAAAATTAGAAAATGTATATTGAAAGGTTGGTCCCCCCCTTTCCCCCACTTTTTAGGTCACCTGAGTAAACTCAGGTGACCTATTGCTATCCGTTTTCGTCCGTCATCGTGCGACATGTCATGTGTTAACATTTGAACATTTTCAGCTTCTTCTCTGAAACCGCTGAACCAATTTCAACCAATTTTGGTTTATAGCATTTATGAGTGAAGGGGAACAAAAATTGTGAATTTCGTGGTCCCTGCTCCCCTGGGGCCTGGGGGTGGGGCCAAAACCTCTCAAATTAGTGCAATCTTTAAAAATCTTCTTTTTTACTCCTGGACATCAAGCAGTCAAACTGTTGGTATGATTGTAATCAGCATTGAGTCCTTACCAAAATTGTGAAATTCATGGCCCCAGGGTCAGGGGTTCTAGTGCTAGGGTGGGGCTAAATAGATTTTATAGTGAAAATGCAATATTTCTTTGAAGTTCTTCTTTTCTGCTCCTGGGCATTAAATAACATAACCAAATGCATAGTTAGGTTGAATATGGCAGCCTCTTCCAAATTTGTGAATTTCATGGCCCCAGGGTCAGGGATTCTAGTGCTAGGGTGGGGCTATATAGATTATATAGTGAAAATGCATAAGTTCTTTGAAATTCCTCTTCTCTGCTCATGGGCATTAAATAAACTAACCAAGTGCATAGATAAGTTGAATAAGGCTGCCTCTTCCAAAATTGTGAATTTCATGACCCCAGGGTAAGGGGTGTTAGTGCTAGGGCAGGGCTATAAAGATTATCTAGGGAAAATGAATTATTTCTTTTAAAATCTTCTTTTCTGTGCTTGGGTATTAAACCAATGAACTATGTACATAGTTTTGAGGAGGAGGATGTCTCTTTGAGATTTGTGAATTTCATGGCCCCTGGGTCAGGGCTTCTTGTGTTGGGGGGGGGGGGGCTATAATGTTTATATAATGAAAATGCATGAATTCTTTGAAAATCTTTTCCTTTGCTCCTGGATATTATGCCAATGATCTAAGTACATATTTATGATGAAGAAAGCAGCCTCTTCCAAAATGGCTCATTTCTGGGCCCCTGGGTCAGAGGTATTTGGAGGGGGGGGGGTTACATAGTCTGAATATAAATTAATGCTTCGAAATCTGCACTTTGATATTAATCAACAATTTATGATGAAATAAAATTCATGATAAAATTTCCAAAATTTTGAAATATGTTGCCCCATGCTTAGTGGTTCCTGTGGGGAGGGGTGCACAAGTGGTTACAAAGTGGAAGTGAATTTTCTCTTTGTTACTCTGATCTACCTCTGGGTATTAAGTAACCAAAGTAAGCATGTTAAGTATATAATTATGATAAGCAATGGTGCCTCTTTCAAAATTGTGAATTTCATGTCCTCAGGTTTAAAACAGGAATCATTCAATTACGGGATACTCAGGTGACCTATAGGGCCCGCGGGCCTCTTGTTTGCTGAAATATACTTATGTAACGTAGTATACGAAGAAAATGTAGTCTCATGTGGAGTTGGACACCTCCCTCCCCCCCCTTTTCAAGAATTTCAAATTTTTGTTGCTGTTGTTAAATTTTATGCTTGTCAATATTATTTTTCCAGTAAGTTGAAATTTTTTCTCAGGCTGCCCCCTTTAAAAACGATGCTATGTCCCTGTCCATCATTTATATTGCTTTATTTTATACATGAAAGGATCATTTTCAGTGATGTAATATACTCAGGTGACCTTTAAGGCCATTGAAGTCTCTTGAATTGTTCAAATAATCCCAGCACTGACACTTGTACCGGTACTTGTTAGTGTAAAATCAGACTGTGCAAAAAAGAAACATGTTTTATTAAGTACTCTCAAATAATTAAACAATTAAAAACAAATTTTCCATGCATGCATGTACATTTGTAAAGTATACAGTCAATGTGTGATGATCTGTCAAATGAATGATGAAGTTAATTTTTCATGGCAAGTCTGTATCCAAATCTGGCAACCATTAACACACTGAAAAAAAAAAAAATACACCCATATGAGCAATATTATTCAAAAACAGTTGTAATTATGGTTATATCTGACTGTCTTCAGAATTGTACAAGAGCAGATGTGTTGTTTTAAATAATTATGTGAATTCCTTTTGACATGCACTTTCTTTTCATGGGTATATGTATCATATTTGACTTCCTGACCTTTCAGTTTGACCTAGTTTGCAAAATTTTACAAAACTACCAACATCCTATACCCTTGTCCTTGGAATTTAACCTATATTTGACAAACTTTAACCTTAGCCTTAAGCTGCCATATGAGGGATTCAAGGTTTCACAATTACATCTTGTTTCTTCAGTACACTGTAATTTTTTTTAAAAATATGATTAAGCCCTCTGAGCTAAAGTACCTCTGGACAAGCATATGTAATACCACTACACATTAAGTCTTGACTCTATTGATGTACGTGTGTCCCCTTAATCATGGAATTTCCTGTATCCTCTTGTTGAGTGAACAGGATATACATACTTCCTCCATTCCTGATCTCCCTCAGATCTCTCTGTCTCTCTTTGTACATGCATTGCCTTGTTCCAAACTTCCTTATTTTAGACTCAAACTCTTATAAACAAAACATTTCTGACAGAGCTTTAAGCAGAGTGGTCTGTTACCTGAGTGTAGCCACTAGTCCAGCTGGCATGAACTTCCCGGAGTTGACAAACCTATACCCCATGACCCCGGTCAGCACCCCACTGGTCACTGAAACAGAATGGGTCATCTCATTATAGCCTAATACTGTTATCTCCAGCGATGTGTACTACATAATATTAAGGTCAAAACAAAAACTAAATTCTTTTTTTCATGAAGAATTCCTTAAAATTATTACATATTAAATCTGTACTTTATTACATTAATAAGATTATACCTAAAATACAAGTATTTGCATACTGTGAAATCACAAATTTTCGTGGGGGTTTAATTTGTGTTGTTTTCGAGGTATGACAAGACCTACGAAATCATGTCAACCATGAAATGTAAAATTTTACATACACAAGTACTCATTAATTCTTGATCCACGAAATCAAATCCCCATGAACCAAGAGATTTTTCTCAAACCACGAAAATTTGACCCAACGAAAATATGATTTTACAGTATTTTAACAATTATATTTTTGTCTTAACTTCACATTACTTAATATTGTGTTTGATTATTAAAGGTTAAACATAAGCATCATTTCTAAAATTCCTAATTAAATCAAGGTTAAAAAATCTGAATATTGATTTGAAATTGTCATCTTGTTCTGGCAAAAAGTTGTACTGACTTATAAATGGCTCATTGGCAAATTCTTTTAAGCTCAAAAAATACAACCAACTTATAGGCAGACCAACTTATAGACGAGAATATACGGTAAATGTTTACCCACCTAGTGATAGGTGGACATTTTGCGGGTCCATAGAGGTCTGGTATGTACCATATCCCATCAGACTCCCAAACGCCAGGCCAGCCATCAGGGAGGGGACACTTCCTGTCGTAAAGAGACCGAAACACAGGTAATCAGAGAGATTACAGAGCTCACCTTAATGAAAGTTGTCTTAAAGAAAGGCAAAGTCCCAAATTAAACCAATAATCTAGTAGTGTATATCCAAAGATACAACAAAAATGTTGATCTGATAGGGATTGCAGTTACTTAGGAATCGACTTATCCAAAAACTTCAAACTAGTCACTCATCCAGAAAATGTAATTGAAATTCAGCCTCTGAAGCAAGATTGAGAGTGTTTATCCCTTGATGCATGTTAATGGTAATCTAGCAACCAAGCTTAATGACTTTAACTTTTCAATTGTCAACTTCCCTTACTAATGCAGCAATATACCTTCATCACCTGCATACAGACAGTTATATCTTTCTGTTGATTTGACACACAAAAGCATGCTCTATGTATGTACAATCTCTAAAACGTGGTATATTATTGGCAAACAAGTTGATAGAAACAAGAATAGCAGCAGTCTCGTTTAAAGTCAATTTCATTATTTCCTAAGTTCTATTGAGGATATAATGACCTTGAAAGCAAATACAATTTATCATTGAGCCAAAAGTTGACTGACATTTTTCATACTAATTGTTAGTCCATTATTTATACATTGAATTTGATGACAGATTTTCCGTTATTTCCCAATCATGACAAGGAGCACATGGTGGGTGTGACCAGTTGGAATGGGATGCTCACTCCTTGATAGCACCTGATCCCTTTTCTGGTATTTTAGAGGTCCATGTTTGCTCTGCTCCTATTTTGTATTGTTTTATTGACTTTTGAGCTTGAATATACTGGTTGTTGTCTCTATATTTCAATCCATGCAAATTTCGTTCAGATAGGCCTTATAGTTTCTTAGTATTAGAAATGAATTAACATGTTCACACATCCAGAAAATGTAGGTCAGATCAAGTATCCAAAGCAAGCCTGGTAATATGGTTATGGTTACTTTAGAATGAAAATGCTCCAAAGATTTATGCCTGTTCACTCTGAAAAAAAGTCAGTGTGCTTTCTTAGATGTATCATCCATGCAAAGTTTGGTCAACATAGGGCTAGAAGCTACTTTGACCTGCACCAAAAACTTTAACCATCTCCAACAAGAGGCCCATGGGCCACAATATCCATCTGAGTAACTTCGGCCACTATGCTGTTCTTCACCAGTCAATTAAATTTAAAAATCATGATATTTTTTACTGGTAAATTGATAAACATTGCATCTTTTTGTGTATTCATTCTAGGGATGAACAAATTTGCTTCATTATAAATGCCATTTGTTATACATGTATTTGTATTTTAAGTTCACAATATATTTTAAAATCTTGGGGAATAAAATAATTTCACTTTAAGTGTCCATTCCTCATAAGCATATTCGCTACGAGTGTTTAACTTTATATGCAGAGGCCAATCAAGTTATTTGAAAGGACTGATAACGTCAATTTATTCAGAAACCAAATTCTCTACCTCTCTATGATATTACCAAACAGGACTGAGGAAAATATACCCATATCCTGTATAAACAGAGTTGATAAAACATGCCATTGTGCTTATAACCTGAGTTACAAGAACAGAACTTGAAAAAACAAAGATCTCATTTCTTTAGCTTCCATTCATGACACATGTTTCATTTTACAAGTTTATGTAAACTTAACTCAAACAATCTGTTCAAAACACCTGATCTCAAATGAAAATCATGGTTAGGATCTTAAGATGATTAATATTAACTTGTCACTCAGAATCTCTATTCTTGACAGTTCTATACAGAGAGACAGAAGAATCAATATCCTAAAAGGTTAAACATTACACTGAACAGTGAGATACTTATATCAATGATTGACAATCCCTGGTTCTAAGCAGAAATCACTGAAGATTTATATTTTGTGATAGAATACGGTACAAAATAGAGGTCAACAGGCTACAACACTAACCTGCATTTACTTTCCTGACTAATGAAAATTAATAATTAATTATTATTAATATTACTTTTTAAGACTGTAAACTAAAACAGTTCTAGGTGAATTGATTATCTGCATGATCATGCAGTTAACATACTGCAGCTTAATGCTTTAATTGTTTATTAATTTCTGTCTTACTTTTTTCCTCATCATACTCCCCTTTTTCTTCCTTTAGAGAACATTTCATTCCAAACTTGTGGCTACATCTTAACCCTGAGGACTATCATTTGAACAAACATGAATAATGAATGTGTATAATGATATAGGCCATGTATATCAGCCTGGTAGCTCAGTCGGTAGAGCACCTGACTATAGTGATGCAGAGGTCCCCGGTACGATTCCCTGTCCAGCCATCTCCCTTCTTGCTGCAGAATTTATGCACATCATTGATCACCTCTAGTCACTCTCAGGTGAAAGTTATGCCAGGGGCTCATAAGAATTTGCATTGGGTTGTGTTTTCAAGGGCGAAGATGATTTAAGGTGGAGGGAATGTAACAGTTTGGGCCATAAATATTGGCCTGGATAGCTTAGTCAGTAAATCATCTGACTAATGATGCAGGGGTCCAAGGTTTGATTCCCAATCCAGCCATACATTTTCTTTTCCTGTTATTATATACACATCCATGTGCATTAATGCATGCCGAGTGTAGGAAGCCAAATTCTTTGAAATTAATTAAGTTTTATAAATAAGAGTGGTTTTGGAACAGAGTCAAATTTGAGAAAAAGAAATAGACAACGGACTAACAGACAATCAAGATGTGTTTGTGAAACACTGATGCCCCCATATGGCAACAAATCAAAGATTTAACTTTTCTTAAATGCAAATTAAATATGTTGGTACCCAAAGTAAGGTCTTCTCACAAGAAATACAATTGTGAAATATGAAAGCCCTAGCACCACCTGTTCAAAAGTTATGGCCAAGGATAAGTTTTTGAAAGGTAGGTAAATGTTGAAAATGTGTGCAAAATTTTGTATAGAATTGCATAAAAAACAAATGGTGCATATCTAAGCAGCAACCTCTACGGTCAAGGTCAATAGGTCAAGGTCATTGGTTTTTAAAGAAGGGTCTTGTCACAAGGATTACATATTTGAAGTATGAACCTAGCCCTAACCCTTCAAAAGTTATTGTCAAGGTTTGTTTTTTAAAAAGTAGGTCAAAGGTCCAGGTCTAAAGGTCAAATTTGTCTGTACCCAAAGCAAGGGTCATAGCTAAAAATACTAAATCAAAAGTTATAGGCAAGGTTTTTGCGAACAAACAGCTAGACAGACAGATGAACGGATATGAAAAAAACTTTGATTGCATGAATATAAAAACTTCTATCAGAAAAGCTCATAAACCTTTGATAAAGGTGAGCTAAATTTAAGGGGAGACAGGACACATGTCACATGACTAAAAAGACACATCATGTCATAATCGGTGATGATATACATGTTAAACGTTGTTAAAATCAACAGTTCTTGTGTAATTTTATTCTAAATTCTAAAACTGTTTTTTTAACATTTAATTTTAGAAATTATTACTAATAAAATTTTTAAATATCTTGCCATCATTTAGACATTGTGAAGTTGCCCAGTACACACATTTCTTTCTCTTTACCCTACAGTCTGACGTCAGTGACGTCATAGACGTAGTGTTTGAATTCTCAGTGCAGCGAGATCAAGTACACACACCCGTCATAATCAGTTTTATTTCATAATAAACAGGTCACAGTCAATATATCGTGATAGATTTCTGAAGCAGATTTTTTAAAATTAATATTTTTTCGTGTTTAGTAGCAAAGGTTCTCACTATTTAGATAATTTTGAATGTTAATATTTTCGCGTGACGTCACAGTTGATTTCCCGCACTCGGAAAATACAAACGTGAAGTGTTTTTATCATGTTTACGTCTAATTCAACGATGTCCTGTGCGATACTGAGGTAAGCTTCACCCTGTGATATTCATGCAGTAAATAATTACGATGAAGGACTGACATTCCATCTTAAATTTGGAAATATTTATTGACAGAATTTTTTCCAAATGTGGTTTTTGTCATTGAAGCTGCCTTGAAAAATGCAGAAATTATCCCACCCAAATACTATATAAAATTAAAACAATTGCTTTCAGATAATTTAAACACTAAGAATATTATACACCTATTTACTGGCTATGAGGACAATAGCAAGTTTATCGTTCCCCAAGACAGCAAACTATTTCCCGAGGCGAAGCCGAGGGAAATAGTTTGCTGTCAGGTCACGCTAAACTTGCTATCTGGCCACTAAATAGGTGTTTTATTATACCGATGCTGACTTAACTTTTGTTAACTTTTGGGAGTCCAGGGTACACACAATTATGATATTCCACATTATACCGATGCTGACTTAACTTTTGTTACATCATAATATATACGCGTCACAATCCGTATAAAACCAGAAGTTTTCTGAGATGAAAAGCGAGGGAAACAGAATGCTGCCGGTGAATAGTTTGATGACTATTTCACCATGGGCAGATAGCACAAAAACTATTTCACAGTAGGGGCTGTTTGAAAAAGATAGCATGTTTATTCGTCATGTTTTTATATTGAACAAATTCACATAGGAATAATAATACGAAATATTTGAGTATATAGTGTTATCTAAATTTGTTTGTACGTTTGTGCGTAAAAATTCACATTATCACAAGGAATGGACACATGTGAAATATGAAGTATCTTTACTCCATACAAACTCTAAACAGGCCGGTATTAGTGGGGCGAATCTTTTTTGCGAAAAAGCAAAAAATCCCATGACAGGACCGTTTTAAAATGTTAAGTACATGTTAAATTAGTAATATAAAAAATACGAAAAAAATTCATCGACAGGAATTTTTTCAGCTAAATTTAAACAGTAAATCTGAACAAGAATAATTAAACACCGCAAGCCCCCAAAGGGTCGAAAAGGTGGAAATGGAGAGGGGGGTCGTGCTGTCTAAATTACATCTGGTCCAATGAATTATTCTAATCCACTGGTCAACTGGCTAAAATTATTTCACATAACGTTACATGTGCAAGTAACTCATGCACATTTACTAAACTGTAAATTGTAAATCTTAAACTGTACATTGACCATACGCTGCTTATAGCATATGCAGTAAAAAAAGAATCCCCTGTAAGTTTTTCAGTTTGAATATTGCCACGGACATTTAAAGATATACACACCTGCTTTGACATATCCCATCAGTCCCCCGGCCGCCACTGTCACAGAGTAAGCAAGGCTAACGATGTCCACACCTCCCATGTTAATTGAATGCAAAACGAAAGTGAAAAGCGGTGGCAAGGTAATTTGTACCAAGGCAATTTCGGATTGTTACTTTTTTCCCCACACAGATTTTTCATTTATCCCATCGTGATATCAAGAATAGATCTAAAATATTTCTTTCTTTTTTTTTATTTCTTTACTAGGATGTGTGTTGTAGAAAGATATTGTTTACATTTCATAAAGAAACAAGAGGCCCATTGTTCATAACACTCACCTAGGTCACATAATACCATGACCATTTTAATGTTTTTTATTAGATGATATTTGAAACATTTTTTTTCCTCTCAGAAGATTTTTTAGTGTTCAGCTGTTCATTTCATAGCCCTTTTCAAAACTGTAGCTTGAGCAGTATATATATAACATTAACTCCATTACAAAGAAATATATACTAGGTATATATCTTTGTGTAGTTTCTTGTGTACCAAGTTTTATTTACACCAAAATAAAACTGTAGGAGGAACAATACAATGACAACAGGAGAGGTTTGTAAAACACTTATGCCCCCTTCCTCAAATAAGTCGAATTTTTCTAAGTCAAAGGGGCAAAACTCTGTCAAAAATGGCTTGATCGTACCCAAAACAAAACTTGACCTAGATATTCTTATGAGAAATCTGTATACTAATCTTCATTTCAATATGTGCAACCTCTGCGAAGAAAATGAACGAAAACTGCAAATAATTGGAATTTTTCTAAGTCCAAGGGGCATAACTCTGTCCAAAATGGCTCAATCATATCCAAAACAGAGCTTGACCTAGATATTCTAATGATAAATTGAAGGGGGCATAACAAAGTTAAAAACCAAAACACATATTGTATACAGATTGAAGATTTTTATATCAAATTCATAAATACAAGAATTGCATTGCACATAACAAACATTCTTATAAAGCACTCATGACCAACAAACATTTCTTTGTAGTTCACTGGAATAAGACATTTAAATAACAACAATTTGACAGTATTTGTCTATGGCAATGTTAGGAATTATATAGGTTATATATATTGTATAATGTTAGGGATTATGTGTCAGAATGTATTCTTGCACACAGAGAGACATATTGTATAGAAACTTGGAATGTTGTTCACAATGAAACCTTGTATCACAGTTAAATTGTATATATAATGTCAGTATGATATAATCTCATGATGTAAAGAAACAACATGTCCCATGTTTAACTACATGTATCTTTTTGCTATCTTACTATGGGATTTCACAAAAATCTATGTACTATTCATAATTAGTACAATATATATATATTTATAATATTATATGTTTATAGACATATGCACCAAATCATAAACATGATAACCTTATTATTTTTCAATTGAAAGCAAGAATAAAGTAAGAAAATACTTAACAAATATGCAAATACTTGTAGATGTGTTATAAAATAGGCATTCAGGACTTGGCTTCATTTCTTTTATAAAATTTTAGGATGGTTATAAAACGCTGTTCCTTTGGGTTTTTTTCTTTTCTCATGTAAAAAGTGAAAGATGAACAAAAACAGTTTATGAAACTTTTAACAACCCTAATAAATAAAACGTTTTACAACTGTACTAATAATATACTGAAAGGAAAAAGAAACGCAGGGTAAACTTTTGAGGTGAATGAAATTTGTTTTTCTTAAAATACTTTTTAGTTTTCCTATCTAACTTTTAAAATCATCTTTCAAAAAGATATAACCAAATTCTCATATGATTTTGCGTAATTATTCATGAGTTATTGAAGCTCAAATGACGATACCCCCCAAAAGGGAAAATCGAAAACTCTCATTATCTTCGATGTCCATCTCGTGCATCTGTCAATCTTTTTTCTCCTTTGCAGGGAATTTCATTAGATTGTTTATCTTTCAAACCCTGGCTATATTTAGCATGGGTAACCACGCAAAAAAATAAGTCAAACGGCGCGCGCATGCGCCAGTGAGAGGAATACAACAGTAAGTTGACTGGCTCAAAAAACCAAATTGCGGAATTGTTTTCTTTCAAATTTCGTAGGAATGCAATGATTATAATCGTGTACACTATAAATGGCTGTTTTTGTGGTAGTAGGGTGGCGATTTAAGAGATGGCAAGACGAATAACCCGCTCGTAACATGCCTCTGTTTCGCATTAACGTCATCGTCACGGTTGATTGAAATCCACAAAAATCTCTGTACAACGGCTAAAAAGTTTTATGGGGGAAAATTTACAAGAATATATAAACCGTTATTGTCTTTTTCATTAATTAGGCAATTCAAAACAAGACCCCATTGAACTTCCATAAACTTTGCCAAGATTGCAAAAAATTCAAAATGTCTCTTAATATTGAAAAACGATGTGCATACCTCATATGCATAAAATAATGCAACAAGATTTGTGGACAAACACGTCGTTATCAAATTGCACGTGTTTTGGGCTTTTTAGCATTTTCCCTACGTGACGTCATCAATTTTACGGTTGAGTTATTCTGAATACTGATTTTGATGCACAGTAACTAAATTTCCCATCTGACCAATTTTCGTAATTTTCGGTCATGTGGTCAAATTTTTATCGACAATTATGCTACCCTGCGTTTCTTTTTCCTTTCAGTATATTTGTGCAAGAATTTTCTCCAATAGTTTGCAGAAAATTGTACAATTACTTTCATAAGTGTTCATTTGAGTCTTCCAGGGAACCATAAGATTTTGCAGATGTCTTGTGATATCTGGCAAGTCTGTGTCTATTGAGGTAATCATTTCGCTGAAAAAAGTCTGTAACATTCCCTTTTATCTTGTTAAATATTCTGGAACCTGTGGACTGGATCTCTGGATGGAAATCAAAGTCTGCCACCTCGACGTCTCTCTTCTTCTTCAGTCTGACAAAGTACACTGCAGCGGCTACAATAACAATCAGACCCAGCATGCTGAAGACAATCGGCACGGCTAATGGAGACGAAGACCCCGTTCCTAAAAAAAAACAAATATTTCAGTTCCATGATTAAATACAAGTTTATAAACACATTATACATGTACAATTATGTTCCAGTATGGAACACCAAAAATTCTTTAAATAATACTCATTTAGATCTTATTGAATTTGTTCATGAATTGATAAAAATTGTCAACTTGTAAATTGCAAAATTGCATTTTCAAGATTTGTAAACAAAAGCAGGAACAATAATGTTTTGATAAACTGATTACAGATTGATTACAGACACCTCAATATAGCAATAGCTCTTCTGGTATTTTCCCAGTAGAGCTAAAAAGTTGACCTCTATATCACTTACCACCATTATACACTGACATGACCTGACTCTGTAAACTGATAGAGCTGACATCATTAGTAACAGTAACCTCTGCGATGTATTGCCCTGGGGACAGGACAATCCCAGGGGTGAGGAACCAGCCCCTGGATGCAGGCTCATCACACGACCTGTTGTGTACTGTATTGTTTTTGAGATCCATTATCCTCCAACATACAATAACTTCGCTAAGGAAAAAAAGGATATCATTGTTATCAAATCATGTTAAGAAAGAAATTCAATTCATAAATTTTTATAATAATATAAAATGAAATTCTTAACTGCTAATTACACTTCACAAAAAAGAGGCCAGTGGACCACAATGCTCATCTGAGTCACTCTGGCCCTGCTGTTCTTTAAAAAAAAAACCCAGTATAATGTCATAGAAATTTTGACTCCATACTGTGTACTTATTAAACTTAATCATAAGACAGCCATGACTTAATCCAAGCTGCTGAGTCCACACAACTCTGAGATGTTCCGTAAACATGCATTATGTAGAATTTGGATCTCAGATCTCCATCACTCATCAAGAAAATTCATTCACATCCAGCATATATGAAACAATTCTAAGAATGTTCATCCCTTGATGCATCATCCATGCAAGTTTGGTTCAGATAGTCTAATTCTGTAGATGTATTATTCCCCAAGGGGTCATAATTCCCTGGAATCTCTATTTACCTTTAATCCGCGGGTAGAAAATTACATGGATTTTTTGGACTCTCACTATATTCCTTAAAAGTATTTAAAGTACGATGGGACAAATTTCAGCGGACATAGCGTAAATTAATACCGCACGGAAAAAAGTACTTCTACAGTAATTTCATGGTAATGGACCTGAGAAAAAACTTTAACCTGGTCACTCATCTGGGAAATGTAAATAAAATCCAGCATTTGAAGCAAGTGAAGTAGTTGCATTATTAGATGTATCATTCATGCAAGTCTGATTAAGGTATGGCAAATAATTATTTTAGCATGAAGCTGCTACAAAACCTTAAACCTAGTCACTCATCTGAAAAATGTAGATCAGATCCAGAATCTGAAGCAAGTCTGGTAGTATGAATCCTTAGATGTATTACCCTATGCAAGTTTGGTCAACATAGGTCTTATTGTTACCTTAGAACCTGCTCCAAAAACTTTAACACACTATAAAAACATTAATCTGGTCATTCCTTAGCTGAAAATGCAGCACCTGAAACCTTGACCATTATAATGAAACATGCTAAAAGCATCTTCCATGTACCTCTGATTAATGAAGGGAAAAGTACTAAATAAGAAAACTGGACCAAAAACTTTAACCTAGCTGAGATGCCAAGGGCATCACATAAGCCCTCAACTTCATTGAGGTAAAGTTAAAAGATGAATCCACACAACTTAGATGTAGCAATGCTTAAAAGATTTCCAATTAAAATTTTTTCATTGTAACACTTTGATATCTGTGTGCCTAGCCCCATCCTACTCATAGGAGGGGGATGGTTTGAACAAACTTGAATCTACAGCTGAAGTGAAGCTTTAAACATATGGTAAGTTTTTCTGGTCAAGTGAATCTAAGAATCTTTTCTAATCTAGTTGAAATTACCCAGTGGTTCTTGAGTAGAAGTTTAAAGTGGAAAAAGTTTACAGATGGATAGACAGACAAATGGACAACTCAAAAAATGTAATCAGAAAATCTCACTTTATGGAAAGCCCTTTTGCTAATTATTCGGAAAATAAAATTTATCTTAAAATTACAGAGATGTCTCTCATTTTAAAGAGATATTTCTTCAAACATAGAGATATCTCCCAACTTTAGAGATATCATAATCTCTCACTTTAAAGAGATATCTCTCATTTTAAAGAAATATCTCTTTGAGAAAGAGATATCTCTAAAACTAAGAGAGATATCCCTTTCATTTAGTGAGATATCTCTTAAGAGAGATATCTCTTCCACTTAAAAAGATATCTCTTTTTCCTTGACAGATATCTCTTTCATGACAAGAAATATCTCTGAACATTAAAGAGATCTCTTTCACATAGAGAGATATCTCTTTTACTTTGGGAGATATCTTTCCAAATTAAAGAGATATCTCTCAAAGTAAGAGATATTTCTCTTGGTTTATCTTAAGAGATATCTCTCAAAGTAAAAAAGATATCTTTCAAAAGTGTCAGAAAGATATATCTCAAGCAAACAAAGATATCTCTTTATTGTACAGATATATTTCTCTTCATTATTTTTATTTAAATTGTGTTTTTAATGACTTCTCCCTTTACCAGAAGTAAGCTTTTTATTCATGGATGTACATTTCAGTATTTTGAAAATTCAACATATAGTTGATTATTTCATAAACTGAGAAAATTTGGTCCATTGCATTTGAGATTGTATGCTTTCATTTTCCTGTATATTAAATTTTTAGCATGATTATCAATGAAACTGCCATTATTATTATACAGTTATTGACTGGGTATGAGGGCAACATATGATTTGTTGGACCTGAAGGTGAAAATGTTGCCCAAGGCCGCAGGCCAAGGGCAACATTTTCACCTTCAGGTCCAACAAATCATATGTTGCCCGAATCCCAGTCTATAACTGTTTTGTTATACCCTTCACTGCTCACTGAAGATTGATCAATTTAATCAATACACGCTATTTTATCAATAAATTTTATATGGAAAATTATGGCTTCTTCAGTAAATATAAAACATCAAGCTGAGAAAGAACAAAATCAATTATATACCTATTATATCACAAAAAATATTTATCACAAAACATACTCTTCCCTTCTTCCTAACCTTGCTGTTAGCAACAACACTTGTAGCTCTTAACTTCGGCTATTTTCGCGTCGCCGATATTGAACGATGATTAATTAATTGTGACGTAACAGATCTTTAACGTTGCTATAAAAATTCTTATGTAAGACCGGTCAATAGTGAAATTGTTAGACCGATGTAATAAACAGTTCTTTTGTTGGACTTTTTATAAGTAATAAATATATAGAATGATATTTATAAGGGTATAACAAATGTTGTTTCAAACTAGGGATTTATAGCATTTTTGTCTACATACATGTAGTACATATATTATTCTGGGTATGACATGCTCAGTCTTTTTTCTCATAACAGTGACTTCCAGAGACTTTACTTCCTGTCTCGCTTTTGTATGAAAGGGGAGAATTAATTATTTTATTTTAAGGATCACTGGAAAAAAGATATCTCTTTCATTAAAAGAGATATCTCTTTAGCTTAGAAAGATATCTCAAAGAGATATATCTCTCTAACTAAGAAAGATATCTCTTTTAATCTTGTTGAAGAGATATCTCTCTAGCTTATAAAGATATCTTTCAAAGTAAAAGAGATATCACTCTTCCAAAAAGAGATATCTTTTTTTTGAAAGAGATATCTCTCTAAGGTATTAAGATATCTCTTTTAGTCAAAGAGATATCTCTTTTATTTAAAGAGATATCTTTATAGAGATATATCTCTTATTGAAAGAAAATTTATATTTCACAAATCATAGTAAAAGGGCTTGCCATACACTTGAGTTATCAGTGTGGTTGAAATTCCCCAGTTGTTCTCGAAAAGAAGTCAAAAGTGTGAAAAGTTTACAGATGGATAGACAGACAAATGGACAACTCAAAAAATGTAATCAGAAAAGCTCAATTAATTTATCAGCTCAGGTGAGTTAACCAAGAATAAAAGGAATCCTAACCTGCCATCAAAGGTGATATTGAGTTTAACAGGTTCACCGGTGATGGTCTCTGAACTAGATAGGATGTTCACATTCTGAACCTCATCTGTAAAAGATAACATTTACATTAACATATACTACTGTCTCAAAGCTAGGTTGATTTCAATAATCAATGTCAACATTTATATATAAATGAAAGATAAAATGATCATCTACAGGTATTTAGCCTGTTAGTAACCTCTTTGTACTCTCAATATAACCCATTGGTACAATACCAGTACAGAAAATAAACATTATTTTATAAGTTGGGTTGTAAAGAACCTCAGTAATAGTGTATACTTTCAAGTTTAATGTGGCAAGAATTCTTAGAAGCAAGTTTATACTGATTACTGATTATTTAAGATGTGCCTTTCATTGCCCATTGTTCAACTGATATAGTAGATTTAAAAATTTTTTTTTACTTCTCATTTTTAGAGGTAGTTATTTGGAAGTCATACACAACAGAGAATTATCAGTTTTTGATTCAACTGAAGAAATTGTACAAAAATTTTAATTGCATCATGAGCTGTTCATCCCCAAAAAAAAAATTTATCAGCAGTCAATAGTTTAGAATTAAGGTATCATTTTTAATTATTTGATTTTCAATTCACTCAGAATTCTTGGATGCATTACTGTATGCCCTGTTCACACGGAGAGTTTAATTCGAATTAAACGTAAAGTTACTGTGAATTAGCTTCGCTTAGCGTTCACATGGAGAATTTAATGCGAATTAGTTTAATTCAAATTAGTTTACTGTGCATTAAATTACTTTTAATTATTTGATTTTCAATGGCAAAATTTAGTCAAATGCCACTTGTCGGTGGTCAGCTATAGGTACTTATGCTATTTTTGAGTGAAAAACTACGGAAATGTTTGTTAATCATTAAAATGTGTATGCAGACACTTTGCCAGTATGTCAAATGGATCTGCTTCTGCATAAGGTGACATGATTTGCAAATGACGTCATAATAGCCGTGCTGGCGCCGGGCTGCAGAATTAAAAATTTAATTCGCATTAGTTTAATTCGCATTAGCTGTCGTGTGAACGCAATTTAATTCACATTAGTTTGATTCGCATTAGTTTAATTCGCATTAATTTACCGTGAATTAAACTCTCCGTGTGAACAAGGCATTAGATGTACTTTTTCCCGACAGGATAAATTATTTTACACATTATGTAGGCAATCACAAATTTTTCGCAGAAAATCGTCCCATTGATTTACTTGATATACAAGGCATATAAAGTGAGAGTCTGTGAAAATCTGTGAAGATTTCTACCCCTGGATTAAACAAAAATAAAATAGATTCTGTTAATTTATAAACCTCTTGAAAAAACTATGTCTACCGTGTTGAAATAGATTGATCTTGATATATATATAAGGAAAACTTTAACTACCGGGTACATGAGTTTATGCAAATTTTGCACTGCATATATTCCTATGCATGGGTCAATGTACACATAGATAATTATATATACAGGCGATTATCATTATCATAACATTCACTGTAACACATTGAAGGTCAGCAGAATACTGGGTTATCTAAATAAATAAAGGCTGAGCTTGATATACTGGTTAGATACTATATGTTCATTGTTTGACGTATCTGAATAATTCATAAGGTAGCCCAGATGGGACTGCCTTACACTAGCACATAGCTTAATAGCCTAACACCTGATAAAACGCCTCCCTCCAAACAAAGATTTCAATTTTAAATTGGGTACATGGCCTCTCATTTTGTAAAATGCATATGGGATTTAACGAGGCTGGGGGGTGGCAGCCATTTTCAGACTATTTTGATCTCCTTTAAAAGAAGAGCTCCATATAGAAATATACAAAAATGATCAAATTTTAAAACTAAAATGTATGATTTTTTTCTTTGCCAAATGATTGTTGACAGGTTAAGATACCGTATCTAAAAAAATAAGTTAAATCTGGTGGTTAATTTGTGGTTAATTTGTTGACCCCCCAGCCTCCTTAAGATGAAATACATTATCTAATGGATATATTACACACTAAATGTATTTCCTAATGGATATAAATAAGCTGATTTAAGTCAGTCAGTGAAGCATTTAGTGATGTACTGCCTTTTAAAGGCAGCATATTGTTAAAGTGAAATATACATATATTCTATCTTTTTTTTCAATTTGACAATGAAGATACAGTAAAACTCATTTAGTACGACATTGGATATAGCGAATTCACGGATATAGCAAAGTTTTTTTAGGTCCCCGGCAAAATTCTTAAAAAATCTTTCAATTGTAAAATTTTACGGTTATAATGAACTCTATTTTAACGAATTTACGGATATAGCGAACTGATTTTGAGTCCCGTTGAGGTTAAATATAATGAAATTTACATAAATAACGAATTTTCAAATCAATTCATAAGAAAACCTTAGTCATTGAAGATATATGTTTTGTAATATTTGCTTCACTAACATAGTTGGTATTAATACTTGAAAGAAAACATGCACAGTGCGAATTCGCTATAATGGTTATAGGAACTCGTTATACGGATATAACGAATTACGGATATAGCGAATTAAATTCACAGGTCCCCAGGACTTTGCTATAACCGAGTTTTACTGTATGACTTTTTAAGTGATATTTTCCCAAGAAACTTGTATCAATTCATTTTTTTTTCTTTAACCATAAAACTCTGCTTTGTTACATCTAAAGACATTCATTTTATTATGTTTATTTTGTATAGATCAAAATCTCAATAATTCATATTGTGAGGAGCACTTTTATTAACATATGTAGTGTAACTTCTCAAGTCATGAGTTAAATTCCTGTACTATTAAAGTGTGATGTGATGACCAGGATTATGTCGTCAAAGGAAACTGAGGTCATTATGACTTTGATTTACAACTGAATGCACATATTTTAGGTTATGAAATCATTAATATCTTGTGACACACATAACAATTGCAAAGAATACATAAACATTTGAAAACACACAACAATTATTTACAAACTGTAGAGACACAATCCTTAAATGTATTCAGAGAGTCCATACTCCAACGGTACACTGAGTGAATGACAACAGTGTGATCACATGATCATAAGACTACAATGATTGGGTGGAGAGAGTATGATCACACAATGATGAGGCAATAATGTGTGGATGAATTGATTTAAGTTATGTTTAAAAGTTATGTCCATGGTTAAAGTTTTTTTAAAGTGGGTCAAACTCAAAGTTCAAGGTCAAGAGGTAAAAAAAATTATATCCATGAAAAATTTGAACTCTTGTCACATTGACAATGAATACACATTTGAAATATGAAAGCCCAGCTAGCATCAACTGTTCAAAAGTCATGTCCAATGTTAAAGTTTTGTAAATTTTTGCAAGAGGAGGTCAACCTCCAAGGTCAAGAGGTCAAATATGTTGGTTCCCAAAGAAAGGCCTTGTTACAAGGAATACACATAAAGAAAATGGAAGTCATAGCTCCGACAAATAAAAGGCTGGACAAGGTTAAAGTTTTTGTGGACAAACAGACAGACAGGACAAAAGCTATTTACCATCAGATCTTTGCTTTGATTGCAGTGGCATAAAAACAGGCTTTAGAGAAACTAATGGACTTGATTATTGATGAGAACTACAAACCCTCAAAATAAACAGATTTGGACCAGGTTCCCTTCAGTTTTTTCTGTGCATCAGCTAAATCCATGGTGACTTGTACACGGATGTTACAAATTCCAGTACTGTTATGGGTAAATTCAAAAAAGTTGACATTTTCTTTGGTTTCCACACGCCGGCCATCTATGAACCATTCAAACCAGTATGTATTTGCTGTAAAAAACTTGTCAGTTAAGTTCACACTTTGCTGTATTGGTCTTTTTGTAGAAAATATTCCTGGGGTAGCATTTGTATAGGTGAGATTTTGAAAAATGTGAGCTTTTCCATTCAAGGATGCTGAAAAAAAATAAAATGAATTTGTTTGACTTTTAAAAAAAAAATTCACTGATTATCATCATTGATGGAAGAAATCGAGAATTCTGTCAGCTGAGTATATGTACCTGTTAATTCAAAGATAGTATGATTCTCTGCAATCTTTCTGTAAACCCAAATGTTTTCTTTATGCTGTTTGTAAACACAGACTTTCATTTGGTATTTGTTTGGCAGGATGAGTTCCGAGTCAAACAAATAAGACGATATATTGCTTCTATAGTTGTTTGTGGTCTCAAGTTTGTCAGTATGGTCAGCATCATTCATCCAGTGGTACAGAAATTTCTTTTTGTTGATGACCACTTCTTCCGCAAACAGCTCTGCAAGAAAATCGATCTCTGACCAAATGACAGCTGGCCCAGTGTTTGACACATCAACTTTGAATTTCTCTTCTGTAGGTAAAAATGTATTTTTTAATCAAAGTTGGTACTAATTATAAAAAATAAATAATAAAATGTACCAGTATATATTCATTGCAGATTGTTAAACTACATATAAAAACAAGCTGAAAGAATAATAAATGGCTCTCATGTAAATGATTGAGAGGTTCAAGCCCTAAAAATTCTTTTTTGTTCACGTAAAAAGCTAATTTAATGAAGAATAAAATCTAATGACTTTAATTGTGTTTTCAAAACATATAGCGCAATTTGTAAAAATAACATGGATGTATCCCTAATTAATATTGATATTAATCGTTTAATTAACTATAGTGCAAACAATTAGACATACAAAAAACATTAGAATCATATCAAAAATTAATTTAGTGTTAAACATTTCTCTTCGTATAACTCTAAGTTCGTAGGGAAATGATATACTTATGGTAAGTATATATATACAAGTATATAAGTATTAGGCGAACCACGTATAGGGCGAATAAGATATATTAGGTGAAGAATATTTCTAACGCTTGATCACTCCCATGAACAAGGCAGTTACCTTGAAGAGACTCTCTTTAAAGTGTTAAATGAACTCTCATGTTTTATGAAGTTGATTTGACAAATTTAGGAAATCTAGCTCATTAGCAAGGCAGTTTCAGTTCCCTTAGTCTGTCTGTCTGCTATACACAGGATTTGATAATACAAAGAAGAGTCTGTTCCATCAGTGAGCTATGTATATATAGGTCCCTGATTCCATTATGAAAGTCACATTTCCTTGTTTATAAAAAGACATTTTCTTCCATAACAAGAGAATTATTTCTGATATTTTGATAACAAGAATTGACTAGTTATTTATAGTTTTTATACAATCTTATTTTCTTTCAATATTTTTTCACAAAAAAAATATAAAGAGAGGGGAAAAAATAAACGCAGTAAAATTGTAGTAGGCCCTAAATAAATGCAATAATACTTATCTACAGATCAATATATACAAATATATTTCGTGACAAACAGCACATGGTACAACATGAAACTTTTAAAATTTGATTCTTCGACTAAACAGCTATAAAGAAGAAAAAAATAACGATATGTTTTCTCACTTACCATCATGTTCATTTGATTCTATAAACTTCTCCGATATCTTTCTTAACCCCGAATTCAAATCTCTTATAGTTACCAGCTGATCGCATTTTCTGAAACTGTGTGCACTCGAAAACAGTAACAAAACGACCACCGCGGTGAACATCGTATTGATGCAACTTGTGTCACCGAATTTCATTCATTTTCAGATTCACTCGTAGTTTGGTAAGTGTTCTACCTTCACCACTTGTTCTGTTTACAAACCAGACATATTTTACGAGTGTCACATGCTTAAACACAAGGGGGATGCAAAATTTACGCAATCTTGATCAAACTCCGCCCACTTTCAATTTCAGTAAGTCGTGGAACATACTAAAGACCTGATATACTAAAGACCTGATATTTTGACCTGATGAAAAAAAAAAACGTCACATAAAATTATCTATTTTTCTGTTTCAATTTTTTGGGAGAAAATTATTGATAATGCTATACTTAAATGATTTTTAATAAAAAAAGTACATACACATCTTTTCAGACTTTTTTTGACATTGACATCAAAGTGTTTTACAAAAACTTGTTGACCTGATATTTTGAATGCAATTTTCCAAACTTTAACCTTCGTCAAATTTTTATAAATGACTTCAACTTTGAAGGAATTTTTAATCTTGATATTTATTTATAATTCTTTTCATATGTGCAATTAAACACTTTAAATGGTTTCTTTAGATCCAACAAATCTTTTTTGCCTTGGATTCAATTTTAAAATTTTACGAATTTTACCTGATGATTTGAAATGACCTTTTGATGATTTTCCACTAAAGACCTTTTTAACTATTTTTTAATGACAACTGATATTTTTAAATTTTGATGTGGTGGGTTCATATACCACACATTTATATTCTTATAGCATATTTTTAGCAAAATAAAGCAGATTTTCAATGTTAAACTTGATAAAATTTTAATATTTGCAGAAATCTTGCCTTTAACTTTAAATAGTCAATGTTAGGGGCTTTACATTTCACCTAAAAAAAATTTTGTGACAAGATCTTTTCATCTATACCATATATTTTTGTGAATATACCTAAGAATACATTTTGAGCCAAAAAATTATCTCTTTATATCCACTAAAAGTGTATTTTTGTATAGTATTTCACTACTATCAAGAATATTTTTGCCCCAGAAATTTTTTTGAAATATAATGTTTAAATTGATAATTTATATGAAACAAATATTTTTTTCATCAGGTCAATTATTAACAGATTTTCAAGTATTTCAGTGTCTTTAGTATTTATTTTTCATTTTCCTAGTTTGAGGTGCTTCGATTTACCTCAAAAGGATTTTTATAAGAACCCAAAAGGAAATCAAAAGAACTCAAAATGAATATATTATGATACACTAAATATTAATAATTTGAATTAAATTATAAATTTTATATTATAAGTTAACATAAAAGTTGGCAAAAACATGTGCTTATTAATAAATAGCTGCAACTTTTCTTATATTCAAGATATGGCCAAAAATCAAAGTGTAAAAGTATATATAGCACAAAAAAATCAAACACAAAATTTCCTGGTAATATACATTTACACAATGTGTTATATTTTTGACGAGAAAATAACAAAGTATTATTCTGACAAACTGTTCAAGATTTACCAAAAATTATATACAAGTACCTTAATTACTTTCTAATAAATAAAGGAATCGGATTTTCCTGTTACTATGCACATCCACGCATTGTGTTCTAAACATCTGCAAAGTTTAACAAAATTGTGTGCAGCGGTTTATGAGGAGTTGCGCTGACAAAAATAACAGGAATGTGACACAATGACTTTTGATGAAAAAAACATTTATCTCTTTGGCAATATTTAAAACAGTAACTGAATTATGACATAATTACTGTTTACTTCAAATTTTATTATGAAAATAAAATCCACATGAAAATGTGAATACATGTGTACTCATTACTTCACTGACTTTTTTTTTAAATTATACATAGTTTTATTTTTTAAATAAAAAAAAAAAAAATAAACAATTCTTCATGACAATCCATCATTCAGGAGTTATTGCATGTTTATCTGCTATCTGGTTTCAACCATTTATTATAAATCTCAAAAAAAATTTTGGTTACAAAAAATGCAGCAAAGAGAAATTAATAGAAACTAACAGAATTTCAATTTCAAAGTCAGTAACTTTAGTATAAAAAGTCACAGGCACCTGACTTTACTTATTTTTCTTTTGATAAAAAAAATATACCCTTGCCTAATAATAAACCAAGATGGGGACCTTGGTTTATTATTAGGTAAGGGTATATTTTTTTTATTAAAAGAAAAATAAGTAACGTCATTTGCCTGTGTAAAAAGTGTATTTAACAAGCTTGAACCTATTATGATCGAAACTAAAAGTTCTATAGATCACATTTACCACATTTACATAGTACAATAACAAAGTATTTCAAAAAAATATCCTATACAGTCATTTCAGATTTGAAATCAAATATCCTATTCTATGTCTCTTAAAATGCTGAAGGAAGAATAAAGTTGAGGTACTGTGAGCACTGAGCTTAGTAACTGATATCCCCTGCAGGGAGACCCAAAATATGTGTCAGATCAAAAAGTAAAATTGGAGGTGCAAAATGGCATTATGTAATAATTTAAAGATATCTATGAAAGTATTATTACATTTTATTCAGTGGTATAGGAGGAGTTGCAGATAAGAGATGGGTAATTTTAAATCTGATCAAAAAGTAAAATGGGAAGTCACATTGGCACTATGTAACAAAGATTCTTTGAAAGTTTCATTAAATTTCATTCAGTGGTATAAGAGGAGTTGCGGATAAGAGATCGGTACCCCATAGCGGAAAGACAGACAGAGTGACAATCATCCTGATCACTATATACCTTCCTCTTTAAGCAGGGGGCATGAAAAGTGAACTGTCAATCAGAATGTGACTGATATACAGAAGATTCTGAATTCACACCAACATACAAAAAATAGGTGGAATCTTTATGTAGAAAGCATCCTATAAAACTGCTTACATCTATATATAAAAGTACTGTATCACAATACAATGTATTGGTTAAAAACAACTCGGATGTCCATCAGAGGGCCCCTACACAAGGTAATTGTAACAACTGAATGTTTGATCAAAATAAAATATACAACATCTTTAGATACCAAATTAACACATGTATACTGTACATTGTAACATAAAACCTGGAGGGACATGGTATATATACAATCTTGCATCAGTCTTTGAAGTCTGATGATCACAGAAATTTGCCATAACAACCTGATAACTTTCCTATTTCAAACAATTCCATGATAAAACTCCAAATGCCAAGTAGTGTAAAAAAATATATACATTGTATAAACTCTCAATAAAGCACAGAAGCATTACTATTTTGGTAATTCTATCAGCATTTATTTTTAGGTTTATTTGCAACCATGCAGGCTGTTTAAAGTTTTATCTTTAAACTAAAAAGTAAAGTTTTTTTTTCCATGAGCATGAAGAAGGATTTGGAGATTGTTTCAGAAGAACTTGCATAAAAGGTATGATTCTGAGACAAATACAATGCCAATGGGCCCTATGCCATTCTTCGGAAGCCCTGACTGTTGTAGCTACACAATTCCAATGGGCCCCTTACAATACTCCTGAACCCCTGATTATTGCAATTACACTATCCCAAAGCCCTCAGTCTGCTCTATGGCCAGACGTAGTTTCTCCTTCATGGTCTGGTAATCCTGGTACTTTGGGAGGTCCAGCAGGTTGAAGCAGGTGTGAGCCACGGGGAGGTAGTTGTTCCCCCCGTGAGTGGGCTGGATGATCATTTTAACAGCTTTCATTCCAAGAATGGGAATACGATCGCTCCCAGTCAGAAACACTGAAAAAGACAAAACAATCACTGAAGCCAAAAACTGAAATGCTGAAAAATTAAACTTTCTGGTTTTCTTTTCCTTTCAGAGGATAGTTTTAAATAGAAAAAAGTTTGTAATACACAAACAGTTGCTATATTAGAATTAATTTAGGGAGGTCAACGAATATTCGAATATTCATTCGATGAGTTGATATTCGAATACAAATTTGTGATTCGAATATTCGGTTTTTAAGTATACAAGCATTTAATAGACTCTGACTGATAAAGATCTGACAAGTTTTATTTGAAATTGAATGAAGTTCGTACCGTTGACATGAATAGGATTTGATTTTTTTAAAAATTAACACTCCTGTTGGATTACTTTAAAAGTGTGAAGAGTGTAATTATTAGAATAAACTAGATACGATCTCGTTGCGAGCAACGAGAGGTCTTCCGTCTGATTCAGGAAAAAAAACCTTGTAAAATTAAGCTGATAAGTGATTCAAAATTTTGGTCACAAGGAGGATTAAACTCAGGTCGCCAACGTGAATGCACTTTTTTTCTCTTTTATCCCTAACGCGCATACCATTATGCTATAATTTGGAGCACTGCTCTAAATATACTTTTGTATACCGCGGTACTTTTGCAACAGTACATTTGTCTAAGAATTATAAAAGGCGGACCACTATTCATAATTTCGCGCTAAAAGCCACGAGTAAATATTCGTGCCTTTTCTTTGGACTGATCTATTAAATAGGTGTGATAGCTTCAATGAAATTAAATAAATAAAACGTTCTTATGGCCTTTATTTTATTTCGACGTTAAGAAAGTATATTTAAGGATTTCAATCCCTAATGGTACCAAATTCTCTACCCTTAAATGTCCGTGAAGTACACAATACTCTGATATTATATTAAAGCATTTTATAGTGGAAAAGGATTGCCCACGAAAAATTTTGAAAAAGTTCATTAATTAAGCAGTAGTTAATTAACAAAGATTGCATTGAAGGCTATGGGGAAAAGTGTTTTTTCAAAATAAAAATTCAAATAATTTGAATATCAATAAATCCTGTGGTGGAAAGATGCATTGAAATATTATAGATAGAATGATAATTGAAAACAAATTTTTTACCAGCTAAATTTTTTTTAATTGATTTTTTTTTTTTATTAATTAAAAAAAGGGGAGATAACTCTTACCAAAATTCAAGGTCATGAATTAGGACACATCCCACTAAACATACTTATAGTAATAAATGGGAAGTACGTCTAAATAAACTGAGTATTCAATGCCTACATATCTGCTATGTCTTCAATTTCATTGATTTTCTTCCTATTAGGGATTGAAGATCTTAACACATTGTACACATTACATATCGTATCTAGCCCAGTTACACTAAAGCAGTGAAACGGAAATTAAGTTTCAAGATTGACACTCAATTGCAACGTACTACTACGTGAAAGTCCAGGTAATTTTTCACATTTCATGTATCCTTATGTCAGAATGGTTCAATCAAACGCTCAGCTGCCTCCATAAACCCCTACTCGCGAAATGGCGGAGTTGACAGAGACAGCCGCCATCTTGGGCCCGCTTAATTTTCAAATATTAATATCTAAGTTCAGATTAACCAATACTAAAACAACTTATTTAGTAAGCATCAATGGAAAGGTCACTATTAATATTCCAAAAATAAATGAAAAATATTGAAGAACAAAAAAGTTAGAAAATGCACTTTTTTAAATTCGCATCTCCTAACGACAGGAAGTATTGACGACGAACGAAAGGTCGCGTCCTGGATAGTGAATATCACGATCTATAATCCCTGAAAGTTTCATGTTGATATCTTCTACCGTTCTTGAGATTAACCGTAGACAAAATGTCATTTTAAATTCAGAAAATGTCCCGTAACTTGGCACCAGAAGAGAATTTTCAAAAAATCTCTCGGAAAAATAACTTCAGATAACAACACATAATTTCAGTAAATTTCATGAAAATCCACCCAGTAGTCTTCGAGAAATCGCGTGCACAAAATTTAGTGTATGGAAAAATAATAATAATAATAATAATAATAAGAAACAATAGAATCACTATAAGGTCTTCCGTGAAGACGGAAGACCTTAATAATTCTTTGATCATTTAATTAGTGGTATAACAGTACCAAGTACTTATAATCAGTTTGTATTGTTGTAAGGACACAGTTTTACAGAAAACACATGGATCCCTTGTTTATGTATATATCATTAAAAATAATTATCGGGTAATTAATTCACTAAAATTAATTGATTTTAATTTTTCTTCCGTAGATAATTGTTTAGAGTGGTATAAATTTGTAGGAGTAAGTAGTGTAGACTTTGGTAAGACGATCAATTAATCTAGCTGGAACATATCAAAGAAGCTTTTGAATTTTCAAAAACAAATTTGCATTACATTTAGATGTATACTCTTCATATATTCTGTAAATTAAAAAAAAAAATATAATTACTTTGCATGTACAAAACTCTATGTGAAATTTTATTTCAAAATAATGACTAAACATATACTGTGCTTTTTGTATTTATTTTAAATTTTATATTCGATTGGAGGTATCAATTATTGACAATTTTGACATCCCTAAATTAATTCCTTCACTTCTATTTCAATTTGACTTATATAATGACATGAACTTAAATATTAATGGTTTTAATTATATTTATTTATACATGTATATTAACATAAACTTTTTTGCAATTTTATTGGTGGAGATGAAAGAAATTTCATATATGTGTTGTGCTATACATGTACTGTGTCTGAAAGAACACATACTGTTTATATGACTGGCTTGCTACACTCTAACTTACACAAAAACTTCTTTTTGAGCTGAATGGGTAACTCATGGAAAACATTCCAGAAGAGTTGAATTGTGGGATGTTGTCTGTAGTATTCCCCTTTATATTCAGCATTCTGTCAAATCAAACATCAAAATGAGTAATGCTAAACCAGTTCATCATACCATAATTATTCAGGAAAAATTTGTATAGTTGTTTACTTCTTTCCTTCACATTCATCAAACAGTAAATATACATGTATATAGTATACCACTTCAAATTCATGGAAATCATAGTTTTCATTTCCTATGACCATAGCCTGCAGCTCTTGTGGATGGAACAATTCCTAAAACCATAAAATACAAAACTGTGATAAGGATTAAACTAAATGCTTTATGTCTCCAAAGTAAATTTAAGAAAAACAAGAGATGTTTGTATAAAACACTTATGTCCCCCTCCCCCAAATAATTGGAATTTGTCTAAGTCCAAGAGGCATAACTCTGTCCCAAATTACTCCAAAGGGGGCATAAATATAGTATGTAGAAACATTCACACATCAACAAATAGGCAAGTTTCTAAGTACATGTGTACTTACAAGGACTTTTCCACCACAAACTTTGTGGAAGCCATTACTGAATTCTCGGAAATGGTCTTCTACTGACTTGTTAAAGACATAGTCCACATAGGCATCGATATATTCCTGCCTGTAAAAAAAACTCAAGCTTAGTTTTCTGTACATAAACTCTATAAAATCAAAGTGTGTAGAATATTGGATTCCTTTGTAATTTCCACCACTGACCTATTATCTTTGGTTACAGATTTTTCGGATCCACCCTCCACTAAAGGTATATGTCGGACTTCTCCAAAACTCTCTACTGTAATCTATCATATAAAAACAATGCTGTATTCATGGGATTCTATCTTACTTTAAAATAAAAAAGGTATATAATGAAAAAAAATTAAACAAACCTCAAAAGTTAAACAGAAGACATCTTCTACATCATCTTCTTCATAATCTAACAAGTCATGCATGCCCCTGAAAAAATAGACAATCATTCAAATGACACTGTAGTGTACATAACCTGAAGAGTCATTGGAGAACTGAAAATGTCTTTTAAATAAATACCCAGTAGCTGAATCAGTGTGAAGAAAAATTCTGTATTTTTTGTGGTTAGAGAAAAAAACTGGTTGGCAAGGGTTTGAATTTGGAGAATCCTTATGAGATATTCAGTACTGGTATTTGAACTTCAAAATTACCTCCCTTTAAATTATTCACTTACCTTCCTACAGAGGGCATCAATTCCATCAAATCCTCTAATGTTGTCTTCCTGTCAAAAAAAACATGAGGTGTACTTCAAGCAGGTACTAAAACATTTAATTTTTAAACTAAATCTGAGGAAGAGAGCTGTACCTGTTGAGCAGTTTTTTGTACAAAGCGAGCGGGAAGCTGAGGCCGATGATGGTGGAGTTGTATATTGCGAGTCCACACACCGCCCCGATCAGGTGGAACATCTGTTTGTCCTCAAATGACTGAAAATATAATGTTAAAAATACCACAGAAGCAGGTTTTTATATAATTAATCAGTGCTTTAAGAAAGAGAGTAATGCTGAACTTACTGTTGGGTTAAACCATTGTAGTCTGGATTCCTCAAAGAATTTAAACATTCCATACTTTGGGTCAAGAATTTCTTTCATCAGTAGCAAAAAGAACTCCTAGACAAATGTACAGAAACAACACTTTCACAATTTGACATCTTTTAAAGAATTTCAAACAACAGAGGCTTTTTAAGTTAACAAGGATTTAAATAATAAAAATATTTTAAAGTGTGACCTTCATACTACCAAATCTAAATCATATACATGTAATATACATTTAAATTTTTTTAACAAAAAGGTAGAAACCAGAAAGCAGGAATTTTAAAGAGAGCTGTCCTTTTGGAGATGCTCACCTTTCTGACTCCACCTTCATCCACCGCTTCCTCTCCTAAAAATATCACCTTTGAAAAGAGAAGAAAAGATGAACATTTTAAAATTTTATATTACCAGGGGTAATAATACACAAAGCCAAAAATTTTATAATAATAATAAACAAAGCCAAGATGAGACTGACCTTGACCTTTGTATTTACCTTGAGAGGTTTCTTGAGATCAGCAGGTCCTTGTCGAGACAATTGATGAAGCGTATCGGTAACAATATTATGCCGCGTCACGTGTAATACTAACATAGGATTAATGGGATCAATTGGAAGAAACAAATTCTGGAAATTTCGTCTCTGGACCTCTTCATAGGCAGACTACAAAATTACCAGTAAAGATAACTGTTTATTAATTCCTTGTTCTGCATTGTGAACAATCAGACGGGTTTATATAAATCAAGAAGAAATTATTGGATAAGCAAAAGGGAAATAAAGTTCTCAATAAATATTTTGATTAAATTACCTGCATCTGCATACATGCATCTGTCTGGAGGAGAACACTTTTAGCTGAAGCATCAAAGATGAATGGATAATCACAAAAGTGAATCTGGGGCTGAAAAATAACAGTTTTTTAAATATTTACTTTCAAAACATTTAAGGGAACTTACTGATTGGAGGATTCAGACTTACAGTGTATATTATAAAAGGAATTTGTCTTACAGTTCTTACTGGTGAAAGAATTCAGGCAAATTGTCTATTAATAGACATATTTTGTCATACAGTACTTACTGATGGGAGGATTTTTCCTCTGTGAACCCAGTTGACGTAGTCCTTCCTTATGTCAATTTTCTCTGCCACTTCTGATATGTAAAAGTTGTCATACGGAATGATCTGTCCATTGTTGTCATTTACACTGTTCAGTTTCTTAAGGACTTCTAATGAAGACTTTAAACATTCAAACCGAATCACCATCTACAAAGAAAAAAAATAAACCTCTAGAATCATACTCATTTTTTTAGCTGAAAAAACAAGAGGCCCACGGGCCGTATAGGTCACTTGAGTATCATATGTAACAACATTCAAACAATTGAATTTGGTTCTGTTTTAAACAAGAGGCCATGAAATTCACAATTTTGAAAGAGGCACCATTGCTTATCATTATTATAAAGTTAGCATGCTTACAGTACTCTATTTACTTAATACCCAGAAGCAGATCAGAGTAAAAAAGATAAAATGCACTTCCACTTTATAACCAGTTGTGCATCCCACCCTAAAGAAACCACTGACCCTGGAGCCATGAAATTCACAATTTTGGAAGAGGCACTCTTGCTAATCATAACTATCTACTTAGTTAGTAAATTTAATACCCAGAAGCAGAGAAGAAGATTTTCAAAGAATTAATGCATTTTCACTACTGTATACAGGGTTATTTTCGCCCTCTTGGAATTGCGAACAATTTTGCGCCATTTTAAATTTGCCCAGTCATAGTTCTGTTTAAGAAATTATGCTGTGTTCTTTGAATTCGCCCCGTTTTAAATTCACCCAATCATGAAGAGGGCGAAAGGGGCGAAAATAAAACGGGGGTGAAAATTTCCCTGTATACAGTATATAATCAATAGAGCCCCGCCCTAACACCAGAACCCCTGACCCTGGGGCCATAAAATTTACAATTTTGGAAGAGGCACTCTTGCTCATCATAACTATGTACTTAGTTAGTGTATTTAATACCCAGGAGCAGAGAAGAAGATTTTCAAAAAAATAATGCATTTTCACTATATAATCAATAGAGCCCCGCCCTAACACCAGAACCCCTTACCCTGTGGCCATAAAATTCACAATTTTGGAAGAGGCACTCTTGCTCATCATAACTATGTACTTAGTTAGTGTATTTAATACCCAGGAGCAGAGAAAAAGATTTTCAAAAAATTAATGCATTTTCCCCATATAATCAATAGAGCCCAGCCTTAACACCAAAACCCCTGACCCTGGGGCCATAAAATTCAAAAAATTCAAAGAGGCACTCTTGCTCATCATAACTACATACTTAGTTAGTGTATTTAGTACCCAGGAGCAGAGAAAAAGATTTTCAAAAAAATAATGCATTTTCACTATATAATCAATAGAGCCCCGCCCTAACACCAGAACCCCTGACCTGGGGCCATAAAATTCACAATTTTGGTAGAGGCACTATTGCTCATCATAACTATGTACTTAGTTAGTTTATGTAATACCCAGGAGCAAAGAAGAAGATTTTCAAAGAATTAATGCATTTTCACTATATAATCTATATAGCCCCACCCTAGCACTAGAACTCCTGACCCTGGGGCCATGAATTTCACAATTTTGGTAGAGAACTCAATGCTCATTACATTCATGCTAACAATTTGCCTGCTTGATGTCCAGGAGTAAAGAAGAAGATTTTAAAAGATTTCATTAATTTTAGTGGTTTTGGCCCCACCCCTCAAGCCCCAGGGGGGCAGGGACCATGAAATTCAGTTTTTCTTCCCCTTCATCCATAGATGCTGTATACCAAGTTTGGTTGAAATTGGTTCAGTGGTTTCAGAGAAGAAGTGAAAATGTTCAAATGTAAACACACGACACACAATGCACGACGGACGACGACGGACAAAAACGGATAGCAATAGGTCACCTGAGTGACTCAGGTGACCTAAAAATGAATCCACCCATCCCCCTCTTATAATGACTGTTATATGCCTCACACTCATTAATAAGAGGCCCATGGGCCTTATAGGTCACCTGAGTATCATGTAACAACTTTCCAACAATTGAATTTGATTCATGTTTTAAACCAGAGGCAGTGAAATTCACAATTTTGAAAGAGGCACCATTGTTTATCATAACTATACACTAATTACCATGCTTACTTTGGATACTTAATACCCACAGGTATATCAGAGTAACAAAGAGAAAATGCATTTCCACTTTATAACCAGTTGTGCACCCCACCCAAGGAACCAATGACCCTGGGGGCACATATTTCAAAATTCTGGAAATTTTATCATAAATTTTATTTCATCATATTAAATGGTTGATTAATACTAAAAATCCGATTTCAAAGCATTAATTTATTTTCAGACTATGTAACCCCCACCCCACCCCAAGTACCCTGACCCAGGGGCAATGAAATTAACCATTTTGGAAGAGGCACCTTTCACCATCATTAATTTATACTTAGAACATTGGCATAATACCCAGGAGCAAAGGAAAATGTTTTCTAAGAATTCATGCATTTCCACTATATAATCATTAAGTCCCGCCCCTAACACCAAACCCCTAAACCTGGGGCCCTGAAATTCACAAATCTGGAAGAGGCATCCTTCATCATCATAACTATGTACATACACTGTAGTTCATTGGTTTAATACTCAGGAGCAGAAGAGAAGATTTTTAAAGAATTAATATATTTTCACTATATAATCAATAGAGCCCCACCCCGACACCAGAACCCCTGAGCCTGGGGCCATGAAATTCACAGTTTTGGAAGAGACACTCTTATTCAACATAACTATGTACTTGGTTTCTGGTTAGTTTGTTTAATACCCAAGAGCAGAGAAGAAGATTTTCAAAGAATTTATACATTTTCACTATATAATTAATAGAGTCCCACCCTAAACCAGAACCCCTGACCCTGGGGCCATGAAATTCACAATTTTGGAAGAGGCAGCCTAATTCAACATAACTACAGTAAAACTCGGTTATAACGAAGTCACTGGGAGCTACAAAATTACTTCGCTATATCCGTAATTTGTATATCCGCATAAAAAAAATCATAAAATTTAAATAGCAGGGGATCCAAGATAACTTCGCTATATCCGTGAATTCGCAATATCCGTGTTCGTACTAAACGAGTTTTACTGTACATATTTGGTTTGTTTATTCAATACCCAAGAGCAAGGAAAAAGATATTCAAAGAAATAATGCATTTTCACAATACAGTTAATAGAGCCCCGCCCCAGGCATCTAAGAACCCCTGACCCCGGGGCCATGAAATTCACAATTTTGGAAGAGGCAATCTAATTCAACATAGATATGTATTTGGTTTGTTTATTAAATATCCAGAAGCAAAGGAGAAGATTTTCAAAGAAATAATATGCAGTTATTGACTGGGTATGAGGGCAACATATGATTTGTTGGACCTGAAGGGGATAATATTGCCCAAGGCCGCAGGCCAAGGGCAACATTTCACCTTCCGGTCCAACAAATCATATGTTGCCCGAATCCCAGTCTATAACTGTTTTGTTATACCCTTCAGTGTTCACTTACGATATTATCAATACACACTATATTATCAATTACTTAATATGGACAATTATGGCTCAATCAGTAAATATAAAACAGTAAATATAAAACAATAGTTGAGAAAGAACAAGATGAATTAATATTTATTATACCACAAAAAATATTTATCACAATACATACTCTTCACTTCCTCCTTGCTAGTAGCAACAACTCTTGCAGCTCTTAACTTCGGCTATTTCCGTGTTGCCAATATTGAACGATGATTAATTACTTGTGACGTAGCAGTGACGTTGCGGTCTAACAATTCTTATGTTGGACCGGCAGGCCGGTCAATAGTGAAATTGTTGGACTGATGTAATAAACATTTCTTTTGTTGGACTTTTTATTAGTAATGAATATATAGAAAGTTATTTATAAGGGTATAACAATGCATTTTCACTATATAATCTATATAGCCCCGTCCTAGCACCTAAGAACCCCTGACCCTGGGGCCAGGAAATTCACAATTTTGAAAGAGGCAGCCTTATTCAACATAACTATGTCCTTATTTAGTTTATTTAATACCCAGGAGCAAAGAAGAAGATTTTCAAAGAAATAATGCATTTTCACAATATAATCTATATAGCCCCGCCCTAGCACCTAAGAACCACTTACCCTGGGGCCATGAAATTTACAATTTTGGAAGAGGCAGCCTTATTCAACATAACTATGTCCTTATTTAGTTTATTTAATACCCAGGAGCAAAGAAGAAGATTTTCACTATATAATCTATATAGCCCTGCCCTAGCACCTAAGAACCCCTGACCCTGGGGTCAGGAAATTTACAATATTCGAAGAGGTCGCCTTATTCAACATAACTATGTACTTATTTAGTTTATTTAATGCCCAGGTGCAAAGAAGAAGATTTTCAAAGAAATAATGCACTTTCACTACATAATCTATTTAGCCCCGCCCTAGCACTAGAATCCCTGACCCCAGGGCCATGAATTTCACAATTTTCGTAGAGGACTCAATGCTGATTACAATCATGCAAACAGTTTGAATGCTTGATATCCAGGAGTAAAGAAGAAGATTTTTAAAGATTGCATTCATTTTACTGGTTTTGGCCCCACCCCTCAGGTCCCGGGGGGGGGGAGGGGGCAGGGACCATGAAATTCACAATTTCTGTTCCCCTTCACCCATATATATTTTATGCCAAATTTGGTTGAAATTGGTTGAGTGGTTGCAGAGAAGAAGCTGAAAATGTTCAAATGTTAATGCACGATGCACTCAATCTTTAAAGGGGAGAGGGCATGATTTGAACAAACTTGAATCTACACTAACTAAGGATGCTTGCATATTTCTTTGACTACCTGTGGCTTTATTGACCTTTACATTTGAACTTTATTGTGGCCCCGCCCTACCCCGGGGGTCATGATTTGAACAAACTTGAATCTACACTAAATGAGAATGCTTTCATATGAATATGACTAATCATGGCTTTGTTATTCTTGGAAAGAAGATTTTTAAAGAATTTTTCAACAATATTTCTATGTAAAACTTGGATTCCATGTTGTGGCCCCGCCCTACCCCCAGGGGTCATGATTTAAACAAACTTGAATCTACACTAACTAAGGATGCTTCCATATAAATATGATCAATTATGGCTTTGTTATTCTTGAGAAGAAGATTTTTAAAGAATTTTCCTATATATTTCTATGTAAAACTTTGGTCAGCCATTGTGGCCTCATCTTACCCCCGGGGGTCATTATCTGAACAAACTTGAATCTACACTACCTGTGGATGCTTCCATATAAATATGATCAATTACTGCTTTGTTATTCTTGAGAAGAAGATTTTTAAAGAATTTTCCTACATATTTCTATGTAAAACTTTGGTAGGCCATTGTGGCCCCGCCCTACCCCCGGGGGTCATGATTTGAACAAACTTGAATCTATACTACCTGAGGATGTTTCCCCATAAGTTTCATCTTTCCTGGCACTGTGGTTCTTGAGAAGAAGATTTTTAAAACATACCACCAAATTTTCATTAATTCCCAATTATCTCCCCTTGAATGAGGGCGTGGCCCTTCATTTGAACAAACTTGAATCCCCTTCACCCAAGGATGCTTTGTGGCAAGTTTGGTTGAAATTGGCCCAGCGGTTCATAAGAAGAAGTCGAAAATGTAAAAAGTTTACAGACAGACAAACGGACAGACAGCTAGACAGCTAGACAGACGGACGCCGGACAAAATGTGATCAGAAAAGCTCACTTGAGCCTTCGGCTCAGGTGAGCTAAAAACTCTATGTCAATATGTATCCAATGTATTTAATTCCAAAATTAATATATTAGCTGCACATTTTATCTAAATGCAGGATATCAAACACTCGCATTTGTCCTTTTCTTACATAACGGTAGTATACATGTACCCCATACTTGAAGCCATTTCTACGTGTCTGTCAGTGATCTTTAATTGACTAGTAAACAATTAAAGCATGTCTCTTATAAAAACAAAGTGAGAGCGAGAGCTTGGGATAAATTTTAATTATGAAATTTAGTGCAAACAATCAATGATTGTATGAAATTAATATCGGAAAATTAAAAGAAAACACGGCTTTAATTACGCTCATAACTGACCCAAAGTTACAAGTATTTAAAATTTTGTAATAACTGTTTAATTAATATCCTTTCTGAATAGTTGTATCACGTCAGATGTTAGTTTGAATATACAAAAGTAAACAATTGCCCTCTCCATTTAAAACAGTGAGAGGTAAACAATGATTAATAATCATGTTTGATTTCCTTTCCAACTTTGCTTTTTTGGTATTTTGCGGAGAACTAACTTTAGGGAAAATTTCACTTGAAGACTGAGTATATTTTTGACTGATTCAGCATACATGTATGATAATCATGTTTGATGTTACACTGCAAAATACAAGTCCTGTTTCACATAATCTTGATAACACGGTTTCTTTTTTTTTTTTTAAACTACACCAAAAACTGTAGATTTTGAAGACATGTTTGCCGAACATACATCGACGTACAATGATTTCCTTTGAACAGTTAAACCATACCCTTAATTTTACATACGAAAATATTGATCTTTAAATAAATGAAATGGGAAATCTAAGTTGATTGCCTTAAATTTAAGATTACTTTGATGAAACACATTTTTAACGAATAACCGACTAAAGAAATTTTAGTCGATAGTCAGTATGATCGAATGATAGTCAAGTACTCGAATATTCGTTGACATCCCTCATTTCTATGTAAAACTTTGATCGGCCATTGTGGCCCCGCCTTACACCCGGGGGTCATAATTTGAACAAACTTGAATCTACACTACCTGAGGATATTTCTAATATAAGTTTCATCTTTCCTGGCACAGTGGTTCTTGAGGAGAAGATTTTTAAAGAATTTTCCTATATATTTCTAGTAAAACTTTGATCGGTTATTGTAGCCCCGCCCTACCCCCGGGGGTCATGACTTGAGCAAACTTGAATCTACACTACCTGAGGATGCTTCCATATAAATATGATCAATTATGCCTTTGCTATTCTTGAGAAGATTTTTAAAGAATTTCCCTATATATTTGTATGTAAAACTTTGATCGGCCATTGTGGCCCCGCCCTTACCCCAGGGGTCATGATTTGAACAAATTTCAATCTTCACTACCTTAGGATGCTTCCCTATAAGTTTCAAGTTTCCTGGCACAGTGGTTCTTGAGAAGAAGATTTTTAAAACATACAACCAAACTTTCACTACTTCTGAATTATCTCCCCTTGAATAAGGACGTGGCCCTTCATTTGTACAAACTTGAATCTCCTTCACCTAAGGATACTTTGTGGCAAGTTTGGTTGAAATTGGCCCAGTGGTTCTTGAGAAGTAGACGAAAACGTAAAAAGTTTTTGACAACAACAATGACGACGCCAACACCAACAACAACGATGACAGACGACGGACAAATTTTGCTCAGAAAAGCTCACTTGAGCCTTCGGCTCAGGTGAGCTAAAAACATGATTCAAAATTAGATTCCCATATTCATTTGGGGCTCTAAAAAAATCTATTATACCTGTCAATAAATTCCTCATGACATTAAAATCTTTGAATACCCAGGTATTATCTTTATGTACATGTATTTTCTCCATTACAAAGTTGAAATATTTGGCTGATCTTACCTCCATATGGCTGGTTGCATTCAGGTTTGGTAACCGGAGAATCCACATTGCTGTGTTCTTGTATATCTAAGGAATGTTATATAAATATCATATGTATGTTACCGAGATGACGTCAGAAATTTCGCAAATTTTTGATAAACACATAAAACATAATACAGTGTAAAGGCAGGAACACTATAGAGAGGAGTTACTTATACTTACCTCTAAAATCCGTTTAAAAAATCTTGGTTTTAAGGAGCCCCACCATAAATCTGAGGGGAAAAAAAAAATCAAAACCTGTACATTTTATACCCTGATATAAGTAAGCCATTAATTCTTATATTTACATTAAATTACATTAAACCTAAATAATTATGAGATCTTTGTTTCATATAAAACATCATTTGTACACATAGTTGCCAAATCACCCGATTTCGTCGGGTTACACCCGATTTTTTCAACCTGTAACCCGATTATTTTTTATGACCTGGCAGGTCATGCTTTTCACCCGATTTTCCGGATTTGGTTCGTAAATTAGGTTACACTTTTAACTTCCAGTTACAACCCAAGCTTAGATCTACGTAAACAATGCCGATGGATTAATTATCAGTGCAGGTGTAAACAATTAACTGGGTGTTGTTTTGACAATTCAATGTTTGAAGTCAATTTAAAATGGCTTCTGATAGAACTAGATCGTTATCAGGGCCATCAGAAACAAATTGAATCAGAGACGTGTCTCTGAATAAACAAATTTATGTACGTGCAGATCAAGGAATCTTGGAAAACAACTTTTATTAGATAAGATAAAGTAATCGAAGACAGTGTAGCCCTAACTGCATATTTAATACATATTGCACTTGTGGTTTAATAGAGAGGAAAAATTAGCAGAAACTGAAATTGCTTTTTAAAAAAAATGCACACCTAATTCAGGTCAATACTGAAATATGAAACCTTCAATTCTTTTTTAACATGAAAATTTATAATCAAATTATATACATGATATATGAATTTTTTGTCATTGTAAGTTAAAGCCTTTTTTAATAAAAGCATTCTCAATACACAAATACTTATACATACATATATATAATTTAATCATGGTAAATAAATGTATGTCGTAAATGTCATTATGCGTTATGACCACATTTTTCACTTTCCAAATCTGGTCATGACCAGATTTTTACATGCTGGTGGTTGGCAAGTATGTTTGTACAATGTTTTGGAACCTTCAGATCTGCTTTTTAGAATATTCATGACTTAAGAATATTCTGGATTTGATATTGATAACCAAAGAAACAAGATGCAATCAAAAGAAACTGTACCTAATATCCTGGCAGGTGCCCTTTCTAGGCTGACTATACACTTCCCAAACGGTCCAATCAGAGAAGAGAAGAACTTGGGTTCATCAAACAGGTGGAATTCTGGGAGTACCAGATATATCCTGAGGGCCTCCACGTCCGGCGGGGAGGGGGGGAGGGACCGCAGGAGGTGGTTCTCTATACTCTCTGTAATCTACAAGAATCAGAACAAACCAATCAAACATTCTGTTAAGCAGGACAAACAACTGTAACTACTCTGGAAAAGTCAATTCAGAGAGTTTGAGATCCACCCATTCAAAAACCTTTGATTTACAGGATACCAGTACTTTTTTAATGGAAGACTTGGGTATCATCATGTTTTATATTAATTTGCTATATATTTTTCTCCCTCCATTTTATTTACCTTTCTATGATTTTAAACAACCCTTGGAATTTTATATGCAAGGTCTTTACAATGAGTAGATCTTTATCTCTTTAGCTGGTATGTCTGTCTTAATAGATACAATATGAATCAATTGTTTGCTATATATAGCAATGAACATACCTGTTGTGTGATATTGACATTTTTAGCATCAGCTATTCGGTTCATCAGCTTTCTTACTTCATCCATATCTAGACCACAGTTCTTACTGCTGCAGCCATAATGCTCATCATTTCTGTCAATACAAATGTCAATATAAAAGTCAATCATTTCATTAGAAAACACCCAAGTTTACTTGCATTTCTGAAAGAGTATATAAACCAGAAGTCTCTGTCCAGACTGTAGCTCTACTGGTTTATACTTAAAACAAAGGAAAAGTAGCAGTTGCGACTTGAAACTTTAAAAACAGCAATAAATAGAAAAATGATCCTTGCCACTCATCAAAGCAAAAACCGATGCAGAGAATTATGTATCTTAGTGTAGTCTACTTGTGTGCCAATTTATATTGAAATCAGGCCAAAACTGTACAAGGAGTAGCATTTTGACAGTAATTTCTATTTTTAGTAACCATGGCAACACCGTTCATCGAAATCAAAAACCGATGCACAGAATTATGTATCTTAGTGTAGTCTACTTGTGTGCCAAGTTATATTGAAATCAGACCAAAACTGTAGGAGGAGTAGCATTTTGAAAGAATTTCAAAGAAATTTCTATTTTTAGTAACCATGACAACACCGTTCATTGAAATCAAAAACAGATGCACAGAAGTATGTATCTTAGTGTAGTCTACTTGTGTGCCAAGTTATACTGAAATCGGACCAAAACTGTAGTAGGAGTAGCATTTTGAAGAATTTCACAGAAATTTCTATTTTTAGTAACCATGGCAACACCGTTCATCAAAATCAAAAACCAATGCAGAGAATTATGTACATGTATCTTAGTGTAGTCTACTTGTGTGCCAATTTATACTGAAATAGAATCAAAACTGTAGGAAGAGTAGCATTTTGAAAGAATTTCAAAGAAATTTCTATTTTTAGTAGCCATGGCAACACCGATCATCGAAATCAAAAACCGATGCATAGAATTATGTATCTTAGTGTAGTCTACTTGTCTGCCAAGTTATACTGAAATTGGACCATATCTGTAGGAGGAGTAGCATTTTGAAAAATTGTTTACAGACAGACAGACAGACGGACTGACGCCGGATGCACTACTATCGCATAAGCTCTTCTGGTCTCTGACCAGTAGAGCTAAAAAAAAAGTAAGAAACACAGACATATACATGTACTTACTTTAACAAAAACGATGCATTTAGACATGCAGAGCTTGAAAAGATTTTCAGAATATCACTGAAATGAAAGTTGACTGATTGTTACATGTTTTGAGACATTTTTTTTTTTCAAGTAAAGGTACAGAATTTGAAAAACTTGTAATTAATATAGATTTTATTATTGATTCTAATTTAATTATCAAAAATCTATTTTACACATAATATCAAATACTGCTTTTTTGACATGTAATATATGATATTTATTTAGACTGATTTGTAAGAAGCTATACCATGAAATCCTTGTGGTATTCCCTTTTTCATTGCTTTGACATTCTTACTGTATTCTGATTTTTTAATGTATAAATCATTCGGCCTCCTTACTCGACCAGCTCTGACGGCGTGATGACGTCAGGCTGTAGTTTACGGATCTCGTCACATTTCTCCGGGGTGAGGGTGGTTATCTGTGTGCTGGGGTCTGGGATCCTAAAATCATCTGGTTCTCCCCTGCTCTGTAATTTGTAAAAAATTCAAACATTTGATGCATATATTTACCTACTTGTACCTATATACAGAGCGAGTAGTCATCATCAAAAATTGGATGTATCTTACAAGTGTGCATATCTATGACCATTGTTACCTCAAGCTTTCCATTATCAACAAGTTTTCTTGCTTTATTTATTGCATCTTAAAAATTATCAATATACAATACACTATTTTTTTTTTTAAATAGAACTTAGTAGTTTTTATCAAAGAAATGAACTGAAATTAATTAACATTGTTTTCTTATTTTACTTATTTTAAGAGAATCCTCTTTCTAAATACAATACACTATTTTTTTTTAAATAGAAGTAAGTATTTTTATCATAGAAATTAACTGAAATTAATTCACATTGTTTTCTTATTTTACTTATTTTAAGAGAATCCTCTTTCTACATGTATTGTGTTACCTACCTCTGCATTGTTGGCCAGCAGGAAGCAATGGTCACCATTACCAAAGAGATGTTTAACCGTGTACAAAGCACCATCATGGTCCATGACCTGGGAGGCTCGACGCCCCGAGGTAGGGAGGTACGGACTCAGGATCGGAAATGGGGAGTTACGACTGGTGGTGTCCCCTAACCCCAGCTGTCCCGCCCCTCCTAAACCAAAGCCATACAGCTTACCACTGGACGGAGAAAACACTATTGTGTGACGCCTGTAAAGGAGTATCTCACAGTATAAAAAAGAAAAATATGATAAATAGCAATACTGATTGGTTACTGTACGTGTACTAAAACAAGCCGGCTTCATAATTTAGCGGCTTTGGTGTGGACAAGAATGCGCTTATTCATGAATACCGCTAAGATACCATTTACTAATATAAAACAAAGCATGAACATGTGTAGCACTAATTCATGATTATGCTACTAAGTCTATGCTCCTCGTTTCCGCTTAATTTTGAATACGCCAATTCATGTACACATACAGTACCTTCAAACAATTGCTTTTAAGCTAATAAGAGATGTGAATTCATGACTTAAAATACATTCAAACCTTGTTATCTCAAATTCAATGGTATTAATAAAAAACTTTGAGATACTCTCGGATTCCAGATATCCAGGGTAAAGTACTTAAAGAATAAAGTAATGGAACTTCAAAATTACTTCAACACATATATGGTATTCAAGATATCAGTGTTTGAAATAGGGAAGTTCCATTGCATGGGGGAAAAGCAGATGACTTTGAAAATGTAGTCAAAAAGTAAACATTTATTTTTGTATGGTTTAACATAAAGTATACTCCAACTAATGCATGTTGGGTCACAATTGTAAGAAAGGACACCTTCCATGATTCAAACAAGAACGATATTGGCCTTTAAGTTGATTTACCATATAACCATTTTAATGAAGTTCAGTAAATATTCTTAAGTCAATTGAAAGAAATGCTAAAATCTAAAATATTTGTGTAGTAAGATTCTGAATCAGAAATGACCTTGGACTTGAGATAAAATCATGAAAAAAGGTTCTCTACAGTCTTCATCATGACAAGAAAAGAGGTCCACTTCAAAAGATTTTTTTTAATATTATGCCTTCCTTATTTGATGGGTAGTTTCCATATTGGACAAAAACCTATAATAGGTGCTTCAATTTTAACATAACCCCCTGGTACAATGGTGTTTACCTTCCACAGATGACCTGAGAAATGACACTTCCCATAAGCTCCATAACACGCTTTGGTAAAATCTCATTCTGCATGGAGCTATGTCCCAACTGTCCAAAGCCCCCAGCACCAAATGTGAAAATGCCCCCATCCTGAAAAGAAAATCTTTACAAAGGAACCCGCAAATTGTACAAGTTTTATCACTGTTGACTTATGTTTTAAAATATATATACACTGTATACCAGGTATATACCGTAATTTCGGGATTATAGGTCGATGGGGTATATAGGTCGAAAGGCTCATTTCAGCCTTAATTTTTGAAAAATCCTAAGATAGGTCGAACTTACTATATAGGACGAGGCTTTGTTTCCCGTTTTCTAAAGATTCTTACGCAGATACAACGTATCAGAACAGGTAAACCCCTACAATTACCGGGGTTATTCCGTGACATGAACGTATCAAGAAAATAAAGGCCAAAGAAAATTAATCAACAGTTTCTCAGGTACCGCCGCATCAGTTCAAAAACGGCCGCATTGATCAATTTTATTGACATATTGAAAAGGGAAATAACTCAATTTTCTGTTTTTCCAAGTTGAAAAAGAAAATCGAGTTATTCCCCTTTTCATTAATGCTTAGAAAGACGTTTTTATTAGAAAAACAATATATTTCTTCTAAATTTACAGTATTTTATGAGTTAACTTTTAAATAAATGTTTGGAATAACATTATTCAAAGTTGAATACATATTATAACTGATTTCAGAGAACAAAACTTAAGAATTAGTAGATATTATAATTTTACTGAACAGATGACTTAAAAAGGTGTAAAACCTGCTAAAAAAAAAAAAAAAAAAAAAAAAAACCTGCCTGCCGCATTGAAATTTGAATTTTTTGGCCTGAGAAACAATTGATTAATTTTTTTTGGCCAAACAGGTATTTTAATGAGTACACCATTTAAATAAAGTTGTAAAAAAAAAATGTTGTTAAAACTTCTTTGAATTGTGTTACTACTTATTTTTCTCCAACTTGCCTGTTCAATGCCTCCATAGTTTCACACTGTTGTTAAATCAGAGGCATGAATAACAAGTAAATACGTCATTATTTTACAGCTATAACTCGGGAAATACCTGAGACCAAAGAATAGTAATTCCGATTTCAGAACAACTTGGACACATTCCTTATAAATTTTATTCAGACATTATTTATCAGTGGACAACAATTACTTCGATGTCTGCCATTTTTATTTTTCTTCTCCAGGGATTTGCTAAAACATGCAAATGACCATCGAATGTACATATCAAGCAATAGTAAAGAATTGAAATCATATTAAAAATCTATAAGTTTAATTTATAAATTTAATTGAGAGTACATTCCCAATTTGATTGTAACATGATTTTCACGTCTTTGTTTGTTCAATGATGTGTAACACTAATACCCTATAACGGCACTTGGGTTTGTTAATCATGTCCCGCAGGCATTTAAACCAACACAAGTGTTAACCTTTGCGTACACAGTGTAAATCCCTTTATCTGTCAGACAATTAAAATTCTGTCAGAAGCCAATCTTTGTATGCCAATTTATAATAAATGAATTTATAACTTCCGAAAACGTATAATAGTACCGGTATATTCGAGATAAGTTCCTTTGACCGGTATTATAATCAATTAAAAATAAAAAAAAAATAAAACAGTTATGACTCGTGTTTTTTTTTTTTCTTTTTTTGTAATTAAATTTAGGAATTGAATGGCAACAAATTATTTCACTCATTTTTACATTTAAATAAACATAAGACAATAAAAAATATTTAATATACTATTTCAGTTTATTCTACTAATAAATGGTAAAAACACTACAGTTGTGATCGTGAAAAATTTCCGTATTTTATTTCAAATGTTGATACGGTTGCGGTTTTACTTTTAGTACACGATCGCGACTTCCTAACTTCACAAGATGGCTACCGCATGATGTTAATGGATAATACGTTGAGGAATTATTTACTAGATGAAGCAATGTTTTTTCCTTTGTCATCAACGAATATTTAATGGAATTTATTTTGTAAGAAAGCTATAAAATAAATATTTTATTGTTTACCGGGGCATTAATTTTTTTGCGAAAAATAATCAAAGAAGTTACGAAAGTGGCACAAATTTGCTTTGAAATTGATGTAAATTTTACTGATTTGGGGGCATTGAGCCTTAAATAGGTCGAATTCTGAATATTGGTCGACCCCAGCAGATCTGAGAAAAAAAGTATCGACCTATATTCCATAAATTACGGTATTTAATAACTTAATTTGATTTCTTTATGGGATTTATATTTCTAACGCCTCATCAAGTTTTCATGTTTTCTCATTATCCAATCAAAGTTTGGGGATATTCAGCACAGATAAGGATTTATTTCTTTATAATTAATGCCTTGCTTACACTTTTTGTTTATTATTAAGGTTCTTTAGTAACCTACAGCTTACACAGTTGTTTACTGACCTTTGTGAGGGCCACTGTATGATCCTCCCCACATGACATATATTTCACTTTCTGGTTCCTCAGAGACTTACACAGTGTAGGATGACACTTGTCTATAAAGGAGTCATACAAGAAAACTATAAATACTTGTCTAAAAACAGTAATAGCATTACATAAGCTATTTAGACTGTAAACTTGGGAAAGGTTATTCCATAAACTGTAGAAAAATCAACACTTACCCCACATGCAATAAATATAAGTGATACAGAATTTGTCTTACAGCACTAATTTAAAATTCTTCTTACCATGTTCATCATTTAATCCAAGCTGCCCAAAGCTGAAACAAATAAAAGTTTCAATTTTAAACTAAAGTTTCATTTGTACTATCAGTGCATTACTACACAGCAAATGAATACAGCATACTGTATACAGGGTTATTTTCGCCCCCCTTTATTTTTGCCCTTCCAATCCAGCAAACAATTTTGCCCTGCCTTAAATTCACCCAGTCACACTTTTGTTTAAGAAATTATACTGTATTCTTTGAATTCGTTCCGTTTTAAATTCGCCTGACCGAGATAAGTGGCGAAAATAACATGGGGGCGAAAATTTCCGTGTATACAGTACATTCTAAGACTGACAATACTACTTAGTACTAAGGTATCTAAAAAAAATTATAACATACAGCTAGTACTTCACTATTTTTCAGCATCTGAGGACAAATTGAGATCACTTTAAGTTTAAATAAAGTATAATTTTTATTTTCTTTTAAAATATATGTTGACATCCATGACAAGTAGCAATTTTGCTTAAAATATATGTATTTTGAATGAGGTTTTCAAGGCACACTGTATGGCGATTTCACTACTGACTTACCTATTTTTGCCCCACCCAAACACCGCCCCGGAGCAGGAGAGGATGAAGCTATGGTTACCCCCCACTGCTATGAGGGCCACCGGGATACCCTTCAGACAGATGATCTGTTGGGGTGTATCATGAGGATTGGTGGTACCCAATCCTAACTGTCCATATTTATTACAACCCCAGGAAAACAGGTGACCATCTGAAAAATCAGTTTCACAAATTTATGACAAACATGTTTCACTTCTTGCTTACCCTCTCATTGCATAATAAAAGATCCATCAATGACTTCTGAATCTCTATTTAAATTATAGCCATTTATTTCTCCACATGAACTAGACCACTACACATAGTTACCATCTGTCAAGGCTAGGCAGTTTATTGTGCGCTAACGGATTTCTATTATATTATATTTGAACTGTGTTCATACTTTCACAAGGGTTTTTATCAACCTGCCAAAATTAATGTGTTTTATTCTGATTTTATATACACACTACCACTATACATGGTAGGATCGTAGCAAAATTCAAATTATAAAATTAAACTATTGTCACCCAGTTCAACTTATCATTAGCACCTTGCAAAGTTTCTGTTCTCGAGTGTGTCAAGGAATTTATCGCCTCGAGGTAAACAATGCAATCAAGCATGGCACGACTGAGCTTGCAGACAACACCTGAATATGATTACTGTTTATCCAAGTAACTTTCGCTCGATGCATGCATTGTTTTAAATGCGTAAATATTCTGTTTCTTTTATTTAAAATAAATCAAAATAAATTTTAACATTGTGCCAATCAATGTGATTGCAACACCCCGGTAAAGTTGACGAATGTTTACTTATATATGGGAGTGCTATTGTGTTTCCGTGCTTGACAAACCAAAAAGCAATCATTGTTTAAAAAGGAAAATATCACATTTATGTATTTTAATGACAAGTGCAAACTGTAGAAATTAATGTAAGAATTTCTAGCCTTTTGCAAGTAATGCTATATTATACATATATCATATATACTTGTATTTCAAGAAAAATACACTTTTTTCATCTATGAAGAGACTTTGCTTTTTTAATCAAATATTTTTAATCAAATACCAGTAACATTTTTGTAGGACTCACAGAACTGTAGACACAGCAGTAAATGTTACACCTACCTGCTTTTGACCTCGGCTTATTGTGCCCTAGCTCGCCATGTTCATTGCTCCCACATGAGTATAGCTCCCCTCCTGTTGTGACAATTAGGGTATGCTTCTCCCCACATGCAATTTCCTTAATCTCCAGTTTCTGGAGGCTATGGATCTCCTTTGGGGAGAGAACATTGCCCTCATCTGTAGCCCCGATAGACAGCTGTCCATCTTGACTGCTGCCCCACCCAAAAACCCCCGTCATCCCTCAAGTACTGCTAATACATCATTGATACATCACTGATAGTCCTTGTGTTTGCTGCAAAGAAGACAGAGCATACTTATCATTTATTTTTATTCAACACTCAGATAAAACATGTATATTGAGATTTGCCACCCACAGAAAAAAAACTGTATTCTTAGTGCGCACAAAAAGATACACTCATTTTTATATTAATTTCTCCATATTCTTACCTCAACGGTACTAAAGCTCAATTTCAAAATATTTCTTTGACCATTATCAACAATACTTTCATATCTAATACCTACATAAGGCACGTTGGACTGAATTATCTTGCTATCCAAAATTGCAGTGTACATATAGGCAAAATTTTCAATTCAGGTCAAGGAGGAATATTTTGTTGGGAAACAGTACAAGAATAAGTTAAGAACACATGGTTAGTATATTTTGAGAAAGCTGGTTGAAAATCACAGAGAAATAAATCTTAAGAAACAGTGCACTTTCTTTTGCCCAATAAATATACAGTTTTTTTCAATGGGTGGCACTGTAGCTCTCCGATATGTCAATATATTTTTTCAGAGAGCTACAGTTCTGCAGCTAGTATATCTATACCTGTATAAGATGGGCACCTTTCAGAGATTCCTTTTTTTCTTGATCATTTCTATAAACTTAAGGAATTGCATTTTTGAAATGTTATATACTATTAGCCCCTTCATGTTAACTGTTGTACTACTCTTCTGCAGGGCAAATAGATAACATTTGGCAGAGTTTTGTTGATAGACAATTAAATAACATTTTTCAAACATATTGCTTTGAGGTAGTATTTTGCCAAAGTATATCATTTTGCCCTGCAAAAGAGCAGTACAGCACTTCTCATGAAATGTTTATTATAATTAGGGCTATTGGAGTAGGCCTATTTCAGATCAGGAACATGAGATATTCAATGACATGATGCGTCTCTGGTGCAATTTGGCAAGCATTTTTTATAAACCCAAATGTAAATGACTAATTCGTCTGAATCATAGGAATAATGATGCTAAACATTTAACATGCATCTTGTACTAAACCATATTCAATCTACAATAAACGGAGCTGATAAACAAATAAACAGAAACAACATAATAACTTATTAAATAAGACAATACATAACAACAGCAATACCTATTTTGATCCCAGACCAACAGCATATGAATAAATAGGTATGTTTGAAAAACTTAAAATTTACAATAAAAATTAAATATCAACTGATATCCTATCCTTAATTCTTTTCCCTACAATATTTCACAACTCATGCACTGAAAGCAGACATCGCCAGAATTTCCTCAGCTCTTTACAAGCGTTTGTGCGATCTTGATGAACCTTGGGCTTGGGCGGATCACGAAATTTCATATGTGTACCATACTAACTGATACAGTTCCTACATCCTGATTCATACACTGAAGTTAAAAAAACTACATCAGTACATTTTTACAATAAAAATTAAATATCAACTGATATCCTATCCTTAGCTTCTTTTCCCAAAAACTATAACCTTGCTCCACAAGCGTTTGTGCCTTGCTCATAACTTTTGAGTGGTAAGAGTTGTATGTATGGCTTTCATATTTCACATGCATTCCTTGTGAATGACCTTTCTTCATAGGCTTGATGAACCTTGGCTTGGGCGGATCACGAAATTTTTGTGTACCATAATATATACTTAGTATAGACATTGAACATATCTTCTTAGGTTTAGCCCCCCCATTTTCCACAGATATGTCTTAGTATAGGTTAAAAATGGGGAAAGTGGTGGTGTTGTTTTTTTGGTACTGGAGTTCCTCCTACCCCCCCCCCCCCCCCCCCCCCCCCCCCCCCCCCCCCCCCCCCAAAAAGGATTTTCATGTTTGGGAACTTGACATTTCCCAAGCGTTTTTTTTTTGCTTGTCATTTTTTTGAAGGTACAAATTTTTTTTTTTACACTTAGTCCCCCACTTTCAAATGCATTCCTTGTGAATGACCTTTCTTTGGGGACCACCAAATTTGACCTCTTGAACTTGACCTTTGACTCGCTTAAATAAAAATTATTACAATATGATTACAATGATTACAATTGAATATTATAGATGTATAATGTAATATGATTTAGTAATTAGGTTTGACATGGAGAAGTGCAATACCACAAGTTGTATCATCATGAAAATGTAGGATTTGTTACATATTCATAGTACGAGGGGTGATCAAAAAGTTTGCAAACTATCTCTACAATTCAGATTATAATGAAATTCGGTACACAAGGTCTATAAATAGCATATGCTGAATAAAGTTTCTCTCCTTGTTTGTGACGTCACAATGTGAAAATGACGTCACTATTTAGGTCACTTGTGACGAAAAATGGTTGTCTCAGTCGAACTCGTTCAACAAACAACTGTACAATTTATTGTAATATCTTAGAAATCCCTCTACAGTATCATATAATAATTTGTACACAGTTTATTGAGATAAATGAGTTCCTATAAATTCAATTAATGATTGGATTAATCGTTTTAGTGAAGGAAGGTTGATGGTTAAAAATGATACTTGTCATCTTGCCCAGTGAAAGCAAGTTTGAAAAGATATGTATTTTTGATTAAGCAATTTGCCTATACTAAGACATATCTGTGGGAAGTGGGGGGGGCTAAACCTAAGAAGATATGTTCAATGTCTATACTAAGTATATATTTGGAAAAAAAGTGGGGGGGGGGGGGGGGCTCGCATTCCGAATGATTTGCTATCAAAGCAATTAGCACTTTGAAAAATAGTTGAATATTTGAACAATGATATAAGTATTAAATACCTAAGATATTGTTTACTTTAGATTTTAAACATATTAGATACGATAAAAAGGATGCACCCATTCTCTTTCCACCTTGAATAAAGGTCTCTCCTGAGACAGAAGATTTGTGTTTTAATGGTCGCCATGCTTATTTTTGGAAAGGATGTTATTATCCACCCATTCTGTTGCCGAGATATGACCATTTCTGACAAATTAACTGTTCTTGTCATAAAAATTAACTCACATGGAAAGAAATATAAATTTTAACTTTTGTGACAGAACGCTACGGAGGGGGTCACGTGACCGCCAATATCACGTGATTCGCGCATGTGCAGAACGGTGGTTGATGTGCATTAAAATCGAAGAGGATTAATTTAAAATATAATCAACATTAAAACCAAATATTGTTTCTTGTATGGAAGTTATTCAATTAGTTTGCGAACTTTTTGATCTCCCCTCGTATAGTCTCACACTGGATCAAAAATATAGAAAACCACAGGATGATAAAAAAAAATAATAAATAAATAAAAATTGAACATTCTTGTAATATGTTTTCATTGATATTTTTGATCTTTTGACTTTAGTCTTAGAGTTTGACCCACTTGGCCATGTTTAAGGCAGGTCCATACTTTTACGGATCTGGTTTTAATTTTACACACCATGTCAAATTCTGATTATCAATTGTCTATAGAAATAAAATCTTTTAGGATGGTTGAAAATAATTAAGCAAGTAAATATTTGTTTATTATAGTGTCATTGTGCGTACAAAACATTTGGTATACATCATTTATGGAAATAAATTAACACTTTTCACTCTGTCCATAGGATCTATATGACATTTAGTACGTAGACAGACACAATATTCTTAATTGCCTTTATAGACCTAAAGCTTTTTTTCATTTTTTTTTTTTAAACAAACTAACTTAAAATAAGGATATGGAGATAACGAACAGTATTCAATATCAAAGTCCGTAAAACAATACAAAATAGGAGCAGAGCAAACACGGACCTCCGAAACATCAGAGGTGGGATCAGGTGCCATGGAGGAGTAAGCATCCCCTGCTGACCGGTCACACCCGCCGTGTGCTCATTGTCATGATCGTGAAATAACGGGAAAATCCGTCGTCAATTCAGTGTATAAATAATGGACTAACAATTGGTATGAAAAATGTCAGTCAGCATTTGACCCAACGACAAACTGTATTTTTTAAGCCTATATAATCTTTTTAAATTTTACTTTTATTTAAATTTTGCAAAGAATGATTGAAAAAAAATGATATTCCAAAAATGGGGATATACGTGTTCAAAAGGATGTTTTGTTAAATTTATCTGGTCAACCGTGATAAAGTATGTGTTTTTGTTAACTTTAGATATAATTATTAATAGTTTTAAAGAAACAATGGCATATAAACAGTTTAGATTTTGAGATTTATTAGAATTAAAGAGATTTTGAGATTTTTTTCTGAAAGACGTGGACAGATTCAACATCAATTTGTTAATGTTATCCAATAAAGATTTGAAATATTCTCTTGGCAAATGAGTATATTTGATTTTCATCAGATTTAACATAAATTTGATGTGATTTGGTTTATAGCTAAATAGAATATGATACCACAATTCTTTATGTTCAATTTTGGTTGTTGAATTTTTAGAGGTATGTACTCTAAGACAAGTTGTACTGATGAAAATTAACCTGCAAAGATAAGTCTTTTATGGCTATTTTAGTTAGTTTATGTTTTATTCAAGGTATTAAAATTAAAAAATTATCAGTTTGACAGAAAATTTTGTAAGTACGGACCTACCTTAAAAGGACTTCTAAACGCCGAAACAATGAATGTGTCATATCTGCAGATTAGACGCAAACTACCCCAATCTCTTTTGGTGGAATTTTGCTTTAGTACGAGGGGGTCAGAAGAGCGCATGCATGTCTTGAACACATGGGCTTGTCTTCCGGATTGTTAATTGTAAAATAAATTAATTGAATTTTGGATCTACTTTAAATGATTAAAGATTCTGACCCTTTCAGACAAAGAAATATGTTATAAAAACGTAACTCTAGAGTTATATTTATAGGTGTGATAGGTTTTAATTAAACATGTTAATTCTCGTCTGAAAGTGTCATACCCAAACCAACTTCGCCATCAAATTGAACTGAAGTCCTCCCGGAAACCCCATCCATGTTCGGATCTGGAGGGGTGGGGTGGGGGTGGTGTCAAAACTTCCAAATTTAAAGTAAGCAAACTCCAACTCAGACTCCTCCCGGCCTTTCAGAAAACACGGTCCCTTCAATAATACACAGACATTTATATACATTCCCTATGTAAATATATGTACGTGACTAAGACTTGTCTTATATCCTCCCCCTTCCCCAACCCGAGGAAAAGGGTTTTCGCATAAATTTGGATAAGTTTACGAATTTTTTTTCAGCTGAAAGGATGAGTGCACTTAAGCTATGAGAGTTGGGTCCCGGTGTTTTGCGCAAAATAAAATCCCGAATTTCATGAAATTTATGTTTTATAGGTATTAAACAATGTCTTAAGAGCAGATTTTGGTATATTATATTACATGAAAGTTCTAAATAATGCCGAGCGACACTAGCTTTTGAGACGGGGGTTTAACAGTTTTGTCACATTTCTATTGTTATTCATATGCATCCCAGTTTTCAACGACAGAGTTTACATCGAGCCGCAACTTGGCCAATGGTCTCATTTGCACAGAATGTGTATTTTAATTTAAACTTATACATATCCAAAGGACAATGTTGGCCAAGTTGCGGCTCATAATTAATTTTTTGAAAACGTCTCCAAACTACCGTCATGTTAGCCACTAAATTAACATGTCCCCGAGTGTCAACGATTGATATCATAATCACTTACTCACGTGACATTCCACGGTTCGATACGCCAACCCTTTCATTGAACATTGCATTGTGTTTGTCATTTGAAGTTCCTACTCGGACAGTATCTATCGTGCTTCCAATTTCAAACTATGGAAATTTTTTACATAGATTTGAATAAGGTTCGAAGATTATATGTCTCTTATTTTACTGTGTATTTTTCGTGAGAAGTGTTTTGAAAGAATTCTGATATTGGTCGTGAAATTAGTAAATATAGGCTTCATTGTGCTATGAGGATGGAAATGCTTCTAAATGGATAAAGTGTAGCCGGTTTCCGGGAATGCTCACCTGAATTGGACAGTTTATACTGAAAGTGAAGGATCTTAAACATTCAATTTTATATACAAAGTAAATGAACAGTTTATATTTTTGTAGTTTAATCTTCATATTTCTCAAGAGAAAGAATAGATACAATTTATTATAATTATTATACATACACTTATTAAAACATTATAAATTCGTCTGAATCAAAAGGAATGCGATTTGGTTTGCCAACAAAAATAAGTAAGAACTTGTTCGAACCCGTTTGAATATTTTCACTATATACTAAACCAGAAGTAAAAGTCGGAATTGGTCACAGGTCTCTGATCATTCAAACCCTTTATCTTTCCTCGGGTACCAGAAATGTGAATACTTGTCAAATGTAGGAGCATTCAAGATAAAAAAAAAAAACAAGCACCTATTTTGAATACATAGGAAATAAAAAAGAAATAAGTATATTTATGGCATAGACTTGCTGATTCCGAAAGGGACCTACATATCTTATAAAATGAAATCAGTGTGCCATATAAGACATGAATATGTCGAATGTCTACTACTTCATCACGGGACAAGTTGTACAGATTTCTGATAGGTTACAACACCGGCACGGATCTCGAATGTCCTCTGATGGGTCCAAAACTATGAGAGATCTGTGTTCACCGGTATCACAAAGCGGGCAGCACGCCGCGAGATCCAAGCAGCAGCCCGGATCTACGGAGTCAGAAAAACGATCCCTGTCCAGAAAAGGAAATAAATTCGACTTTTTCCTCGGCAACTTCACAATGTGCGTCTCCCAGGCTCGCTTATAGTACGGTCTTCTACGACGATATAAAGGCATCAATGGCTCCCAGCCTCGCTTTAATAATGCCTGTCTTTTCCCGGCGTATCTCATGGATGGCATGGGTTCCCATCCCCTCTTTTCAAAATCTTTCGGAGAGGGGTCGGACTTGTCCAGAAATCGTTCCATCAAGTTATTGAATTCCTCGTCTCTTGTCAAGGAAGAGCCAACCACAGCTACAAAGACAACAATAATGTATGCAAAAATAAATACGGATTAAACAAAACAATAACATGTACACAACTGTTCTTAATTGTTGTGTTTTTCAGATCGTTTGTTTGATTGGGTTTTTTTTTCAGCGGAAGATAATGACAAGAAATGAAAAAAATATTCTCCTGAACTTCACTTCAACTAATGTTCTGGTAACCGTTCTAGCTAACTTCAGTTCAACAATGTATCGGGAACTGCCCAAAATCACTTCAACAAATGTACCGGGAACAAAATGAAATACATGGCATGTACAGTATGTATTTAAGCTAACCGTACTAACTCACTTAATCAAATGTACCGGAACCTCATACCTCACTTCGACAAATGTACTGTAAACAGACAAAGCCAGGACCTCATAAATGTACTAATATGAAAAAATTCAATAAGTGGGATTAAATATTATTGATAATACAGTGTTGAACTTGAAGGATAGAAATGAACAGCATCTAAATCAAGGCTGCAGTATAGTATACATCTTCGAAAGAACTATTTATGCAAATTAAGTACATGTACAGGTAAAATTTGTTTCACAGTTACTTTTACATGTGTTAGGAAATGAACAAGCTCTAAAATCTTAAATTTTGTCAATCATCCATGCCAATCATCCATTACATCCATGTAAGTTATAAGATACTAGTACACGGCGAACTATATTTCCCGTGACAAAGGTCCAAACCATCATGAAACTGGCATTTTATATTATATAACAAAAATTCAGAGTTCGATATTTTAGATCATTTACCAAAGAGGCAGACAGAAACCTGGACGTGTAGCACAATTTGTTACATATTTCATAACAGAGCAGTAAATCATGAAAAACAATGTCTAAGATTTATATATAAACCTTTGTGGAAGCAGCTATCACAAGCCTGGAGTTAATCAAGGATTCAATTTTGAGCCTTACAGAGAAAGGACTTCCAAAACAATGTACACTGTAAATGTATAAAATTTTAATTTTGTTGAGCAAAAAATCAATTTCACATTTTGTATTAAAAATTACTAATCATAAAACTATAATATAAATAGCCCACTTTGAATAACAGTTTGTGCAATTTTATAACCCCAAAACATCAGAACTATTACTTTGCTTCCTATTTTAAGGGAAAATCCGTAAATATAGAAACAAGTCCAGATAATGTAGGAGAGAGGCTAAAAAAGGACAACCCCCATCCCACCCAAAAAGAAAATCACGAAAAACAATCAAACATTATTCATAATAGGTAATCTAAATAGCGATTTCTATGTACAGTTTTAAGCTTTAAAAAGTATACGACATTGTATATGGATTATACATGATTATTCCTTCCTATTACTACTAGTCCATCATGCGAGAAATTACTCTTCTGTTTGCACGATAGAGTTGTGTTCGACTGAGAATTTAAGGAGTATATTGTTACAGTTGTTATTAATATAAAGGGGCTTTTTTCATAGGGTTTTTTATTATGTCAAATAAACCAAGGCAAAATATGTAAATTGACGTGCAAAATATGCTGTTAAAAGTTGACAGCATTGTACGAAATTCTGATGCAAATGTATATAACCTACAGCACACTTCATACGTATTCTATATGTTGCTGTTGAAATTAAATAGATGTATATCATAATAAATAATATTAATTTTACTCCCAACCAGTGAAGAATTAAATATCAATGATACATTTTGATTGAAAAAGTAAAGGCGAACACTAATATCCCAATCACATTTGAAATGCACTTGTTTTTCACATTTTTTTCTTTAGTCTTCTAGTCTTCCCAAAACGTTTACAAATGAAGCTGAAACTCTTCAGCTCAAACGACTATGTTCAGTTTCATAGAAGCAACTTCCCAGAAAGAGAATAATATACACCAGATGCGCCTTGGTTCTTTTCTTAAAGAATGTATGCATCATCAAGTTTTTATAAATACAATGGAATTGTCAATGGGGGTGTCATATATACAAAAGAATGAAGAATAGGGAACAAAATATGAATAATTAATAAACACACATGTCATTTGACAAATTGGCACTGTATTCTATAGAAGACCAATAATGAATTTCTACAAGAAACTACACTCACGAATCTTATAGTCAAACTGGGATCTTCAGAGCGACACAATGTTGCTGAGTACATATTTATGTCGAAGTTAGAACAAAAAGTTCAATTCAAATCGAAATTCATTCCTCTGGAAAACAATGCTCTGGTCGGAGTAAATGTAAACCGTGAAGATTTTTAATTACTTTTTATACTTCAAAAGTTCAAACTAGAAATTTGTCCTTACAGTACGGGACATGAATGTCCTGTCCAGGGTCCATTAGTAATGTGGCACGAAAATTTGAATTAGTGTATGAAGGTGGATGAAAATACATGTACCTTGAACATTTTCTTTAAAACTGAGAAGCTTTGTAAAATTTGAGACCTTTCCCGCGCGTTTCAAGTTGTGTACTGTTTGTTCATTTGAAATTGAAGATTTTACCACAGGGGCTTGTGTAGAGAAAATAAATCAGTTAAAAAAAACAAGTTGAGCACATCGGCTAGGAAAAAGCACATATCAGATCAGAACTAAAAGTTTACTGAGGTGGGGGGGGGGGAGGGGCTTGAATTTTAACCCCCCAGGGGTTCATGATTTGAACAAACTAGAATCTACACTACCTGAGGATGATTCCATATAAATATCACTAATCATGGCTTTGAAAAAGGAGATTTTAAAAGGTTTCCCAATATATCCCTATGTAAAACTTGGGTTTTTGGTTATTTGAATCTACACTACCTATAATTTTACATGAGTTTCATCTTTCCTGTCTCAATGATTCTTGAGAAGATTCTTAAAGATTTTTCCTATATATTCCTATGTAAAACTTTGATCGGCCATTTTGGCCCAACCCTAGCCCTGGGGGTCATGATTTGAACAAATTTGAATCTACACTACCTGAGGATGATTCCACATGAGTTTCATCTTTCCTGGCCCAGTGGTTCTTGAGAAGAAAACTTATAAAGAGTTTTCCTATATATTCCTATGTAAAACTTGGGTCGGCTATTTTGGCCCCACCCTAGCCCCGGGGGTCATGATTTGAACAAACTTGAATCTACACTAAATAATTTTACATGAGTTTCACCTTTCCTGTCTCAATGGTTCAACGATTTTTAAAGATTTTTCCTATATATTCCTATGTAAAACTTGGGTCGGCCATTTTGGCCCCACCCTTGCCCCGTGGATCATGATTTGAACAAACTTGAATCTACACTACCTGAGGATGATTCCACATGAGTCTCGTCTTTCCTGGCCCAGTGGTTCTTGAGAAGAAGATTTTTAAAGAGTTTTCCTTTATATGCCTATGTAAAACATTGATCGGCCATTTTGGCCACTCCTTAGCCCGGGGATCATGATTTGAACAAACATGAATCTACACTACCTGAGGATGATTCCACATGAGTTTCATCTTTCTTGGCCCAGTGGTTCTTGAGAAGAAGATTTTTAAAAAGTTTTCCTATATATTCCTATGTAAAACTTGGCCATTTTGGCCCCACCCTAGCCCCGGGGGTCATGATTTGAACAAACTTGAATCTACACTACCTGAAGATAATTTTACATTAGTTTCATCTTTCCTGGCACAGTGGTTCTTGAGAAGAAGATTTTTAAAGAGTTTTCCTATATATCCCTATGTAAAACTTGGGTCGGCCATTTTGGCCCCACCCTTACCCATCGGTTCTTGAGAAGAAGATTTTTTAAAAATGCCATTAATTTTTCTCTAATTCATAATTATCTCCCCTTGGAAAAGGGCGTGGCCCTTCATTTGAACAAACTTGAATCCCCTTTACCCAAGGATACTTTGTAGCAAGTTTGGTTGAAATTGGCCCAGTGGTTCTTAAGAAGAAGATGAAAATGTGAAAAGTTTACGACGACGACAACAACAACGACGACAACGACTACAGCGACAGACAACGGACAAATTTTGATCAGAAAAGCTCACTTGAGCCTTCGGCTCAGGTGAGCTAATGAGTACCTCGGAGAAAAAAAACACGTGTTTTTTTCTCCGAGGTACTCATTTTTTTTAATTGATTTATTTTCTCTACACAAGCCCCTGTGATTTTAACAATGATGTTACCAGGCAATCTAAAGAATAAAAAATGATATATTTGTAGATTCATTGATATAGCGTCATGACGCTGGTCATTTTTCACTGGACTGGATCTAAATTCAAGACGTTTGGTCTCAAATTCAAAGTTAAAAATGATCACTAGGTCAATTTTCAAACCGGGTCAAAATTCTACGTTACATCCCGAACAGCTAAGTCCATGAAAATATAACAAGTCAAGTGCAACTTGTTTTATAACAGCTTTCAAAAAGAGACGGAATCGATATAGTAGATCTAATAGAAGTATCAAAAGTAAAAACTCAAAAGACTGATTCCTGTTGATTGTGTATCAACATAAATGTGTATCACAATGTTTTAGCAGGAGACGAGGGAGTCAAAGTTAAAATCCTACAGGGGCGGCGACAGATCGTTTGATTTGAACACTTGTTATAATATTTCTACGCTACATTGTTCTATGCACTCTTCGTACTTTCTAGTCTTCGGTGACTACATTTTTATTTGTAAAGAATCCCTAAAACATAAAATCGTGCCCCGAAAATGTTTGAATCGATAGGTGCATACACCCCTCCCCCCTTCTCTCTACCTCTCTCACTTTCTCAGAACAGGATCAACAGTGGGCACATTTACTTTAAGAATAAAATGAAATTACCCCAACTTAGCAAAATTGAAAGGAACAAAAGAAAGCAGCCCCTTTTGGGACATCATTGTGATATTGGTATTATTTAGCAAGAACAATCGGATTAAATAATGGTTAACACATGTTCATTATTTTACTGCCGATACATACTAAATATATATATTTCCTCTCAAACTTTGTACATTGTACTTTTTTATTATTTGTAATAAAATGTCATGGAGTTCTAAAAAAAAAAAACCCACTACAATCATTTTTTTTTTTTGGCGAAATAACGATGTTAAACCTAATATCAACGCGTTTATAAATATCTTTAATAACAACAACAAAATATCAATGTCGGAAACTTCCTTTTCCTTTTTTTTCAAATATTGTCACTCATGTACATAATCTGTGCCGTTGGTCCTGGGTAACCATTTCTCGATTAAAACTTCCATACGACCGGGTTAATATTAATCGTATGTTTAAATAGCTTTTTTAATTAACATGTACATACATTTCAACTGAAATCTAATTGAGAACTTTATAATTTATAAACGAGTTTAATTAACAATAATGTTTCTTTGAAAAAAAAACCCAGAGCATTCAAAATCCTTAAAACACCCCATATTGAAAACCATTACTCGGAAAAAGAAATAGAACTAAAATACATGTATATGGAGATTTGTGTGACTGTCGGAATTCCAAACTCCAATTTAGATTTTCATGTGCTTGAAATAGTATACAAGTTTTGCGTATAATCCAGGGGCTACATCACAAAGGACACGCTTCTCTTTGCTCATATTGGCTCTCGATGAAATTAAGTTTCAGATTTAAAAGAAAAAGTTATCTTTCTGAATGTTTTTTTTACAATAATACTAATGTAAATTTCTTACCAGTGATGGCAAAGAACACAGTAATTGATAAGCACCTACAAAAAATTAGTAATTTATTTGATTAATATTTACAAAGAAAATTGATACCTGTAAATTTTTATATTATCCTTCAATATTCTGTCGTTTAATATAAGAATGCTCACCTGAATTCCATAATAACGGTAAATAAAATGGTTTTATGTCCTGTCTAAAGCTGTGATACCCATACTTTTCATTCTCTGCCTCTCTGTATCTGGGTTATATACGGAGTTCTGTAAAGGCATCCTTAGCTCCTACCAGGTTTTCTACAAGGTGGGCGTGGTCATGGGGAGGGCTTCCTGTTCACTCGGCTTCATTGTTGCTTGTCAAACGAGCATCAAAACCTCACTTTTTTAAAAAAAGAACTACACAAATTGCAAAAACCAACAATCAATACTCGTGGGGTCGCTACAATCGACAGTCCCATATATAAGCTCTGATCTTGGCATGGTAGCATATCCAAAGTATGTGGCCTGCGTCATTTGAACAGCCTTTCCACATGGCACTTTGATAATCAGCATAGATAAAGATCTAAGCCACATTTCTACCTACCACTACCTACCACTTAGATGTGCACTATATATTTCTGTATATAGATGTAGTTTTACAGCGTATTCCACCATAAATCCCCCTAGGAAAAAAAGGCACCAGAATAGGTAGAAGAATTCCCCCCAGGGAAATCGCAACATCTTGTGAGGGGTAAATCATATTATGTAAAATTTCCCTTCATGACAAGTTTCTCTTTTCCTTAGCTTTAGTAACCCATTTCAAGAAACACGTTATTTTTCACTACGTTATAATGTATATCTTTCGACAACGAATTTGGACTGTAGTTTTGCAACTGCAAACTATTATGAGAGAGAGAGAGAGAGAGGAGAGATTTTCTCTGAAAATTAAGGCATTTTCTTCATAGTTACACTCACTGGAGTTGTTCAAAAAAGCAAAAGCTGTTGGTGTTTTAGATCCCTAGCTACATCAATTTAATGAATTTCTTATACGGTTATAACGAATTACGGATATAGCGAAGTAATTTCATATGTCCCAGCGACTTCGTTATAACCGAGTTTTACTGTATTACTTATTTGATATATTATAAACTTCTGTTTATTAATATTTTACCCAGTAATCAGAAATTTAAATGGATTCAATAACAAAATCTATTATGTGGCATAGGTTTTTTCAGGGGTAGTTGGAAATTAAAGTAATGTTAGTTAAGAAATAATTTTGCGCTTGGCACAAAATTTACATACTAGTAACTTGAGTTTTGTTGAAACTAGAAAAGCTCAAATCATTTTTGCTCATGACCGTTGTATGGCTCGATCTGGAAAGTTATCAAAACAACCGGGGTGTATTTGTGAAACACTGATGCCCCCGTATGTCAGCTTATAGCATGGGCGGGAGTTTCTCAAATGTAAGTCAAACTCAAAGGTCAAAATTGTTCGTATAAAAAGAAATGTCTTTTCACAAGGAATACACCTATGGAATATGGAAGCCCCAGTACTAAATGTTCAAAAGTTATGGCCATAGTTTGAGTTTTTTTAAAGAGGGTCAAACTCTTAGGTCAATATCAAAATGTCAATCATACACAGGTGGAGCGTGAAAGCCTTAGCCCTACCTAATCAAAAGTTATGGGAAAGGTTAAGGATTGCAAATTTTTGGTAAAAGTGGGTCAATTTCTAAGGTCAAGGTCAAAAGGTCAGATTTGGTGGTACTCAACGAAAGCTCTTATCACAAGAAATTCACATATGAAATTCAAAGCCTCCACCAATCAAAAGTCATGGGTAAGCTTTTGCAGACAAACAGACAGACGAACGGACGGACAAGGCAAAAACTACATACCTCCAAATCTTCGATGATGGGGGCGTATAAAGATTATATATACGGTGCAAGATTTTTTGCGCACTGTTTGGGAGAATTTCTCCACTTTCCAACGTTGGTTAATCATCTACCTTTCCCTCCATTAATATTCTAGACACATTATTTAATAAATCTGTATATTTTAATTTTATACACCCCCAACCCTTTATTGTCGCCTGTACAAGCGATAAATTCGCTTGAATTATAATTTTCTGCAATCCCCCAGACAATTCAAATTAAGCCAATTTATCGCCTGTAAAAACGACTATAAAGGGTTGAGAAGAGGATAAAATATACAAATTGATATTGGTTTCAGAATGTGTCTGAAGGGGGTGAAAGGTAGATGATTTACCAAAATTGGAAAGTGGAGAAATTCTCCAAAACAGTGCGCAAAAAATCTTGCGCCGTAAATTGCACATTTTTTGCATTACGGGATCTGTAGCGTTATGGTCAAAGACTAATATATAAAGCCATAACGCTACAGTTCTGCAGCTACCACTTTCCCTTCTTTGATTACACTGCACTGCGCCTGTTGAAAGTGGGGGGGGGGGGGCTTAACCTAGGCCCCAAAGTTCAATGCCTATATGTCTATCTTTCAAAAAAAGTGGAAGGGGGCTAAGCCCCCCCACCCCGCCCCACTCCTGGTTCCGCAGGGCATGCAGAACGTACATGGAAATATGAAAACATCAGCATGATCAGAAGTAGGATAAGGTGCCATGGAGGAGAGAGCAACCCTGATCATTGTGCACACCCACTTGCGCCCTTTGTCATCACCGGGTAAGCGAAATTCAAAATGAAAATGATGGTCTAATAATTGTTATGAGAGACGTCGACCATAATAGACTGTATTAAATATGATCGGCCAAGGAATTTACAAAATGTTGACTTTAAAGTTTTCTTTTCTTAATAAGACCTAATTCTCCCATGTCGTAAATCCTATTTCGTGGGGAGGGGGTGGAGGGTTAGTTTCCAACTTCTTTCAAAGGTTTGTCTGTAAAGGGGGGGGGGGCAGCCCCCTCCTCTCCCATGCTACCAGGTACATTCCTGGATATTGATTCTTATAATTTAACACATAATCCCTTATCACTTGCACATGGTTTTTGTCTCTCAGTTGATTAGACGCGCAAGAGTATGCGCTACGTACGAATAATTTCTAAAAACGAGGCAAGCTATTGACAAACAAGTTGATGATACAAGAAAAGGAACAATCTCATTTAAAGTCATCATTTTGCAAGTACTATGGTCGATACATTATCTTTTGTAAGGCCATAATTTGCACACACTGGATTTTCTGTGTACTCAATCATAACAAGAAGCACATAGCTGGGTCAGGGTGGCAGGGGATCCTCACTCCTACATGGCACCAGATCCCACTTCTGTTTTGGAGGTTCCTGATTTGTATTATCTGAATGGATTAAGGTCAAGATCTAGTAAAAATTAACACACAATTAACCAACAAAAAGTTCCTTTTTGGTGCTAGATCCATTTCATGACATGTGTATAATCAATTTCAAGCTTTCTTTTCATCCCTTGATGCATCATTTACTTTGGCTTTAGTTTCTTCGTGAGAATTATGTGTATGAAAACAGGCAAGTATTTTGCATGACATTCAATTTGAAATCATATGAAAATGTAAATCTGTATAAAAAACTAACCTATATTAAATTTGATATTGATTTAAAGAAGAAGCCATGAACATACTAATTACCGTTTTCTGAGAGACTGTAGGTAATCTGGATACATTTCCTTTGTCAAATTTGAGAAAAAATCCCATATTCATGACTGGTTTTCTTAATTTTTCATTGAAAATATCAGTTTAAAATACAGTTTTTCATCTTGTTTACTTACAAATTATGTACCTTGGAAATGAAAACACCTTATCCTGTTCACTCAAGTTAATGTTGTAAAACATCAATAAAGGAATCTATTTCTCAAGTTTGATAAATCTGTAGGCACCTTTCATTTACTAGATCTTGACCTTAATGGGCTTGAATGCTACTTGTTTCTCCACTTCTTGACAGTAGAAAAGGATTTACCAAGAGAAAAATAAAAAAATGTAATTAACTAAGCCATTATTAATTAACAATGATTAAACTGAAGTCTATGGGACCAAGCAAATTTTTAAAATAAAAATTCTCAAATAAAATCAATAAATACTGTGGTGGAAAGATGCATTATATCATCAGAACTAGAATGACAATTGAAAAAGATTTTTTTAAATGGATTTTATTAGTTAAAAACGAAGGAGAAAATTCTTGAACACAGGACAAAGTCATATATTAGGATATATTCCATTCTTATATGCTAATAGTAATAAATAGTGATTAATCTATAAAAAAAAAACAAGTTTGTGAGGAGAGCATAAATATGCAAGTATCTCTAGAATCTGATGCTTTTAGGGATGGAATATTTTAAATGAGATTATGAATAACCTTGCATCATGTACTTATTTGTCAGAAGTCTGTGTTGATTTAAAAAATGTTCTTACAAGGAACACACTCTTCTATATCAAATTAAATAGAACTAAACACCAAAATATATTTTTTCTTTTGCAAATGATAAAACAAAATACAAACAAGGATAATATTTATTGAACAATTCTATAAATACTGTTATAAAACAAAATAATTATTTCATGAAAGACATTTGATGCATAACAAATCAATTACATTTTGCACGCCATGGCTATGTAATTTGGTCAGTATTAAACAAACTAACAATGAAAGCTCAGCAATCTGCCATTCTTGTTTATGTGTGCAGGATGCATTGTCAGAATCCCTTAATAAACTTTCTTGATGAATTCTTGTTTTGGAAATTAAGTGCTATAATTGTATGATGCCAACTGAATTTTGGACCTTAGACCGTTTCTCCCAAGTATAGGTCCTAGCATGCCATTATGAGCTGTAGACCCTGTGGTTTTTCAGCATCCACTGAAGATTTACTTGAATGGGGCAGAATAAGGAGCTTTAGCTGATTTGATGCTCCCTACAGGGGAAGGGTTGAATGCTATAGATCGTTTATGTTCATCAGCCCACTGTACAAAGAGCAGGTCACTTTTGACACTTCCTGTGGGACTGTTTTGTCTCTTTTCACTGAGGTCTGGGCTGACAGAGAGTTGAACATTCTTCTCACTGACACCTGATGTTTTAGTATGAGCTGTGTCTTGGTCATTGGTGAAGGCTTTATTTGTAAAGTGACTGCCATTCTTGTGATTACCATTAGAGTAGCCTGTGAAAATTGATTTTATGATAAAACAAGTACCCTTTTTTTTTTACATTTATTCAGTAATCTGGTTATATTATAATTCTTTTTAAAATTTAAATTCCTATTCTTTAAATTCGTTTTTATACCCACTTGTTAGAAACAGACTGGATTAAAATTAGTTTTCTGCAAGAGCTATTTGATTTTTACTAACCTGAACTAGTATTTGAAAGTTGTGATGACCTTGTGCAATTTGACAATGGATTTGCTGTAGAATACTAAAGATAAAACAGAGCATTGCAAAGTCAGGAAATGTACACAGATTTAAACTAGAATTTGAAACATGGTAATCAGAGATTACAGAGCTCACCTCAACGAATGTTGTCTTTAAGTAAGGCTAAGTCACACAATTAACCAACAAAAAGTGTACATTCCAAAAATGAAAATATTTAAGCAATTTTGATCTGATACTTTGAAATAGACCTACATAAAAAATTTAAACTAGTTCTTCTTCATGAAAATGTAATCAAAATCCAGCATCTGAAGCAAATTTGAGAGTTTTCATCTCTTGATGCAACATTTGTGCAAGTTTGGTTTATACAATGTTATATAAGCCTTATAGTTTTTTGGTAATAGACCTACACCCATAACTTTTACCTGGTCTATTATCTGGAAAATGTATGTTGAATTCAGCATCCGAAGCAAATCCATTAGTGTGCATCCTAAGATATATCATCCATGCAAGTTTGCTCATTATAGGGCTCATAGTTAATTGGAAATGAAACATGCATCAAAAACTAATATTTTCACTCATCCAAAAAAAGTAGGTCAGATTCAGCATCCGAAGCAAGCCTGGTAGTATGCATCCTTATATGTATCATCCATGCCAGTTTGGTCATTAAAGAACTCATAGTTACTTGGAAATGAATCATGCACCAAAAACTTTAACCTATTCACTCAACCAAAAAATGTAGGTCAGATTCAGCATCCGAAGCAAGCCTGGTAGTATGCATCCTTATATGTATCATCCATGCCAGTTTGGTCATTAAAGAACTCATAGTTACTTGGAAATGAAACCTGCACCAAAAACTTTTACCTGTTCACTCAACCTGAGAATATAGGTCAGATTCAGCATCCGAAGCAATCCCGGTAGTATGCATCCTTAGATGTATCATCCATGCAAGTTTGGTCAACATAGGGCTTATAGTTACTTGGAAATGAGACCTACACCAAAAACTGCACCAAAAACTTTAACCTGTTCACTCAACCAGAAAATGTAGGTCAGATTCAGCATCCGAAGCAAGCCCAGTAGTATGCATCCTTAGACGTATCATCCATGCCAGTTTGGTCATTGAAGAACTCATAGTTACTTGGAAATGAAACCTGCACCAAAAACTTTAACCTGTCCACTCGACCGCAAAATGTAGGTCAGAATCAGCATCCGAAGCAAGCCCGGTAGTATGCATCCTTAGATGTATCATCCATGCAAGTTTGGTCAACATAGGGCTTATAGTTACTTGGAAATGAAACCTGCACCAAAAACTTTAACCTGTTCACTTAACCGCAAAATGTAGGTCAGAATCAGCATCCGAAGCAAGCCCGGTAGTATACATCCTAAGATGTATCATCCATGCAAGTTTGGTCAACATAGGGCTTATAGTTACTTGGAAATGAAACCTACACCAAAAACTGCACCAAAAATGTTAACCTGCTCCAAAAACATTAACCTCGTCATTCCTTTGCTGAAATTTCAGCATCTGAAACTTTGACTGGTACAATGAAACACATAGAACCATCTTCCATGCATGTCTAATCAATATAGGACATAGAAGTACTTAAAAAGAAAACTGCTCCAAAAAACTTAACCTTAACCTGGGATGCCGATGCCGAGGGTATTACATAAGCTCCCCAAACTTCGTTGAGGTGAGCTAAAAAAAGTAAGACCTTATAAATTTTCATACATCCCAAAGATTTTCAAATCTACTTCCTAAATCAATCATTTTTACATACACATAAATTGAATTCAGAAAGAAACAAGATGTGTTTGTGAAACACAATGTGCCCGGAGACAACAAAGTTAAAAAAAAAGCTATCTTTAGCATATAGGTTACAGTCAAGGTCACAAGGTCATTGACCTTAGTGTCATTTGAAAGAACTTGATTATTAAAATACACATACCAAATATGAAGTCTCTATCTCTCATGCTTCAGAAGTTATGGTTAAGGTTCAAAAAAGCTATTTTTAGCATATAGGTCACAGTCAAGGTCACAAGGTCATTGATCTTGGTGTCATTTGAAAGAGCTTAATGAGTGATGTAAGCATATCAAATATGAAGTCTCCATCTTTCATTAAGGTTTGCAGAAAAACTATTTTTAGCAAAAAGGTCACAGTCAAGGTCACTGACCTTGGAGTCATTTGAAAGAGCTTCATTAGTGGAGTATGCATACCAAATATGATGTCTCTGTCTTTCATTATTTAAAAGTTATGGCGAAGGTTAAAGTGTGCAGACAAACAGACAGACAGACAGAAGGACAAAAACAATATACTCCCCAGATCTATCAATAAGGGCGCATAATTATGACTATATTTGGATTCTCTTATTGTAAACTACTACTATATTCAACATATTGTCTGATACTTAAGAATATCCTCTGAGTTTGATCAATTTTAATCTGAGGCAGGCTATTGACAGATAAGTTGATATTATAAAGATTTCAACAACCTTGCTTAAAGGCAGCATTTTATAAATTCTATGGTAAGTTGTTAATTTTTATGAACTTGTTAGCAAATATAACTAATCACTAGATCATATTTTAGCTGACTTGTTTTATACCAATTGAATTGTTAGGCCTTCTTTTTTATACTAAGTCTATGACAAGACCTTTCCTTCAATGTGAACATTGTTGAATTGGCCTTTTTTTTTTTTTTTTACTATGGACTTAATTTTTGAATGTTTTATGTTATGGCTGTCATATTTCGTGTGTATTCCTTATGACAAGGGTAAAATTTCTTAAGTTTTATATTTTTTTTTACATCATGACTTTGAGGTTTCAAAAACTTTAACCTTTGCCATAATTTCCAAATAGTTACTGCACTGGCTATATCATATTTCGTGGGTACATTTGGTTTTTGTATTATTTTTTTTATTTTAATTGTTATTGACTGTGAATTGACACCATAACAATAATTAAGCTATAAACCAGCAGCTGGTAATTACATTTACCAAACACTGCCACAAAACTGATCCACTGAGTGATTTTATCTGATGCCGAGTTTGACTGACTACAGAACATTTATCTAGACACAGTCAACATCAGAAGCTTCTCTCCTTATTATAGTACAGACAGTGTTTCTAAGATTAGAACACATACTAATATCATACATACTTCATGAGCTCTGTTAAAATTCTCTCATACAAAGAGGGAGACTTTCTGTTTCTGGCCCCTACCTTCTGCCTTGTGCAGCAGTATTCATCTTATTCGGACACCTGTTTATAGTTTTGGAGGACCCCCATGTGCAGTTATTAATTGACTGGCATACGTCCGAGTTATTATTAGAAAATCATTAATGTTCAATTATAATAATTTTTTTGTGATCATGCATACCTTATTACTGGTTTCACTTTTATTTTTGATCTTTGAAGAAGATTCATCATAACTCCGAAGACACCGGCATTTTCTTCTTATCACATCCGAAATCTGTGAAAAAAGATATATGCGTCACAATCGTGCATAATTATACAAGTCTCTCAAACATTTTAGTATATATTTAGTATTGTATTTAGTATGCTTCGCGGTTTATAAAGCGTAAACTGCCCCAACCCAGTTTATACCGTATAAAATGGGTAGCTACTTAATTCATTCCTTAAATATTAATAGTGTAGATAATGTGACACTGTGAAATTAGCACCAACTCACGCGCATGCACTTGCGCTTCACTCTGATTGGCTGAAACAAAAATCTCAATATCTTTTCTGTTTTTAGACGAAATGCTATAAAATTTAAAATATGGGCATGCTTTAGAATGTCCTACAATATGAAATATAACAACTGTCATGAAAACACGCGCATGCACGTGCGCTGCATTCTGATTGGCTTAAACTTTAAATGGCTATAACTCCCTTGTTTGTGAACCAAACGGGATGTGATTTAGAACATAGACAGACATAATAGACTCCCACAAGAAGGTATGGTCACCATGCACATGCGTGCACGTGCCCTTTGCTCTGATTGGCTGAAACAAAAATCTCAATATCTTTCATGTTTTTTGACGAAATGTTTTGAAATGTAAAACATAGTCATGCATTAAGATATCCTACAATATGATATATAATATTTTAATGAAATCACGCGCATGCACGTGCGTTGCAATCTGATTGGCTTAAACTTTAAATGGTTATAACTCCCTTGGTTTTCAACCAAACAGGAAGGGATTTAGAATATGTATAGACATAATGAACTCCTACAAGAAGGTATGATCAGCATGCACATGCATGCACGTGAAATGAGTTTAAATAAAAATACGCTTGAATTAGTGTATTTTTTAATACTTTTGGATTAAATGCTTTGATATTAAGTATATTAAAATATATAGATAGTTTAGACAAAAGGATATGGTCATTACGCACATGCATTCACATAAGCACGCGTGCTATGTTAAAATTTAAATAAAGATGTATTTTGTATTCTTCTGGGAAAACGTTGTTTAAGTCTAAATTGCATAAAGTATTTATTTAATAGAGCTTACAGGGAATATGGCACCAAAAGGGAGTTGGGGAGCATTTGGGGAACATCTGTAACGGTCCCCGTTACAATTAGCCCTAGTTTGCTTATGATATTCATTGTAAAAATAAGTTTAGAAAGACCTGGTGTATAAAAAGAAGAAAGAATATTTTTCTAGAAAGCTTTAAATATGTAAGTGAATTAAAATGTATTTTGTTTGGATGGATGAACTTTTAAAAAATGTAAATTAACCATAAAAATACTTACTGATCTATTCAGCACACAGTGGAATAAAAATATAAAGAAACCCTGTAAAGGCAAAAAAAAAAGTCTTTGATGAGACAGTAGCTCTACTGGTTTTAACATGAAGTTACAAGCATGTAACATTTCCATTCTGATCTTTTTAAAAGATGCATCAAATACATTAATATTTTTGTTTTCGTTTTAGGCTAAGTGGAACAGTACATATTAGAATAATTTCAAGGGTGGTCTTTGCAGTATAATTATACAGACTTCAGTATCATTGAAAACAAGGTGCAAAAAAAACAAACGGGTAAGCTCTTTAGGGGTTATCATCAAAAGAAGTGGTAATATATCCGACTTTGAGTTTAAAGACTTTATAGACTTAATAATAATTTAAAACAGTATTATGGTTAGATGGCAAAGTAAAACAATATAATGATAATCTTAATTGTATAAGTCCCTCTATAGCACAAGAATTTAAATCTTTCCTGAACATAAAAATTATAACCTTACATGAATGTCAATAGCAGATCTATTCTTTCAGAGTTTATGTGTAAAAGTCTCTTTGTACAGTCTATATAAGTCCTGAATTATTTAGTTTAATTTTTTATCCCAGAAATAGGTTTCAAATTAGATTGATTATTAACACTGGCATGAAATGCCATAGCATCAATAAAAAGTGGGTTTATTGATAATATCAATGTAAAATGCTATCATTTACAACACCCAAGAGAAGTCTAAGTGAAAAAACCACAAACTTTCCGAGATCATCTCTGGAGAATCATTTCCCTCAAATGAGATAACATTTCCAAGTATATTTTTTTTTTTGCAAAAAGGTAGAAGTTTATAATAGAATATCATTTTTTATGATATATCATCTGTATAAAAATACCCACTAAAGAAATGGAATTAATCATCATATTGAAATTGAAAATTCTGATCATTCCTATAGAGTTGTCACATATAGTACATGGTGCTGACAAATCTTTTAAACTACCTAGAAAAAACTCACTCCTGTTGATTTCTTATTTACTGTTAAAACAAATATAAATATTAAAATCTTATCATAATGATAGATTCTGAGGAAAGCAGCTAACTTAATGTGGATTCATTTTCAACCTACAGTGGAACCTCATTCATCCCTATACTTCACCTTTTGTACAGATTTGAAGAGAACACAATTTATATGAGGGTTGATCCAAAAGTATTATCACAACTACTATAAAATCTGTAATAAACAGATGTTATCAATAACTAGAGTATGGATAATGAGGCTTCACTGTATGTCCTGTGATATTTCTTACCTGTAAAGAGTTGAATATAGTGAACAGGTACTGAAATATGATGGTACTAGAGTTTACAGACAAAATTCCAAAAATCCATGAAATCCCTAGGATAGGGGCCAGAACTGCTACACTGCGCACACCAGCCCTAGAGAAGAAAAGTAAAATAGGTACCTGATGCAGAAGACTAATGGTAAATTTAGCCATCTAAAATTTAATTTTGGAAAGCAAAGTTGTATGATGTAAACTGTAGTTACTACCTGACTTTGTCCTGATGTGATTTACTCATTACGGCCCTGGTAGAAAACAGTGCCCTTAGTACTATGGCAGTTATTATCAAATTTACCTGTAAGGGAGATAATCAATGATCAAAGGGACATAAGCATGAACAAGTCATTCCTTCACATTATAAGTATGGCAATGAGGGAATATAGGAGAAAATATAGTTTATTTTATTTACATAGACTATAAACTGTACTAAAAACCACATTTGGTCTGCAGAATATATCCTTGACCTTTCTCAAACCCTCTTGTGCTACAATGTACTTTTCTGTATTTACTAAAGTTATAAACACTAATTCCATAAGGGACAACATATAAATAAACAAATGGGGGCGTAATGACATAGTGGGAGGCAATAGTCCATACTCCCCCTTGATTTGGCTTACTGAGTGCACTGGTACTGGAGAATTACATGTTGTCATGTAACATTAATTGCTGAAGACAGTATTAGGCTAATAGATATCACATAAAAACAAACATCACAGTGTATCGTTAAGCTCGTTAAGTTTAAGGTCGACAGAGTTGAGTTAGCCCATAACTTTATTCAAGTCTCTCTGATGGTGATACACAAGAATGTTGTCTGCAATATGGAGGACAAGTGACTGTTGACTTAAATAGTTTACCCTGCTGTGAACTTTATGTACTTATAACTAAAAACATGTGGTAAATCGGAAAATGTTCAGAGAGAAAATTATTTTAGGGGTAGTGTTTTGATAAACATTAATAATTATGAAACAAAAATTCTAAAGGATACTGTAAATCACGTTTTATTTGCAAGAACTTAATTTTCGCATAATTACGTGAGACAATGAGCTCGCAAAAATTCCATTCTCATGTTTAAAAGTATTCCGTACAATTATACAGAGGAAAAACAACAATTCATGAAAATAATGTCTCGCTAATAAAGAGTCAATGACTATCTCGCGAAAATAAGGTGTCGCGAAAATTTAGTGATCTACAGTATATCTTAGAAAATGCCTTACCACAATAATAACAGAAGCTGGAATCACAAAGGCATAAATAACTCCTTCTTCAATGGTCAGCCAGCAGCTGTAACAGAAAAGAAACCTCTTGGTAAAAATCCCTTATAAGGAGAGGCATCTGGAAAAAATGGTGCTGTTCACATGTAAACTTACAATTTGTCATTGCCATATCCCTGTAGTTCTGTGGCCCCCATAGATATGCCAACAATGACCAATGGTATCCCTAAAACATTAAAAAATAACAATGGATTAGCACAACAAATTTAACTTACAACCTATCTTAATCTCCCCCAACTTCAAAGTGGTGTGCTTAAATCACACAAGACAACTGAAATCACTCCAAGATGGAAGTGTTAGACAAATTTGTTCATAAAAAGCAAAAGTTATATAAATTAAACTTACTCAAAGCTTAGCTTAAGATGATGAGTACTCACCCCAAGCTAGAGGCAGAAGGACCTTGACCTTGGAGTTGCTCCAAAAGACCAGAATGACCGACACAGCTATGGTGATTCCTTCTGCCAGCATTAGGAAGAATGCCACCAAGAAAAAGTACTGCAGAAGGACAGCTATAGCTGTACACAGGATCTGGAAATACATCAGAAGTATATAACTGTAAAGAACAAAGTCTCCCGTCGTTACAAAAATTCAAATGTAAAAAGAAATTTCAGGTTACAACAATTTTATCTCAAAGGAAAATAAATGAATGGCTGAAAATCCAGTGAGAAGTTTGTCAGAGTCTAACCTTGTTCTGAGTCTGTTCCACACCAAGGATGAAGATGGTCAGAGCTATTGTTAGGGCCAAGCAGAGGTTCAGCAGAATCTTACTCTTGTCTGATTTTACATACCTGTCAAATAAAGACAGAACATAAAACAACTTGTACTCTCTTTGGATTGAGATGTATAACAAGAGCATTAAGGGTCAACAACAATTCCGAAAGCATAGCAAATTATCTCCCTTCAACTGCAGGAGGTGAGCTGAAATTGATTTCCGATAGGCCTATAATGCTACACTTTTAATGGTTCAGAAATCTGTTGAAAAAATTTAGCACTTAGTTTTAGTCTAATGAATAATAAAAGTTTAAATTGCATGCAAAATTATCACAATGGCACATTTTTTTTACAGGAAAATAAATTCCCAAATATGAAGTTCAGATTGCTTTAAATGAAACACCCATAAAAGGGAGAACTCTGGATAATAACAAACCTCCAAAACATGAGATGACAAACTGCTGTAGCCAGGAGTCCAGCAATGGAGATTGTACAACCAATGATGGAGATTAGACCAAGTATGTCATTCTCAGACTCAGACTGAAAGAGATCAGAAAAATAGGGCTCATATACTGAAAGAGATCAGAAAAATGGGGCTCATATACTGAAAGAGATCAGAAAAATAGGGCTCATATACTGAAAGAGATCAGAAAAATGGGGCTCATATACTGAAAGAGATCAGAAAAAAATAGGTCTCCTATACTGAGATCATAAAATATATGTATTTTTAATATACTGAGATTGTGAACATATGTCTTTCATACTGAAAGATCTTGTAAATATATGTCTCCTATTTTGAAAGTGATCATAAAATATATGACTCCAATACTGAAAGAGATCATAAAATATATGTCTCCTACTCTAAAAGAGATCATTAATTAATATGTCTCCTATCCACTCCTCTGTAATGAAAGAGACCATGAAATATGTCTGCTATACCGAAGGAAATCTTGACATATGTCTCCTTTACTGATACAAACATTAATGTGAAATAGAAAATGATTCTGCTATTTTTTTCCTAAAATGATGACATACTTTTTTTTATTATAAGGATTGCAAAGTATGATAAGAAAAGAATTTAAATTTAGAAGAAAGGCAGACAATCTTTACTTATTAGTCTGGTTGCAAATACTACCTTAATTAATAAACTGAAGCTTTGATAAAATTCACCTGGATATTTATGAAGATTTATTGATTTAATAAAAATGTTAAATTCTTCTGATCTACAGATGTGAATCTTTGATGCCTCTGTGTGGTAATTTTTTCAAAAGTAGGTCAAGATCAAAATACCTAAAACACAGTTTACATCCACTTGTGATGTCACTCTTTCAAAGATAACTTGAGATTTAAAAATTTCTCACCACTTCTACAGAACTCATCAGAACAGCAAAGTTGGTCATGTGATTACAATGACAGGTGACCCGGGTAGCGTTTCTAAAAACGGTGTAGCAGCCTCGGTCTGACCACGCACTGAAAGGAAAGGGTACCATTAGTTTACAAGTAGTGTACCAGTAGAAATTACAACTTCATTTACTCTTAATATTTTTTCTATATTTTACTTTTTTCCCTGCAAAACCTGTCTAGGTAAAGTTTTAGATGAATCATCCTAATATTAATTTACCCGTTACTTATCAAAATACACTAATATCAAATTGAAATCATCTTTGCAACGTACCGAGGAATTTTCAGTTCACTACATATAGTGAAGCAGACCATAACCCTTGACTTAAAAAGATGCAGTAAAATTTGAGTTGAAATTTGAAGTAAATCTTCAACTCACCTTTGATTAAAATCCCAGTAACTGCATATTGCATTTTCATCTCCAATATCCTACAATTACAGTTATAAAAGTGTTAATTCATCTTGTACCAAGCACCATTTGCATCCTCTGATTACTGTAGATTGGCAAATAATCATGATGGTTTTAATTTCACTATATTCACGATTTATCAGTTTTCTGCAAAATTAAAACCATCATGAATGCTAACATTAGTTTTATAAAACATTTTTCAAACTGCTTATACAAACTTTGAAGTAATTTCTTGCAGCAGGAAATTAAAACGATCGCTATTGGTACTTTTTAATAAATCATGAAATTTTAACACCGTGGAATTAAAACAACTTAAAAAATTCAGGTGACAATAATATACTGCTACAGTAAAACTCATTTAGGATGAACACAGATATTGCATATGCAATTCATGGATATAGCAAAGTTATCTTGGATCCCCAGCTATATAAATTTAATGAATTCCTTATTCGGATATAACAAGTTATGATAAAATGAAGTAATTTCATAGGTCCAAGTGACACTTTATCATTTGGATCCTCCTCCTCCTATTTGTAAATCTTTTTGCTCCTCCGGGGGCCCAAATTGGATTAATAAAATCTTGTATCTTGTATCTTGTACATCAGTATAATTATATATATGTATAATAAATTCTGATATTTTATTGAAAAATTCACTAAAATCATATGGTCTATGCATTAAAAACTTTGATTAGTGATACGTATGTATATAATTTCTTCTGATAAAAACATGATTAATGAAATGACGTGCACCTGTTGTAGTACAAACTCAAGTTTCAGAGGTGGATCTAGCTTTTCTGTTTCTCCACTGGCAAGGGAAAATGCAATGATGTCTGTATTTATCAAGTTGCTGAAAATAAGAAAAAAATAAATGCTTTTAAAAGACTTTTTGATTACATTTCTTTAACTTTCTACCCTTGCTAGTTCAGTAAAAGTGTTTATTTTTATTTATCAAACAAAGAATAAAAAAGAAGAAACAAAAACACATACATGTACAAGTATGTCTTTTAATTCTTCAAGAGAATGATTATTTATTAATCTTCATTGAATATTTGTCAAATGTAGTTATTTGACTATGTATTTTCTTTTAGATGTTTAACATGAATAATGATGCAACAAGTGTAAAAACACAACAATTAATCAATAATTATTTATTTCTAATTATAAATAAAGTTTACTGTTGTCTATGTTGAATTCAATTATGTGCATGTACAACAAGAATTCCTTCAAATCTGGTTAACCTAAAGAGGTGATGGTATGATGACATCAAGGTTTGCATCTTTCTGCTATATCATTTGTAATTACATGTATTCATGAACAAGCTATTCCAATCTGTTTGGTGTAGGTTTTTCTGATTTTGGTAAGTTTTCATCACATGTACAAAACATGCTGAGGATTATGTAATACCTTACTTACAAATAATTTCACATTTTATGATTTGATGTAATCTTTTCTTATTTCATTGTAGACATCATCTGAGGTAATATGCTAGGTAGTAGTAATTATATTCTATGGCATTCATAATTAAAATAACATCGTGGGTACATCATATATTATTATCACCATGGTAACCTTAGTTACCATAAGAAGTTATACATGTCAGCTAGTACATGCAAAACTGAATAATTGGAAAAAAAACCTTGAAGGAATATCCATTAAAATAAAACAAAACTAGAAATATGTTCAGTAAGGACATGAATCCCCTGAAGATGAAAATTTGTATTAGGCTAGGCCTAAAACAAAAATTATATAAGCTTGGCCCTATGTATTTTGATTAGAATACCTTTAATATTATTTTTTTTTATTGAAATCTTAAACAGTGGATAAAGATGATTAATTCTCATCAATTATGTATAAATGCATACAAGAAAAGATCTTATATGGTTTCTTGAAGAAAAGTGAGGTAAAGGTCATAGGAAAGTTCAAGGACAAAACTTTTTATGCCATTGTCAGAATAGCTCTCACTTAAAAGTACCCGGTACAAGCATATGTAATAAAAATATCTTGAATGGTTTCTTTAAAACTGAGCTAAACACAAATTATTAAAAAAAAAAGGTAAGGTCAAGGTTAAAGGAAATGTCAAGATCAAAAAAATGTTCATGCAGTTGAATGGCTTATTTCAGTATGTAAAAGCACATGACGTTTGATAACACATTTCTTAAATGATTTCTTTAAGGTCAAGATCTAGTAAATGAAAGATGCCTACAGATTTATCAAATTTGAGAAATAAATTCTTTTAATGATGCTTTTTAACTTTAGCTAGGTCAAATAAGGTACTGTTTTGGGACATAATTTGTAAGTAAACAAAGTGAAAAATCATATTTTGAACTGTCATTTCCAATGAAAAATTAGGAAAAGCAGTGGTGAATATGGGATTTTTTTCCATATCTGACAAAGAAAATATATGCAGATTGCCTACAGTCTTTCAGAAAATGGTAATTTGTATGTCCAGGACCTCAGAAATAATGTCAAATTTAAAAAAGATATCGGGACTACTTTTCATGTAACTTCAAATAGAATTCCATGAAAATACTTTATTTTCCACATATTTTTATTAGAGCCGTAAAGTAGTAGAAAGTGATTATGATGTCATAATGGATCTAGCACCAAGAAGTCATCAAAAGACATTTACTAGATCTTGACCTTAAAAATGAGCTAAATACTATAATTTCAGATTTTTAAAAAAAAAAGGTCTAAGTCAAAGGAAAGATAAAAAATGTTGCAGTTGAATAGTCTCATCAATATGTATATATCAGCCTATTACGGTAAGTTTGATAAAAATACCTTAAATGGTTTGTTTAAAACTGAGCTTTGAACTGAGCTAAACACAAAGTACGATGGAAGGACAGATGGACTAAAGATGGACACTGTGCCCCAGCCATATTTATGGCAGGGCATAAAAAATACCTTTCATTTTCCCTTATAATTCTTTTTTCACATCTTTTTGTCACTGTGTCTCCTTAAAATTTTGGCATTTACCAAAAACACTGCAGACAATTAAGGAAGGGAAAATTAAGCAGAGCATGTGCTTTTAGGAAAATTTTGGTTTAAAGTTTTACTTAATTTCCTTTTTAAAGTAAGTATAGTACCATTCCACAATACTAACAGTACACTGACAATTGCTGTATTATAATTTTTATATCTACAAATAATGACTGATCCCTGAAATCTTTATACAAGAACTGATCCATAAAGTCCTCTGTTGACAAAATGAGGATTGGTGTATTATAAGTCCCCGAAGGAAAACTTGGTAAAGCCTGACATATCCCCCATATAAAAATGATGATAAAACACTTCAACATTGACAGTCGCCCCAGTAAAATCTGCAGTATCACTCATAATGTTCCTTTTCAAGTATCAATAATTGATACTCCACAATTAGGCAATAAATTTGTTATTAGCAGTTTGAATTCTAATGACAATTTCTCTAAGTTCATTAGATTAAAGAGGAAAAAAGTGGAATATCACTTAGCGAGCATGTTCTTATTAAGCAGTGGTATGGCCCTGAACAATGCAGACTGATAAAAGGCTGTGTAGGGGGCTAATGATCTGTGAAATGGGCAGACAACCAATCAATCACACAGACAGTTTTAGTTCACACCAACTTTTTCCTGCCCCCTGTAGTTGTCTGTGTTTATCATATGTAAATTATTTGCTGCTATTGACTCTTAGGATTGGAATCCTTTCTTGCATAGTACATTCACAATAGAAACTAATGTGGGTTAAATCAGAATGAAGAGAAAAGTAATGTATGTGTACCTTGTGGTCAATTTTGACAGACTTTATGTTAGAGACAAAGAAGAAGTTAGCATCTGTGGAGACTGATGAAAATCCACTTTAATTCAGAATTCTGCATGAGTACCAAGTCTATCATACATACCTGTTTTGTGAGGCCTTTTTTGGGAACAAATCTGATAATGTTTTGTAATATGTTGCTGCATAGTCCACTGTGTCATTTTCTGCAAAAAATAGATATAGGATAAATAAATATACCTGGTACATTGCATATTTAAAAAAAAAAACAGATGTGTTTGTGAAACACTGATGCCCACCCTGCACATATGGCAGCTCATGGCAGAAGTTAAATTTTATTTTAATGCAGCTTTAACTCTAACTTCGTCAAGAGATCAAAAATGTCAGTACCCAAAGAAATATTTGTCTCAAAGAATACACACAGTAAAATTTGAAAGCCCTAGAGGTGGCCATTCAAAAATTATGCTTAAGATTCAAATTTTAAAAAGTTATTAAAACTTCAAAATCCATGTCAAATTATTATATAGTCTATTTATAGTCCCTATATAATCTATAGAAACGCAAACAGTTCATAACACTACATATTCACCGGATTTTAGGCCGTATTCACCGGGGGGTCAATGCACGTGCAAGGGCATTGTGACGTCACAATCAAAACATCAAACAACGTTGTAAACAATCATACATGCCAACTTTTGAAAATTTTCTTGGGGGAGATTGCGCGTAACGACATTTTTAAAAGTTCCTAATTCACGGCATTTTGTCGTGAAATAACTTTTTTTAGGTTGTTTTTTCCCTAAATTATCAATCTTCTACCTTTATTATATCATATATTATTACTACTTCAAAAAGTGTTTTCTTCTCTATCAACTTAAATAAAAGCACAAATACAATACCATTTGAACTTTTTAAAAAAACAATTTTATTCAAAATTATTTAATATGTTAATATTTAGATAAATATACCCTCTGTCTTAAAGAATGTGATACACAAAGTTAACATATTATTACATGAATAAGGATGTTAAACTTTACAAATAAACTGAACTGTTCATTGTCCCTTGGTAAATTACAAAGTTTATAAGGTTACTGTTACACAAAATATTGTTAATTTATTTTTTTCTTATTCAGAGGGAATATTAAGAAGTCATTTTAACTTTTTCAATCAAAGTCTGCAAAAGGCTTGCGTGGTCTTTTCCTTTCTTTTTTATTTTAATCACTCTGGGCAGTCCTTATGGTTTTTACTTGCAGGCACATTTTTTCCATGTTGGATTTTGGCAGTGTCTTTTCCATGAAGTAGATTATAATTTATTGAGGAATGCAATGTTCCAAAACTTGAACACCTTTTATAACCGGTTTATACGTATAATGTTGAAGTTTGCTGTAAAGTGTGAACTCTCACAAGTTCGTCAGTTTGTATCCAGTGTCGTGTGTATTTCTAAAATTTCCACATCTGGCATAATTGTCTCGGTTAAAATACACTGTTAATGAGGTTCAGGAGCAATTAAAACCTCTGTAATGACTGGTAGCACAGTTGACACCTTGTTGATTACCTGTTATCAGTGGCAATAAACAGATATCCTACCGATAAACATTGAAACAGCCATGTTTTCTGCACACGGAAATACTGTATTATTCAAAGCGAATCGGAAAAAAATCCGGATTTTCGAAATATCGGTAGAAATGGGAGAAAAAAATTAATCGGTAGACAAGCGGTAGACAGGGTTAAAAATCGGTAGACTCCCGAAAAAATCGGGAAAGTTGGCATGTATGAACAATGGTTGCAACGGCCGCAGCGAGCTACGTATCTGAGCAGGAAACCCTATTTCAGGATTATTTTTTTAACATTTGGACGTCTTACACATAGCAAAACTCGGAAAGGAAAACACAGAGGTTACAAACAGTAATATGGAGACTTATTTTTATTTTTAACAATGGAAGATCGGAAATGAAAATGGTGTTGTCATACAGCCTTCAATGTCTTATTTATTCAAATCCCGACTATATAATAAAACAATATGAATATTTTTCTGGTGAATAACAAACCATATTCAACACCAAAAGAGTCCATGATTGTATAATATTAGTTTTATGGGGAAGGTCTTGTCTGACTTGAAATGATTTGTAAGATATGAAAATTTAAGCACCAAGTATTCACAAGTTATGGCCATAGTTAGAATTTTTAAAAAGTAGTTCAAGCTCTAAGGTCCGAGTCAAAAATTAATATGTTTTTACCAAAGGGAAGATCCTGTCACAGGGTGTACACAAATAAGTATGAAAGCCTTACCGCTAACTGTTCAAAAGTTATGACCTATGTTGAACTTTGGTAAAATTATGCAAAAATAGTTCAAACTCCAAGGTCAAACTGAAAGGATCAAATATGTTGATTATGCTACTGTGTGAATATACCCAATCATGGCTTTGCTACTCTTAATAGGAAATTCAAACATTTTTCTTTGTAAAACTTTGATTATCCACTATCTCCCCTACCACCCTGGGTGCCATGATGTGAAAGAAAAAAAACTTGAAGTTACATGATGTAAGGAAGCTTTCACACGTGAAGTTTCATCTTTTTAGGTCAATTTTGACCTGACACATGTGATTGCTGACCGTTATTTTCTCTAACCTGACACAATTCTCCTTAGTGTTCTCTCCTTCAGCTCTATAATTCCTTTAAACTCTGTGTTGGGGTTTAGTCTGGAGGCAGGAAAGGTGATGTCTTCTAATGCTGACTTCTTATACTCAACAACTGAAGAAGAAAATACAGCTCAACTTCAGTTTCATAGATATCTTGAATGCCATGACATGCCAAAACATGCCAAAGCAAGTTTAAAATCCATCCCATTGTATTATATTTTAAACTACTGTGTTGTATTAATTTACACTATGTACGCGGTCACAATTTCTCTGTGGAAAATCCAAGCGTATTTATTATAAATGCAAAGCATATATAGTGACGTTTTAAGAAATCTGCGTAATTTTCGACCCGCGAATTAAACAGAAATCGAGATTCCTCGGAATTATGACCCCGTGGAAAAAAGTATGTCTACAGTAATTGAAAGGAAATCTTATTATGAGGAATGGATATCATAGCTACACTTTGCAGCTTATAGATATAAGGAATAAATTTCTCCCACCTAAGTTATATATTTCGTAGTTATTAAATTCATTCCTTAATTAACATTGTTATGTATTATATATAATTTTCCAGTATATATAGCTTAATATGCTTAAGTATGTATATTGACATGGTTATCCACGTTCTCAGAAAAAGCCTCGAATACATACAGAAATAAGAAAAAAATACCACAGGAAAGAGCTTATTTGTTCTAGCTGACATTAATGAGGTGTGATTTTAGCATTTTTGAGGGTTTTTTTCTATATCAAGAGAAAAATTCTTGAGATCAAAAGTTTTAATTTTTAATTTCAAAAAAATTATTTATATGATACGACCAATATATACGTTATTTCATTAATAGATACAGAAAATAGACTTTTTGATATTTGATATCAAAAAATTGAATTTTAGATATCAGAAAATCATTTTTGATAAAGAAAAATAATAACACTTTGATATCACAAAATTTCTAAAATTGTGTCTTATAGAGTGACAGAAAGTGGGAGGATGATAGGAGGTTAATTACCTATGTTCTTTTGGGCTAAAGTCTTTGTTTCTCCTTTGGGAAGTCTCTTTGTAACACTGTTTCCAAACTCGTGCACTGCATCCATCAGTTCTGCGGCTTTGTTCTTACCCCTCTGTAATTTAAAATTATACATATTGTAGCATTCTCAAGTCTTTATTGGCGCAGTTAAAGAGAGATAACTCTTGAATGTCTAAAATTTCAGTAAACTAGCTACTATAAAATTCTTACCCTGGTTTGTAAATTATCCCACACTGGTTTGATGTCTTCCTTTAGAACATTATTTACAGAAAACAGGAATTCCTTCAAGAAAAAAATGTCCATTTATAATTGCCCCCCCAAAATTTTCTCAGTTCTTTTTTATGTTTATCAATTCAAGCAATTTAGCAGCAGAAGAAATATATATTCCATGTATAATAATTGTTATCCAATATCATTGCAAAACATAATCATAAGCTTTTAAGCAGCACATTAGGCCCTGACCTGTGTATCTGACTCCGTAACTAGGTCATCCCTGCCCGCGGAGATTGCCGCTACCTTGGAGATGATGTCAACACTGGTATCCAGGTCACCTGACGTGATGTTTTTGTCGCTGGTGATTCGGGCCGTCTCCTCGGAGAAGTCCTTTAGCACACCTGTGATGTTGTTTGTGTCGTAACCGTCCCGCACCTGGGTCACCTGTCGGTTAGTATAGTTATAGAAAATTAGAATTTCAGTTTAGGTTACATTGAATTTGGGAGGAGTTATTTCCCTTTACGAGCAATGCACTATGTGATTCTTCAAAAGCACTGGATTTCACAGCTAATAAAGACAAACTATTTTTAATAAATCTGCTGATAATTAAACATAATTATGTTTAAAAAGAAAAAGAGAAGACAAATTTACCAAACTTGACAAAATTTTAAAAGATAAAAAAGAATTGCAATAATTTTTTTTTTATGTGCAAAATCCATATAATTTCAATATTCTTTGAAAAGTTTAGAGCATTTTTAGTACTATGTACTTTATTTTAGAAAATTATAGACAAAACATAATTTTCCTAATATTTTGAGAAGATAAAGTTTCAAAAACATGAGGCCATCATTAGATAATTTTTTTTGTTTGATGTACTCCAACCCCCCTTTTTTTTAAAATTCATTTTTTTTTGTTGTTGACTGAAGTCATTTTTTTTCTAAATAGTAAAAAAGCAGAATTTTTTTAAAAACAGGAATTGTAACTTACCTCAACAAAGATGCTGATTAGACTGTCCTTTACACACATAGAATCATCTGGATCCTCCCACCGTCCATCTGCTCCACACCGCCGCTTCATCATACCTATAGTCAGTAATGATTCAATTTTACTTTAATTTCACAAGGATAATAATTGCAGTACTTAACTATACCAAGAACCTATTCATTATGATTTAGCTTTATTAGTCTAAAATTTAACATTGATTCCAGTCATCTTGTCTACGAAATAGCACCTCAGAACATGTTTTTAACTATAAAGATTACAAAACAACAAAAATGTAAAGAGACAAGATGACAACATATACAGTTTACTTTTCAGTACATAAGTACTGACCTATGTAGCCTACAGGGCACGGCTTGTAGTCAGACAAAGTGGCATAAACTGCTTCCCATACTGTTCCATCTAACTCCTGCTTAGGACATACCAAGTTAGCTGAATTGTAAAAATTAGTGCAATAAGTATATTTCATGTACGTATTGTACTAACTTTAGTTAGTACAATAAGTACATTTCAGTTTCTATCCCGTAGCCTTTTGGAAAAGAAAATGATTTTTACATTAGGATATAATCCAGCCTAACTTTCAGTGTAAACACAGAGTTGGGTAACAAATATACACTTTTTTTCAGTGGGTGGGGTGGCATTGTAGCTCTCTGATCATCTATCCCAGTCTTTTTTTAGACCAGCGAGCTACATGCAGATCTGCAGCTGGCATTACCTGCAGTGTTATACACATTGATCTGAGCAAAGACTCAGCCAGCCTTTCCTGATTTATACACTTATTCAGTCTTACCTGAGCTATACACAGTTCCTTACCAGAGCTATACACGTTGAGTTGGACAGTCTTACCTGAGCTATACATGTTGAGTTTGACAGTCTTACCTGATCTATACACGTTGAGTTGGACAGTCTTACCTGAGCTATACACATTGAGTTGGACAGTCTGAGAACATGTCCTGTCCTGGGACTTTACATATCTCACTCCACAGCTATAGGACTCGGAGTGCTGGGCTGACACAATGTTAATGGTCTCTGAGTAATGGGAATCTGGGGAGATCTGGTACTCATCTAACAAAAGACAACATAACGGTACACTTTACTGATCAAATTAAAGTATACTGATAAACTTCTAAAGGAAGATTCAAATCAATTAATGATTTTATAAACTTCACAGACGCTTTTTTAAATTTATAGTTGATGGGCATTGCCTATATAAGAGTGACCAAATTAAACTTCCACTTCAAGAAGTAAACAATGATAACTCAACTCTTACAGTACAAAAAAACATAACTACTCAGCTATTCCCCTATCCACAATTTTATTTTCGGAAAAGGATGAGTGTGATCTTATTGATATATTGCTACCCAGCAGTTTGTATGTAATGAATTTCATAAGATTAAAATTTTCAAATGCTCCACTGTTTATTTATGTAAAAAAAATCTTGTCTTTTCTTGTCTGTTTATTTATTTTTGCATGTTGGAAATTTAAATTAAATTAAATTAAATATCTAATTTTTTTAATTATTGGAAATTAAAATGACAAAAGCAATTCCTGCATCTTTTTTAAACATAATTTCATATGAAGAACTAGACACTCAGCCTCTGATGAGGCATCTACTCATGGTAAACTACTAGGCAGATTCATGACTCCATCTCAAAATTAATTTAAATATCTTTTAAAGATTTCTTATACCAATTTAAAAACTACATGTATTTTAGATATGAAATAATCTTTAATTTAAAAAAATGGCAACAACTTAATTTTCAACAAGGGTTTCTCTCTTTATTTAGTATAATAGATTTTCACCTTTATAAACCTTACACTAATTCCTATCACCCAATGTATACTGGTTTTTTATAATATTACGGAACCTACTATGAGTGGAGGAGGAGAGTGTCCCCCCATTCTGACACCACACCAGGGTAAGGACATCATTGGCGGGAGGGGTGGGTGTGATGGTACACGTGATCTGGGCGGGGCTCCCTCTCAGCACTGCGGACTGTGGCGCCGTCATATTCACCGTGTAAATATTTATGGTGGTGTCGTTACTTAGCGTCTCCTTACCAACAACTGCAACACATTCAACTTTGCCCTCTGAAACATAAAACAACAGGCTTCCTGGAGTTCATGCATGACTGTGTATGTATTATTGCCTTTTGTATGTTATTTATTGAACATCAAAAAATCTTCCTCTTCAGAATTAATCAGACAGACAAAGACAGGAACAAATATATATATGGAAATATAAAAAATGCAAACAAGAGCAAACATCAGACTATGCTTCACAGGAACTAACACTCTAATGTCAGATGTTTATGGAGACCTTCATAACTCTCCCAATAATTCTGTCAATTAAACACTTGAATGGACATAATATCAGGAGCCCACCTTTTGATTTGATTTTTTTGTTACCTGTGTCCACCTTTTTTATTCCATTAATGATCAGGTTACTGGTGTACAGAGTCGGGTCATAACTGTCTCTGTTGATCTGTGTTGTCTGAATTCGGGAATTGGCCAGCGGCTTTACTAGTCGCCCGTTAATTCTCCAGCGTATCTGTAAAGCTCCATCCATGGATACGGCCGACACCAGACAGGAGATTGTCACATGGTTACCCAGGATCATGTAGTTGTCTGGTTTATACATCTTGATTCCTTTGATGTAGCCCACTACAAATATAAGTGAAACCATCTTAATTTGGCAATATCATATCTCTTTGAATTTCATAGTAACTGTGGATGAAAAGTTTGTGTCACTTTGAGGATACTGTTTTTGAGGTTCTCTTCAAAATTCAATTAAAAATTCAAATAATTCCTAATATTATGGCATCCTAGTGTAGTTCCAAAAGATAAAAGGCAAAGTGGCGAGAAATGATCCCAATGTTAAACTTCTCTTTATTATGTCAGTGTAATGACAAATATACTACTAGTAATTCCAAATCTATTTGTATCACAGCAGGTTTTTTTAATTTCAAATTCTTTTCAAGGTTAAAGACATACCTCCATCTCTGGCAACAAAAAATGAGGGCTCCACCAGAAGTCCCCCCAAATTCCCACTTTGTATGGCTTTATCTAAGACCTCCATGGCTGGTAGGGATTTGACCTTGACATCCTGCAGTATCAATACGTCTGCTATAGTACTCCCCTTCCTAAATATAGAAAATCAGTCTACAGCTTGTTCACAATTAAAGCAAAAATAAATAAACAGAGGGTTGATCTACCCTTTCACCATTACGGTGCAGCAACAACTGCTATTAGTGTAAAGAAGGGTGTTAGTGTAGAAATACATGTTATCCAAGGCTCTATGCAATGTGACTTTCTGGAACCCACTTGGTAAATGTTTCCAATCTGAAAGACTATTGGAAAGGGACTTTGTGTGCCATATAATGCTACTATCCACTAAATTTTCACAATATTTGTTTGGAATACCTTCTTAAACTTGATGAATGCCTATGAAATTATCTACCAATATATGGCTATAGCATTAGGTGACTTAATACACTCTGCGGGACTCTTATGGAATTCTAGTGAAGTCATTTTTTTCTCAGGAATCATGCAAAGAACTTGTAAACAACAGTTTTTACCTGTCTTCAGAATTCTCTGCTCTGAAAATTTGAGCCATATTCAGTAACTCACAAAAAACTTTTCTTAATGGAATCATGTTATCGATATATTGATCATAGATAGTTATCAAAAATATAAAGAAGGAAATAAATACCATATTTTGCACTATATATAAGCTCCTATGCATATAATATATTGACTTATATGAATTAAACATATGATGTCAGTATAGGTTCATACCTGAACCCCACCACCTGGATTTCTCTATACTGGATTCCTGCTGAGGTTAATTCCTGGGACATCTATGGAATGAACAAAATCATTTTAAGGTCATGAAAATTTAAATAAAATATTTTTATGGCTTCAATGCAGTGCGTCACATTAGTACAGAATCATGTGACTTGCTCACTGTTCACTACTCACATTTCCCTTGACCTGTGCTGCCACCTGTTTGGAGATATTAGATCTAGGGTTCAACAGATTCTCCTGCCATTCTTGTGATCGGATCTTGATTGACACCACAAAGGTTGTGAACTTGGTTTCTGTAAGAAAAATGGTAAATTCAATAACCATAAATTGTTGTAAGGGGTAAAACAGGGAGATTTAATTAATAAGCTTGTATTCTAGGACTAAAACAGGTAAGATATTCCCTCACCTAGATCGTCAGTGTATATAAGCCTACACTGACCATCCTTCTCATTATAGCCCTCCCAGCACTGGCACTGGTATCTCCCTACAGTGTTACTGCAACTCTGAACACAGTCATTTAACTTTGGATCTGCACATTCATCAATATCTGTAAACATCAAGATGCAAAAGTCTGTCTCCTATTGTTAATTTTATCTTATCAAAATCTAATACTAGTGTGCCTTTTATTTCAGGATTTTTTTTACATTAGTACATTCATGATTGCTTTAATTTCATGGTAACTGAATTTTTCTTAACTAATTAACAATTTTTCTAATAATTTTTTCTTTAAGGATATCCACCTCCTCAGCCAGGAAAAGTTCAACAGTACTCATGATGACTTGATTTTATAGAAGAATCGTTGATTGTGAACATAGAACCTGTCCATATATACTTGTTACAGTAAAACTCGGTTATAGCGAAGTCCTGGGGACCAGTGAATTTAATTCGCTATATCCGTAATTCGTTATATCCGTATAATGAATTCGTATAACCACATATAGCGAATTCGCAATTTGCATGTTTTCCTTCAAGTATTACTACCAAATATGTTACTGAAACAAATATTACAAAACATACCTTAAATAACTAAGATTTTTTATGAATTGAATTTTATATACAAAAGCTGAAGAAAAGAAAGTCAGTTCAACCTATCAAATTTTGAGATCTTTAAAAGTTTGTTATAAAAGATGTAAATTTCATTATATTTAACCTCAATGGGACTCAAAATCAGTTCGCTATATCAGTAAATTCGTTTTATCAGAGTTCGTTATAACCGTAAAATTTTACAAAGATTTGTTAAGAATTTTGCCGGGGACCTAGAAAAACTTCGCTATATCCGTGAATTCGCTATATCCGTGTTCGTACTAAACGAGTTTTACTGTATTGGGCATGCTCACAAAAAATGAAGTTTCTTTTACAGCTATCAACTATAGAGGTTTGACCTTGATATGTAGTATATTACATGTCACAAAACGTTTCATTAAGCAGGATTACACAATCACATTAAATCTGAATATTAACCTTCATTAATACACAATGAAATTGGGCCAACCCTCTCTTAGGCTTCATCACTAGAGAACTTTTTGAAAAGAAACCATTAAATTTTAAATTAATTTTACTGAAATTCTTGGTGGTTTTTAGGTACCATTAGGTATTTAAAATGTCTTGAACATAAATAGAACATCCTACCTTTACAGAGTCTATCTCTCTCCTCATAGCCCTGTGGACAGTTACAGATGTAAGCACCTTCTGTGTTGACACAGGAGCCATTACAGAGTTTCTTATCGAGACATTCATCTACATCCAAACAGGACACACCATCCTCCAGAAGACTGAAGCCACTTTGGCAGGAACAGGAAAAGTTGCCTTCTGCATTCACACACACCTGGCTACAGTTGTTCCTGAATTTATCTGCACATTCATTGATGTCGAGACAGGATTTCTTGTCGGGGCCCAGCCAGAAGCCGGTTCTACAGCTACACTCAAAGCTCCCCCTGGTGTTTAGACAATCCTGGTCACAAATGTTCTGGGTCTGGTTGGTGCATTCATTAAAATCCACACAGGTTCTGTTGTCTGGTTCCAGATTAAAGCCCTGGTCACACACACAATAATAAGAACCTATATTGTTAACACAGCCCTGGGAGCAGCCATGCAAGCCTTTACATTCATCAATATCCTGGCAACCTCTCAGGTCATCTTTCAGTGAAAATCCAGAGGAGCAAGCACAGGTGTAACTTCCCACTGAATTATTGCATTGGTGCTCACAGGAGTTCAGTTCCTTTGTGTCACATTCATTGATGTCCGTACATGTGACATTGTCTGAGGTCAGTCGATAACCAGGAAGGCAGCTACATGTATAGCCTCCTACGATGTTGGTACAGTTCTGGTCACAGTCATTGGCGTTCCTGCTGGTGCACTCATCAATGTCAACACACGTCTTCCCATCCTTTATAAGAGTGAAACCATCTCTACAGGAACAATTAAATCCTCCATCACTGTTCTGACATATCTGTGAACAATCATTGGTTTCCTTTTGATCACATTCATTCACATCTTCACATGTGGCATTATCTGTACTCAGAGAGAATCCCTCACGGCATTTACAAATATAAGATCCTTTATTATTCTCACAAATTTGTGAACAATTATGAGTATTTTTGGCATTACATTCATCAATATCCAAACAAGTGACTCCATCAGAAGATAATGAGTATCCAGGGAAACATTCACAGTAAAAGCTCCCATCTTTGTTCAAACACTTTTGGGAGCAGTTATGCAGACCATCTTCACATTCATTAACATCCAAACAAGTGTAGCCATTAGAATCCAACTGGTATCCATGGAAACACTCACAGCTGTATCTTCCATCTTGGTTCACACATTTTTGAGAGCAGTTGTGAGAGGAGAAACCTTGGCATTCATTGAAGTCCTGACAAGTTCTGTTGTCTAATCCCAGAGTATAACCAGAGTCACAGTCACAAATATAGCTTCCATTTTTATTCACACATTGCTGAGTGCAGTTGTGCAGAGCTGGGTTGGAACATTCATCTATATCCAGACAAGAGAGGCCATCTTTGCCAAGTTCATATCCTGTTTCACAACCACAGGAATAGTTTCCAACTTCATTCAGACATTTTTGGGAACACCTGCTCAACAGGTCACTTTCACATTCATTGATATCTTCACATGTTCTATTATCACTGCCTAACATATATCCCTCACTACATGAACAATCATATTTACCATGTCTGTTTATACAGAGTTGAGAACAATTGTTTAGCTCTTTCTGCTCACATTCATTCACATCTTCACAAGTGGAATTGTCTACAGAGAGAAAGAAACCACTAGAGCATTCACACTGATATGATCCAACTGTATTCATACAAAGCTGTGAACAATTATGAGTTCCACTGTCCTTGCATTCATCAACATCCACACAAGTGACTCCATCAGCAGATAATGAGTATCCAGAAAAACATTCACAGTAAAAACTCCCATCTTTGTTCACACATTTCTGGGAACAGTTATGCAGACCACTTTCACATTCATTAACATCCAAACAAGTGTAGCCATTAGAATCCAACTGGTATCCATGGAAACACTCACAACTGTATCTTCCATCTTGGTTCACACATTTTTGAGAGCAGTTGTGAGAGGAGAAACCTTGGCATTCATTGAAGTCCTGACAAGTTCTGTTGTCTAATCCCAGAGTATAACCAGAGTCACACTCACAAATATAGCTTCCATTTTTATTCACACATTGCTGAGTGCAGTTGTGCAGAGCTGGGGTGGAACATTCATCTATATCTAGACAAGAGAGGCCATCTTTGCCAAGTTCATATCCTGATTCACAATCACATGAATAGTTTCCAACTTCATTCAGACATTTGTGTGAGCAGTTATTCAGATCACCATTTAAACATTCATTGATATCAACACAAGTTGAATTATCTGTTGATATTGTGTATCCATCAAAACAAGAGCAAAGGAAACTACCACGACTGTTTTCACAGAGTTGAGAACAATTGTTTGTTGCTTTGCTGTCACATTCATTAACATCTTTGCATGTGACATTGTCAATGTCTAAATAGAAACCATCAGAACAATTACATGAAAAAGACCCATTTGTATTTAAACACAAATCTGAACAGTTATTTGCTCCCTCAGAACATTCATCGACATCCACACAAGTGACTTTATCAGTAGATAATAAATACCCAGGGAGACATTCACAGTAAAAACTCCCATCTTTGTTCATACACTTTTGGGAACAGTTATGCAGACTACCTTCACATTCATTAACATCCAAACAAGTGTAGCCATTAGAATCCAACTGGTATCCATGGAAACACTCACAACTGTATCTTCCATCTTGGTTCACACATTTTTGAGAGCAGTTGTGAGAAGAGAAACCTTGACATTCATTGAAGTCCTGACAAGTTCTGTTGTCTAATCCCAGTGTATAACCATAGTCACACTCACAAATATAGCTTCCATTTTTATTCACGCATTGCTGAGTGCAGTTGTGCAGAGCTGGGGTGGAACATTCATCTATATCCAGACAAGAGAAGCCATCTTTGCCAAGTTCATATCCTGATTCACAATCACATGAATAGTTTCCAACTTCATTCAGACATTTGTGTGAGCAATTGTTCAGATCACCATTTAAACATTCATCAATGTCATCACAAGTTTTATTATCTGTTGACAATGTGTATCCTTCAACACAAGAGCAAAGGAAACTACCACGAATGTTTTCACAAAGTTGAGAACAATTGTTTGTTGCTTTGCTGTCACATTCATTAACATCTTTGCATGTGACATTGACAATGTCTAAATAGAAACCATCAGAGCAACGGCATGAAAAAGACCCATTTGTGTTTGTACACAAATCTGTACAGTTATTTGATCCCTCAGAACATTCATCAACATCCACACAAGTGACTCCATCAGCAGATAATGAGTATCCAGGGAAACATTCACAGTAAAAGCTCCCATCTTTGTTCAAACACTTTTGGGAACAGTTATGCAGACTACCTTCACATTCATTAACATCCAAACAACTGTAGCCATTAGAATCCAACTGGTATCCATGGAAACACTCACAACTGTATCTTCCATCTTGGTTCACACATTTTTGAGAACAGTTGTGAGAAGAGAAACCTTGACATTCATTGAAGTCCTGACAAGTTCTGTTGTCTAATCCCAGGGTATAACCAGTGTCACAATCACAAATATAGCTTCCATTTTTATTCACACATTGCTGAGTGCAGTTGTGCAGATCTGGGGTAGAACATTCATCAATATCCATACAAGAGAAGCCATCTTTGCCAAGTTTATATCCTGTTTCACAACCACAGGAATAGTTTCCAACTTCATTCAGACATGTTTGGGAACACTTGTTCAACAAGTCACTTTCACATTCATTAATATCTTCACATGTTCTATTATCACTGCCTAACATGTATCCCTCACTACATGAACAATCATATTCACCACGTCTGTTTATACAGAGTTGAGAACAATTGTTCAGCTCTTTCTGCTCACATTCATTCACATCTTCACAAGTGGAATTGTCTACAGAGAGAAAGAAACCACTAGAGCATTCACACTGGTATGATCCAACTGTATTCATACAAAGCTGTGAACAATTATGAGTTCCGCTGTCTTTGCATTCATCAACATCCAAACAATTGATGCCATCAGTAGATAGGAAATAACCTTGGTAACATTCACAGTAAAAGCTCCCATCTTTGTTCACACATTTCTGGGAACAGTTATGCAGACCACTTTCACATTCATTAACATCCAAACAACTGTAGCCATTAGAATCCAACTGGTATCCATGGAAACACTCACAGCTGTATCTTCCATCTTGGTTCACACATTTTTGAGAGCAGTTGTGAGAAAAGAAACCTTGACATTCATTGAAGTCCTGACAAGTTCTGTTGTCTAATCCCAGAGTATAACCAGAGTCACACTCACAAATATAGCTCCCATTTTTATTCACGCATTGCTGAGTGCAGTTGTGCAGAGCTGGGGTGGAACATTCATCAATATCCATACAAGAGAAGCCATCTTTGCCAAGTTCATATCCTGTTTCACAATCACAGGAATAGTTTCCAACTTCATTCAGACATTTGTGTGAGCAATTATTCAGAGCATCATTTAAACATTCATCAATGTCATCACAAGTTTTATTATCTGTTGACATTGTGTATCCTTCAACACAAGAGCAAAGGAAACTACCACGAATGTTTTCACAGAGTTGAGAACAATTGCTTGTTGCTTTGCTGTCACATTCATTAACATCTTTGCATGTGACATTGTCAATGTCTAAATAGAAACCATCAGAGCAACCGCATGAAAAAGACCCATTTGTGTTTGTACACAAATCTGTACAGTTATTTGATCCCTCAGAACATTCATCGACATCCACACAAGTGACTCCATCAGCAGATAATGAGTACCCAGGGAAACATTCACAGTAAAAGCTCCCATCTTTGTTCACACATTTCTGGGAACAGTTATGCAGACTACCTTCACATTCATTAACATCCAAACAACTGTAGCCATTAGAATTCAACTGGTATCCATGGAAACACTCACAGCTGTATCTTCCATCTTGGTTCACACATTTTTGAGAGCAGTTGTGAGAAGAGAAACCTTGACATTCATTGAAGTCCTGACAAGTTCTGTTGTCTAATCCCAGTGTATAACCAGAGTCACAGTCACACATATAGCTTCCATTTTTATTCACACATTGCTGAGTGCAGTTGTGTAAAGATGGATTAGAACATTCATTTATATCTGTACAAGTGAAGCTGTCTTCACCAAGTTGATATCCTGTTTCACAATCGCATGAATAGTTTCCATTAGAGTTCAGACATATCTGAGTGCAGTTATGCAAAGCTGTTGTAGAACATTCATCTATATCTACACAGGAAAAGCCATTCTTACTTAGCTGAAATCCACTGTGACATGTACAGGTAAAGTTTCCAGGTGTATTTTCACATTTCTGTGTACAGTTATTTAAGTCTGGGTAAGAACATTCATCGATGTCTAAACAGGAATAGCCATCTGGATCAAGCTGAAATCCAGGTCTGCAATCACATCTAAAACTACCAGGTGTATTGATACACTTCTGTGAACATCCATGATCTGTACCATCATCACACTCATTGGTATCATTGCAAGTAACTTTATCATCTAACAATACATACCCCTCCCAACAACTACAGATATGAATACCACTTATCATTGTACAATTCTGGCTACATGGTTTTTCAAACTCACAAAAATCAAATTGTTCACAACTTCCATTCTTGAACTCAAAACCTGTTGGACAAACACAGCTACCATTCCTATTCACAAATCCTGTTGGACATACACAGCTACCATTTCTATCCACAAATCCTGATGGACATACACAGCTACCATTTCTATCCACAAACCCCGTTGGACAAACACAGCTACCATTTCTATCCACAAATCCTGTTGGACAAACACAACTGCCATTTCTATCCACAAATTCTGTTGGACAAACACAGGTACCATTTCTTAAAACAAATCCTGTTGGACAAACACAACTGCCATTTCTATCCACAAATCCTACTGGACAAACACAGCTACCATTCCTATTCACAAATCCCATTGGACATACACAGCTGCCATTTCTTAAAAAAAATCCTGTTGGACAAACACAACTGCCATTTCTATCCACAAATCCTGTTGGACAAACACAACTACCTTTTCTATCCACAAATCCTGTTGGACAAACACAGCTGCCATTTCTATCCACAAATCCTGTTGGACAAACACAGCTACCATTTCTATCCACAAATCCTGTTGGACAAACACAGCTGCCATTTCTAAACACAAATCCTGTTGGACACACACAGCGGTATCCTCCAGGGAGATTTTGACAAAGTGACTGAGAACAGTTGTGGTTCCCCTCCAGACATTCATTCACATCCTCACACCTCCTGCCCTCTGGTCGGTATCCTGGAGGACAGATACAGTGAAACTGCATCTGATTAAACTCACAGCTTCTGTCACAAGCCCAGCTGCAGTTCTGAAATACTGTAAGAGCATTCATTTTATCAACAATCTTCAAAACAATGAATGATTGATTATATATACATAAAAAACAATGATGTAAGTTAAATTTAAAATTAAATCAATATAACATTTACATTCTTTAAATACAATGACTATTACTTGATTTTATTTCTTACCCTGCCCATTGGTGGCACACAGTGTTTGATTAGGTCCTATCTGAACACAGGTACTGCCTAATCCACAACTCTCGTTACATCCTGAATTCCTTTCACATCGCTCACCTTCAAATTAGAATTCAATAATACAAAACAATATAGGAATGTATTGGGCAATTCAATGTCATCTTCAGGTAATTCTCCCATTTTTAGGGCTGGGTATTGGCACAGCTACCATTTCTATCCATATATTGCAAAACTGTATTGCAATATGTATTGCAATATTTTCAATGTAATTTAAGGACAGATGATACAAACAAATTTTATCTTTGAAGGACACAAATCCTGTTGAAGTTTACAAATACATTCTTATTTTTTCTCCTAAGAATTGGAAAATGAAAAAGACTTGGAAAATATTAGTAATATTTCAATAAAATTATAAAAATAGATAAAACACACTCAGTAAAGGTTTACAGGTGAGAATAAATTTCAGAATATGTAAACTTGGTGCTAAAAGTGTAATATAAACTTTAGAAAAATATACCAAGCCAGGTGAATTTTATGAAGAAAAGCAAAATGGTAAAAATCAGCCCATATGATATAGGGTAATTTATACATACTATTTTTGCTTTTCTTAATAAAATTCATTTTATATTTCAAGTTTATATTACATTTTTAACACCAAACATATTCTGAAATTTGTTTATATATAAAAATTTAAAGTGTGATTTGTCAATATTTGTTTTTTTTAAAAATAAATATTTTACAATATAACATTTACACTCTTTAAATACAATAATTTTTCAATTACTTATTAAGAAAAATAAAATTTGTTTGTATCATCTGTCCTTAAATGGCATTTTCTTACTATATTTACATTAATTTACATGCAGAATTAACTATTAGGTCCTATCTTGTTGATTTCATTTAAGTTATGCTCTGAAATGTTCCCACAAAATAACTTCTGTCTTACTGTTTGGCTTAATAACAAACTTTCGAAAGTCCATTTTTAAATTTAATCACTAAATTCCTTAATCTAAGTATATTGCCAATATATTGATATTACAAAATCGTATTGCGATATGATATTTTTTATCATTGTATTGCAATATATTGAAATATCGATATTATTGCCCAGCCCTACCCATTTTGCAAGAGATTATTAATAATGAAAAAGTACAGCTAAAGTAATCTTTAAATCATTTTGTGATCAAATGCTAGTGAAAAAAAATTGTTTAATTACCATGATATGGGAAAATACAGCGACAACCTTGGTTTTGAGAATTTGAATCATTATAGCAGTCTCCATGGAAGTTGCAAAGGGAACAATTGTTTACAGTGGCTAAAAATGAAATGATAAATCAATTATTCTGTGCAATTTAATTTTCTAAACATGCTTATTAATTGAAGTTTTGATATAGCATAAACATTTGCAAAAGGGAGGGAACTATTTTGGATTATTATTTTGTTTGATAGACATGTCTATTGAGTTGTCAATACACTACCTGGCAGACATATCCTTGAGGAATTCTCCACTCGGATACAAGATTCATTTGTATCACATGGGTCAGCCAGACAAGGGTCATTCCTCTCACATCTCTCACCTGAAACAGGTACATTACATGCAAATTAAAATCACACAAACTAGATAGAAAAACAGTGACAACTTCAAATGATTTGGATTACAGTTAAAAACAGTGAGGAAATGTACTCACCAAAGTATGGATAGGGACACTGACATCTTGTTGTGCTGTTTGTTATGATGCAATTCCCGATATCTGAGCAGTAGTCACATGAAACATTGTACCGAAGAGTGACCGCGGATGTAAACACTAGAGAAAGCATAAAAATAAATTGTACATTATGATATTATCTATAACATTCATGTATAAAATCATTTTCACATTTTCAATCTGAATTCTAAAAAACAAATTGTAATCTTATTTGAATGATTAAAATTAATAAATGTTCATATTATTGGCATCAGGAATTACAGTATGCAATAGATGACTATAAATAGTTTCAATATACAGAAAAACTCGGTTATAACGAAGTCACAGGGACCTATGAAATTACTTCGCTATATCTTATATATATATATATATATATATATCATATATATTATAACCGTACCTTTAATTAAAAAAAAATCATTAAAGTTATATATCACATAAATCCTTCATGTTTTTTTGGCTCTGCTACACTTATCCCTTCGTATACACTAACTGTCCCTTTGTATACACTAACTGTCCCTTTATATACACTTACTGTTCCTTTGTATACATTAACTGTTCCTTTGTATACACTTACTGTTCCTTTCTATACACTTACTGTTCCTTTGTATACCTTTGATACATTAAAAAAAACATATATACAATGTCCCTTTGTACAAACTGTCCCTTTATATACACTTACTGTCCCTTTGTATACACTAACTGTCCCTTTATATACACTTACTGTAACTTTGTATACACTAACTGTCCCTTTATATACACTTACTGTAACTTTGTATACACTTACTGTCCCTTTGTATACACTTACTGTTCCTTTGTATACACTTACTGTTCCTTTGTATACACTTACTGTCCCTTTGTATACACTTACTGTTCCTTTGTATACACTTACTGTCCCTTTGTATACACTTACTGTTCCTTTGTATACACTAACTGTCCCTTTGTATACACTAACTGATCCTTTGTATACACTAACTGTTCCTTTGTATACACTTACTGTCCCTTTGTATACACTTACTGTTCCTTTGTATACACTTACCTTTGTATACACTTACTGTTCCTTTGTATACACATGTCCCTTTGTATACACTTTGTATACACTTACTGTTCCTTTGTATACACTTACTGTTCCTGTGTATACCCTTTGTATACACTTACTGTCCCTTTGTATACACTTACTGTCCCTTTGTATACACTTACTGTTCCTTTGTATACACTTACTGTTCCTTTGTATACACTTACTGTTCCTTTGTATACACTTACTGTTCCTCTGTATACACTTACTGTCCCTTTGTATACACTTACTGTTCCTCTGTATACACTTACTGTTCCTTTGTATACACTTACTGTTCCTTTGTATACACTTACTGTTCCTTTGTATACACTTACTGTTCCTTTGTATACACTTACTGTTCCTCTGTATACACTTACTGTTCCTTTGTATACACTTACTGTTCCTTTGTATACACTTACTGTCCCTTTGTATACACATACTGTTCCTCTGTATACACTTACTGTTCCTTTGTATACACTAACTTTCCCTTTATATACACTAACTGTTCCTTTGTATACACTTACCGTCCCTTTGTATACACTTACTGTCCCTTTGTATACACTTACTGTTCCTTTGTATACATTCACTGTTCCTTTGTATACACTTACCTTTCCTCTGTATACACTTACTGTTCCTTTGTATACACTAACTGTCCCTTTGTATACACTTACTGTCCCTTTGTATACACTTACTGTCCCTTTGTATAAACTTACTGTCCCTTTATATACACTTACTGTTCCTTTGTATACACTTACCTTTCCTTTGTATACACTTACTGTTCCTTTGTATACACATACTGTTCCTTTGTATACACTAACTGTCCCTTTGTATACACTTACTGTCCCTTTGTATACACTTACTGTTCCTTTGTATACACTTACTGTTCCTTTGTATACACATACTGTTCCTCTGTATACACTTACTGTCCCTCTGTATACACTTACTGTTCCTCTGTATACACTTACTGTTCCTTTGTATACACTTACTGTTCCTTTGTATACACTTACTGTTCCTTTGTATACACTTACTGTTACTTTGTATACACTTACTGTTCCTTTGTATACACTTACTGTTCCTTTGTATACACTTACTGTTCCTGCAGATGAAGCCTTTGTCTGTATTGCTGGGATAACAGTGACTGTCTCTGCGGCCACACATCCCCAGCTGGCAATAATCCTCCACATCCCAACAGCTGGGGCCTGTATACATCATAAAAATCATCAATTCAATAATTAAACTTCTATGTTTCAAAACAGTACCAAGGAAAAAATGAAAGATAATATGATGTATGTGTATTAGGTTCTATTTGGAAATGCTATAGCCCCATTTTCACAAGGCACTCTTGCTCTCTTCATTGTGGTTAACTTTTTTCTGGCATAGAATATTCCGATATTTCAATGTTTTTACATTTTACCTAGCTAAGGTTCAGGAGACATTGATCAAAAGATGTAAAGCTGAAATAAATTTGAAGTGTGTTGTTTTTTCCTTTCTTTTATTGATTCAGTTTGGTTGTTTTTTGGTTTTGTTTCCTTGGCATCTTTGAAAACTATAACAGGGCCTTAGATATAGTTTGCTGCTTAAAACACAGGGCCCAAGACAACAAACTGAGAATAGACTTAAGTCAAAATTTGTTTTTAAATATCTTGAGTTTTGCTTGACATATTTGCTTAAAAATTTGCAATTCTCCAAAACATTTGAATCCCAATACAGGATGTAAATTTTGTTTCATTATCTATGTTTTTTCAAAAGTTATACTGGTTTTAAATTTTTACTTAAGTCTGTTCTCCATTTATGGTCTTGGGGCCAGATCAGCATAAAAAGCACTGGATTAATTTTCAAGGTGAAAAATAACTCTGGAATTAAAATGCAAAACTTCATATGCAAGCATTAAAAATCATGTGAAATATTAAAACTCTCGCACCAACTGTTCAAAACCTATGGCCAAGGTTAGTTTTTTTTCCAAAGTAGGTCAAACTCTAATGTCAATGTCAAAATTGTTGGTATCCAAGCAAAGGGCTTGTCACAAGGAGTATGTGAAATATGAAGGTCCTTGGAAGTCAAAAGTTACGGCCAAGGTTGAAGTTTAATTTTTTTGTGCAAAAGTGACTCCGATGTCAAGGTCAAAAGAAGAAATATGGTGAGACCCAAAGGAAGATCTTGTCACAAGGAATACACAAGTAAAATATGAAAGTCATAGCTCTTACGAATCAAAAATTAAGGGCAAGGTTACAGTTTTTGCAGACAGAAAGACAGTCAGGCTGAGGCAGACGGAGAGTGCAAAAACTATAAACCCCTGAATTTTTGATTATGAGGGCATAAAAAAGCCACCTTTGCCAAAACTATGAAGACTAAGCCATCGATCTATTCCCATTAAAATCAAAATTTGTTTTGACTTGCCCACAGGACGAGTGTATCTGAAAGTTTATGTCTAATTGTCTATCACTTCGAGGAAAGGAATACTTGTGAATGAAATATTCGATAACTTTTAACATATTTGCCCCACACTTCTAAACAATATAATCTTAATTGGGTTGATTGGTGACATTCACTTAAAATGTGAAATCTATAAAAGGGATCAAACTTATAATGGAAGGTTCAAACTAATATTCCTTCTTGTAATTTACCTGATGGCAGTAAATGCAAGAAATAAATCTTAATACAGTATGAAAGTTACAACAGGAGGGAACCCAACAAAAACATCAGTTCTGATGGTAATTCTGATGATAATTTTAAAAAAGGGAGGCAATGCAGTAAAATTTTGATAATCAAAGATGGTGGAGTTTCCCATGTTATATATAAAATAACCCTTGTTTGAGAGGTTTAAGGCAAAGTGTGGGCTAAATTACAGATGGGATACAATTAAAAGACAGCACTTCATTCTTTTTTTCCAACAAAAGTAGACAGGTGCTTTAGACTTCGCACTATTTCCTATTCTTACGCTATTGTTCACGGTGAAAATCAAAAAGGGTAATTAATTTATTAAAGGGGTCCCTTTAAATCAGCTAGAGGTCCAAAATCATTTGTCAGTCATCCAAAGGAAATTTTATAGACTCTCCTAAAAGCAAACAAATGTGTGTTTTTCTTTAATCAATTAAAAATAGGAACATACCTACCCAGACTTTTCAACTGAATTGCACTGAAACTTATCACTGCCAACAGAAACACTAAACACCTCTCCCCTTAGTTTATTATTATTTTATCATGGATTCTGCTGACAATTTGTGACATAAAATATTCTTTTCACCTTGATACGGGGGGAAGCAGTCGCAGTACACATCCGTGTCGTTTGTTTGGATGCAGTCTCCATTTCTGTTACAGAAAGCACAGGATGGCTCTACGGAGGTGTTTGAATTACCTATAAACAAAAAAATATCAACATCAACCTTCTCAGCGGACCTTTTAAAAAATTTAATATTTCAGTTAAGTAATTATTAGATTTCACGGTATATTTTTTCATATATTTTTGATAGTGTTTCGCCTAGAAATATTTGGGGCATCGTGTTTGATTACAACTATCATTAATGGTGTATAAAAAGGCGATGAAAATGGACGTTTTTATAATTACGATCTGGCCTAACATGGGCAGAAGTACGATTAAGAGCCATAAAACACCTAAGACAATGAACAGGACATCCCCATTCCTGAGTGACCAGTACAGACAATTAAACATAGGGAGTTACTGACAGATGGCAAATCGATGTATTTACTGTGGGTTAGGCTGAGTCAATGTATTACGATCATTCATCTCTATGGTTCTCATTCATGGAAGATAAAAGTAATGTATAAAGTCCAAGTATACCGTGTTTTTGATCTCCATTAGTACCATTTTTTTTATTGTGTGATCTTTCCTGTCGATATCATATTTTATAAATACACTGAAACAGAACAAAATTTCTTTTACTCAGATTTGCCATTCCTACCGTCTCGACAGTCGTATTCCTGGTTTGGTAACGGAACGCACTCCATTCCTGCGGGGCACGGACTGACGACACAATTGTCCACAAACTCGCACCTGTCACCTGCAAAATTATCTCTATACCAAAAACCAGTTGTCTGTATCATGGATGCGACCAATTAGCTTCACTAGTTAGCAAAATAAAGATAAAAAAAAAAATTATACGTTCGCTACTTTTAAAAAGTTGCTAATATACCCTGTTTATTCTGCGAGATGTGAACATCAAAGTGTAAATGCATGTAAGTCAGTGTGTATGTGTGATCTTTGCTTGAATATATGAGGTAAACTGAGGAATAGTCGAAAACCCATTGTTACTAACAAGTTCATGAGCAGAAGATATGAATGTTCTTCCCAAGGTCCATTTATATTGTACCTTTCTTCTTTGGAAGATTGATTCATCCCATTTATAACATTTTTTTTCTAACAGCCAACAGCTGAAAGTCAAGATTTAGGAAAGATTTATATAATCTCTAATGTTTATGAGGTAAAAATGTTCTAACATCCAGATCACAAAATTGCATCACAGTTGAAAAGCTCTTAACAATGTGAATCAGTGGCAAAAATGAAACCGGATCTACAATGTAACTGTCGTAAAACTTTCTTTTAAAAATGAATAATATTTCTTTTCTCATTTTCTAATTGTCGCCCTAAAAATGAATATAAAAATTATTTTCAATTTTGTGAAAGACACAGCACTTTATGTTACATTTCGATCTTGAGAGTCAAACAGGACGAAACGATGATGAGATAACAAATGAGTCAGAATTCTAGCAATGGAAAATATTCTCGACAAGGAAAAAAATCAAATTTCCTTGAAGTGAATAACAATTCAACAGGATTTCGCCAGGCACTGGTATCTGATGAGAAAGATTTAGCTACGTTATCTAGAAGATAAAGGTACGGATATAAGAATATGGAGGAACTGTAAAAGGAAAAACAAAAGGCTGAAGTGGACCACGAAGACAAGCGCGGCTAACTGAATTGATAACCCCGGTAACCCTCCCCCTACCCCTTTGTATGATCCTAGAAATCAGATAACATTTCATGATATGGATTCCTGTACTTAACCACATGAGATATATTATAAAAGATGTCTAGCTTCTACATGTATTTGATACATGTGAGAATGAAAGAAGAAATGTCAGGCTTTATCATCAGATGAAACAAAATTCCAGCAGAGTCATTCAGCATAGAATCAAGTAACAGTTGCACGACACTATCTTTATCCTTTCTGTCCGTTTCAATCTCTTAGCATTATGTCTACGTCATAATACACCGATACGGACGAATTACCACTCTCTTACGTGACGATAACTTTATCCACAGGCTATGGAATAAAATAAAATCAAGTTCTGCATACATTGTATATTTAATTGGTACAGTGCAGTCGTTCTTAATTACAGAATCTACACGACACTATATTGATTGTTTCATTCGTAATTTTATAGGGAAATAGAAACTTTCAGCAAACAATATTTCTTTGTCCAATGTTGGTACAGTACAGACTTTTACTTTATTACTGATTTCTTTATGACAAGATATGGTTGAAAATAATGATGAATGGATTGTAAACATTAAGAAGGAATTACAAAAACTTGGTTTAACTGACATGTATAATAGTAATTGTATTGATAATAATACTCTGAACATTATATTTCAAAGAATGTATGACTGTTATAAACAAGAAATTATGGCAAGAATTTGTAATTCTCCTAAATATTGTTTATTTCAACATTTAGTGGATAATGTTGCATTACAAACTTATTTAAGAAAACCATTACATTCAAAATATAGAATCCCTATCAATCGTTTAAGACTATCAGCTCATGATTTAAAAATAGAGAGGGGAAGGTACAGTAACATAGAAAGAAAATATAGAAAATGTGAAATATGTATGTCAGATGAGAGAGAGGACGAATTTCATTTTGTATTAAAATGTCCTCGATATGAAGAGCTTAGAATTAAATATATCAAGAGTTATTATTTTAAAAAACCATCAGTATTTAAATTGGTACAGTTACTGAGTTCGACAAATAGTAAAGAACTATGTAACCTGGGTAAAGTTTTGTATTTTTCTTATCAATTAAGAAATGATGTTTTAAATAATAATTAAATGATTTTGTTATGTAATTAACACACGTTTATTGTATAGCCTGTACAAATCTTATGTATGTATGTATTTATGTATGATTATTGTAAACCTATGAGATGCAACGTCTCCGGTTCAAATAAAACACAAACACAAGTGTAAAAAAATAAAGCAGTTGTAATTTTGTAGTGAAAGAGATACTTTCCGCAAACAACATTTCTTCGTCCTCTATTATAGACGTATCCTGACCCCCCCCCCCTTACATTTCTACTTTGTCTGAACAAGAGTTATACTTTACAATGATTTTAATTAGACTCGGCATCGTTTTCCAATAGAATTATGTTTTATCAATACAGATGAAGCAATACAATGCCCCTCCTGAGTCTCGGTTTATCGCCATCACCTGGCGGTTTCCTAAATTTATTCCATTATTGGTGAGAATTTCAAGCCGACAACATTAAGAAAAACCTCTTTATAACTCAGACCAATACTATATTTCTCAGTGGTTTCTCTCAAATTCATTTATTTAAATCGAATGAAATATGAAACACGGAATGATTACAAATTATCTTCAATGAAACGTTTAATTTGTGTATTAATTAAACTTACGAATTCAAAATGTTGCAATCAAAATTATGCATTACTTAGTATGAGTGAATTCGAAGTCATTTCATAAATAGTTTTCAAGCATTTTAATACAGAGAAGTGGTTAAATATGTTGTGGGTGTATGTTTTATATGCTTTCTATATATTTTTCAGGAATTTTATTCATTTACTTACATTTTACACAAAGCACCACGCATGACTTTTTTCGCCTTCCCACAATTTTTTATTCAAATAAAAAATTTAGTGTTGTGACTTTTCTAGAGGACAATATACTACATAAAAATTAAAACACTTCTTAAAGTCTAGAAGAAAAAAATCGAGAAACGCTCGAGACCTTGAACACGCTAAACGTTCGACTTGTTTCATTTGTTCTTTCATAAATCTTCAAACCACAGAACCATCATCCATTTAATTTATATATGTACTTTATATTCTACATTTTTTACTGAGAGCTTTTTTACCATACGGGGGGCTTGTATAGGCATTGTGCCTTTTCCTACCGCTCTTTGCTTTTAACTTTTATGAGGTCGATCCATAGATATATCGGCTTCACAGAAAACCATATCGACCTCGCACTCGGTGGTCAGTCGATATGCTTTTCTGTGACATCGATATATGTATGGATTGACCGAATGAAAAACCTACTTTGTTTAATTATTTTTTTAACAGAAATTAGCAAATCCAACCTCAGAAAATAATATGAAAAAGCCACAAGTTTTCTGTCATCTTTTTAAACATAATGTAGATTTCTTCTTTTTTTTAAAGTTATTTGTCCTAATTGTGTTTCCATTTTACTGATAGAATAATTTAGGAAATATAATAATTTCAAAGACTACTGTATATATTTTTATTATGATTTATGCGCAAAAATTAATAGTATATTTTACTTTTGAGTAAATTCTTATTCAAGGTCTGTACTTCCTTATTTTATAGAGGATTATTTCCATTTTTAGAAACTTCACGTCACTATGCTTTTCAAAATCTATAAATAGTTACAAGTTTATATGCTGTACGCTGTTTAGCCTTATCCCACGATCCATTGCACTTCTTCATTGGGGTCCCCAATAACAAACTGCAAGGGATCATGGGACAAGACAGCATACTTGATCATGTGATCAAGTTTGATACAATAGGAGAGCATAGAATAACGGAGAAAATAATGTTTGATAAATCTATATGTGTAAAAAAAAAATCTCAGCACCAAGAAAGAATGCTGAATAGGGGAAAAAACTTTTTCTTGTACAAATATTTTGTTTGAAATGTTATTTTTTTAATTACATCATGCATATAAAAATAGGTACATTAATCTAAAAAACTTACCAAGGAATCCAGGAAGACAGAGGCATTCCGATTGATTCTGTGAGCATGCGCCGTTAGAGTTGCATAATTCGCAGGTTTCTATTGCGTCCGTCACGAAGTCGGAGGAGGGGGAGGAGGAACTCAAAATAAATGTCGAGTTGGAGAATGGGAATGCGGTGGTTGAGTCTGGAGTCGCTGTCGTGGACGACACGTGGCTGGATGAGAAGATGTGTGTGGAAGATACAGTAGACGCGTCCGTTTTGGTCGTGAACGCATCTTTGTCAACAGTGGACACATAAGGCGTCGAACGTGATGTAAAATCCGTATTATTATGCGTCTCAGAAACTGCGTCGTCATGTTTATCTGTAGTAAGAATTAAAGAACTGTTCGTCGTAGATATATTAAGAGGATCAGTAGTTGGGTTATCGTTTAAATTATCCGTTGTAGTCCAAAGTTGATGGTCATCTTTTGAGCTGTCTGTTGTAGTTACTGACACAAGGTCGTCGTTTGAGCTTTCTGTTGTAGTTATAAGGTGGGGGTCATCTTTTGAGCTGTCTGATGACGTTATAGGCGCGGTACCGTCGTTTGAGCTTTCTGTTGTAGTTATAAGGTAGGGGTCATCTTTTGAGCTGTCTGATGACGTTACAGACACGGTAGCGTCGTTTGAGCTTTCTGTTGTAGTTATAAGGTGGGGGTCATCTTTTGAGCTATCTGTTGACGTTACAGACACGGTACCGTCATTCGAGCTTTCTGATGTAGTTACAGGCTGTGAAGCATCGTTCGTGTTGTCTATTGGAATCCCAAGAGAAGCTGTTGTCGTAAAAGACGTTGGATCCGCAGTACTCTCGCCGTCGTTGGTGGACGTAGACGGCAATATGTCGTCATCATTTCCTGTTGTGTTAAGTCCTAACGTTAATAAATTATCATCATCCACGCCTAATGCCTCGTTAAGTTGAAGAGACTGTGTCCACACAATCGAAACACAGATGACCAGTATTGTTAAGATAGTTAGAATAATTTGTTTGTAAAACATCCTTGTTTCATTCTGTGACGACTTTACCTGTTAAGGTGAAACAATCAAATTAGATTAAATGTCTGATCAACCAATTCATCAGAGTAAACCACAGAATTGAGCAATGAACATTCATTTAATCAAGATGGTCTTTTAGCACTTAATCAAGATGGTCTTTTAGCAGCTTGTGAAATGTGTACGTTAAGACTTTATACTCTCTCTCTCTCTCTCTCGTGTGACAATAAAAATCTATCATACAATTTATAATTATATGTAGCAAAAAAATTTGTTTAAATAATTTTCCCGATATAAATTTTTGAATAATTTCAATATTATGTTGCTGACATGCAAATGTTCTGTTTCTATAAATTTCACAAATGCAGTGGATAACGGACAAAACAACAAATGTCTATCTATGTCGCTGTTGGCCTTACTAAGTATTAAGGGATGGAAAGACTATTTAAGAAGCATTAATAGGATTGCTGACACGAGTTATTCAGCAACAGACAAGAACAACAAAGACAACCTGAGTGTTTTCCTATCACTGTCAATATCAAGTGATCACTTTTCTGGGCGATTCATCGACCGGACCAAGGGAAGGGCGGCAAATTGACATCTTTATAGGGAGTCCATGATCGGGCGATGCCACTGCGGTAAGGGACAGTGTCCAAAATTATTCAACTGGTCAATCACTACTGGTCAGTTACGAATGGTGGCCTTACAAAGTGTCCGAAGCAACCTCGTGTCATCATGTGCAAAATATCATTTTTCAAGCAAATTTTCCTCTGTTAATAAGTTAGCACATACCTACATATGACGGTTCCTGATTATGTTCTAACTTCCAAATCCAGATTTTTTGGCAAAATGAATTGATTTATATTTAAATGCTAATAAATGATCATTTAAACAAATGATAATAAAATGCCTCACAAGCTCAAAAATATTTTTTTAAGAAATTAAATGAAATTCCCCAAAAGTAAGCATAGATATGATCCACTGCAAAAGCCAATTCAATATTGCAGCATTTAAATAAATATGATAGCCTGTCACCGATTTTAGTGATATGGTATTTGCACAAATACACCAATAATTTTCATTTCCAAACCAACCGTGCGACAAATAAGGGTGGGTCATATGACGCTGTATAGGTAAGTGATTGTAAAACATATCCAAGTTCTTCCGTGACCACACGATTCACGCAGGAGTGGGTTTTTTCAATGATTCTATTACTCTTGTGTATTTAGACATAGATTTTATCACTTCAACCTTTTCACCTGCGGCTATGTCATTTCGTTCTAAACCATTTTACTTTCTTATAATTTACATAAATATTATTGTATTAAAATCACTATTTTTTCACATTGTTTTGTTTTGTTTCAAACTTTTTTTAAACCCATAAATGTGTCAAGGGTTAATTAATTAACCTATCAAAATGACACATATATTTATAATCAATATGTATTAAAATTTAACTCAGATTTAGGTTATAATCGGCTTACCTTGATTGATTTCCGTAGATCACCTGGCGATCCGTGTAAGGTCCACTAGTCCCTGAGTGTCACAAGTGATTGGCTGATCTGAATAGTTCTTCGTCCACCATCAAAACAAAATACCAAACTTTTCTTATTTATGCGACAACCGCTCACGGCATACTTCTGCATTGCGGAATCAATTGTTGAAAATATGGTTAATTATCACAAACGCGAACCCCCTTTTGGCAACATGTACTAGACGGTCTCTCTTAATTCTAAACGGCACGATTTAGATATATATATTTTTCTTTTCGGCTACTTTTGAATTGAAAAATCTACGATTTATTTGTTGCGCCTGTTAAAAGCAACAATCCTATATTTTCTTATATCTAAATCGATCTATCAGATGCTTTATTTATTATTTTAACATTCAAATAAGATACAATATATTTGCATATTTTACGCTGCCTTCTAATTTGCTACACGATTTGCGCGAAGATATAGTTTTGTAGTTTAACTAATGACGATTTACCTGTACATAAAAATATAAACATTCAAACTTTAATTACGAATTTGCAGTCATGCAAGTTTATGATTACATTTTGTAAAAAGACATAAACTGTCAAAATCGGTCAACGAAAACTCATACATATAGTTCAAGTATCACTCCTGAACTTTCCCCATCATTTATGATTGAAGAAGAAAATGTATGATATTAGGGGTTTACATCTTTAGCAAAAAACCAACTTTTGGTTTAAATTTTCGCATTATACAATAATATATAAAGAATACGATTTGGGAGGTATTACAAATAAGACTAGATCCAAACATATATTGTTAGTACATGTCGGATTCTCATCATCTTAGTTGTGCACTATCCATTTATAACCTTGAGCCTATAAATCCTACAGGTTTTCGGGTGTGGGCCACTGTGGGAGTGGTAGGGGTGGACTTTCAATGAACATTTTCATAATTAAAAAGTTATATCCCCTTCCGTGCATGTCTGCGCATTATGTTGAAAACTACTATAGATTGAAAAACAATTCTTTTTCTGGGTAATTCATTTTTCATGTACATCTATTATGACACATCCGTCATGAAATACTGCATATAATATGTTATTGAATTCAACGATATTATCATATTCCTATTAATCTTTGGTATCAAAGTTCCAGTAAAAATTGCGTCCGTTAAATGACAATCCAAAAATGTATATTATTTTGTTTAGTACAAAACAGTAGTAAAAAACTGTCAATGATGTTTAGATTGATTTTATGCATTTGACCTTATAATCAGTTTAAAATGTATTTATATTAGCCTACATTAAATCTCTCCCCACCCCACCCCCCACCCAGAATTGGGTAGAATTCAATAGATGTGAATAATGGATCAGAGTCGTAGCAAAGGCTGGAGGTGGCTGTCACCCCTTTTTTGATACCAAACGTAAATTACACTGTTGTTAATGTTCACTGAAAGGTTGGTTGCCCCCCCCCCAACTTTTTGCTGCAAAAAAGTCAAATAAAAATAATGTTGTAATGTAGAATAAAATTTGGTACTGACACAGAAGTTGGAACCTAATCCCCCCCCCCGTTTTCTTAATTGTTTTTTTTATTTGATGAACGCTGTTACCGTGGCTACATTAAAAATAGAAATATCTGCAAAATTAATTTTCAATCAATCTTTCTCCTTCTTCAGTTTTTGTCCATTGCAATTAGATTTAACTCAGAAAGAGATAAAACTAAGGATCATTATATTATATATTGTTTTTGTCATAGTTTCAATTCCAAGTGCCACTTTCCTATACTTTGTGCCCCCCCCCCATATCCCTCCTTCAACCTCAACAGGGTAATCGCTTAAGTACAGAAGCATCTAGGGTACAAATACATTGCAAGAACAGATGATCAGTCAGAACTGAGAGAGATTAAGCTTTTACGTAATAAATAATACACATATATTGCCAAGTTCACACAGGACTTTTTGCATGAAATCAGAGCTGAATTCAGCAAATGAATTACCCCTTCCTTATTTACCAAATTTATCACCAAATGGCCTTTTTCTGGTTCCCATATAGAAATTTTGAAACCTAGATGCTGTTTCCATACCTGTTCTGCATTAGGTTCAGCAGTGACTCATTGTAAGAGGTGTATACTTCTTATGGAGTATAAAGCCAGAGGATAACACTACTACTACTCCTATTTCCTGAAGTTCAATATTTAAACAGTTTTTCCCTAGGGATACATTAGGTGATATAATACAGTGAAACCTGTCTAATCCGACATGCACTGGGAGACAAATTTTGTGTCGGAATAGACAGGGTGTCGGATTGCTCGGTGTTAAAAACATGGAAAATACTAAAATGGGAAAGGAATTAATGTCGGAATTCACAGTGTGTTAGACTATTCAGGTGTTGGATTAGACAGTTTTCACTGTAGTATAAACATACCTCATAACAAATTAGTTAAACATTTATTTCAAACAATCATAATTTATCACACACACATTTGTAAAGAGTTAGATGACACTACAGTAGAACCCGCCTGGCTGACTGGAACATGGCATTATTATCACAGGCTTTGAACCATTTCTTGACATTGACAGGCAGATCTGAGGAGAGTTTACTTTGATTGATGCCGGACCAGGCCGCTATGTCCGCAGACGATAGCGAGTCTCCCACCAGCCATGATGTTCTCCCGAGTCTGGCATTGAGTGTTCTCAGGGCTGCATCTCTCTCCTTGTTGTTACCGTCAATTATCCGAGACTGGACCAGGTCCAGCAGCTCGTCACAGGTCGCCATTGTCAAGGGATCCTCCGTTTCTGCCGAGGGGTCCAAGAGTCGTCTAATGTAGCGGACAATGTTTACCTCCCCTTGTATGACAGACTGTCTAGAAGGATTGACTATCAACTCAGGACCATTAGATACTGCAAAAATAACAGAATAAAAATAAGTAAGGATTATTTAATAGATACTGCAAAGACAATGGAAGAAAATCATTTTAGGACCATTAGCTAATTGCCATATTAATGTAAGAAAGACAACTCTTAGTTCCCTAAGTGATAGAAAGTGCATCAAGATTCTGAGTTATGCTATCTTTATTTCACTAAGTATAGTAATATGTTTGTTTTTTTTAAATACACATGTGCATCATGAAGTTTTAAGCATAGAAATGAAAATGAGGAGTGGGGACACAATAAACTGATTGACGGAGTCAAAGTTGGCAATCTTATTTTATTCCAAGATTTTCTTCCTAAACTCTTTGAGGCATTCTACATTCTTAGAATCAAGAGTGTATACAGACCTTTCTTCCATATCAGAGTAAGGATAATTTGGTAGTCACATCGTCCATCGCTGGGGGGAAACAGATTGGTGGGACATTTAGAAGTTACACTTGAGTGAACATGTGTGGCTCCCCGAACTCGAAACTTTTCTTGAAGAAGTTTGAACAAAACAAACAAAGAAAATGGGACCTGGTCAGGATCAGCATTCACAACCAAATCAAGGACCCCATCGCCCTGTAAACAGATCAGATTTACACTATAAAATTAAACAAATCAAGGACCCCATCGCCCTGTAAACAGATCATATTTACACTATAAATCTACACTGTAACTAAGTAAAATTCGCTCTAGCATGTTCACCGTCTTCACAAATTAAGTAGACAGTTTAAATGGGAGTATATGCTAATATAGTTAAAATTAATATACATGTATTTCCTTGTGCTAGGCAATTTAAGTACAATAAATGAATTAATATGATACATGTATGAATAAACTGATCCTATGATAAAGTACTTTGGTTAATGATTTCATACCAGATCCATCGGTTTCCCTGCTTCCCTCTTGCTTGCTGGTACCTTAGATGTTACACTGGTGCTAGGGGTATCCGCAGATTTATACCTTGTTTTCAATCCTTGTAAAATGTGTTTCAGACCTTCCAGTCTCTCTAGTATGACTTCCTGTCTCCTCTCTAGTGCTGTCACCGGGTCAAGGTCATCGGTATTGCAATCCTGTATAAAACAATCAATCTGCTTATTGGTATTCCCATTTAGCTTTGCTATACATGTAAATCACTTCATAACAAAAACTTGATCTTGAACTTTTTCTTTGATATAATCAAATTTAAATGCACATATCAGATCAGAACTAAAAGTTTACTGAGGTTGGGGCTTATGTACTTGTTATAAAAATAACCCTTCAGGGGGATTTGATTTGAACAAACTAGAATCTAATTAAATGAGGATGATTCCATATAAATAATACTAATCATAGCTTTGAAGTACTTCAAAATTTAAAAAGGTTTCCCTATATTTTCCTATGTAAAACTTTGATCAGCCATATTGGCCCCACCCTAACCCCAGTGTTATTTATAAATTGAATGTACACTACATGATTTGATTCCACATTAGTTTCATTTTTCCTGGCCCTGTGGCTCTTGAGAAGAAGATTTTTAAAGATTTTTCCTATATATTTCCTATGTAAAACTTTGATCGGCCATATATTTTAATAGCATTTCACACAAAAATTAATTACAAAACCTTTGATTCCACGTTAAAATTCATCTTTTGGCCCTGTGGTTCTTGATTGAAGATCCTTTTAAAGATTTTTCACTATATATTTATAAAACTTTATTCTTTTGGCCCCACCCTTACCCCAAAGGGGCATGTTTTGAACAAAATGTGTTTTACTACATGAGGAATATTAAAATGAGTTCATCTTTAATTGTGGTTCTTGAGGAGAAGATTTTTTAAAAATGCCATTAATTTTTCTCTAATTCATAATTATCTCCCCTTGGAAAAGGCCATGGCCCTTCATTTGAACAAACTTGAATCCCCTTTATTCAAGGATACTTTGTGGCAAGTTTGGTTGAAATTGGCCCAGTGGTTCTTGAGGAGAAGATGAAAATGTGAAAAGTTTACGACGACAACAACAACAACGACTACAACGATGACAGACAACGGACAAATTTTGATCAGAAAAGCTCACTTGAGCCTTCGGCTCAGGTGAGCTAAAAACTTGATCTTGAACTTTTTCTTTGATATAATCAAATTTAAATGTACATCATAAGTTCAGTATAAAGAAGAGATTGATGCTTAGGTAATTGTTATACATGTAAAAACATTCAGTCTGGGGATTTGAGATAGCATGACTGTGGGCTCTGTCAATTAAATGGCAGCTGTTGTTTCTTCCTTGATGTAACCTTATTTGTGTATTCAAAATTGTGATAGTGGTGATCTGGTCCATTTTGTTTTTTTTTAACAATGGTAAAGGCCTGTCCTGAGAAAAAGCTAGTTTATCGCATCTCACACAAACTCTGTATTAGGTTTATAAACTTGAATTATAGATTGATTTACTCTTTGAATTTGTTAATAGATAAGATATATTTACCGTTAGATTATTCACATATAAACATTTTTTAATTATGCTCAAGTCAGAGATTTATCCAATCATTGAATAAAATCAAGTGTGAACCAACTCCTTGGAATCAAGATGGCGAGTGTCAAACCTTAAGTCTTTTTATAAGAAATATAATCTAGCTATTAAAAATGCCAGTTCCTGCTATTGTTCAATTTTTATTTTCATGAGCAAGGACCTATATACTAACGGGATAGGCAACTATTGCAAGACTCGTGATATCTAGTAAGTCGCGGGATTTCATAAGTCAACTTTAATTAATTATATATCTAATGCTATCAAATATTTTATATCAAAACCTAATCTATCAAAAAATTATTCAAGATTTGATTTTAGCACTAATTATATTCCTTATATTAGCAGTGATTACATATCTTTCAAAATCAGCATTTCCCCAATCGGCCATATTTCTGAGAAATCACCAATTTAGATGTTGATTTTCTTTATATTTAAATCATATTACAATATATGCCTAAAAATTTATTAAAAGTCCATTCCTATTCTTCAAGAACATAATTTAATTCAACAATCTCAGATGGGTTTTACCAAACATGCAAGAACATCTGATCATCTATTTGTTCTAAAATGTCTAATTGATAAATACTGTAGCACAAAAGAAGTGACTCTAATGTTTTGTTGACTATAAAGCTAAGTGTTACACATACAGGATTAAAGCTATTAAGCTAAAATTACTTTACATGAATGTTAGATCTAAATTTTATAATATCATTAGTAATATATATAAGAATAGTCAAGCATGTGTGAAAATTCTTCTCAGACCCATTTCAAATAGCTATAGGTGTCCGTCAAGGGGATAATTTGAGCCCCTCCCTATTTAAAATATTTATCAATGGTTTTCCAGCATATTTAGATTCATATATTGATGAGGTATCGCTTCAGACACAAACTGTTAACTGTTTAATGTATGCAGATGACATTGTTATTTTATCCTCATCAGCTAAAGGTATACAAGCAAGACTCACTAAACTTGAAAATTATTGCTCTGATTGGTGTTTAAAGGTAAACATTCAAAAAACAAAAGTCATGATCTTTAATAAGGCTGGTCATAATATTACACAAAAACTAATGTTTCAAAATAATATGATAGAATGTGTGCCTAGCTACAAATCTAGTCCACCTATGTATCTGGAAGCTTTCATGTAGCAAATTTGCTTTATAAAAAAGCATTAAAAGCATATTATAAGTTAAGAAAGGATTTTATTGATTTAAACCCTGGGATTAAAACCAGAATACATGTATTTGACTCTACCATTAAACCAATTCTTTTGTATAAATACTAAAAGATTCCTAAACTGCCAAAATTTAGCAGTTGAAGACTGCTTCAAAAATCTACCCTGTGAAAGAATACACCTTAAATTCTGTAAATATATTCTCGGCGTTCATTGTAAAAAAGCACAAATTTTGCAGTATTCTTTCTGAATTAAGGTTCCCCCTGCATTATGATATTGTCAGGTTGTTGATTAAAAGTTGGTATAGATTTGAAAATTTGTCATAGAATTTCCTTTACTTACAGATGCATATGAATGTAGTAAAAAGCTTTTTGGGAATGGAAAGAACTCATGGTTTGCATTTATACAGAAATTAAGAAAATTACTGAATATTAAAGATGAAGTTATTTGTTATGGGAAATATAAATTTAAGTCATTTTGTCATAAAATTTTATTAGATTATTATGTGTAGAAATGGTATACAAGTCATAAAAGTTATGCGGATGGCAAATTATCCACATATGTGAAACACAAACAAAATTGGGGTTATGAGAATTATTTATCAGTTGTTAAAAATTTTCATCACAGAAAATCTCTATGTAAATTAAGAATTTCCTGTCACAGATTACAAATTGAAGTGGGAAGATTTACCAATATTCCTCGAGAAGATCAATTATGTAATAGATGTAATTCAAACAACATAGATGATGAAACTCATTTTTTTATAACATGTAAAAAATTTGAACATCAAAGAAAAGAAATATTTCAGTTAATCAATAATAAATTTCCACTATTTACAGCTTTAGATGATGAACAAAAACTTTATTGGTTACTCAATACAGAAGATAAGGAAACTCTTAATTTTGTGGGCAAATTTATAAATGATAACATGTTATAGTATATTATCTTTTACACATACATGCATATTTGATGTTTCCTTTTAGACAGGATTATTGTTGAAATGATTTATGTCAATTACTAATTGTATAATTGTTTTGCTATTCATTGGCTTATCTTTTCCTTATAATTGTAACAATCTATACTTTCTTATGGAGTTAGAAATAAAATGTTCTGTTCTGTTCTGTTCTATACATAAAAGGAAAAAAATGACATTAATCAGAAAACAGGCATTTTACTTGGAATAAACGTAATTTGAAACCTGTAGTACGTGTTGTGCGTAATGTTTTGGGTAAATAAACATGGTGATGAAGGAGTTGCCTATCCCGTTAGTATATAGGTCCCTGTCATGAGTGAATACAAAATGACATTTAAAAAACACAAAATTCACATCTTGTCTTTTTAGAAATATATTTTTGACAATTAAAAACTGCATATTTCACTTTCATCGACATTAAAAAAAGTTCCATGGGTTTAATCAGGCAGACAAAGAAAACAAAACATACATGATCCTGAAACCAGGTGCCTGTGATTCAGGTTATTGTACAGGTGTAATGTCTATGAAGAGATTGTGCCGGGTCTAAATCTGATGGATCCTTACCATTACCCACACACCCTTCTCTGCTTGGTGTATATTCTGCAGTCTGTACATATTACTTGGCACTGATATTGTTACATCGGTATCATAGTATGGTTTGACCGTATACATTTTGTGTATAATTAGATGCAATGTTTATCACTCAAATATGGAAAGTAAATGAAAGTGACGGCTCACATGGCACTTCCGGTTTAGCGAGTAATGTTATATCGCTCCAAATACGTTTCGAGTCTAAAAAGCGCAACATAAAGAAATACATAAAAATAAACATAAAGAAATATCCAACAAAAATGAAAGAAATTATCATAATGAATATGACATAATCGTCTTAGATTGCATCTGCAGGGTTAGCTCTTGGATTATTTTAGTAAAATATAGAAATCAATCAAAAATGAAATAATCACAAGCTTTTTAAATTTTAGTTAGATTTAAAAAAAAAATGAAACCCTTCCATTCCAGTGTTTGCATTAAAAAAATCTAGTTAAAATTTTTTTGTGTACATCAATAATATTTTTTGTTAAATTCCTGTGTGCAATGTAACACGCCGCTCTGTTTGGGTGTTTTAATTGTTCTCTTTTGATCCTTAGATCCCCTCTTACGATTTGTGTATTTCTCTGAATGGGCATCAAAATATATAGCCTAGATAAGTTTTAAAACTTTTTTGGAATTTTTCCTTGTATTAAAATTTAGACTCTAACTTGATTGGCATTTTCCTTCCATTTTTAAATAGTGTTTTGACTGTTGATTAGCTGATGGTGGCGTGATCCGTCCCGCACTTCTAATATTTCCACTGACCAGAGGTCTGTGTTTTAACCCACGGGTACCTGTGGACAGGACCCCCCCCCCCCCCGATATTTAACCCCAAGGCTTATTGGACATTTTTTTCACAAATTACATTTAGTGCACTAATTCACCATGTGCATGTACAATAGGAAAATCGTAAAAACCCCAAAATAATCGCTGTAAGTAACCATCAATATGAACATAACATTGACATGGTTTATTTTACCTTTGGTCAAAGGAACAACTAAAACTCAGATCCAAAAACTCAGAACGTAAGTTGTGATGACCGAGACCTCTTAAATCGTTTCAGCAGTTTCTTGATTGTGAATTCAGTATCTTTTGGAAATTGTGTTGGTGCCCCCAGCTGATGGCTTTTTTGCGAGATCAACCCAACGAAGACATGCCCACAGAATCCTCCAAAGCCTTAAGAAGTGAAGACATTTCGGGTTTTTTTTTCAAATTATAATATAATTATTTACCAAACTCGGTCCATTTTCCCTTTCACTGGCCTCGATTTAGGGAATATATAAGTGCATGTAAGGCAAATATTGTAGAAAACAACAGGATCAACAAAACAATTTAAATTGTTTAATTACTTCTTAATTTGTTCCCTACCTCGATCCCTTCTAGCATACAGAACCACGCTGAAGCAGTCTCATCTTTGCAATTAAGTTAAGTCAAGGGGTTTTTAGTACGTATTCTACCTCAACCAAAAGAATTAGATTCATGGCTTGTAACAATGTAACTGGTAACTGCACTTAAGGACATGCAAAATTTGCACAAAAGGAACTTCCAAAAATTAAGCCAGTTCCAGCAACCGAAGCTATTCCAGTAGTATGCATTCTTATACAGTTACAAGGCTTATATAAACCTGCTCCAAAAAAACTTTAACCTGGTAATTCATCCGAAAAATTTGGGTCAAACCCCGCATCTAAGGCAAGTTTGGTTCAGATAGGTTTTGTAGTTATTAGAAAATAAGATCTGTTCCAAAAACTTTAACATGTTCCAAAAACTTTAACCCAGTCATTCTAGTTCAAATTGCAACAACTTCAACCTTGACTGATACCTGAATCATACTAGAAGCGTCTTCCATGAATCTCTGATAAAAATAGGGCATATCTGCAGATAAAATGAAATCTGTCCCTTCAGCATCTTTATCCCGGGACGCCAACGTCTAATCTTGCTGAGATTAGCCAACGCCGACTTTCTTGAGGTGAGCTAACAAACTTCATCCTTGTTTTTATGCCCCCGTAATCGGAGATTCGGGGTATGCAGTTTTTCGTCTGTCTTTCTGAAAAACTTGAACCTGAGTAGGTGGGGTTATAGCCATCGTCACAAACTACGGCCAAAACGTACGATCCTCTTTCATTTTGGTAGGAGAATGCGGACTCCGAACATTGGGTTGAGACGATGGGCTTTAGCATTTATATTTTATAGGTGTATGTTTGTGACTATAGATCTTTCCTTGGGTGTAACCAAATTTGACCTATTTGAACTTTTCAACCCATGCACTTTTACAAAAAAAAAAAAAAAAAAATTACCATGCTTTTACCTTGGCCATTATTTTTGAAAAATTGGCGCTAGGGCTTTCAAACTTCGCATGTGCATTTATTGTGACAAGGTCTTCCAATGGATATAAATATTTTTCCCCTTCTGATTTAGAGACCTTGTCCATCAGTTTTGAAATGTTAGCAATGGGGTTTTCATATTTTACAGGTGTTTAATTCTATGTGAAAAGACCTTCATTTGGATACGAACAGTTTTGACCTTGACCTTTGCAATATATTGGGAAACTTCAACCCCATTAGCTATCATACGGGGGGGGGGGGGCAGACTAGTGTTTTACAAACACTTCTTGTTATCAGAATGGTTGCTCCTCAGTTTCGTTATACGGTCGGCACGATGAGAAATTTTCCCCAAAAGTGCGCAAAAAATACTGTGTCGTAAATTGCACCTTTATTGCATTGCGGGATCTGTAGCGTTATGGTCAGACAAATATATAAAACCATAACGCAACAGATCTGCAGCTACATTTAAACCCGACAATATTCAATTTTTTAACACAGTCCTCCGTCTTCTGTCACAATAAATGTTCAAAATTTATTATCCAATGTCTGGTTAAAAAAAATTAGTTGAAAACACTTATCAGTACTTTTAGTACTATGATTTTCATTTTTCAGAAATTAGGAGTTTTGAAATGATCCCTAATCGACAGCGTCTCTTTGCAACGATGTAACAAGCGATTTTATTGGTTCATTTATTTTGAGACAAACATCACTATTCATCAAAATAACTGTGTCACGGCGAATTTAAATATCATTTACATATTCAGTACCATCCAAAAATTACAAATATACTTATTAAAAACAAGTTATACGACATAATTAACTGCTACTTTAATATATTGACGTTTTCCGAAATTTGTATCGCCCAATGTGAGCTTACCTTGCATCGAACGCAAAGGAGGGCGCTTGTTCATAAAGAACAAAGAAAAAGAAGTTCAGATCCAGTATATTTTGAAAATACAAGATTTTTCTGTTAACCGATAACAAAATTTCACAAACAGAGTAACAAATCACGTCCCAGGGTAGCTAAATCGAAAGAACCCAGGTACCAATTTATTTACATCAGCCATTGCAATGGTCACGTGACCAGATTTGTGAAAATGGCGGCTACCCAAAATTTTCAACATGGATTCAAATATGCCATACACCGTGTCCATTCATAACACAGAGATGAAACCAGCATAAGAACTGTTCTTCGGGGTCCTAGAAACATAAGAACTGGATCAAAATGTCGGGTAGAGGTAGGCGAGCAAGGGGCCGGCCTCCAAAAACCCCTTTGTCGACAAACAGAACCAATTTTTTAAGAAAACCGAAAGCCTACCAGGCACGAAGCGATGCATCAAGTGACCCCAATTCTAGATCTAGTACACCAGTCAGCATACCAGGTACCCCAACTAGAGGAAGGGGGAGGTCTAGAGAAGCATCCTATAAAGGGAGAAATTTTATACACAGCTTGTTTGATGAAGATGAGGCCTCCCGCTCCAGCATGGATCCCGAGGAGAGAAGCAGCGATGTCGCGGATGATATTGAGCCGTTAGATGACGATTCTGACAGTGTGTATGATGAGTCTGATTCAGATTACAGTGATGATAGTTACAGTACACAAAGTTCCACAAGCAAAAGGAAATTGTTTTATTTTCGTAGACCGAAAACACCAGAGTTATTAGACGACAAGGATATACCTCAATTAGACTTACCAAGCAGTTCAAATGATTTACTTATACCCTCAGAATATTTAATGATGTGCTTGGGTGTGTACGAAGTCATTCGACATTTCAGAGTTATATTAAGATTATCGCCATTCACTTTTGAAGATTTCTGTGCAGCTCTATATAGTGATGAAGTTTCAACTTTACTTAATGAAACTCATATAACTCTTCTAAAATCTCTTTTACGGGAAGAAGATGGCAATAATACCACTTTTGGACCTACTGATCTGAAAGACAGCATTAATGCATCCTTATATTTTATTGACTCCATGACATGGCCAGAGTTGGTGAGAAGTTATTTAGACAGTGACCGCTTAGTAGAAAACAAAGAAGCACTGGATGTGTTAGAGAAAAGTACTGAATATCCATTTGTTTCATTTCAAGAAAGATTAAAAGTCTTGAAAGTGTTAACAGACTTATTTCTCTCAACAAATAGTGTCAGGGAAGAAATAATGAATGAAGGCAATATTCAGTATGATGATCACTGCAGAGCTTGTCACAAGTAAGCTTAATGTTTGATCAGTATGTTGTGTCACTTTTTATTGTGTACTTTTTTACTAATATATTTGTTATTTGTAATGCTTTATGTACTGATCTCCCCCCCCCCCCCCCCCAATTTCTTACTTTGTGTTAATTCCATCCACATATAGTTATAAATAAAAGCCTCTCTTTTTCACTTAGACTCGGTGACTTGCTGTGTTGCGAGACATGTTCTGCTGTGTATCACCTTGCCTGTGTAGAACCTCCTATGGAAGAAGTGCCAGAGGAAGACTGGGTGTGCACGATCTGTAAGGCACACAAGGTAATGATGTCAAGCTAGGTCACTCACTCCTAGTAAAATATATCATTCATATATTGGAATATTTACACTGTACCAATTTTTTTGTGTGCTACATACTTTTTCTTTAAAGTACTTATGAAATTCTTTACCATTTTATTGAAGAGAGAGAAACATATCCACTGGATTCAATTTAAATAAAAAAAAATAATCTTGTATGACAGGTTAAAGGTGTGACAGATTGTGCGTCAGAGGCAGAAAAAAGTGGGTTACTGTGTAGACAAGAACCAATTGGGTTTGATCGACATCGAAGGAAATACTGGTTCCTCTGCAGGAGAGTGGTGGTGTAAGTTACTTTTTTGGTATTGAGATATATACAGTTCTTCAAAATAAAATGCTGAACCACAAAATGAAATGTAAGAAAAGTTTTTAAAGGCATTTCAAAATGTCAGCATGCATTTTATGAATAGTACAAAATGATTTTTCTGATTTTGTGTAAAAATATTTCAAATTTATGTTAGCTTTTTTTGGTTGATATATTGCAAATCTTTACATGAAAATAATGCACATGTTGACAGTTTTTCTATCCTACATTAAGATGGATTTAAGCTGAGTGTAAATTTTTTGGTCAGCAGAAGTATCTTGTACTAACAAACAAATTCATACATGGTTATATCATTTGGAATAATTCACAAATTTTTAGGAGAAGTTTCATGTCATTTGTTTCTTTGTGGTGTTTGCTGTAGTAAAACATTTTTGCATTGCTTGATTACCTGGTACCCCTTTTTCCTTTACATTTTCACCATCAACAACATTTTGGAAATTTCCCTGCTCACTGTAGGATTTTTGTTTTATTACAGGGAGAGTGAAGATTCTGTGTGGTACTACAGTACGAAGCCTCAGTTTGATGAACTGATGGAAGTACTAGACAAGAACAACTTTGAGAAAGACTTAGTCCTGACTCTGTTAGAGTTCAAAGAGGATATACTCAAACACATGTCTATCACAGAGGAGTTGACTAACAGTCACAAAGGCAATAGGAAATCAGCATTAGAGATCGAAATAGGTTTGTCAAAAGGAAATATCACTGCCAGCTTTTAATTGGAATAAATAAAAAAATGTTTCTAAAGAAGTGAGAAAATCAGCACTAGAGATCGAAATAGGTTTGTCCAAAATAGCACTTCCAGCAATTAATTGGAATAAATAAAAAAAAAAAATCCCTAAAGAGGTTAACTGTAGTCATCAAGAAAAGTTATATTTTTCCTCCTTATATTAAAGATACGTTTGACAGCATTATGGAATTTAAAGATTTAATTAACATCCTATGTAGGTCAGTTGCAGAAGATTCAGACAGAGAGAGCTGCCAGGAAAGCTAAGGAGGAGGAAGAGAGGAAGGCCCGGGAGGAAGAGGAGGCCAGACAGAAGGAACAGGAGAGGATACGGAGGGAGACCATCGACCTAGACGGTCCCGAGATGAACGGGGACATTAACGAAAACTCCAACTCCAGACCAGCCGACGTCAACTCTTCTGTGGTATGTTGTTCTTTATGTATTTTATTTTTAAAAATATTTCTCTCCCATAGTAAATTAGCACAAATTATGCTCCAAACATTTCATGAATAATGACATTTGATATCAGGTTGAAGAAGTAGTGATGTCCGAGGAAACAGAAGTGGTAGCTACCACTAGTGAAATGACTACATCACAAACTATAGTGACTGAGGCAGGGAAGACCGAGGCCCATTTACATCAGCTGGTCGAGACCGTAACCACAACAACAGTCAAAACAGTGGCCAGCACAAAGGTGACAAACTCTGAGGAAGCCATGGAAACGGACTCAGGTGATCAAACAAACCAAACCGATGATGATGTCATCCTGCTTGAAAAAAATGGGCAAGGCCCGAACTCTGACCTTAAGTCCTTTGAGATTAAGAAAGTGGACAAAACTCCTGATGGTGTGAAGTCTACCATTATGAATGTGCAATCTGTGTGTCCGAATGTTAAACCCACTGTTCTGAAGGTGACGGAGGATTCTCAGAAATCCCCGCAGACAAGAACAGTGCTGATTGTAAACCGAGATGGAAATCGGGTGACTCTGGCAGTCAGTAAACAACCTATAACATCCTCCCAGAGCGCAGATGGCATTGACACAGTAGTAACCCAGAATTCCACAGAAAATACAACAGTGGTCTCATCCTCAGGTATGTTTTAACAGGGCTCTCACACCCATTTTTGGTACTGGGGCCGGGGCCATTGAAATTGGGAAAAAAGCGACGTTTTCATAAAAATTGGGAAATTTTAACCAGTCATAATTTAAACTTACATCATTGTCTTGCTCTTAGTAGAAATATTTTTTCTACACTGACAACAGTACTGCAGGGATCAAACTTAACTTTTTGACCACTGCAGTAAATATCAGCAGATTTATTTTTACTATCAAATTGTAATTTTGAACTTTTCCTAGCATTTTTTCTCCTTATAGTGATTCATATTATCTATTAAAAAAATAATAATAATTAACCTCTTGGAAGCATTTAGGCCGTTTTATTACAGATGAAATCTGAACAGATACAGAGTAAATCAGTTGTTTAATTAAAAAAAAATCTTTATAAATTTAAAATTAGATCATTAAATACACTGGGGATATATTTTTTGGAAAATTACATAACTTTTTTCAAGTTGTTTTAGAGAATAAATAATTTAATGGAATATCTAACGTTACATTGTATCTGATTGTATTTACCATAAAGAAAGGAGTGGAAAATTGTAAAAAAAAAAAAACGATCGTTTTTGGAAGTAAATTATAAGACAGGTAGCGCTGCAAAATGGATAAGATTATGGGGATTTATAAACTGTAGGAGCATGGTACCTATTTTTTTTTTATTGTAAGGGAATCTAATGGCAAAATAGTGAATAAAATACCTGTAGGCCTAGTGCTTTTCATTCAGTCTTGGTAATCTGAATTTGTTACAAGATCTTTTATTCTCACAAAAGGTGGCGAACACAGGTCGCTTTTAACTCGCAATTTTTTATTTTAATTCTCATTCAGAGAGTATTTTCCATTAATTTCGAGCCCTGACATCATAGATCTTCACATTCTGTGACATGATTGTTGTGAATGAACAAGTCTTACTTACTTTACTACAGACGACTTTCGTTTTCGTACTAAACTGGTTCCAGCATATAAACAAACTACCAGTTCATAACACGAACGTCTTTCTTAACAGTGTCAAAGATATGCTTTTTTGTTACAGTAATGAATTTGAAGCAATCATAAATTGGGAATTTTTACTCTTAAATTTGGGAAAAAAGGTACCTTTTTCACTGCAATCCCCACTGGCCACAATTATAGAGAATCGAGAGCCCTGGTTTATGTCTGCTTATGATATCCTTTTATGTATATATATCTGCAACTTATGAAATTCTTGTATGTAGTCACTTGCAGTCAAGTTAGATGTTTACTTAACATGTCCTGTTTTACAGATGCCAGAAGGATAGTGACCCGATCCAAAACTGGTTCTCTGACCCCCAAACAGTTCACGGACTCAGTTACTTCAACGACGGCCACGATAAAGAATAGGTCCTCTGACGATGTCCTTGTGATCAACAAGGATGGGGACATTACCCGAGTCACTCGCAGCAAAAGTGCCTTAATGACGCATCAGTCTGTCTACTTCAAATTAGGTACGAAGGTTCATCAAACAAGTACATGCTTTTGTTAAATTTTATCATATTTTTTGCTTTCCTGATAATATACGAAGAGAAATAAATGTATTTACATGTATACCTGTATGATTCAAAATTGTAAAATACAGGGAATAATGATTCAGTAATTCTGATTTTAATAAGTGATTTATTCCTGGTGTTGATTAGGAAGTGATGATTACCTAAGTATGTGAGCTGATAGTGAAATTGATGTGAATGTGATTTTTTTTAGGTATGGAGAACAATTTTAAGACATATCAGAATCAGTACTCCAGTAACACCCTGGCCCTGAACAAGCACCAACATAACGAGGAGCGAGACAAACGGCGCTACCTCTCACACAAGTTCAGTCTCACTCAGCTGAGCGAGTTCAAGTGGAACGGAACATTGGTGGGTAGGAAGAACCTGGTCATTAATACCCTGATGATGACCATTACACAGTTAGAGAACAACATTCCCACGGCCTTCCTGCATCCCCACTGGCCACTACACCGTACAAACTGGAATAATGCTGTCCAGCTGTGTAGATCACCGGCAGACTTTGGCCTCGCTCTCTCTATACTGGAGGCTTGTATGAAACCTGTCCTGTTTAACCCAGTGTGGACAGAAGCTCTAGGTTTGTGTCTAAAGCCACAGATATTTGGTATTTTACATGAACATAAACATTGATTTTAATGCAGTTATGTTGCAGGCACATAAACATGTACAGTACGTGTACATCTGACAGTAATGTAAAAAATGTAGATGTTTATTACTCTTAATACTTATTTACTTTTCTAACAATAGGTCACTCCAAACTGATGAAAATCACCTCCTTAGATAGAGAGGAGATGAAGAAGCGAGAGAAGGAATTGAGGAAGAGGAAAGAGGAGGATGAGGAGAGCCGAGGACCTCTAGTCTGGATCAAGTACACCCTGGGTCTGAAACATCAGGTAAGCCATGGACTTCTGGTCTCTGAAACATCTGGTAAGGAAGTGACATGTTTTTAATACAGTCTTTACAATGTATTAGGGATGAGCAAGTTAGCTTTGTTTTAAAAGTAATTCATTATATCTATCAAGTTTACAGTGTGTTTTGAAACCAGAAGAAAAATCACTTCAAGCATGACCAGTGCAAATGAGAAGGTTAACAGATGTAATGATTACTTTTGGAGCAAGCATTAGTATTTAATTTGTTTATATCTTCTAGGTGTGGAAACAAAGGGGTGAGGAATACAGAGTGACAGGGGGTCAAGGCTGGCTTTGGGTATCTAAAACCAGACAAGGTAACTATGTGCCCCAGGACAGTGTGGGTCTGAGGAATGTGGCTCGCAAGTTACAGGCCCGAAAACGAAAGGCAGAGGAAAAACAGGAGGAAAACCAGGGGGAAAGCAAGGAAGAATCCACAGCAAAGAAAGTGAAAGAAGAGGGTGGACAGGGGACAGACATTAAAGAGGAAGATAAAATGGAAGTCGTGCAGACAGTCAAGGAGGAAAAGTCTGAAGCAGTAGTGAATCCACAGGATGAAAAAATGGAGGTTGAAGAGAAACCTGTAGAAACTGTAAAGGAGGAGAAGGATAGTGGAGAAAGTGGAGTAAAGGAAGATAAGTTGGAAAGTGGAGAAACTCCAGAGATGAAAACGGAGAAAGGCAAGAAAACAGATAACGATCAGGATGTCACCATTGATGTTGAAACTTCAAGTCCAGTAAAGCAAACAAAATCATCATCTGTCACGGAGACAAGTAAAGGTATAAATGACTTTTCTGCCAAAGGTGGTACCAAAGAATCTGGTTTACCACCAAAAGCAGATGTTGATCTCATTAATGTGACAAAAGGCATGAATGAACGAACTTTCTATCCAAAAGTCACCAAACCCTATGCAAAACTAGATTCCTTGTTGGTAAAACGTTTAAAACAAGAGGAAATAGAGATTAAACAGAGACAAGCTTTGCAGCAGCAGATAAACTGGAAATTGAAATCTCAACTTAAAGCAGAGCCAGATCAGCAATCTATAAAAACAGAAACTGTTAAAACGGAGGAAAGTAAGTCATTGATGGAAACAAGTACAACAGAGGAGAGTGAAGACCTTCCCTCCCATACCTGCTATTCTTACCTGTGTAGAAGTGGAGAGGGTTCGTGTTACTCCTGTCTGTGTATGAAGCGTCAGTCTGAGGACGAGGCCATGATGAACTTGACAGGAAACACACAACAGGAGAACGCGTCTGACGCTGAAATGGAGGAGGATGAGGAAGAAGAAGACGTGGACGTAGAGGGGGACGGTAAACCTTCCCCTCAGAAGGTCAAGGAGGAGAAGACAGAGGTCAAACAGGAGGAGGAGAAAATGGACACCACTGAGGCTGATCTCAAGATTGTAAAGACAGAACCGGAGACCAAATCCATTATCCTGAAACCTGTAGGGGGTACACCCAGTACAAGCACTGCAGCAAAAACAACCACAACTAGTGCTGTGGCTCAGATCTTATCTCAGAAGGCTGGACTAAAGGCAAATCAAATAACTCAGGCTCAGCAAGCATTGAGACAGGCTATTGATAAGATGAGTGTCGAGGAACTCCGAAGTAAAATGCCTCCACTCAGAACAACCAAAGAACCTATTAAACTGGTAAAGTTTGCGAAAATGGGTCAAAGGTTACCAGCAAAGAAGAAAGCCACATTACCTTCCTGTCATAAATTTCTGACTCCCAGTGGAAGGAAAACTTTGTTTGCACTGGAAAAACATGAACTGAGGAAAATGTCTCGTAAAGGAGGCAAATGTGAAACAAAGGCTTTTAATTATAACTGTAAAATGAACAATGTGAACTGGATATACCCTTGTCCAAGACCTGTGTTTAAAACTGCTTGGAGATATAGGACTCAGACCAGTAAGTCTTATGGAGCTGTGGGTGTACAGTTGAGGATTTTATGGGCGTGTCTACGCTGGGATGATCTGGCAGTAAAGCCACCAGCTGGGGGCACCAACACAATCTCCACGGAGACAGAAATTACAACCAAGGAACTGCTGAAACGGAGGGATGTCGGTCCTCACAACTTACGTTCAGAGTTTTTGGTCAGAAAAATAGTTGTACCACTTGGTGTACCTACTCAGCCCAAAGGTAAACATTTAACGTATTTTTACATTAACTTCATTAATTTTCCTTTGGAGAAACACATCTTATTAATGCATACATGTGTTTATATATGATCGATGTCAAATCAGTTTCTTTTAACAATCAAGAACAATCTTTCTGTAGCTTGGTTGTGTTATTTGTCAAATTTTTACCTAAACTTCTATTTTATTATAAATTCAGAGAAGTACACACCCCAGAGAAGTGGATTAAGGGAACGTAAGAGGGCAGAATCCCCCAAACAAACAGAGCCAAGTGTCACGGAGCATTGGACACCAGAGGAGGAGCTAGAACTCTGGGAAATTAAACAGTTCGGAGAAAAGTAAGTTCATGATTGTGAAACTCGAAATCTCATTGTAAATTTCTTATTTTCATGCCTGTAATATCAGTATCTAAATTAGCCTAATAGAGAGTTGTTTTAATTTTTTTTTAATTAAGGTCTTCCGTCTTCACAGAAGACCTTATAGTGATTCTATTGTTTCTTCTTATTATTATTATTATTTTTCCGTACACTAAATTTTGTGCACGCGATTTCTCAAAGACTACTGGGTGGATTTTCATGAAATTTAGAGAAATTATGTATTGTTATCTGAAGTTATTTTTTCCGAGAGATTTTTTGAAAATTCTCTTCTGGTGCCAAGTTACGGGACATTTTCTGAATTTAAAATGACATTTTGTCTACGGTTAATCTCAAGAACGGTAGAAGATATCAACATGAAACTTTCAGGGATTATAGATCGTGATATTCACTATCCAGGACGCGACCTTTCGTTCGTCGTCAATACTTCCTGTTGTTTCCAGATGAAAATTTAAAAAGTCGAATTTTCTAACTTTTTTGTTCTTTAATATTTTTCATTTATTTTTGGAATATTAATAGAGACCTTTCCATTGATGCTTACTATATAAGTTGTTTTAGTATTGATTAATCTTCTAGATATTAATATTTGAAAATCTGAAGCGGGCCCAAGATGGCGGCTGTCTCTTACTTTATGGAGGCAGCTGAGCGTTTGATTGAACCATTCTGACATAAAGATACATGAAATGTGAAAAATTACCTGGACTTTCACGTAGTAGTACGTTGCAATTGAGTGTCAATCTTGAAACTTAATTTCTGTTTCACTGCTTTAGTGTAACTGGGCTAGATACGATATGTAATGTGTACAATGTGTTAAATATACTTTCTTAACGTCGAAATAAAATAAAGGCCATAAGAACGTTTTATTTATTTAATTTCATTGAAGCTATCACACCTATTTAATAGATTAGTCCAAAGAAAGGCGCGAATATTTACTCGTGGCGTTTAGCGCGAAATTATGAATAGTGGTCCGCCTTTTATAATTCTTAGACAAATGTACTGTTGCAAAAGTATACAAAAGTATATTTAGAGCAGTGCTCCAAATTATAGCTTAATGGTATGCGCGTTAGGGATAAAGAGAAAAAAAGTGCAGGCGACCTGAGTTCAATCCTCCTTGTGACCAAAATTTTGAATCACATTTTTGCTCGATTTCACGAGGTTTTTTTCCTGAATCGGACGGAAGACCTCTCGTTGCTCGCAACGAGATCGTTTCTAGTTCATTACTATATTTACATGATACTGAATTTCAGATTAGCCAGACAGAGGGCGGCCATTCAGGAGAAGTCCAGTCAGGACACGGTTCAGGTGCAGCAGACGACATCTGTCAACGCTGCCCAGCTAAAGGCTCAGTTAGAGCAGCAACTGAAGCAGCAGAGACTGGCCCTACAGCAGAAGAGGCTGCTGGAGGCCCAGGGAAAGATCGCCCCCGTGTCTACTTCAACCCCCTCAATCATATCAGCCACCCTCAACAGCGCCTCGGGAGGGACGGTCATCAAAACCCTGGGCGGAACTGTCGGAAGTAGTCTCCTGTCCGGGGCCACCAGTATTTTAAAAACAGTACAGCCAAAGACCTTGTCTGCAATAACAGGTAAGTTTTTTTTCTGTACTTACATCTACTTTATTTGAAATAGTTGAAATCTGATTATTAGACTGTGTGAGTTTTCTTTAATTGACAACATACCTTGTTTTAGTGAATCCTTCAGGAGTAGTAACAACCAATGGAGGAACTCCAATAAGGCCTGTAGTCAAGGTTCAGCTCCCCATGAGGACCTCTTTACAGACCTCGTCAGGGGTAACACTGGCCCCCAAACCAGGATCTATAGTAGTTACTACTGCCCAGCCATCAACTCTGACAAGATTGATTGTCCCCATCTCAAAACCACAACTCACTCCCACAAAAGGTAAGGAGGAGGATAAGTGCATAGTGGCATAGTAATCATCTACAGTGGAGCCTCATTTATCCGGACGCTTTGGTTCCCAGTCAATTTGTTCCGGATATGTGAAGCATCCGGATACCTGAATCACCAGTTAAACAAGACAAAATTACATTTACAAATTTCGTTCCGATGAAAAGTCGTCCGGATACTGAAGCATCCGGATATCTGGGGTCCGGATATCTGAAGGTCCACTGTACTTGTAATCACTTTTACATGTATTTTGTCTAAATTATTGATAATATTATATCCTTGTATTTCTGTTGCAGTAAATGTTATAGGAAGTCAGTCATTGCCAACAACTCCAGCTCGAGTCATTGTTCCTTCATCAGTCCAAACACCCCCTTCTGCTGTTCCGAAATGTAAGTTTCTAATTCAATTTTTTATTGCATGAAAGAAAAATACAAAAAAATAGTTTGTTAGTGTACTGTTTTTTCTCAATCTATTTTCAGTACAAATTCGTCCTACCGGTTCTCCAGGAACCCAGAACCTTCAGATAATTCAAGGCCCCTCAGGTCAACTACAAGTCAGAGGGTTAATGCAGGGTAGGTACAGTCTATATATCTGTATTACAACATTTTTCAGTTATTTAAGGTTGATATGAATCTTGCAATGTACAGCTTCTATACATGAACTATGACTTTTATGAACAGGTCAACAGATTATTCGACTCCCTGATGGCAGACTCCAGCTCCTGACCTTGCCTCAGTCTGGCACCACCACACAGGTGGCTACCACAAGTGTTACCTCTTCTCCACAAGCTAGTCTGGCCTCCACGCTTGTCCCGCCCCGGGCACAGCTGGCTATCCGCCCTACCTCATCCGTGTTAGTTAGCACCAGTACAGGGTTATCAGCCTTGACTGGAACCACCCCCACCCGAATCATTGTCCCCTCCCAGGCACTGTCCTCAGGAGGAGCCCTGCAGATCGGCAATTCAACCATCCAGACAAAACAGCTACTAGCTCAGTCTTTGACAAACCTGGGAAATGTCACTTCAGTGGATGGAACAGCCACACTGGTAAGGCCAGCTTCCTCCACAGTGCAGGCAACCACCACAGTGCAGGCAATGGAAACCCCCAAACTGGTGGCTAGTCTGTCCACCCCATCTGCTGCTGTCCCAGGAACTAATGTGGCAGCCACTCTTCTGTCACCCCTTAAACTGGCTTCTGTTACTCGTCCCATTTTGGTATCATCAGTACCTACCCTTCCAAAACAGACAACATCTTCCATCAGTATAGCCCCACCCTCCACTGTATTGTTGCCTGTCAAAGTGTCGACTGCTGTAGGCATGACTACCACTGCACCTCGACTGGTGTCGCCTCCTCAGACGATTCAACAGCAGCTGGTGCTGCAGAAGAGTCCACCCCTGGCTGTTACATCAACCCCACGTACCACAGTGGCTCCCTCTACTCCTACATCCTCCACAAAGTATGCCGTCACTCCACAGGTTGTGCAACAAGGTATATGATCTGAAACATTTTGTTCACTTCTTTAGGATGTTTAAACACCCAATTTTATGTTAACGCCCCCAAAATCTACCTGATTCAAGATCAATAATTTACCGCCTGTCAGTCATTAAAAAAAACAATAGCTTCTGATTTGATTGACAGATCAGCTACCTGTGCTACCTGATAATCTGAGTTTGCATGTTTTGAAGACAATTGCCTTGTCGCATGCCAAACTCTTTAATGTATCCGCCTTGTAAACATGCGGGTTAGAAAACTCCATATGTTTGAATTTTATTTCCAAAAAATTATTGAAAATATGTATATTATCAAAACATTGACATCATAAAATATTTCTTTTCTATCTTCACTGCTCTTTGTTACTTTGTACAGAAATTTTATGTCAGAATTAATGCTCGAATTTCCTCTATCGCCTGTCTATATTCGTAATGAAAAGGTGAAGATAATAGTGATTGATTCTGAGAAATCTTTCTATCGATAAAATTTTGTTAACACACGAACAATCGAAAATATTTAATATTTTGGAAATTGTTGGCCAGAAAATTAAAAATAAATAAATAAATAAAGTCCGATTGTGGTAAATGTTCACAAGCACGACGGATAAATGGATTAATTTTTTTTTTTCATTTCAATGTTCAGACTTTTTTTTATTATGGTGATTTCGTTTCTTGAAGATTAAAAAGAATAAATGTTATTTCTTTGTAGTTTTTACTGGTGATTTTTTCTTTAATTTAATGAAAACATTTTATAAAACGATGCATCTTTATATTTTTTTCCTTGAAAACATTACGATGAATGCTGTTAGTTTAAAAATAAAATTCAAATTAAAATAATTATTTTGCGTAGTTTCACTTAAAACTAGACACAAAACACGTAATGTTGATCCTGATTACCAAACACAGACTTCCTGTGTACTGCTACGTTTATATAAATTTTTGACACCTTAGGTATTGGGGGTCTCCAGGTAAATAACATCACTGGTACTTCGACCACTCCCCCTCCTCAATGTAACCGTACGGTAAAAAAATTGGGTCTTTAAAATAGGTTTTTCTGGAATGATAAAGAGATTTAAAATTGGCATTATAAAATATTTCTAAATTTTGTTATTTGAAGTTGTTCGCCAAGCACTGATGCAGAATCAGACCCCAGAAATTCAAGCCAAGTTGCTAGCAATGCAGCGTATGATGCAGAACCCCTCAGCGAGCCCCGTCCCCCCTCCCCAGCCAGTGGTGGAGAAGCCCCCACCAGTGGTGACCACGGCGGCACCTGTACAGCAGCTGGACCCAGCTACCAAACAGATGACACAGGAACAAAGGGAAGACAGAATGAGGTAATTTGATCATTGAAGATGCATAGTTGTACATTTTGTATTAAATCCATAAAAAGTAACGACACATAATTCTGTGAAATCATTATTTTTTGTCTAACTTTTTTTGGGGGGGGGGGGGGGGTATGGAGAGATCCACAAATTCCTGTCCTCTAGAAAATGAAAAATTTCATTGACAGCATACTAGTATTTCTTGTTCAAACTTGTAATCAAATCCTGTCACTTTCCTGTTCAATGAACCTTAGGCCAGAAAAAAATTGTGTATGTAGAGTAATCTTGAAAAAAAAATAAAAGAGAGCATTATGCATAAAATGCATCATACAGAATGCATTTGGTGTAGAGTGACTAATATTGTTCAAGTTTTGGTGTTAAGAATGATTTCATGGTATGAAAAAAAGTGACTCAGGTAAGGTTTTGTGGCTTATCAATCTCTTGTTAGAATCTGTAACAAAGTTATGCTTGTTTTCTACAGGAGAGCAGTGTGTGGTGCTGTGCTGAAGTCTATTGTGGAGAAGATTGAAAAGAAAGAGAAGGAAGAAGTCCGCAAAGTGAAAAAGCAGGAGCTGGAAGAGGAGAAGCAGAAGCGATTAATGGTAGCCAAACTTCACGGCACTTTGTACAAACACAAGGAGGCTCTCAAGAGGGAAATTCTTAAGAAACGTTCATTAATGGAGAAAAATCTGCAGCAAGAAATCCAGGTGCTAACTCTACTGGATATCAGGCTCCTCATTAGAGCATGTTTATAATTTTGGGTTTCAAGTTTTTGGTTGAGACGCTGTAGCCTCCATTGTTCTTGTGATGTCCTCATGTGTTTTATTTCATTTCAATTTTGCATGTACATTTTCAAAGCTGCATGTCTGGCAAACCTTGATTGACCTTCATAGGTTGAATTATATTGACCTCCCTCTGTTTGGCATAACAATAGAACTTTATCAGTCATACATATAAGTAATTTAAGCTTTTAAAAAATCATTACAAATCCTTGGAAATCGTAGGATTTAAGTATGCAAAGTTTGTCACACATGCAGTACATTTTTCCATTTATACATACATTGAATATGCTTAAAAAAGTCATAATGATGCACTCAAAATTTTATATAAAACAAGGGTAGATTCCAGAGTCAATTTTTTTTTTTAATGTTTGCTTTCATTCAGTGTTGTAAGAATTATATTGCAGTCTTCCATGAAATCTTTTTTAGACACTAGCCAAAAGGGCTTTTGGAGTTGAGATATCAATATAGGTTTTTGAAAAAAAAATACCTGATCTTTTAAAAAGCATTCATATTTCTTCTAAGTTTCTAAGAAAAGTTCACTAGTTCAAACACAAATGAATTAGACATAGTCAGAAAAAAGAAAAGTCTATTTGATCAGAGTTTATTAGATTATGATTTACTGAGTATCCAAATGATTCTCATCTTTCTATTTTTTTTACTTGAACTTCAGGCTCTTGCTACCCCCAGTAAAGCATATTTTTATTAGTCCATGCCATACTTCTGTACCTTTGAGCATTGAGCTAATAAGTTTTCAAGAAGACTGCTTTTGACTTTGGAAAACTACTCTTTTATTTCTTTGCATATAAAAAAAAAAGTAAATCATTATCATGGAGAATTTGGTCATTTTCTTTAAATCAAAGAGGTTAAAAGTACTCCAGCTGTCTATAAAGTCTGATGTCTTATTTCAGTTTGAGGTCGCTGAACAGTTGAAGAAGCGTCAGGGACAGTCTCAAAAGAGGGTAGATTCTGGCTCCCGTCAAACAAACCAGGCAGTCCTGACTGTTCAGCAGCATATCGCTAGTGGCAACAAGAAAGCCGTCATTCCAGCTGAGCAGATTGTCAAATCGAAACGCAAGAAACAGAAGATCATTTCTACAGGTTCCAACAAATCTCTCAACCCCAAATCAAGACTGTACTGTGTGTGCAAACAGCCATACGATGACACCAAGTAAGCTTTGCTCTCTCACATTTTAAAAAACGCTGCTTTATGTCATATTGCTTAAATTTAGATGTGGATAAACTTCATGAATAGAAGAGACTTTGTCAATCTAATTAGATGGCTTTGTTGTCACCCGCTTCCCTGAGGGAGAGGAGACATAAGATTTCATACCCCTGTCAATATATCTTGGTCTGCCCAAAATTACCTTGGTCTTAACTTTTGAATATGAGAAGATAGGTCTTTCATGCATCGCAACAACTAAGACTCGGCAAGTTATGGACCACAGTTCTTTGAAGTTTCTTGTTTAAACATAATTTGTTTTGTGTTGCAGGTTTTACATTGGATGTGATTTATGTTCCAATTGGTTCCATGGCAGCTGTGTAAATATATCAGAAGATATGGCAAAGAGAATAGACACTTACGTGTGCGACGAGTGTAAGAAACAGCGAGATACGGCTACCGAGGAGCTGTACTGTCTGTGTCGGACGCCTTATGATGATACTCAGTAAGTCATCAAAGCTCAGAGCTGTCAACATCATAAAATGGAAAATTATTAGGAGGGATTCAAGGGCCCACTTGGAGATTTTTTTTTTTGAGTATGGATTGTAACCTGCCTCAAGCTTGATTATACCATTCATTGGATAGCTATTAGATCCATTCCTTAAATAAGACAAGGTTGATTCTGATTGTTGGTAGATTCAGTTTGGTAAATGTTTTCTCTATGATGTTAGGTTTTACATTGGCTGTGACCAGTTCAGTTTGGTAACTATTTGCTTTATGATGACAGGTTTTACATTGGATGTGACCGCTGTCAGGACTGGTTCCACGGTCGGTGTGTGGGCGTGTCCCAGGTGGAGGCTAACCACATGGACATCTACATCTGTCCTAACTGTGAGAAGAAGGAGGAGGCCGATCCAATCAGCCAGAAAATTCTGCAGGAAAAGGACTATGAAAATGTCCGCAGGCTCGTGAAATCCATGCAGGTTTGTTAATTATTACAACATCTACAAAGTTTATAGAATGACAAAGCTGTGAATATTTTCACTCCTCTTCTTGTTTTTTTTATGTCTTTTCCCAACTGTTAGAGTTATACTTGTTCAATTTATTTTGTTATTTAATAATCATAATTCATGGATTACATTGCAGTCGCACAAAATGGCCTGGCCGTTTTTAGAGCCAGTTGACCGTCTTGAAGTTCCAGACTATTATGCAGTAATTAAAGATCCTATGGGTAAGTATGAACTATTTGATTCTACTTTACTTATTTGATGTAGAAGTTTGTGACTGACCTGAGTTATCTTTCTTTACAGATCTACAGACTCTGGAGAGGAATGTCATGGAGAGGAAATATCTCCGCTTGTGTGACTTTGTAAAGGATGTGACAAAAGTGTTTGACAATTGTCGGCTGTATAATCCTGCTGATACTCCATTTTATCAGTGTGCCGAAGTTCTGGAAACATTCTTTGTCCAGAGACTAAAATCTCTTAAAGAGAGAATATAAAACCATTTCAATCATGCAATCCATTTTGTTAGCATTCTTCATGTTCTCTGTGTACATAAGCACTTTGGGGTACTGTACTCTCTCTCTCAGAAGCAGCATGTTGATTAATTTATTGTCATAATGTTAAAATCTTCAAAATATAGTTTTACGATTACTGAGTAGAACAAATAATTTTTTATGTGTATCATTCTATACATTTTCTCTAGAATAAATTATAGTACACTTGGTTTGCAGATTTTTTTTATAGTCATGCTTTTTAATTCAGTTGACATATACATACAGTCAAGTATAAGCATACACTCAAGATTAAGACAATAAATTTGTTCTCTCTGCATAACACATGTGTAACTAGTGATATGAATATTTCATTGTGTCAATAATTTATATAGAACCATTCTCCCCATGCCTTTCCACTTGTAGGCAAACGTGGAACCATAATAGGGAAACCCACAGTACGTTTTTACACAGAATTAATGATATTGAGGTAATGTTTTGAAATTTCTAAATTGAACAAAGCCAAAAAAGGGTAGAGTAGACATGAAACTGAAAAAGTGAAGAAAAAAAATTGCAGACAGGACAGGAATTGAACCTAGGTCCCCTCATATCTTGAGTCACCAGCAAGAAATCAAACCTAGATCCCCCTTATCATTAGTCCAGTGCTCTAGCCACCCAGATGGATACCCTGGTTCAAACAATCCAATCAAGTCCTAGGTACAGGGCACCAACATAACAGAAAATGGACAAATTTATGACAACCTGAAATTAACCTGGGATCTCTGTAATACCAGTCAGATGCTCTAACCTCTAAAGTAGGTCCAACCTTGGTCTATATACTCCAAACCATTACATTCATCCCTCTTTATATTACATGTATTACCACTCTTAGAAATACTTGTTCTTTTGCTCCTATTAGGACTTTCATCTGCAAGTCAGGGATGGTCAAGGGATGTATCACTAAAGAAGAAAATTTATGGGAACAGGAAATCTAACCTGGGACCCCTGCATTACTAGAAAGGTGCTTTTACCACTGAGCTATCCAGGCTTATTTTAGTCCATTACAAGTGTGTAAGCTTTTCTGTTCAACTTGAAATCCAGTTTGTTTCAATTTTGAATTTTTGGAAGGCCCCTCCCCTAACTGAAAATGTTTGATCATTCCCTAAAATTAAATTGTTTCCTGCAGGTCTGGACTACTCTCAAATCTAGGGTAGAACTTGGAGATCAAGTTAAAGGGAGACTATTCTCAAGATAAGTTCACATCAAAGGGAGACTACTCTAAAACAAAGCTAAAACTGTTCACATCAAAGGGAGATTACTCAAAAATAAAGATAAACTCTGTTCACATTAAAGGGAGACTACTCTCAAACAAAGATAAAACTCTGTTCACATTAAAGGGAGACTACTCTAAAATAAAGATAAAACTCTGTTCACATTAAAGGGAGACTACTCTCAAACAAAGATAAAACTCTGTTCACATTAAAGGGAGACTACTCTCAAACAAAGATAAAACTTCCCATTAAAGGGAGACTACTCTCAAATAAATATAAAACTCTGTTCACATTAAAGGGAGACTACTCTCAAATAAATGTAAAACTCTGTTCACATTAAAGGGAGACTAGTCTCAAACAAAGATAAAACTTCACATTAAAGGGAGACTACTCTAAATCAAAGATAAAACTCTGTTCACATTAAAGGGAGACTACTCTCAAATAAATGTAAAACTCTGTGCACATTAAAGGGAGACTACTCTCAAACAAAGATAAAACTCTGTTCACATTAAAGGGAGACTACTCTCAAATAAAGATAAAACTTCACATTCAAGGGAGACTACTCTAAATCAAAGATAAAACTCTGTTCACATTGAAGGGAGACTAGTCTCAAACAAAGATAAAACTCTGTTCACATTAAAGGGAGACTTCTCTCAAACAAAGATAAAACTTCACATTAAAGGGAGACTACTCTAAATCAAAGATAAAACTCTGTTCACATTAAAGGGAGACTACTCTCAAATAAATGTAAAACTCTGTGCACATTAAAGGGAGACTACTCTCAAACAAAGATAAAACTCTGTTCACATTAAAGGGAGACTACTCTCAAACAAAGATAAAACTTCACATTCAAGGGAGACTACTCTAAATCAAAGATGAAAGTCTGTTCACATTGAAGGGAGACTAGTCTCAAACAAAGATAAAACTCTGTTCACATTAAAGGGAGACTTCTCTCAAACAAAGATAAAACTTCACATTAAAGGGAGACTACTCTAAATCAAAGATAAAACTCTGTTCACATTAAAGGGAGACTACTCTCAAACAAAGATAAAACTTCACATTCAAGGGAGACTACTCTCAAACAAAGATAAAACTCTGTTCACATTAAAGGGAGACTACTCTAAAATAAAGATAAAACTCTGTTCACATTAAAGGGAGACTACTCTCAAACAAAGATAAAACTCTGTTCACATTAAAGGGAGACTACTCTCAAACAAAGATAAAACTTCCCATTAAAGGGAGACTACTCTCAAATAAATATAAAAGAACGAGTCTAAAGGCAGCTCCCTGCACACCATGTGACCGTAATTATGACGTCACGTCACACTCAAAGTGAAAGTAAGAATAACTGCTTGTACGCATATTATTCGTGCAATCGGCTGTTTACTTGAATGTTCAATGCTACTATATTTAATGCATTATTCATTGAAGAAAGCTAGAATTACAAAGATATAAACGTGCTTGAAATACCAACCTTTTGTCTAACTGGTTAAAATACCTAGTCTGATTAAGGGGGTGGGGGGAGGGGGGGTTATCGCTTGTGCTTATTAAACACAAAGGATGTACACATACAACAACAACCCCACATCCCCCACCCCACCCTTTTTGTTGACACTGCAGAGTAAACATGTAAACCAATAAGTCTTCAGAACCCTATCTACACGGTGCATGTGAAGGTTCCGTGATGTAATTCTCCGTGCATAGGCGCTCCCCATGTAATTCTGTAAATGACGTATGATAAGTATATATATATAGGTCTACCCCTCTATACTATGTAATATCTATATTTTATACTGTAAAAGCACAAATATTCGTGGAGGATTAAATTTCGTTTATTTCGTTGTTAACAAAATTCAACGAAATTAAATCCAACACGAAATTTTATATGACTATACACTGTATACTGAATAGGGTTAGTTCTAAAACAATGAAATTAAATGCACACGAAATTATTTTTCATGACAAAACAACGAAATTTTATGCCCACGAAAATTTGTGCTTCTACAGTAGTATAGAGGGGTAGACCTATAGGCCTATATATACTTATCACACGTCATTTACAGAATTACATGGAGAGCGCCTATGTCTCCGTGTGGAGATACGATATATATCGCAAAACCTTGATGTTATGAAGATTTAAAATGATAATTAAAGAACTTTAAAGCCAAAACAGATTGTAAACTTGATGTATTCTATTGTATTGCAAAAGAGACCCCAACCCCCATTGTTTATTATAGCTGTTGAAAATCGTAGCTGGGGATTTGGGGTGGTACATTTTACACAAACTATGCATTTCACTTTTGTCCAAACTGAATCTTTTTGTCTTTTCCATTGATTTCTTAATCATTCTTTATCATATATGATACATATTCTTCGTTTGAACATTTTTATCTTCTGATTTCATTCAAAGCATTCTAACATATCTAATGCAACTTAATAAGTCAAACAAATGTATACATATGTACTTTCTTTAATTTAATAAAAAATAAAATAAAAAGACAGTATATGTAGCACACCGTACATGAAAGCAATACTGCACTGTTTAAATATAGCTACTTTAATTGTGTATTACTATTGTAATTCAAGCAAACATCATTATAAAACTAAAAAAAAAATCATGACATCACATACAGGTACATAAACCAGAGGCGAATCCAGCAAATTTTGAAAGGGTCTTCCAGGTTTGTGCTCTCCCTACCTCCCCCCCCCCCTTTTCATAGAATCACACCACACGCATAATTTCTCTATGAAAATGACAGTTTAAAATATGATTTTTCAACTTGTTTTCTTAGAAATTATGCCCCGAAACACCTTATTTGACCAAGCTAAAGTTATAAAGCATCATTAAAGAAATTAATTTCTCAAATTTTATAAAATCTGTAGGCATCTTTCATTTACTAGATCTTGACCTTTAAAGTACATTCAGCATAAGATTACTCTCAGAAAAGTAAGCCTCCCCCTTCCGCGTATTATGGGTGCGTTTTATAACTTTTATCTTCATTGACTAAAATAATTTCATACTATATGGAGAAAATATTTATCTTTAGCATACTCCTTATCATAACCTTTTCTTGCATATTCCTGTAAGTAAGTTACTAGTACTTTAGAAGATTGTCCAAAAATGTTATCGCCAAAGTTTCGCCAGAATCTTCCGATGTTGAAACCTTGCATGTTACTAGTATGGTAATTAAGAAGATCATTTTTCTTTCAAGAACTTATACATGTAAATGAAAATCCTTTGTGACATCCTTTTAAGTTTCAAGCGACATTGTGTGGGTGGTCGGAGCCCGTAACCAAGTCAATGGAGGTACAACGGGCATCTACATTGTATAAACAAAGCAATACGCAATACTCTTTCTTGTGAGCAGAAAAGGCACAGATTGGGATTATTTATTTTAACATATTTAACGCAGAAATACCTATTACAGAAAAACATCTCTCCCCCCTCTCTCTCTCGGAAAAAAGGAGGAGAGAAGTCCAGTCCCTCCCCTCTAGATCTGCCAGTGTGCACTATTAAAATTCAGTTTAAGAATATTTTCAGTCAACAGTCAAGACACAAACAGCCTAAGAGTTAATCACTACTTTTAAAAGAACTAAAATCCTTGTTATATGAAACACAAGCCTTTTTGCTGTACGTCAGACTGGAGAAAGTCCTTTCATGGTTTAACAAGATTACACTGTTTTTAATTTAGTGGTAAGTAGGGCACTGATTGTTTTATTGTCCAAATTAGCAGGGGTCTCTGTCTGTATTTTCTTCACCATAGAGAAGACTAATTCACATCCAGCATTGGAGTTAGGCACAATATTAAAGCATTGCTTTGACTATTACTGGAAACTGCTCTCGACTCACGAATTATGGAGTTGATCCTTATGTAACGGGTTACAATCCCACTATGGGATGTGGAGACCGGTGCTTTGGATGAGACCGTACTAACCGAAGTCCTGTGTCGCAGTAGATGCTGGCACAAAAAAAGAACCCTCCTTGCTCAATAGCCCTTAATGTCGAGTATAGGACAAAATTTGCAGTTCTCCACCGGCAAGTGGTGGCGTCTCCACGTGAGTGAAACATTCTTGAGAGGGATGTTAAACAACATAAGATCAATCAATCATCACTGGAAACCTTGGTGTCTTGGTGAGGTTATTTCTTTTGTCCAGAATCCTATCCCATGCAGGAGACATCTTTTCTTGTGTTTTCCACAAAACTTGGGAGGTCCAGAGCAGGAGTTGTTTGGTAATCCATGAATTCCTCTTCCCTTTGTTCCCACTGATCCATGGGCACCAAGGAAGTGAATCTCTGTGCTAGCACAGTAAGGGCAGTTCGTGGTAGATCTCCTCCATTTGCTGGATTTAAGAAGCCAAGGTTGGATACCAACATATCCTTGAAAAGAAATTTGGCCAGCATCTTTGATGTCCCTCCAGTACCAAATCTTAACTTCATCAGCCTGTTAGAAGACAATAATGTTTAAATATCAGCTTCTCCAATAGGCATTTTTAAAATCTAATTTAAATGTACATTTATATGAACAATATTTATATATATAAAATACATGGTTACTGTCTTGAAATATAAGCGATATTTGGGCGAGGGTAAGAAAACGTGATAGAGGGCTAGGCTTGCCGAGCCCTCTTACGTTTTTGACCCGAGCCCAAATATCGCTTATATTTCAAGATAGTTATCATGTATTTTGTTTATCCTGCAACATATTTTTACCATTTGAACGTCCAAAACTAGCTATTTTTGACAGATTTAGGCACATCTCTCCAGTTGAAACTATGACGCCATGGCGTAAACATTGCAGTATACGTGACGTCCCAATGCATTTAGAACGTCGGAATACATGCACGAGGCTTTATTAGGGCAGTGACTGGATAAAGCTTTCATTTATTAGGTTACCTTTATTAGGTCAATGCAGGGGGAAGTTGCAGGATAAAAAACATTTAGACGTTCAAAATTTTACCTGGAAAAATCATTAAGTGGATGAATAATGAAACTTGGGAAGCTGATGCACATATACATGTTCATTGTTGTTGTCTTTAATATATGATGTACATCGCTTCATCTGTCTGGTTTCTCAACATCGTCATGGGAACTGAAGTAACTCTGCAAGGCAGGCCAATGGTGAAAAAGACAACACACTTTTCTAAGCTTTGTCATCTTGTACTTGAATGCTTCAGGATCTTCAATGGCTCAATGTTGGTGAATTCCATGAAGTCCTTATATACCTCTTTTCTGTCAAAGCTAAATAAAAAGGGATATTGTTATTAGTACTTTAAACGATTAAAAAAAACATTTTAAAACAAAACTATAAGTATCACTATGATATAGCCCTTAATAAGTATAGTATTAATATCATTCTTATTTAATATTGAAATAAAAAACCGAATTGTGATAAAAGGAAGGGATCCAGGAATTTTTTTGCAGGGGGTGTCCACCCAAGTCAAAAGCAAAAAAATAAAACTGTTCTTCCATAAGTGAAATGCCTATTTTGTGGGTGGGGTGAGGAGTTGTTCATACCTATGACTTTTCATACCAATTTCACATAAATCCCAGTTTTTAAGGAGGGGTCCTGAGTGTCTAAGGGGGTCACTTTTACTTGGTTTAGTATTATAATATACATTTAATAGCTCTGAAAATTCCAGGGGGGGACCCCCTTCCCTAGACCCGTGTATGAACATAATGATATGATATTAAATTATTAACAAAGTAAATGCATGCAGCTTGTACTTTAGACCTTTATAAGTATTGATACAAATTAAGTTTGTAAACATTTAAACAAAAGGCCCATGGGCTTTAAAGGTCACCTGAGCATCATGCAACACTTTTCCAATGATTGAATTTGGTTCATATTTTAAACTAAATGGCATTCACAATTTTGCTTATCACCATTGCTTATCATAACTACTGTAGATCACTAAATTTTCGCGACACCTTATTTTTGCGAGATAGTCATTGATTCTTGATTAGCAGGACAAAATTTTCACGAATTGTGGTTATTGTTCTATATAATCTTAAGGAATACTTTTATACACGAGAATTTAAATTTCGCGAGCACACTGTCTCGCGAAATTGCGCGAAAATAAAGTTCTTGCGAATAAAAAGTGATTTACAGTATACATTTAGCATGCTTCCTTTGGTTACTTAATACCCATAGACAGAGTATGGGAACAAAAAAATGCATTTCGACTAATCAGTAATATTCAGCAATTATCAGTAATGCCACTACCACACATGAACCCCTGACCTTTGGTCCACACATTTCATAATTTCGGAAAAGGCACCCTTGCTAATCAAAAATGTTTGATTAATACCAAGTGGCAGCTTTCAATCAATCAATTCCTATTAGTAATGCAACATGAAAACTTGTATTCGTGTATGAAATTTGATCAGAATATCTTGAATAGTGATGCAGTTAAATTGCTTACATCAGTATGTATCAGCATATTATGTTTAACACTAATTTCATTAAAGGGAGGTCAAGGTCAAAGGAAATGCCAAAGTCAAAACTGTTGATGCAGTTGAAAAGCTCTCATCAGTATGTTTCAGCGTATGAAGTTAAAAAAAACATTATCAAATGGTTTCTTTAAAACTAACTTATTAAAAACAATTTTGATAAAAGTGAGGTCAAGTTAAATGAAAGGTCAACATCAAAAATGTTAATACAGGTGAGTTGCTTACATCAGTGTGTATTTCAGCATATGAAGTTTGACACTGATTTTAGAAAAGTGAGGTCAAGGTCAAAGGAAAGGACAAGGTCAAAAGATGTTGATGCAGTTGCATAGCTCTCATCAATATCTATCAGCATATTCTGATTAAGTTTGATGAAAATATGTTGGATAGTTTCTTTGAAACTGAGCTTTAAACAGAGCTAAACGTAAAGTGTGACGGAAGGACGGAAAGACGGAAGGATGGAGGACGGACATGACAAACACTAAATGCCCCGGCCATATTCATGACAGGGCATAAATATTGATATTGCTGGTATCTCTTTATAAATGATTCAAATATTACTCTTAATTTATCATGTTCATAACCAACCAAGAAAAATTGATAAACTAGAGGTAGTGAACAATGAGCTTACTTACAATGATACCCTGCCTCCCATATGAACATGATGAATATGATGGCAGTGAAATTTAGAATATGAATAGGTATAAAAGATTCCTACATTATGCTACTTTCAAAATTGAATGCATGGACATGCACACACTTGCGCATGCGCAATGCGTAAAATGATTAAAATACTTGAAAAATAGTAACATTTATATCTGTATTATTTTCTTTTGATTCTCAGGAATTCTTTAACCAACATGCCATGATCATCTTGCATATGCATGCGCGCGCGCGCATGCGAAACGTAGATATCCTTGTCACTTTTATAATCTTGAATGAAATTCTTCGATACTGAGCAAATAAAAAAACGTATTACAGGAACAAGACACAAAAAGGGATTTAGGGAGCGTTTGGGGAACATCTGTAACGGTCCCCGTTACAATTAACACTAGTTTCACAGTGTTTTCAAACTGCCATCTCAAAATGTTACTATATACACTGCCATTTTGAGAGGCAAATTATTTGGTCCAGCAGACTAACACGCTGCAGCTATCTGTATGTGCAGATATTAAATATGGGAGAAGTTGACAGAAATGAAATCTAGCTTTTGTACAATTGAGAAAAGAATTTAGAGAATTTAATCCACAATCAAGCATACTTGTGCTTTAGCTCTGTCATCCGTACCTATTTTTTAAGACCAGTGTGCTACAGATGAGATGTGTAGCTAAATTAAAATTTAATTGAGAAATTTTCTCCCTCTTATCAGCATGACTTCTGTGGTGCACCATTTTACAGTGTTTTAATCATTGCACATAACCAACAATATCATATGGGGTAACTTTTACAGTAACATTATTGTGACATGTGTTAAAGTAACACTTCTGGATAATTAACCATGTGTTAACTTTTATTTTTTATGGATATTTAATAAGTATTATTGAATACTGGTAATATTTAGTAATTAGCCTGTTAAAAACAGCTGATCATAAGCCTTTTACTGTTGTAAGTACAATGAGCTAAATGTACTGATTGTACTGAACCTGATAAATTGAGTAAAATAGCATAATACTATTCTATTCTTAATAAGAAAACAAGAAAGGCTATATTTATGACTCACTTGAGACATAAAATTAAAATTCGATTAAAAAGGAACTTACGGCAGCAACACAATCCTGCGTGCGAAGTGTTTTCTTTTTCACAATCCAAAGTGAAAGCGAAAGTCTCAATGCGCATGCGCGAATGTATAGCAGGGAGCTGCCGAAAGTTGAATCTAATATAAAACTCTGTTCACATTAAAGGGAGACTACTCTCAAATAAATGTAAAACTCTGTTCACATTAAAGGGAGACTAGTCTCAAACAAAGATAAAACTCTGTTCACATTAAAGGGAGACTACTCTAAATCAAAGATAAAACTCTGTTCACATTAAAGGGAGATTACTGTCAAATAAATGTAAAACTCTGTGCACATTAAAGGGAGACTACTCTCAAACAAAGATAAAACTCTGTTCACATTAAAGGGAGACTACTCTCAAATAAAGATAAAACTTCACATTCAAGGGAGACTACTCTAAATCAAAGATAAATCTCTGTTCACATTGAAGGGAGACTAGTCTCAAACAAAGATAAAACTCTGTTCACATTAAAGGGAGACTTCTCTCAAACAAAGATAAAACTTCACATTAAAGGGAGACTACTCTAAATCAAAGATAAAACTCTGTTCACATTAAAGGGAGACTACTCTCAAATAAATGTAAAACTCTGTGCACATTAAAGGGAGACTACTCTCAAACAAAGATAAAACTCTGTTCACATTAAAGGGAGACTACTCTCAAACAAAGATAAAACTTCACATTCAAGGGAGACTACTCTAAATCAAAGATGAAAGTCTGTTCACATTGAAGGGAGACTAGTCTCAAACAAAGATAAAACTCTGTTCACATTAAAGGGAGACTTCTCTCAAACAAAGATAAAACTTCACATTAAAGGGAGACTACTCTAAATCAAAGATAAAACTCTGTTCACATTAAAGGGAGACTACTCTCAAACAAAGATAAAACTTCACATTCAAGGGAGACTACTCTCAAACAAAGATAAAACTCTGTTCACATTAAAGGGAGACTACTCTAAAATAAAGATAAAACTCTGTTCACATTAAAGGGAGACTACTCTCAAACAAAGATAAAACTCTGTTCACATTAAAGGGAGACTACTCTCAAACAAAGATAAAACTTCACATTAAAGGGAGACTACTCTCAAATAAATATAAAACTCTGTTCACATTAAAGGGAGACTACTCTCAAATAAATGTAAAACTCTGTTCACATTAAAGGGAGACTAGTCTCAAACAAAGATAAAACTTCACATTAAAGAGAGACTACTCTGAAACAAAGATAAAACTCTGTTCACATTAAAGGGAGACTACTCTCAAATAAATGTAAAACTCTGTGCACATTAAAGGGAGACTACTCTCAAACAAAGATAAATCTCTGTTCACATTGAAGGGAGACTAGTCTCAAACAAAGATAAAACTCTGTTCACATTAAAGGGAGACTTCTCTCAAACAAAGATAAAACTTCACATTAAAGGGAGACTACTCTAAATCAAAGATAAAACTCTGTTCACATTAAAGGGAGACTACTCTCAAACAAAGATAAAATTTCACATTCAAGGGAGACTACTCTAAATCAAAGATAAAACTCTGTTCACATTGAAGGGAGACTAGTCTCAAACAAAGATAAAACTCTGTGCACATTAAAGGGAGACTACTCTCAAACAAAGATAAAACTCTGTTCACATTAAAGGGAGACTACTCTCAAACAAAGATAAAACTTCACATTCTAGGGAGACTACTTTAAATCAAAGATAAAACTCTGTTCACATTGAAGGGAGACTACTCTCAAACAAAGATAAAACTCTGTTCACATTAAAGGGAGACTAGTCTCAAACAAAGATAAAACTCTGTTCACATTAAAGGGAGACTACTCTCAAACAAAGGTAGAACTTTGAACACATTAAAGGGAGACTACTCTCAAACAAAGACAAAACTCTGTTCATATTAAAGGGAGACTACTCTAAAATAAAGATAAAACTATGTTCACATTTGAGGGAGACTACTCTCAAATAAATATAAAACTCTGTTCATATTAAAGGGAGACTACTCTCAAATAAATGTAAAACTCTGTTCACATTAAAGGGAGACTACTCTCAAACAAAGATAAAACTTCACATTAAAGAGAGACTACTCTAAATCAAAGATAAAACTCTGTTCAGATTAAAGGGAGACTACTCTCAAATAAATGTAAAACTCTGTGCACATTAAAGGGAGACTACTCTCAAACAAAGATAAATCTCTGTGCACATTAAAGGGAGACTACTCTCAAACAAAGATAAAACTCTGTTCACATTAAAGGGAGACTACTCTCAAACAAAGGTAGAACTTTGAACACATTAAAGGGAGACTACTCTCAAACAAAGACAAAACTCTGTTCACATTAAAGGGAGACTACTCTAAAATAAAGATAAAACTATGTTCACATTTGAGGGAGACTACTCTTAAATAAAGATAAAACTTAATTCACATTAAAGGGAGACTACTCTCAAACAAAGATAAAACTCTGTTCACATTATAGGGAGACTACACTCAAACAAAGGTAGAACTTTGAACACATTTAAGGGAGACTACTCTCAAAGCTTGTTTAAAACTAATGTCACATGAAATCAAAGACTACTCTTTAATAGGGATAGAAATTAAATCACACCAAAGGGAGACTACTCTCAAACAAAGCTAGAACTCGGATAATATTAAAGAGAGACAAATTTCAAACAAGGATAGAACTTTTAAAATACTAGTATGTCATGTTAACGGTAGACTACTCTCAAACTTAGGTAGAATTAATGTCACATGAAATGGTAGACTTCTCATAAACAAAGAATAGAATTCGGATCACTTTCAAGGGCAACTGCACGTATTCTCAAACTTAGGGTAGAACTCAAATCACATTAAAGGAAGACTACTTTTAAGCAATGGTAGAACAAATGTCACATTAAATGTACTCTACTCTTAAACCTAAGGTAGAACTTGGATCAAAGGGGGGGGTGTCTACTCTCAAACCTAGGATAAAAATAAGATCATATTAAAGGGAGATTACTCTCAATCTTTGATCCAATTCGGATCACATTAAAGGGGACTTCTCTCAAATCTAGTGTTGAGTTTGTCACTTCCACATTACTGTGAGACTAAATGCAGGTCACATAACAGTAACACTATCTATTATTGAACAAGGGTCACACAACAGAGAGATTCTTATAAAACCTACGTGATATTACAGTGATACTTTACATAATACTAGAATCGAACCCATGTCACATTACACTTTTACTAAACATTCTAGAAGCATTTGTTTCTGAAGGAAGCTGTTTTTTTATTGATAAATATCTGAAACCAGTCTTAACATCTACAAACTGAAAGAGAAGGCAAAAATGTCTGTATGCAGTAGATATATTTTATTCATTTCTGTAGAAACTTTGAAGATAAAAATAAACATCCAATCAAAGTCACTGCCACAGTCACACTAACAACAGTCATCTGCTGATTGAGGCTCCCCACAGGGACATCAAACTGTATACCAATGGCATCCTGCAAAAGAAAAAGTTATTTTCCACTAAACAAGTAAGATAAAAATGATTTATTTCAATTTTTAGGTAATACAACATCTATTAATTATTTTCTAGAATTGCCTAAATAATTACTAGTAAATTTAACCTTTTCCAAAATGTAGTAGAAAATAATTTTGGTTCTTTTACAAATGTATTTGGTCCTTTTTTCTGTGAAATAACCAAGTTTTGTTGGGTATAAATTTTTCAATGTTTAAATTTTGTGATGTAATATGAATATGAGGAGACTGATGACTTCATAACCTCCATGAAATGTAAAATTTTATACATATTACATTGGAACTTTTTTTATAATCCTGGAATCACATCACCACAAACCAAGTTTTTTCCCTTAAACTATGGAAATTTGATCCCCAAAATACATGTAAGTGATTTCCAGTACTAAGAGTTTCACAAATTTGTTATTTCCGACTTTTGAATTCAATACGTTCAACCTGTAGCACATCTAATTTGCTACTCTTTGTGCGGGTAACTGAAATTCAATAATTCTTGATACAGTAAAGTAGGACAAGGAGAATTTGGAATAAATTTATTTACATGTACATGTACTACTCACTGTTTTGTAGGATATCTCTGTCCAGGTGCAGTTTTCATGTAAACTACTACAAGGCAATTGTTTTCCTGTTTTCTTAATGGCCTTCAAATCTACAATGATGAAATCTTTTAAGCTTCTTTTCATTTGGAATATGTGGTTTTATTATTTTCTTGCAGTCAGTTTAGGGGGGGGGGGGTATGTAAATTTCTTATTGTATATTCATGTTTGAAAAATAAAAGGAAATACATGTACCGGTAATGACACATACTTCAGGTAAAGAATTTTCACTGTTTATAATGTGTATCAGAGTACACATTTTATTGATAGTTTCAGCCCATGCCTAATTTCCAAGTATATAAAATTATAAAAAGAATACTTTTAAATCATAGAAGAAATCTTCTGTTTTACCTTTTTGTTCACAGAGAAGATAGATGTGTGGGTTCTGTATTACTACTCGAGCTGTGCTATCCTCGGGTAAAGGCTGGTGATATCGCACATGAACTGGTATTGTTACATTTGTTACAAACTCGGAGCCTTCCTTTGAAAGTCTGTCTGGGTAAATTAGGAGAGAAAAACTGGTAGACAACTCTTTTGGTTTTTCAATGTCAATGGATGGACTGATGAACTAAAACATTTCCATAAATTAAGTCAAATCAAATGAATTCTTTAATTACCACTAGGAATTTATATATTAAAATTGGAATGTACAGTGCCGTATTAAACATATTGACTGATAAATAACAACAGCAAATTACTGAAAATGTAATTTAATCACATATAAAAATAAATGATCTTGGACCCTGCACATTATGAGCTTAATTATAAGTTATGCATACATTTTTTTTTTACTCCATCACAGTTAAAAAATTTTGAATCAAGTATTTTCAATGTTACATGTGAGTAAGAACTCATTCTAAAGACAGTTTTGTGAAACTAAAAATCTGTGTGGTTAATTTCTTAACTTAAGTCACAAGTAGCATTCCCATTATATTTAATAATTAGAGTTAACTCCCCTTGTTTACAGTCACCATTACCTGGGGTCCTCCCTTTTCCCTGAGATTCTTTAGTTCATAAGGATCTACATACATCCCCGGGGGGAGCTCTTCCTCTATCAGACACTCACACCCTGGTCCTGTCAGGGAGGACGGAATCAGAAGCTTGGTGAACAAATCCCTGTAAAAATATATCAGACTTGACAATATCTCCATCATTTTACCTAAAGACATACCACAGAAAGTGATGATCACACATACCTGTGAAATCCATTCTTCTTCAGTGTTCTGTACAAGTTAGGAGAAGAGGAGGAACAAATACTGATAGCTGCACTAAAGATTGCTAGATTCACAGCCTCACACCCCAACATCCCTCTGTTCTGTAATAATAATATTTGTTTTTTGAAATCTAGCAATTCTATTCATAAGAAACAGTTATACATTTATTTACATATCTTTTAGTGATCAGGGGATTTTTTTTCCTTTCTTGATAATTGAAGCCATTATAATTAAGAAATAAAGGGAAAACAAAATTTGCCAATGTGTCCTAGCTTACACTGGTTGAAGCAGGAGGATTCATTTAACTTTCAGAAAGAAGTTTGGGTAAAAAGGCCTATCAATTAAACCAAGTTTAAAAGTCAAGGTATATATTTATATATTTTGTGATAAGATAGGATACAATAAAACAGGTGACAAACTACATCCAAAACGAGCTAATTTTCAACAACAAATTCTGATATATAGGCACATACTGTAAACTAACTTTAATTTATGACAACTTTATTTCAAGATTAATTAACATACCAGGGGTTAACTAGTTTGCAACAAATAATTTTCGTGATCAAGCCTTTTCAGATCTATTGTTAATATACATAGATACGTTAAGGACCGAGAAACATTTGCGATGACAAGGCTCTCAAGAAAACTAACAAAAACTTCTCACACACAAATAAAAGTTGCTTTAATTACATTATCTCTGCAGTTGAAACTTGGACACCATGGCATATACATGTATATGACATATCACAATGCCTTCCCAACTACAGAATGCATGTATGAGGCTTTTTTGGGTATTGGGTGAACATACTTTTGGTTTTTTAATTAAAGTGGATATTTTTATTATCCACTGAATATTTTCTGTCGTTTTTTAATGTAATTGATGCATCCATCCAAACTTCTGATAATCAGTATTTCAAAGCAGTTGGTTCCTATATCACAATGCAAAATGTAGAAAAGAAGTCATTATTTATATCCGTACTGTATTTCTCGAAAAAAACCAACATTTAATTAAATTATCTGAAGATCATACAATTTCTCACTGGCAGCTATTCTCAGATTAATGCATATCCTCTCTGTTTAACAATAAAAAGTCCAATGATTTATTACTGACGTAACTTGATGACTTGCTTGTAAAGTTACTCCATTTCCTCCACGTCGTTATTTTCAGTCGGGATCGGGATACAAACACTTTACGGTAAAAAAAAAAGTGATGGACTAAAATAAAATATTTTGATTTAATTTTAAAGATGGGAGGCTTATTTTCTAAAGAGAAAAAGTCTAAACCAACAGAATCAAAGGTTACAGAACAAGACAAAGCCATTCTGGTAGGTTACAAAAGAAGTAATACCTGAAATTTCGAATTTACTCTGTTTTTAATCAGCAGTATTAATTAATACTGTCACCATTTTTCTTTTTCTTTGTAAAATACCGTAACCGTAGTATTGGTAATCTAACTATATAAGTTGTGTGGTATCTAAAACTAAATCCATAAAATTCATACTAGATAAGATGTACCTTGAGCGCATAATGGGTGGGGCCCACCTAGACCGCCCATACGGTGGGGGCTTTCTTGAAAAGGGTGTTGACAGTAACCTTGTATGAGAGAGAGAGAGAGAGAAGTCAGATAAAGGCAAACTAACAAACAGACACAAGAAATAATTAATTTGTAATGGGAGAGGAGAAAAGTGAATTGATATCCGACTAGACCGGGATTCGAACCTGGGCCCACTGAATCTCCAGTCAGATGTTCTACTGACTGAGCTATCTGGCCACCGGCGATTGAATCCGTCTTACTGCCACATTCCTCCCTCCTTAAAGGTCTATGGTCCCCAAAGACACCAATCCTGCATGGTCACGGCACCAAAATTGATACACAGGAAGAGGAGGAAAATGAATCGGACTAGACCGGCCAGGATTCGAACCTGGGCCCCCTGAATCTCCAGTCAGGTGTTCTACCGACTGAGCTGTCTAGCCACTGGTGATCGAATCTGTCTGACCGCCACAATAAATTAAAAAAACCCTGCAGACTCTTACAACCATTGGAATCAATAGTATAGATAATGATATCAATGTAATAAATACATGAATTTTTTTTTAGCAACTCAAACAGCAACGAGACAAACTAAAACAGTATCAGAAGAAAATAGGGGTCCAGATTGAGAAAGATAGAGAAGTTGCCAAATCATTGCTTAAAGATGGCAAAAAAGAGTAATTTTAAGATTTTAATTATTTTGCATATAACTAAGTTAACAAATAATTATGTGTGCATGAGCAGTGCTGAAACTGCATATAACGTATTTCGTTTTTTTTTATATGCAACAGTGTGTTTCATAAGTAATACATACATCAGTACACAATAAGATACTCAATGAATTGATATTTCCAAGGTTTGTTTATAGCAGCACTTATATTAAACTCATTACAGTCTTTTCAATGTTTACTTATTAAATGAAAATAACATCTGGGAAAAAAAAAATTTTTTAAAGAAAGCTTCTTGCATCTAGCTGATATAATTTCACACTGTTTGATTCTGTTATTTTGACAGCAAGGCCAAACTCATGCTAAGGAAAAAGAAGTTTCAGGAGTCATTAATTGAAAAGACAGATGGACAGCTAGAAAACATAGAACGAATGGTATGTACATAAAAAATTTTGAATGAGAAATATCTCTATCTTAAGGACATATGCAACATAGTTTAACTTTAACATCTTATTCCTTGTATATAAATTTAAAAGTTCTAATAAGTTGAGGTCCTTTTTGCCATTTTATGATGCCTATCAATACTGTACAAGTTCTTCCAAGTCAAATTTATGCCAGCTAAAACTCTTTTATTGTAATTTTTCTTTAAAAAATGCAAGAATTTTCATAAATTTGTGTCTGGTCAAAACCCCAGTGATGCATGCTGTTTTTTGTGTAAGGATATCTTGTGGTACTACAATTTAAAATCTAGAATACCTTTTAAAAATTATCAGTGCAGGGAAAACTTACATTGTAGAGATAAAGAATTGAAGTGTTTGCTCCTTTGTTTTAGGTTCTTGATAAAATAATTTTCTCCTTTGTGTGAGGTTCATGATATTACAAAATATATAGAATTTACTCCTTTGTGTGAGGTTCATGATATTACAAAATGTATAGAATTTACTCCTTTGTTTCAGGTTCATGATATTACAAAATGTATAGAATTTACTCCTTTGTGTGAGGTTCATGATATTACAAAATGTATAGAATTTACTCCTTTGTTTCAGGATCATGATATTACAAAATGTATAGAATTTACTCCTTTGTTTCAGGTTCATGATATTACAAAATGTATAGAATTTACTCCTTTGTGTGAGGTTCATGATATTACAAAATGTATAGAATTTACTCCTTTGTTTCAGGTTCATGATATTACAAAATGTATAGAATTTACTCCTTTGTGTGAGGTTCATGATATTACAAAATGTATAGAATTTACTCCTTTGTTTCAGGATCATGATATTACAAAATGTATAGAATTTACTCCTTTGTTTCAGGTTCATGATATTACAAAATGTATAGAATTTACTCCTTTGTGTGAGGTTCATGATATTACAAAATGTATAGAATTTACTCCTTTGTTTCAGGTTCATGATATTACAAAATGTATAGAATTTACTCCTTTGTGTGAGGTTCATGATATTACAAAATGTATAGAATTTACTCCTTTGTGTGAGGTTCATGATATTACAAAATGTATAGAATTTACTCCTTTGTTTGAGGTTCATGATATTACAAAATGTATAGAATTTACTCCTTTGTTTTAGGTCCATGATATTACAAAATGTATAGAATTTTCTCCTTTGTTTGAGGTTCATGATATTACAAAATGTATAGAATTTTCTCTTTTGTTTCAGGTCCATGATATAGAATTTGCTCAAATTGAAAGCCAGGTTGTCCAGGGGCTGAAAGTTGGCAATGATTCTTTGAAAAAGTTGCATGAGGTGAGTGATTGCGGTACTCTGCTGTAATTATCATCAAATTCTGATTGCAACTCAAGATTTATACAAGAGTTCCAAAGTTACAAGATAAAATGTCTAAAGCATTGTTAAATTTATCATACAATTCCAGATTCTGTCACTTGAAGACGTGGAAAAGATCATGGATGATACAAGAGAATCTATTGATTATCAGCGTGTACGTCAAGGGATCTCAGAAAACATATAGCAATTTTCAAAGAATTTTGAATTTAATATTTGTTATCATGGAAGAAAAAGAACAGAGAATTGTATTAAAACTGTATTTTTCTCAATTTAGGAGATAGATGACTTATTATCAGGTGGTTTAACAACACAAGATGAAGAGGATGTTCTCGCAGAGCTAGATGAAATTGTCAAGGTAAAAATTCAGCTGTTTATAGTTGTCTGTACCGTTTATATCATGATCTTTTGTGAAATGTTGAAGAAAATTTTCATCAGTCACAAATTTTTCTACAGGTGGAGTTACCTGAAGTACCTACAGATGAACTTCCTGAAATAGAGGAGAAAAAACGCAAAGGTAAACTACTAGTGTCGCATTTCACAGTTTTTCAATGCACCAGATGTTTTTATCATGAGAAATGGTAACTGTTATCTGATTCTCTGTTACTAAAATGATATAGATATCTTAATTGATGTATGCATGTATTGAAATAAATTTTGAGTGTTAAAACATCGCAAAAGATTTATGTACAGGTTAAGTGATAAATTTGTAAGTAATTGATTGGTAAGGACTAATTACTATATGTTAATATACCAGTGAGATATTATTTTTCAGAAAAATCCCAGAGAGATCGGCAGCAAGCTGAGGCCATGATGGCATCATGATGTTGGTTAGAATTAAGGGCTCCGGTCATCAGTGAACTCTGTGATAAACACATCTGACAATATACACCATTTGTATCAATATAACATAATTTAAATTTTTTTGTTCCAAATTGACATTGTATTAATTATGCTTGCATAATGCTTTTTCTATGTTTGGAGGATGTTTTGAATTTTTATGGCTCCTTATATATAATACATGTCCTATTTATTAAAGCAACTTGGTATCGTTTAAAAAGAAAAAAATATCTAGAAAGTAAGTAACTAAAGACTGCATCTAGCAATGTGATGTAAAAAAAAAATTGTATCACATGCAGCATTCAGATATTATGAATACTACAGTGTGTTCTGTATACTTGTATGTCATTTAGAGTGATACGGTTACTGTATACTCGGTGGTTAAATGATTCCATTTATTTACAAGTATATACAGGTACGTATACACTTCTTTTTAAATAAAACAATCATGGGCAAATTGGATTGTATACACTGTTCTTTTGTATTTTCTTTTAATGTGTATGTGTAACATTAATCAAACAACAGTCTATGATGTGTAATGGGTAATTTTTTTAATAATATTAACATTGTTAATTCTAAGATAATACTGTAGATCACTTAATTTTCGCGACACCTTATTTTCACGAGATAGTCATTGACTCTGTATTAGCGAGACAACATTTTCACGAATTATGGTCATTGATATAATCTGAATAATGGGTAATTTTTTTTATATGTTAATTCTAAGATAATATGTAATCTTTGTATTGTTGTTTGGTATCTGTTCAATGTTAAAGATTCTCAAATAAACTTTACTCCAAGATTTAGAGCTTAGCTTTGAAGGTGGTTATATGAATGGGGACATAACTGTCACAATACTATGTAATGTAATTAAAAAGTGATGATTACAACTCGGGGACACAGAGACTGAATTAATTGTGACAGTAGATACAGGCTAAAAATCCCTCACTGCACAGAAGCCATAAGCATGATAAGTCTTTTATAAGTGTTTGGTATATAAAAGTTTTATTTTGTAGCCTTCACAGCATGACAATTAGTAATGTCCCAAGTTGTGTGAAAATGTCTGAAGAGATGTAAAACAAACATTAACCAAGCGACCAATTTCAATATGTTGGATGATAACAATTCATTGATATCATTGATACTGAAAGGTGAAGGTTGTTTTACAGAAATTATGTTAACAAAATGCATAAGGCAGCATATGGATTGAAGCATGACTTTCTAGTCCGACAATATCACAGGGGCATCAGAGCCGAATATTGACAATTCTTTTATTCATAACTGAAAATATTCAGAAAGGAAGGTATAATTATTTTTTTGTTCGACACTTGAGTCAATTGTATTCATGAACTACAACAAATCTTTACATAAACAAACTGACAATTATTTTAAACAGATTTCACACAGAGGCAAAATAATTGTCAAGTTCATTTTTTTTTTAAATTAGAAATTCTATATACAAATATTTTTTTTTCCCATCTTTTCAAAGAGCATTTTTTCCGGGTTTATATATTTTTATCTTACCGGTTTTTACTTTTAATTTTCTTTGACAGGAAGTAAACAAACATGTCTGACGACGGAAATGAAAGTAAAGACAGCAAACAAACAGAAGCCGAGGAAAAGAGCTTACCTACAAGTCCTAGTCATGCTGCTGCAAAAAGTATACTTGATACATTTATAAAAATTTGATTTTGTAGTACTGTCAATGTCAGTGTATTTTTATTGGAAAGGGGGGGGGCGCATAAACGACTAGCATATTTATAGAATTTTATTTATTTATTTACATTAGTCAAGCAAATTATTCGTCTTGGGTAGTTACTCATATACCCGATACTTTGTTTACAAAATGGATCCACAGCCTTGCGTTGTCCTGGACTGGTAACGCAGCTTATATTTTCATATTTTAACTCCCAGTGCCATGACTTCAAATGTGATTTATATAGCAAAACCCCAACATGGACCAGGATTTTGGAATGCGATTTTAAAAACTTGTACATGTAAACATTCTTAGGCTCTAAAGGACTGTTTGGCTAGTCAACATTGGTTAAACTAGAGGTACTGTGAGCAATGAACTCACTAATTGATTCCCCCCGCCTCCCATATGGCTATATAATGCAGGCAAAGTCCATGTTTTGCTGTGGCCGGGAAACCCAAAATATGTGTCGGATCAAAAAGTAAAATAGGAGGTGAACAATGGCAATATGTAATAAAGATTCTGTGAAAGTTTCATTAAATTTCACTTAGTGGTATAAGAGGAGTTGCGGATAAGAGATGGGTACCCCAAAGCGTAACAGACGGACGGACAGATGGATGGACGGACATGCCGATTACAGCATACCCTCCCATTTTTCAAGCGGGGGATATAATAAAACTAACAATAAAATTTTGATAGTCACTTATATAAGGAATCAAAAGGAAATTTTGCTTCTCACAAAAGAGTTATTCCGAGATCTCATTTTAATTAGCAAAATTTTATGTGATTGACTCTAAATAGCTGATACGCACTGCTTGTACATATTCAACAAAAAGTAAATTTGTGACAAATAGGCATCAGTTTAATACAATGTGCACTGACTTCTTATAGAGCTTGTTTAGGTTATATATGCAGTGACAGAAAGGTATCAAATGCTGATCATTATACCCCTGCTTGAAAAGCGGAAGGGTATATTGTAATCGGAATGTACGTCTGTCTGTCCATCTGTTATGCTTTTGGGTACCCATGCATCTCTTATCCGCAACTCCTCTCATACCTCTGAATGGAATTTGATGATACTTTCACAGAATCTTTATTACATATTGCCCTTGTGCACCTCTTATTTTATTTTTTGATCCAACACATATTTTGGGTTTCCCACTGCAAAACATGGACACTGCCATAATATTTATATGGGAGGTGGGGGTATCATTTAGTGAGTTCATTGATCACAGTACCTCAAGTTTTTTAGCTCACCTCAACGAAGTTGGGGGAGCTTATGTAATACCCTCGGTGTCGGCGTCGGCGTCGGTGTCGGTGTCGGCGTCGGCGTCCCAGGTTAAGTTTTTTGGAGCAGTTTTCTTTTTAAGTACTTCTGTGTCCTATATTGATTAGACATGCATGGGAGATGCTTCTAGTGTGTTTCATTGTAACAGTCAAAGTTTCAGATGCTGCAATTTCAGCAAAGGAATGACCAGGATAATGTTTTTGGAGCAGGTGAACATTTTTGGTGCAGTTTTTGGTGTAGGTCTCATTTCCAAGGAACTATAAGTATAAGCCCTATGTTGACCAAACTTGCATGGATGATACATCTAAGGATTACACTACCAGGCTTGCTTCGGATGCTGAATCTGACCTACATTTTCCGGTTGAGTGAACAGGCTAATGTTTTTGGTGGAGGTCTCATTTCCAAGTAAATATAAGCCCTATGTTGACCAAACTTGCATGGATGATACATCTAAGAATGCACATTACCAGGCTTGCTTCGGAAGCTGAATCTGACCTACATTTTCCGGTTGAGTGAACAGGTTAAAGTTTTTGATACAGGTTTTATTTCTAAGTTACTATGAGCCCTATAATGACCAAACTTGCATGGATGATACATCTTAGGATGCATACTACCAGGCTTGCTTCGGATGCTGAATCTGACCTACATTTTGTGGATGAGTGAAAAGGTTAGTTTTTGATGCAGATTTCATTTCCAAGTAACTATGAGCCCTATAATGAGCAAACTTGCATGGACAATACATCTTAGGATGCACACTAATGGACTTGCTTCGGATGCTGAATTCGACATACATTTTTCAGATAATGGACCAGGTAAAAGTTATTGGTGCAGGTCTATTACCAAAAAACTATAAGGCTTATATAACATTGTATAAACCAAACTTGCACAAATGATGCATCAAGGGATGAGAACTCTCAAATTTGCTTCAGATGCTGGATTTTAATTACATTTTCATGAAAAAAAAAAACTAGTTTGAAGTTTTTATATAGGTCTATTCCAAAGTATCAGATCAAAATTGCATAAATATTTTCATTTTGGGATGTACACTTTTTGTTGGTTAATTGTGTGACTTTGCCTTACTTAAAGACAACATTCGTTGAGGTGAGCTCTGTAATCTCTGATTACCTATGTTTCTACTTTGGAATGTACACAGCAAAATTCTATGAATATGATATAAATTATCCTGGATATTTGTTTTGAAGTTGATGTTCTCCTGAAGCCGGCTGGAGATGCCCCCATTATGAAGAAAAAGAAGTGGGCCGTTGATAGAAATAAACGCATTGGATGGGTTGGAGAATTCATCAAAAAGTACCTCAAGTTAACTTCCCAGGACTCTGTGGTATGTTTATTGTTTAATGATTCAATTATTCAATTCAGTTCTTATATTTCTGATAGTTCTCAAGATAAGATGAAAATAACTGTCATAAGAAAATCATGAAATTTGTTGAAAAAAGAATTGTTTTGTTTTATACATAGAGATATATATTACACCGTGATGTATTTTAATTGTCAGTTCCTGTATGTGAATCAATCCTTTGCTCCAACTCCTGATACTGAAATTGGCACAGTATTTGATGTAAGTACATTTTACTGTATTGTATATTTCATTGGGCATATACCAGTAATATTTATGTGGTAAATAGTAAATCTAGAATTCATGTTTGAATTCTAATAAGCACCTTTGCCAGCTCGATCTTCAGCTTACTTAAGAATTCAATACTTTCCACCTAATAAAACTATTTGTTATCTACCCTGCTGTCACTTTTTCGTGGCAAATTCAAGGAAATTCTCAATGATATGATTTTTATCCATAGAGTTGTCTGTTTTTATCCCCTCGCCAAGGCTGTGGGATAAAACAAAAATGCTTAACTAGTTGGAGAAAAATCATATTCAACCACAAATCTAAGGAAATCCTATATTTATTGCATATATATGTATTGATCTTGACACTAAATGCAAAAAAAAATACAGTGTACGATCAGCAGTATTACGGTTTGAGATAAAGGTACATGTACATTGTAACTTTAAGCAGTGTGATGCATTTTTAAATGAGACTGTTATTAACATAGGTTTTCTTTGTAGTGTTTTGGAAGTGATGGGAAACTCGTTTTACATTACTGCAAAACCCAGGCTTGGGGATGAACAACAGTTTGTGATTTTACAAGACTTCGTGGCTATCATCAGCCATAATGAATTGATCATTGTGCAATACTTTCTATGATGGCAGATCATTGTTAGGTATTTACAGAACATGTAGAAATTTTAATGTGACCAGTAAGTACTAAGAATATTGTACTCTGTGATAAAACTATGTTGTTGACTGAATAAATGAATAATGTCAATGTAAAATTAGATGTTCGTTATATTTCATTCATAAATATGTTTATAATGTCGATTAATATGGATTGCACAATTTAATATGATGCATGCAATCTTTTTTTTCCACATTCTTGTGAAAAATGGTTCTGCATACACTATATATATTTATACCCCCTCTTGAAAAGTGGGAGGGTATACTGTAATAGATATGTCCGTCCATCTGTCTGTCTGTCCGTCCGTCTGTCTGTTACGCTTTGGGGTACCCATCTCTTATCCGCAACTCCTCTTATACCACTTGATCCGACACATATTTATACCCCCGCAAACGAAGTTTAGGGGGGTATATTGGAATCACCATGTCCGTCTGTCCGTCTGTCCGTCTGTCTGTAGACAAGATTTTGTCCGGACCGTTTCTCAGAAACTGTTGGATGGATTTGTCTGAAAATTTATACACTTATTATTCACCATATGAAGGTGTGCACCTGGGATTTTCATCATGATTGGATGATTTTTCTGCATTTTACAGGCGTTTTTTCTTTTTTATTTTGTGATTTTGTTTGGCTCATAACTAGAAAACTATTAGACTTACAATCATCAAACTTGGACAATTTATGCATCTTGGGTAGACGGTGTGTCCTGACCTATTTCAAGGTCACTGTGACCTTTAATTTAAGTGATTTTTTAAAAAAAACTAAGTCTTTAAAATTTTAAATTTCATAATCCTAAAAAATGTAAAAATATAGTTGTACCCTTATTAAAAAATGCTAAATTAAGTAAAAACTTATTTTTTATCATATACTTTACAGCAAATTCTGTAACAAATGTTAATGATTTGAGAGGAATTCAGTTTGTCCCATGGGCATAATTATCAAGCACTGGTCAAGGAGAATTTTTGATAGCAGAAATGTGCATGTCAAATTAGAGAGAAATTAATGAGTTCATTGTCGGGAGTTAACTGGCAAGAGCATCATGCAGTATTATCTTAATTCATCTCTTGGGAGTTGGGCAAAAAGAAATGGCCTTATAGTTGCTTGTGTTAATTAAGAGTTCTTGATGGCTGTAGTTCAGATAAAGATCTTTCAATTGGTGTAATGTAATTAAAACAGATTGATGTTTTAGTGTATGATTAAAACTGAATTAGTATTGTATAATATAATTAAAATTAATTATACATGTGTTCATTGAAAAAAAATTACATTTCAATTTTTATATATTTGCAACAAATTGCAGTCATGTCTCACTTAGAATTTTAAAGTCTAAAGAATAATTAATTTTTGATTTTTTTTTATTAGACTGTAGCATTTCCATTATTTCATAAAATATGCAATAAACAATTTAAAGCTGCAGATGGGCATTTGTTAAGCTCTAACACAGCCAGTTTAGAATTATATGATGTATTATTTGTTTTAATTAATCCCTACACTGTAAGTCTCTTAGAGATGTATGTACAATATTTTAAACATGATAAGAAATGGAAATTAGATCATTGAAATCTGTGTCAATCTGTTAATCAAGGTTACTTGATTTTCTTGCACCCTAACCAATTTATGATTATCGAACAATATTTGATGGGCATATCATGCTGTGGTGGGGCACTTTATTAGACAATAGTAAACACCCCTTACTAGATCCATAAAATATTTCTGAATTGGCACCTACTCTGAAAAACCCAGCGGGGGTATTTGTCCCTATTGGACAGTTCTAGTTTGGGTTTCTCGACCACAGCAAGACATGCAACTTTGCCATTTTACTCATGGGAGGTGGGGGGTATCATTCAGTGAGCTCTTTGCTCACAGTACCTATAGTTCTTATTTACAAATTACTACAGGTATTTGTTTTTTTTGTAAGGAAACTCTAAACAATACTCACTGAAGAGTTCTAAAGGTAGTTTGATAGTTTTATGCATAGTGATGTGCCCTTTATTGTATTACATGAGAATTCTTTAATGTCTCTTTCTGGTAAAATTTTCTAAAAGACTAGAAAACATTTTTTTCTTTAGTGTTTAGACCTTCTTTAACAGATCTTGAATGTTGGAGAAATAGACTTCAGTCTACATGTAGTCCTGACCCACAAAATCCATGAGATTGGTTCCCCATGAACAATGATTGTACAATATCAATTTTAAAGTAATTTTGTATCCACCATTCTTAATTTCTTTCAAAAATTCTGAAATTAATTAAGAGTGTAAGCTTTTTATTTCATATGAAAAGAACAAGTTATATAATTTGCTTACAATGAAATTTATATATCTTAAAAATCAAGCCATTGTCATCCAGAAATGCAGTTGTAAGCAAAAAGTGTATTTTTCTCCACAGTGAAAATTGTACAAGTTATGAAATGTTAAGTCAGTCTCATAAATGTATGTGGAACATACTGCTACATAAACATACTTAAAAACAAAATGAGAACAATATTCAAATAAATACTTAGCACATTTGTAGTTTTGTACACAATAATGTATTTTCTGCCTTTGGTTTATTTCACTAAGGCATAGTAAATATATTTTGTCAAATTTTGTAAAATCCAGTCATCACCTAATAAACATTTTACGCTTCAATCTCACTATTCCACCTCGTATTGTAGTAAATGTCAGTCTAAAATTGTCACGGTGGCGTGATCACTTGATGTGGGGTTCCTGGGGAAATTTCCAAACAAGGATAGCACCATCAGCACTGACACTGACGATGTACCTCTGGTTAGGACAGATCTTGGCCTTCTTAATGGGGGCACTGTGGCCGATTCCAACAAATATCACCTCACCATCCTCATAAGTCCAAACCTGCAAATGTACTCACAAATATAATGCTGCCTAACCAAAGTACTGAAAACAAAATCTTCTGTCACTTGACAATATACTTTTAATTTTACGATAAAACTCTTGTGGTAAGAGTGAGTGGTGTACTTACCTTTAGTAGTTTGTCATCTCCTCCAGTGACGAAGTAGTTCTGATCAGGAGAGACATCCATGGCATTGATAGAGCCACTCTTGGATCCCTCCAGCTCACGGATTCCCTTGCCATCACAGCATTCCCAGTATCCTATCTTCCTGTCTGTTCCCCCAGTGATGATCTGGCATTCCTTAGCTCCGTAACACACGGCCTGGAATAGCGTGTTAGAAAACACAATCTGGCTCCTCTTTCTACGCCTGTATAAGATAAATGTAAATATTATGAGTGTAAATTTAGATAATGAACAGAATTGGACAAATTTAGTAAATAAACATGCACTTACTCTAAATCCCAAATAATGCATGTTCCATCAGTGCTGGCAGATGCACATTCCTTATCGTTTCTCGTAATTTTGATGTCTGATACACGTCCCTTATGCTCCATCATGGTTTCTACCAGTGAGACAATGTCTTTTCCTTTTGGATCCCAGCTTTTGGAGATTTTCCAGATTCTGACCTGGCCTTCTCCACCTCCACTAACGATTCCCAGGCCATCAGATGTACATGCCAGGGCTGTCACTCCTTTACTGTGAGCCTCCTCAATCAAAAACTTCTCAACAAGGGAAGTGCTTTTGTCCTTAGATGAGAATCCATAGCCTCTGATTTTTCCATCATCCCAAGCTATAGAGAACAAAAAAAAACAACACTCTGAATCACTGCTGGAACATTTATCACTTCTGGTGATACAAGTATTACATGTATAATGGTTATTCCTATATCACTAAATAATAATAAAATGATTGCTAGCTTAATTACCTGAAATGATGGTTTTTCCATCCCTAGTTAGGTCCACAGCATTGCAGGTCATGTTCTTTACAACTTGTCTGCGTATCTCTTTCTTCAGCTTCAGCTGCCAAATTCTGATTTCTTCATACTGAGAGGTGACAATTAGCTCCCCTGTCCCACTGTAATAAAAATAAAAAAAAACTCTTCAGCTGGACAAATTGAAACTTTATTTTTTTTACTTTGAGAAAGTGTCAAATCAGTCTTGAAAGCTCATTTCAGCTGATAAGCATTACTTACTAGGGGAAGACAACATCTGTTATTTCATGTGAATGGCAGGTTTTTATGAGTTCAGCCCCTTGGTTGGCATTATCTTTGCCTTTATCACAGTTGAATTCAGCAAAATTGAAGCGGTAGATTTGAGAATTGGCAGTTCCGACATAGAATTGATGTCCATCTCCTCTAAGACCTATGGATGTAACAGCAAACTGCTTCTTGGTTTTGCTGTCTCTCCATGACCTGTGAAAATTGAAATGTTGGCCATCATTAATTTTTTTTTAATTATTTACCCGGTAAATACATTTACCTGTAAATGTCAGTAAAAAATCTTTTTTAATAAGAAAATAAAAAACTCAACAAATCTTTTTACTAAAAATTGTTGTTTTATCATGTGAAGATCACCAAGTTTTACCTTTTCTTTTCAAAGCAGATTTTCCCTTTCTTATTTTTGCTGTCTTTCTCTACTTTGTTGAAGAACTGAACTAGGGCCACCTCTCCATCTCCAGACCCAACCAGCAGCTGGCCAGACTTAATGAGGGACAGTGTTGTCACACCACTCTTGAACTTCTCTTTTTCTGGTCCCAGAAATTGGAAAAATTTAGTATTCATATTAACCCCAATAATGTCTCCAGTTGTTGTTCCACAGAAAAAGAAGGGTTCCTGGAAGTTGTCAGCCATCTGAAAAAGTAATTTAAAATGAATCACAGTAAAAAATGCTCTGTTGTGTGGTAGAGCTTTCCAGCTGACAGTTTATCCTTTTTTATCTTTTAGTAAACGATGAAAAGTTTCTTTGTGAAGTACCTGTATACATTTGACCACTCGCTTGAGCTGGCCCATCGTGACATCTGTTGGGCGGATTTTTCTGTTGCCTCTGTCTAATTCCCAGACACGCAGTGTACCACTAAAAGATGAACACACACGTGAAATACACTGTATACCTATTTTTATATGTAAAAGTAATGACTTTTGGAATTAAGCGACTTTAGTGCAGGTGAGGCGTGAGAACATTATATACCTAGTGATAAAAAAAATAGAGAGAGAGAGCAAGTAATATGTAGTTATAATCACTAAATTCTTAATGC